AAATGGTGGCATCAAATCTTGAAATCAAGTAACATCCAAGTGTTTCCAGCGTAGTTTGTTTCTGGGCTTATGAACGTCCAGTTCTGATTAAGTACCAGACAGGCAATTGTGATACCACAGTATGCATCCTATTCTGACTTGAAAGGTAAGTGTCCCAGGGATAAGATATAGCGTCGTGATAAGTATGCTTGTTCCTAGATTTTGTACTATTATCAGCGCGAACAAAATAAAGCTAGAGCATTGTCTAGGCTCATTGTTGAGCCTCCAGGTCAATACTTCCCAATATGTTGATATTGTCGTGCTAGCAACACAGATAAGATCTCGGAGTTTGATAGGACTAGCTTTCGCCTAGAGTATGCAAGGTTGGTGATCTACTTGAATTGTAAATACATTAGTTGCACAGCACCCGCTAATTTAATAAAAGGAGAGGTACGGATAGGTTACGCGGAAGCAGGTGTTTACGGCGCTTAGGCTATTGAGAATCCATGTGCTCTTATCCTCATACTCTCTGCTTCCACGATCCAAATATCCACCACATGGAAGCCAAATTTTGAAACTAGCTGCGAATTGGATTTGCAGAATAGGCCTGAAAACTTCCCCTGGTTCCCGTCATCTAAGTAGGGGGAGATTAAAATTTGTTTTGATCAATAAGCGTAGTACTAAGATTGTATCTGTAAACATGTGAAGCGGTGAGTTTTGGTATTGTTAACTAATTCACTTGAATGACTGAAAACCTCGGAAAGCACATAGAAATACTCATCAATAATCTATGAAATAATGTGTCCAAATCAAGCCAGAAGCCGTGCGTGATATTATGTTTGGGATGAACTGACTATTTTTCTCGAATTTGAGCTGTGCCCATCCTGGCCTAAGGAATCTGTTGAAATAAATGAGAAAAATCTTTTGACAAACATGAATAAAAAAAATCTCTATCTTAATCATTGAGGAACTTAGCTTTAGAGTACTCGTAGAGCCCCTTTGAAGCACTATGGCTTCATTTAAAGACCACCATAAATGTTATTTTCGACGGTACATTTAGAGCATCAGATCGACTTATGGAAAAAACTCAGCAGTTGCCCACTTGGCTTTTTGTAATCCTCCCTTTGTATTAGAAACTGTTTGATTAAGATTACTCCATGTAGTGACCACATCTATGGTAACAGCATTATAACAAATGTTGACCTCACTTGAAACATTCAAGAGAGCTGAAATTCGACGGTTAATAAGGCTACTAGTTGTTGTGACGTCAGTTTTTCGACTCATATACGTTCTATAGCTAGAAATGTTAGTCATGCAATGCATTCTATCCTGCGTTGAAAGGGGCACGGATAAGGATATAACATAAGGAATGACGTATGTCTACCATACAGGATCCGTTACAACAAACCACGTATATAGGCTAAAACGGTAGTGAAAGATCAGTGGATAAGTTCTTAGATCAACTATGCTATGAGGCGATCTGAAATTTATCGACATAACTTGAGGTCTTTTTTTTTTACGTGATAATGAAAGGTAAAACAGAGATATGTACAGCAGGTACTTTAACGAATGATTATTGATGATGAGGTGGCGGAGTTTAAGACAACATCTCAGAGTTCGAGGCTTTTCTTATAGTTATCCTCGGTCTCTCTATTCTTTGAAACAAGTAGCCGCGCAATGAAGTGGACCACCTTATACTAATGAAGGACAGTTAAAAACTGGAGCTTTGATTTTATTTCCAGAGTGCAAATTTATATTGTGATTAAGCTATTAAAAAAGGATCCGGGTTTTTATCAAGATATCTATATCCATTTTAGTTATTATAGCTTGCAAGGATTCTATTGCACAAGCACAGACCCTAATACTCTGATTAAATGTGATAATACTCCACATACTTTTTTCAGCGAGCGGGGCTGTTTTTTAAATGATGAAGTGCTAATTTATTCCACTGAAGCCTTGAAATTTAATATTCTTAAAAGCTTAATACCAGTTTATAGTAATTACATTGGAGTGAATTAATGAGAGACCGGGAACTTATGATGGGGAGTATTAAGGGGAGAAGGCCGTAGTTTGACTATTGGATATCTTACAATTCTTGGTTTTAGTCAGTGATTTGAGGCTAGAAATTGTTTTATGTAGATTGATAATTTGTTGAGATAAGATAGTCAATAGATTATATTATGGCTGTGCGGCTTATCCTAATATGAAGGTTTGTGGTTTAGCACATGCATAGTATGTGCATCAGATCCAAATGATACAAATCTTAATCACATATGAGACTATCCAAATAATATATAAGGATATGCTATACCCCACTTATAAGTGAGGAAATTAGGTATACCAAAGATATTAGCCATCTAATACATAGTCACACTATTGAAGGAAGTATACTGACTGTAGACATTACACTTATCAAAAGTAAATTCCAATATAATTTACTTTGACAAGTACCTTGTTCCAAAACCGATTGACCTCCGAAATCAAGATTATTATATCATTCTTGGTTACCAAAACTGGTTTGTATCTCACTATGAGGAAACCTCCAGACTCAGAATTCTAGCTGACTAGATTGGAGCTTGCATACTTCATAGCTGGTTGACTTTTTACACAATACATTTACAACATCCAACAGAACAAATGGAGTTATAAAAATGTAAGGGGCAAGTGAATTAACTACGCACTTGCTCAAATATCGACTAGGTTCATCGTATAATATAGAGTATAGGGCATGCAACAAGCTTCTGTCATGGAAAAGCAACCCATTTTTTGAGTTTTGTGTGGTTTCCATCCAGGAGATCATGAAGCTCAGAAGGTGTCATCAGTGGTATAGTCTCATGGCAAATTATCTTCAGCCAACGGACATTTTAGCTTTTACCTGCTTGGTTTTAGTCAAGAGAGCTTTTGCTTTTCATGTGTATTCCTTTATTGACGTACCATGCTCACTTACTTTACATATACCACATGAGCTTGAAATGTAGGAAAGTCTAATTGTTTTCGAATACCTATTCAGCCTTGCTAACATTTCCTTGCAAACAATAGACTTATCAGCATTTTCTATTAATTCATATAGTATTCGATTCGGAAGCTTCTGGCTTCTACTATTGAACTGTGTTGTGAATAAATTGAATCATAAGGGGCGTATTTAAGTCATGGAAGCCAAATTTTGTACATAATGCCCCTATACCCAGCTTGATGGAGTGACAATAGGCCAAGAAGTTTTATGACTTCATCAAGCGCTCACCGATGATCTGGTCTGGAAAAAGCTGAAGCATTGAAGGCTATAGAGCCAAACATTATCAGTCCATTTCCAGGGATGTAGCTATTTGTCGCTGGGTTACTGGTGATTTCTGGTCTTTTCTTTAGATTCTGTGTTGACAATGAATTTCTTCTAAACTACCGAGTAAACGATAAAACGAACTACTTGGCTATGACTTTACAATACTGAATAATAGATATATCACAAAAGTAGACTTCATAGTATGTAATATCTGTGCCGATCTATCGTGTACATGATATGATAACAAGCTGTAATTCTCAATAGTTTTGGAGATCATTCTGAAAGGAATCTCGGGGCAGCCGCAGAACTTAGAGTCAGCCGGGTAAACCTGTTTACGTAATTTTTTTATAAAAAATCTACCAGAAAATATTAGATGTTGAGTACTTAACTAGCTAAGGTCAAAACGCAGTAGTTATATAATAATAAAGTCCTCAATCGACTTTTGGATACGGAACTCACATATTTGTGATGATTGTGCGCTGAGGTTGGTTCCAGATGAGTGCTGTTGAATACTCTATGGGACTGAGAGCATGGCCTACTTTACAACATTTCTTCAAATGCTAGGCGTACGATGCCAGCTTCGGGGTACGAAATATGATCTCTCCTGACAGTTCTTATTCGTTGATTAGAACCGTAGCGGTCTCTGATATAGATTTTTCGATTGCGTGACCACACATGGTTTATGGCTGAAGCGAGAGTCTACTGTTAGCATTCTCATCAAGACTTCTAAGGATTGTCATGATGGATGTATTCTCATCAATATATGTTGGTTCCGCAACCTTTTTGAGTAGGAATCGAGTACGTCGCTGAGATATGTGTTCCTCCCCATCTTCACACTTGTATACGAGTCCTGATGAGACCCAATGACTCTGGCTAATGGAGAACTAGAAACTGTTTTTAAAGTTTGCCATCGTTTGAGGTGTTCTAAGAGGCCTGGAAGACGCAGAGATACCACTTATAGCAGATACAATAATGCATTGCCTTAGCTGTCATCTTTCTTACGCAGGGGACTTTCAGTGAGCTATTTCATAAAAGGAGAATTACTGAACTCCTCAGATAGGATTCCTCCCTGTCATAGAGCTGCTGTGCTTTGATTCGCTACCACGACGGTTATGGTTGCTTGCTAGTACAATGAACTCAATAATCAGAGTGTACCCGAAAGCTAGTATAAAGTACAGCCTGGAATGCTAGAAAATATTTTTATCGAAAACAAATTGTAGGGTTAGCTTTCGGCATCAGAACCAGCTGACTCTATCGCAGCTTTTCCAATTAGGAATGGCAAGCTGAGATTTAATGCCGACTCTCATATGGCAGTCCATCTCAAGCTGCAATTTCAACCAAAAATATTTGTTGACCGTTATCATAAGTGATGCTGCTAACATAAACCAATTGATGGGTTTTTAGTTGACATACAAACAGCATTGTGATCAAACTCACGTGTGTGTTTAATCTTAGGTTTTAAAATCATCCTTTGAATTTGGTTGAATTGAGTCAGGGATTTTTAATATTAAGTTTTAGTACACTTACATAAGGATGTCCAACAAAGCCTCCAAGCTCAGTCCTCGTTTGTGTTACCTCCTCATTCAATAACACTCAGAGAGTTTCTTTGGTTGACTTAGACAATTGAAATGCCTCCATGAAATTCTGCATATGAATTCAAACTTTTATTCTTCGTAAGGGAAGATCTTCCCCGTATGACAATATTGTCTCCAGTCGGTGAAAAGCACCTCTACCATCAAGTCATAGAATACGTCTTTCTGAATAGCATTGATGAATGTTCCATTTCCTGTCTTGATTCCCGAGGTAGGTGCGAATTGTTCTCCCCAAACTCTTAAATTACCATAAAAGGGAGAATAAAAGGCGGTATCGACTGCACATTTGACGTCTAAAGAGTCTAATATCAGATTTGGAAAACCGATGATGGCCGCGACAGCATCATCCCAATACGGAAGTGCTTCAGACTGAATGTCCGTATAGTTTCCATCGTAGATAAAGGTCTGGACGGGTCCTAGATAGGGGGTATTTTCAATCACACTCATACCACCTGCTCTGTCTATAATCCGGTCAAAGATCTCTTGAGAGGGGGTGATGTAATTTGTAAAATTACCTCCGATAACTATCTTTTTCCAGGGCGCGGTGAGAGTGATCTGAGCACCTTCAGGATCTTGAATCAGATTTATGTCTGTATTGATGTCAACCTCCAATGAGTTCCCAGTGGCTTGGGCATATTGTGTATCAATATATCCGCCCATTATGTAGAGACCGGCAGCTTCTTCTGCTAAGCGCGGGTATATACTCAAAGCTTGTGCAACTGTAGTCATCATTCCAGCTGCAAAGATCGCGACGGGATCGGTATCTTTATACTTTCTCACAGCTTCAATCAAGGCGACAGCACCGGGAGTCTCATTCTTATACGTAAAGTCTGACCAGTTGTAGGAGTTCCGATAAGAGGAAGCAAATGCTCCTTCCCAAACAGGAGCGCCAAATAATTGATTGTGAATGTGGAACGTTTCATTAGTTTGCATTAAAGGTTGTTCAGCACCAAGGTATAAGGGTATGCATGAAGAAAGGTTGTAATTGACTAATAGATCGTAAGCTTGCCCCAGCCCATCGACGGCTGAAACGCTTCCGAAGCTCATTGAAATTCCAACAATTTCATATCCACCATATAGCGGATATAAAAGTTGCAAGGCATCCAACCCATCATTGTCAATAAAGACTTTCTTTGCAGAGGCTATGAACCTGGGCGCTAAAGATAACAGCAAGTATTTGATTTTCATATCTATGATTTTGCTTTAATTGTCGAAATCGAGGAACAGCAGAGAATTAAATGTTCAGTTAATATAATATGTCTTGTCTTTTGATTCTTCTGATTATCGAGTAAACGGTCTTTATCTATGTTATCATTTCATAGTCATAGAACAAAATAGGAAAACTGAACAATAGAAAATTCTCTGCGTTAATTCAATGTTTCTGTTTGAGAAATTCACGTCTTCTGTGAACAGTTCGTAATCATTCATCTTACACCAGCTAGCTTAATTCGTACTTGGTTCCCGCCCTGTAAACAAAAAGTGAACTGCGACCCCCCTTTCGAGGTCAGAGACGACAAAAGAGAAACGAAACATAACCACAGAGAATGTAGTGTCTCCGATCTGCTTGATCAGTGTTCAGAATTAGCGGGGTTCGTATTTTAGCTACAATGCTTCAGTAATCTACCATAACAGCATAAGATTACCAATTTAGGAAAGTACAAAAATTCGATTAGAGTGTGCTGCATAGATTTTACAGATACTGTAATCAAAAGAAAGCTTCATTGAGAAATGTGTTGACAATCTATTCAACAATGTTCAGATCGCAATCATGCTCTGAAAGGTATTCGTCTTTGTGATTTGCAAAAAGTTCTTGTAGAGCTTGCACGTATAAGCTATGGTAATAATCGATTTCTTCAGGAGACACCGCATCTCCGTACTTTTTCCCGTGGAGCCTTTTAACTGCAATGGGAGCTCCAGTTACAATATGGATTGGCCGTCTGTGGGGAAGAAGACCAAAGTCATAGTTTAGCAGTCCACGAGAAACTATTATAGGAAGAGTAAATCCAAAATTCTTTTTGAGTCGAAGTTGGAACCATTTGAGTACTTGGCGAATATAGCCATCATTTTTGTTGTTGGCTTTTTCTGTCTCGTTAGTATAGTATACGTTGTAAATGTTGTTCTCGCCAAAAGCGTACACTGGCACCAAACATATATCATCATTACCAAATTTTCCACTTGCCTGTAGAGCTAACTTGACAAAACCTTTTCGCCTTTTCAATACAATAGAATTTAGATGTGGTTTTGCAAGCAAACTTTCACTCGCACCACCGACAACAATAACCACACTGTGTCCTTGGTCCAACAAAGACGAAATGTTTTTCTTGGTCACAGCAGTACATCCCAAGCTCATCAAGTAGTCACGATAAAATGGAAGCTGAAATTGGTTTACAAGTGTAGTTACAAAACAACGAATGCCTGGAAACAGTTTCGAAAATCCTGCACCTTCAGTTGCAAACCCCGCGAGCACTCCCATAGCGATTACGCCATGAGGGTGATAACCAAAAATGTACCGAGGCCCTGTAATCATTTCTTTTTCGACAGTTGCGGTTCTTTTTTGTATCAGTTTCCATTTGATCAGTAAACTCAGCACGAATTCTGGGGTGATAGACACGAGAAATGGTGGAATATCAAACTGCTCTAACTCAATTTTTATAGGAGTTTTGGTAGGGGACAACACCTTGCTTCTATGAAGACGAACTGGATAGTAATTGGCAAAGTGCTTATAGAGGCTCCAATTTGACATTGCTTTAGAATATCTGTTGAGCGCATTCCCATTTGAGGGGGTACGGTCAAATAAATAAAACTTGAACGTGTAAATAAGCAGAAAAGGCCACATGAAGGGATAACACCATAGGTAAAAATATATGAAGGGAAGAATAATTATCGAACTACCATGTAAAAACACTGCTAAGGTCTCGAGCCTTTTGACTAGGGGTGTAGATAATGGCGATCTGACTGGGGTCTTAGTTTTGGAGAAAGCACATGATGTTTGAAAAGTTTCCCGGGAACTAAATGACTCGTTGGCAAAGTTGGGAATTTGGGAATTCAAAGACGAGTCTAAATTAAAAGAAGTACAATCCGTTTGGGGTTTGAATGCTTCTAACTGCCCGTCCGATTTTCCCGCTGCCGTGGTTCTCATCCTTGCACTGAATTACCAATTGTAGATCAGTAGCTATGGATGGTGTCTAGTCACAATCCACGAAGCTCGTGTACTATGACCAATATATAGCACAAGATCCCGTAAGCCAATAATCAGAAGCAAACAAAAATGTCACGATGCCTCAAATAATTGACACAGCAAAATCTTGTAGATTTTGTATTACATAATCTAACCATAATCAGAGAATTCACAGAAAATGAACAATAGCTAGGCTAGGACATACATACGAAGCAAGAAAAGCATTGCTGCCTTTAGTTCACACCAGACAAAATGGAAAGTTGCATGTTACTCTATTGTAACTGAAGCGGCCGGACTCCTGCCCAAAAAGGCTGTGGAACATAGGAACAACTACATAAACATAAAGCAATAGTCAGTACGTAGCTCTACACTATTAACGGATAGAAACATTTTTTCTACATATCCATTCAATTCTTTAGACATCAATATCAACGTGAGGCTTGATTTTGTTAAGCTTTATGGATAAAGGGTTCATAAGAAATATTCGTTCCCGTTTTTTTGGTTCTTCGCTGGATTGATTTTCAGTGTGTCATCAGGAACAGCACTGAAAATTTGAAAATTCACATTCAAATTGTCATCAACCTTCATCACACTGGCAACATTGCCACATCGATAGCAGTAGTTTGGGGCAGACCAAACAGTCACCACGTCTTTGTCAGGGAAGTGGTATCTGAATCCTTCCATGACTAGCTGGTGAGCACGAGCAATCAACTGCAGATTATTGATATGATTGAATTCTCTGGCTACCTTGGCCCCAAACAACCATCCAGCACCTCTCGGAGAGATAGCCCAGGTCTCCACATTATCCGGGTCTGACCAAACAATGTCGCAAAATCCTCCCTCATGAGGCACCTCCTGAGCCCTGCTTAAAACTCTTATTTGGTCCAACATACGAATTTCTGGGGAAAGGCCGCCGTGAATACAAAGGATCTTGCCATCTATTATTGCACTGAGAGTAAGGAAATCGAACACTTGACAGCAGTATTTCCACACCATTGTTGAGCCATATTTGTTCAAACATTCTTCATAAAATCCATATACTTGCGTTATTTGTCTCGATTCATGGTTACCTCTCACCAATGTTATATGTTGTGGAAATTTAACTTTCAGAATCATCAATAACGTGAATGTTTCAAGCGAGAAATATCCTCTATCAACATAATCGCCCAAAAAGATATAATTGGTGCTAAGTCCTGATTGAGAAGGAAACCCTCCTGCAATATTGAACAATTCAAGAAGGTCGTGAAATTGTCCATGGATATCACCACAAACCGTAACAGGGGATCTAACAGGTTGAATATTGGACTCCTCCATCAAAAGATCTTTAACTTTTTCGCATAGTTGCTTCATATCATTCTCGGGAAGAGCTTTGCAGTTTTTGATGTCCTCAAACCATTGATCTGGACCTCGCTCGGACATGACCCTGAAATGCAATGATATGTATGTTACGTGGGAAGTTTTATTTTTCCCTTCAATTAATCAACTGACAGGCAAATTATGGACGTCGCTAAATTAGTATAATAAATAGAAATAAGCCCTTTATCAAAATATGAGTATAATGCTCTTCCAAGTTGACAGATCAAGTTGTAAACCATAAAACTCTGGACGTAAAGTGATCCAACCTATAATCCCAACTTATTGAGGTAACCTATTAGTGCCTGTTAATTTCTGGTTCCACAAAACGTTCTTGTTCGATCACTGAGACTTGCGAAAAAAATTTACTGACACAAGGATCAAATCGACAGATGCGAAAATTTAGATGTTCTATATAAGATTCCACAGAGGGTTGCCCGTTATGCATTTCATCCTGACGTGCAATCTCACAAACTTAATGTCTTACCATCTTCTCTGGCCTTCTCACCATATTTCTTGATCCTGATAGATTGAACGGCAATGAATCCAGAAGCATCTTGAGGTTGGAAACCAGTAAGCTCATCCATGGAAGATTCAGTAGCATCGTAAAGTTTTTCGGTGGATGATGATCTGCCCAAAATCGTTACAGATCCTTTGTAACACTTAGCTCTCACAAGCCCATTGACAGTATTTTGAGAAGGCTGGATCATAGATCTAACATATTCACATTCTGGCGTGAAATACATTCCATTGTAAAGCAGTTTGGAATATGTGGGTGTAACAAAAGTATCTCTGATACTTCTAACCTCTCTATCAAGAGTCAAGCCTTCTAAATCAATGTGTGCTGATCTTAGAAGAGTCAGGCCAGGTGTTTCATAACAACCCCTAGATTTGATACCAATGAATCTGTTTTCAACAATGTCGATTCTGCCAACACCGTTTCTTCGGGCAATTCCGTTGGCGGCGATGAATAAAGCGACGGGATCGGTCACTTCTTTTCCATCAGAAAGAATTAGTTTTTTAGGAATTCCTTTTTCAAACTCGACAGCAAAGTATTCTGGTTCATCAGGAGCATCGGTAGGATCAACAGTCAACTTCCACATATCTTTAGGTGGCGTTGTATTTGGATCCTCGAGAATACCGGCTTCAAAAGAAATATGGGCCATATTCTCATCCGTAGACCAAGGCTTGGCTTTAGTTTGAGTGACAGGAATTCCCTTCTGAGCGGCGTAATCTAGTAAATCTTTCCGTCCCGCAAATCTCTCAAAAAAGGATGGATCTCTCCAAGGTGCAATAACTTTCACATCCGGCTTTAGAGCATAGAAAGACAATTCAAATCTAACCTGGTCATTTCCCTTACCGGTACAGCCATGGGAAACAGCAAAACATCCTTCCTTTTCTGCCACTTCAATTTGAGCCTTGGCAATAACAGGTCTGGCCAACGAAGTACCTAACAGGTAAACATTTTCATATATAGCATTGACTTGCACAGCTGGAAATAGCACCTCTTCAACAAATTCTTTTCTGACATCAACCAAAACATATTTGGTTGCACCAATAGCAAGGGCCTTTTTCTCAGCAGCTGCGAAGTCCTCTTCCTGACCGATATTTGCCATGAAAGCGATCACTTCATAGCCCTGCTCTAAGAGCCATGCGAGAATCACCGACGTATCTAAACCTCCAGAATATGCTAAACAAACCTTCCCTTTTGACATCGCTTTGTTTTGACAGTGAGTAGAACACTAAAAGACAACCAACAATTGCTAAAAATTTTCAAGTGACGATGAAATATATAATATAAAGTCTGCATACCCTGGAGAAAACGAGTCTAATGTGTCAGAGTTCCTAACCATGCGCGGAAATTTTTTGAAATTGCCTTTTTAGGAATTGCTTTAGCGATTGATCATAGGCACAAAGTATTTAGATGGGTTTGTATTCAACTTATGATGTAAACCTTAGCCAAGAAGCTTTTTTCATCTACTCATTTCTAACTATTCTTACTTCTGTATGAAAAGGGTCTCAAAAAACAAAACACAAGCCAAACTGTTTACGCTTGCATTTTGTACTTGATATTCACCAGCCCTAAGGAAATTGAGGCCTTCATGGGAACGGGTAGAATCTAGTAAAATCGAGAGTTCGAGAACAGATTTGAAACAATGGTTCACAAAAAGGACGATAGAAATATATACTTGTCTCTGAAATTAGAAGAACCCAGTCAATGGCCTTTATTTTGGCTAATGAGACCTCCTGATAAACTGTCCCTATAATCAATCATGCACTGGCAAGCTCAAACAGAAATCACCTCGGAAAGGTAAAGGTTTCGTGATTATGTAACATACCGGACTCTAGGATGTAAACTTCTCAATTTTACACGTAAACAATAGCTACGCTCATAAATGTTGCAAGGTAGATCTGTTGAAAAAAGTGCACCAGAGGATTCAGTATCCTCTTCGCCCCTTGTTAAAAATATGTGGATCATATGTAAGTCATTTTGGCGCGCAAATTGTGGCGGCTAAATTTATTCAGGTATATGCCGCTAGCGATGATAATGCCATTTATTACCAAATTGAATTAGTTTGGCAAAGGAAAAGCAATCGCGGGAACCGATTAGGAAGGGCGAACAAAACTAAATGCGCTTAAATAAATATTAGGATTTCAATTCTTTTGCACAGGCAATATATAAATAAGAGCTAAATTGCTTTCAACGCTAATTCAACAATAAAAAAGATGTCGTCACAGGAAGACATCGATCAACTAGCTCAAAAGTTTGGTATCAAGAATGTAGAACTAATCAAGACGGGTGCTTTCATTGGAGGCCAATGGCATCATTTTAATGACGAAACGTTTTCTGTTGAAGATCCAGCCACCAATAATCACCTACTAAAGGTTTCTAATACTCCTATCACAGTCGTGGAACAGGCCATTCGTGACGCAGATATTGCATTTAGAGAGTTCAAGAAAACGACAGGCAGGCAAAGAAGTTCGTTACTCCGAAGACTTTACGATTTGATGATTGAGAATGGTGAAGATCTCGCCAAAATATGTACCATAGAAAATGGAAAACCCTATGCTGATTCCTTGGGGGAGCTTAAATATGCCGCATCCTTTTTCGAGTGGTTCTCGGAGGAAGCTCCAAGAATATACGGTGATAATATACCTTCTGCAGATCCCAGCAGACGCATACTCACCTACAAGCAGCCAATTGGGCCGGTTGGTATTTTAACACCATGGAATTTTCCAATTGCTATGATTACAAGAAAACTAGGAGCAGCTTTCGCTGCAGGATGCACAGCTGTTATCAAACCGGCCACCGAAACTCCGCTTTCAGCGTTGGCCATAGCAGTTCTCATCGAGAAAGCCGGTTTCCCTAAAGGAGTTGTGAGCATCATCCCAGTCGATCAAAATAGGACCAAGATTGTTGGACAGATGTTTTGTGAGTCTCCGTTGTTGAAGAAAATCTCCTTCACGGGTTCTACCGGCGTGGGTAAAATTCTTATGAGCCAATCCTCTTCCACTCTCAAAAAATTATCATTTGAGCTGGGCGGCAATGCACCATTTATCGTGTTCGATGACGCAGACGTTGACCTTGCTGTGCAGGGCGCCATCGCTTGCAAATTGAGACAATCGGGACAGACCTGTGTTTGTGCTAACAGACTATACGTCCAAGAGGGAATTTATGAGACTTTTGCGAAAAGATTAGCTGATGCAGTTGGTCAACTCAAGCTTGGCCATGGTTTGGAAGCAGGAACTACACATGGGCCTTTGATTCACCAAAGAGCTGTTTCAAAGGTCAGGTCACATATCGAAGACGCCGTTAGCAAGGGAGCCAAGATCGTTACTGGAGGAAATGTCGAAGAATCCTTAGGAGATAACTTTCATCAACTTACCGTTTTGGTCGATGTTCCCTTAAATGCGCTGGTGACGAAGGAGGAAACTTTTGGACCGCTAGTTCCATTAATCAAATTCAGTACTGAGGAGGAGGTCATTAACCTTGCTAACAATACTGAATATGGTCTTGCTAGTTATTTCTTCTCGAAGGACTACGCTAAAGTGTTTAGAGTTGGAGAACAGCTCAACAGTGGTATGGTCGGTGCCAATACTGGAGCCATGACGGAAGCTGCTCTTCCATTCGGCGGTATTGGCTGGTCAGGATTTGGAAGGGAAGGTTCCAAGTATGGAGTGGATGATTACATTATTCTGAAATCAGTTGTTATTGGTAATATCTAAAAAGTCAAACTCCACTCCAGTAAGTCGCATAGAACACCCAATAATGTTCACTCATTGTTGTGATTTGAGCTTTTGCTCCACCACCCGGACTTTATCCTCGGCTGTTTGACTTTTGTCAGTCCTAGTTCCAACGCGAATATCACTTTGAATCCTCACAACGCCCATTTGATGGATCGTCTCATGTAGCTTGCCTATCAGATCCATAACCTCAGACCATTCTCCCTCAATCGTTGTTCCTGCGCTGTGCAGCGTGCTTTTCAAACCGCTTGCTTTGATTATTTTCTCAGCAGCAACAATATAATCCGACACAGATGAATTTGCCGTCCCGATCTATATAGTCAGCAAAAACATAATTTTCCTAAAGCATTGCTTCACTTACAGGTATCAGGCAGACATCAGCCAAACAATGCAAATTAACCATATTCTCGAATTCGGGAAAACTATTTCAATATCAGTATCTAATAAGGTTCTTGATTTGAATTATTTTCCCACCTAATCATTACGCGATAAATTATTCATCAATAAACCCGTTTGTCCCTTCCAAAAACAGATAGGTACAATATATTCAAGAACTTTTCTTTAAATAAGCTTTCAAGAATTTGTTGTTCGGCTGAATTCGTAGTTTGGCTACTGAAATTCAAGAGTTTCCTTTGTTCTCAACCACATACACCCGAGACCGGTCATTGTTATTCAGGAATAGCTAGTTTCTAGGCGGACTGGAAACTGACTAATTAAGCACAGTTACAGCTCTGAATGGATTCTCTACAGATTCGCCGCCAACGAAGAGATGGATTTTACAATTCCAAGGAACTGCTCTCAAGAATTGGAAGACAAATTACTGAAACTCATCAATGAATATCAAGAAGGTTATCTTACCGAAAAAGGCTACATAAACAAAAGACTAGAAATTCTTCAATCTGCGTCTCCCAGACATACTGCTTTGGCGAGGGCACCATTATCGATTAAAGCAACTACCGTAAGCAACTCCACTTCCACTTCAACCCCCGTTGCATCAGAAGTTCATGAATACAAACTCCATGTAGGTGAACACAAATTTTTTCCGGATGATCCCAATGAAGGTCTGACCCAACCTTTGACGAACGAGGATGAGCTTTTACCATACTTTGAACCCTCTGTGAACTATTATCAGAAACCTGACATACCAAGGGAACTACAGAAACCTCTCGATCCAAGAGACGTTGACGATATGCTCGAGCAGAAATTTAACAATCTGCCTAGCATTCTGAGACATAGAGGCTCAATTTACAAGAGGGAAGCTGCGATAGTCATTGTTGATGCTAAGGGCAAAGAATCGCAGTCCATATCTTGGGAAAGACTATATTTGAGAGCTGAAAAAATAGCACAAAAAATCAAAAACAAAGCAGCTCTTTATCCAGGTGATCGTGTTTGTCTAATTTATCAGAATACCGAAGTCATAGAACTAGTCATTGCTGTGTACGCTTGCTTTTTATCTGGGACGGTAGCTGTTCCGATGAATAGTGGTTTCTCAGTCAAGGAGTTAGTTAAAATTATGACTGACACCCAATCTCATCTTTGTTTAATGTCTGATTCCGTCTACAAGCATTTTGAAAAGCAATCAAACGGATCCAAACTTACAATATGGCCTAAAGGAATGGATATTTGGAAAACAACGGATATGGGACTGGCTGCAAAGGATGAAGACCCACCAGCTATGAAAATCAGTGATCTCGCCTATATTCAATATACCAAAAGCTCTTTCGGTGAACTTAGAGGTGTTGTCATTTCTCATAGGACTATAATGCACCAAATGAGCTCATTGTTGTCAATTTTTACGAGCGCGCCGACTATGGACGCGCAGGAATTCGTGAGATCAGATATGAGATTTTCAAGCTCTAAAAATGTGTTTTTAAGCACCTTGGATGCTCGTGACTCGGTTGGCCTAATTTTTTCAGTATTATTTACTGTTTTCACTGGGAATACTCTTCTTTGGATGCCACAGCGATTGACGGAAGTTGCAGGGCTGCTAGCTCATGTGATATCAAAATATAGAGTTTCAGTTATGATTTCCGATTACTTGAGCTTGAAGCAAGTTGCCTACAATTACCAGTCTTTTCCGCAAATGACCAGGACTTTCAATAAAAAAGTCAAAGTTGATTTATCATGCGTTAAGTGGTGCCTGATAGATACAGTTATCGTGGATTGTGAATTCAATGATATGCTTGTAAATAGGTGGTTCCGTCCGCTAGGACATAAGACTCCGCGCCACATCATCGCTCCTATTTTAGCCCTCAATGAACATGGAGGGATGATTATATCAATGAGAGACTGGATAGGTAAGGAAGAGAATCTTGGATGTACGTTCCATAGTCCGATGGCGGATGATTTGCCCAATGATGCTTACGAAGATGACGATGAGAATGATGAAAACAACAAATTATCGGAGCTTTTGATTGACAAAGCTTCGCTAACCACAAACACTGTTAAGGTCGTGAGCGATAGACCTCCTCCAATTTCAACTTTAATGGACAACAGTGAATCTTCCAAGTACATTAGAGTAGGTGCATTTGGATACCCGCTGCCTGATGCCACTCTTGCAATTGTAAATCCTGAAACTCGGTTTCTCAGTGGCAACATGGAAGTTGGGGAAATTTGGGTGGACTCACACTGTATCTCCGGAGGATTTTGGAGCCTTGCAGATGCTACCCAGACTATCTTTCAAGCAGAGTGCTCAGATTATGAGGGAATCCTCAACTTGAAATTTGTTAGAACGGGACTTCTAGGATTCACATACAATGGTAAAGTCTACGTTTTGGGCCTCTATGAAGATAGAATCAGTCAAAAAGTAACATGGTACGATCAGTACTTGCAGCAGAAAAAGAAAGATGGTACACACACATTGAAACAACCAATGAATCAATATAGATATCACTATGCGAGTCATTTGGTAAAGACGCTAGTCAGAAACATGAACGAAGTCTCTGATTCTTCATTTTTCAACATCACGATAAATCGTGAACACGTGCCTGTCGTGATCATTGAGTCTCCATCAGCTCAAATGTTACCTGCAGCAGTAGCGACACATTCTGGAGATCGATTGAACTATCCAGCTTTGGACGAAATGGCTTCCAAAGCATTTCAAATTCTCGAACAGATGCAAAATGTCCGCTTGCATTGTATTCTTATATGTGCGCCAAATTCACTTCCAAGAACTCCACGGAGTGGTAGACCAGAGATTGCCAATATGCTTTGCAAGCGGCGGTTTATGGAGGGAAAAATACCTTCTGTTTATGTGAAATTCAATCTATCGAATTCACTGAGTGCAATACCCCATGGAGAGGACATTATGGGCGGGATCTGGTCTCAATATTCTTTCAATTCTAGATTGGAGGCCCTTAAATACACAGATCTCCAATATTCAGGTCTGGATCTCAGGGAGAAATGCGTGGACGATCGGACAAATTTGGAGCTAACTGAATACAAATCAATACTTGAGCTGTTCAAAATAAGAACTTCAAAACAGGCTGATGAGATGGCATATGGAATCATTGACAGACAAAGTGTTAAAGAAAGCAAAGCACTGTCTTGGAAAAAAGTGGAGATGAGAGTATTTGCAGTCTGCTCTTACATTTTTGAAAAGCAAAATATCAAATCCAGTGATTATGTCATATTGATGTACCCTTTATCAGAGGAAGTGATTGTTTGTCTATATGCTTGCTGGCTTGCGGGGCTGGTGCCCATTCCTTTGCCCCCTTTGGATGTGACTCGACTTGATGAAGACACATTTTCACTTGTAAGCATCATTAAAGATTTCAATGTACAAGCAATTTTCGTGAATAATGATACGGAAACATTACTGAAAAACAAACCAGTGAACTCGAAGCTCAAAACCCTTTCAAACCAAATGAAGGCCATAATTCCCAAGTTTCGAAATACTTCTAAACATACCAAATACCCCAATCACTCAAAGATGATGTATCGAAGAATGGAACAGTATAGATCCAAGCCACGAAATAAGAGAGCTGAATGTCTTGTGTGGATTTCTTGGACCGAGGATCATCAGTATAAAGGAACGAAATTACGGCATTCGAATCTGATGGCGATGTGTAAAATTCTGAAAGAAACATGCCAAATAAATAGCACAAGGCCTTTATGCGCTTGTGTGAGACACTGTTCAGGACTTGGGTTCCTTCAATCGATGATGCTCGGTGTCTATTTGGGCACTACGACATATTTGATATCGCCTTTAGACTATTCATTGAATCCCTCCAAATTTTTCTTAAGCTTGGATCGTTACAAAGTGGAAAACGTGTTTGTCACAGAAAAAATGATCGCGTATGCCATCGAGAATCCTGCTCCAAAAAAGTGTGATCTCTCTTCCCTGAAGAACTTAATGATTGGATGGGATGCCCGTCCATCCGGAAAATTATTAAACGACTTTTTGAATCATATGCAACTGACAGATTTGTCGCCTTTTGCTGTATCCAATGTGTATCAACACGATCTCAATCCTATGATATCACTGAGATCATACCTGTCTTTTGCTCCCGTTGATTTATGGGTCGACCCTCTCGCTTTGACTCAAGGATATGTGTCATTGGTCAATCCAAGTGATTCACCGTTTGCAATTCATTTACAGGATTCTGGCATAGTACCTGTGAACACACAATTAGCGATCGTCAACCCTGAAACATCTAAAATATGCAAAGTTGGAGAGTTTGGAGAAATTTGGGTTTGCTCCGAGTCGACAGTTTCAAATGTAACAGTAACTCAGACAGGACATTTTGATGATTCTAGACTTAAAGCCAAGATTGAAAATTGGAACCAAGATCTGGATTATATGAGGACTGGAGACCTTGGATTTTTACACACCATAGAAAAGACTTTAAACAATGGAAGCGTCGTTGAAATGCAACTTCTTTTCTATTTGGGGAAAGTTGAACAGACTTTTGAGGTCTTGGGAATGCAGTACTTTGCGATTGACATTGAAGAATCCATTAATGCACTCGTTGATTCTATACTAATGACAGCAAAATCCCTCCCTACAAAAAGCTGTGTTTTCAAAGCTGGTGACTATGTTGTAGCAGGGATTGAAACGGGACGACCAACAAATCACTTGAGTTCGCTAGTGCCGTTGATCGTCAGCAAATTACTTAATCAGTTCGGGCTTATAGTCGATATCGTTAGTTTTTACGAACCTAACCAGATGCCTATTTCACGACTCGGTGAGGTGCAGCGTGCTAGATGCCTGAAGAAGTGGATGAAAGGAGAACTAAAATTACTTCAAACGTTCGGCATCAGTGAAGGTGAAGGAAAAATGAAAAAGGTGATACAGTTGATTGAAGAAACAACCGACAAGTCATACAGTGATGCAAAACTAAAATGTTCAACATGAATTAGTACATGCAGGTTTATTCGAAGATGTGATCACTCCTCGTCAATGCCCAGAAGGTCCAAAATGCTCGTCCAGAATTTTGTATTTCATTCGTGTATACCAGTTGTTCAAATCTTTGTAGTCTTGATGCAAGGCAACGATAATCAATGTCATATTATCAAATCCGATGCCAGTTATTGTATTCGCCATCCTGATACAATTATCAAGAATTATCTCATTAATCTCAGGTAACTTTTTTCCCAGCGAAAGATGATGCCTCACCAAACGTACCAATTCATGAGACTTGTAGCAATCCCATATTCCATCGCAAGCAAGAATAAAAAACTCATCAAGCTGAGTAATCCTATGTAGAAGAACATCCGGTTCTGCAGTTACTTGATATTCTTCCGGAGGAGTATATTTGTGTTTGGCTGTTCTGAACACTAATTGTCTGGAGTAATTGTTTTCGTTATGCATCTTGAACCCAAAATCTCCAAAGGCTCTACTCAAGGCTAGAACTGAGTTCACTCTGTTGGTGGAAACGTAACCTCCGTCACTGTGGATTCGCATCAATTCACCCAGGTTTCGTGGCTTATGATCAAAAGACAAGGTCTTTGTGGCTCCATTTCGACTCAATATACACCTTGAGTCACCAGAATTAGCAACAAAAGCATAGCCACAAAAGATTACCAGCACCACTGCTGTTGTTCCACTATTGTTATCGTGATGTCTATAAAACATAGAGTCACATTTCATAAATGATGATCGTAGAAGCCGAGGGAAATCGATTGTCTCTAAGACTTCTTTGCAATTCAAAAGCTTACATCTAGATACCTGAGGTAGATTATTGATCGTCAGTATAAGTTCATCTCTCAAAACGGATGGAAGTTTCTGGCTAACATATCTAGATGCTCCTGAACCGCCATGTCCGTCAAAGACACCATAGATGTTGATTTGAAGAGATTCCAGATCACATTCAGCATCCTCATCTTGTTTTCTGATGTCAGGACCTTCTTTCGTCACAAATATTCTTTCGTTTAGATCACAGAACGCGTCTTCCATTGTTAACCTATATCCTTGCATTTCCCCTATTGAATGCGATATATGATCATGTTGGACAAGTGTAATATTTTTCTCTGTGATAGGCTGCGAAAGAAGCTGCCCCATTATGACGATTTAGATGATTTGGAAAGCCAAAATTATTACGCCCTCCAGCCCAATTGGATCAAACTAATTCAGTCAGATATTTTTGTTATTGTATAAATTTTACAGCCAAACACAAAATAGCTTTATCTTACTTTAATTTTATCCTAGAGATGTATAGTATGTATAATATAAAACTCATCAAGTACAAGTGAGCTTTTCGAAATAGCCTGCCAACCACATTAATCATACTCTCGTCAATTCCTTCACAAAGTTCTCTCCCCAGTAGCTTGCAGTGTACTTCTCAATATACTTGAACATCTTCTGAAAATTGCCCCTCCTTTTTTCATCACTCATGATCAAGCCTTCATAAATGGCTTCGCTAAGTTCCTCTGTGTTCCACGGATTCACTACCAGAGCACCATTCAATGATTGAGCGGCTCCTGCAAACTCACTTAGAACTAAAGATCCCTTTCGTTCTTGTTGACAAGCAATGTACTCGTAGCTGACCAAATTCATTCCGTCCCGTGTCGATGACACTACACAAACATCACTAGCAGCATAAACAGATATTAGCTCTTGAAAGTTCACGCTTTTATGAAGAAAGTGGATTGGAACAAATTCGACAGTTCCAAATCTACCATTGATTCTTCCCACTAGTTCATTAACAGCTGCCCTCAAAGATTGATACTCTTCAACGTCGCCTCTTGAGGGAACTGCTACCTGTATCAAAACAACTTTCCCAATCCACTCAGGGTGTCTTTCCAGAAAGATCTCAAACGCGTGAAGCTTTTGAGGTACACCTTTGATGTAATCCAGCCTATCCACCCCAACGATAAGCTTACAATCTTTACCAAATCTCGTCTCCAGTTGTTTTATCCTGCTTTTGACCTCGTCAGTCTTAAGACCGTTCAAGAACTTGTCAACGTCAATGCCAATCGGATAAGCACTGACAGTCACTTGTCTATCGTTATAGACAACACCTTGTGGACTCGTTCGCAATTTCAATATTCTTTCAACGGAACTTAGAAAGTGACGGACATAATCATAGGTGTGAAAACCTATCAAGTCACAACTCAAAACTCCTTCGAGAATCTCCTTTCTTACAGGAAGAATTCTGTAAATCTCGCTCGAAGGAAAAGGGGTGTGAAGGAAAAAACCAATTTTGACATTTGATAGGCCTTTCTTATTTAATTGGTCTCTTAATAATGAAGGTAATAACATGAGATGATAATCATGAACCCAGATAACGTCCCCATCTTTTATCTCTTTTAAAATCGTTTGACAAAATAATTTATTTGCTTCCAAGTAAGCGGCCCAAGCAATTTCATCAAAATTCATCTCCCCAGGGTGATAATGGAACAGTGGCCAGAGTATAGAATTGCTAAAACCATTATAATGTAAGTCTGCAATTTCGTCACTCAACCAAATAGGATAACAATTGAACTTCTCTTTCAAATCCTGCTCTACAGTTTCTCTTCCCGATTCGTTACCCACAGACATTCCAGGCCATCCAAACCATCGAAATGGATTTTTGAGCCCCTGTAAAGCCGTCACCAGTCCGCCCGAGGACATAGTATAGTCGTATCTATGATTCCCATTTTCATCATCCTCAGTCTTCTTAATGGTGACTGGAATTCTATTTGAAACCACTATGACATTACCTTTCACCATTGTATCAAATTGGGTAATATAATCACTAGCTTTAAAGGGTGTTTTATTGTAGCTCGGTTTGCAATAGGGAGACACAATTTTTGCTTCATATTTATTTATTGCTTTTTAGAAGTTCGTGGAACTTTCGAAAATACTAATTACCAGGAAAAGTTTCAAAAGGGACTTCTAGCTTGTGAGCCTCTCATCTGGCGCTTCGTCATGTCGTCATCAAAGTTGACTACCAGTAGGTCGGCTTTTCCATCATAAGATTGATCGATTGATTGCTGTGCCTGATGGGTGCAACTGATGATAACCTCCCTTACATCATTGTTCACAATCACATGTTTGACATTGTCTGACTAGGAAAACATATTTCCTTTCTTCCTTTAAAGCTTGAGGACGGGGACAAGTTATGCCATAGATGGTATTGGTACTAATTGGGTCATATATACTTCATGCACCTATGTATGACAGGAGTGATTGAGGAAATTTCGATCCAGTTCAAATCGGTCATTTCCGTCTGTGCGCAAAAAAAAACGGTAAGGTTTCGACTTTACTCATAAATCGAGCGTACCATTGAGTGAGCCCCAATTAGACATGGCATGGCCCGAGTTTTGCATGTACATTCCCAATTTAAGGCAAGCGGTTTGGAACTGCATTCGCTTTTCGCGCTACCTAACTGGTAATCTCCCTCTTGGTTGCACACATTAGATGCTAAGAGACGAATTGTGATCAAGCGAGTAATAAATCTAAGCTTTTTTTTTTCTTTGAAAACGTTAATGAGATCGGAAATGTTTTGTTGATCGTTTTCCTATTGCGGTATTTCAAAATCAATTGCTAAAAAGAACAGACAAATCGATTTTGAAGTCTAGTGACATCAGGTTAAAAATTGTGGAGTGGTTGTGTTGTGTTTGTAGTGATGTGGAAATACTTGTGGTCTAGAAATGAGCCAACCGTCAATGTCCCGAGATACCAGGGAGGTGATAAGGAAGATTCCATTGATCTTCAAATCAAATCTTTGATGTACATGTTTGAGAGACTGAAGGTATATAACTTTGCGCCTTTTCTCAAGATTTTGGACTCTGGGGAACTTTCATTTGATTGGCTTTCAAAACCTGATGCGCCGCTTCATCCTGATGTGATTATCAACGATAAGCTGGACTCAGTTTATGATATCCAATCATTTAAAAAGATCCTCCTTGATGACCCTTATCGAATTCTGATTGACTACTGCAAAAACAAATTTAGGTCATATTTGATTCTAAGCGATAGTCCTAAAGAGTTTTTAGAGCTTCCTAAGTTCAAGGCTCCAGATTTTCGCTTCACAATTTTGAAAGCCAACTCCTCGGATAAAGATTACATTGATGTTTTGGTCAACAAGTCTGATATATACAAGGAACACAACATTAGCCAACAAGTGAAGACAGATATAGCCAGAGAGATCATAACTGCGCAACGAGCCTGTTCTAACCACAAGATCTTCAATAAGAACGATCGAACAAAGATTATTAGATTCTATGTTCAAAAACTTGCGTACCACGTACAAGTGGAAAGAATATACAAGGCAACTTTGAAGTCAAAAGAACAGAGGCTTCAAAGTACCAGGCTTACAATGTCTGATGCCAGTAGACAAACAGGTTTGAGGTCCCCGAGGTCTGCAGTCAACCTGCAAATCGCTCAGCCGCTGAAATCCAGCAATCGCAATACTTTACGAACTAAAGCATCCATGTCAATTATGAAACTTGATAAAGCATACTTGGAAAGTTCTCAAGAATCGGATTCATCGGATACGTTGATATCATCTGGGACATCGGAAACGGGAAGCGATAACTCCCTGGAGACACGCGTTCATGCGGTCGGCACGCGCTCCGGCAAATGCTTCACAGAAGAAGAGAAGAGTTTTACGTACGAGCAAAGTAAATTAGCAGTCAGGATAAGGATTGAACGTGAGAGAACGCACTTGACAAAGTCATACGCATAGGCAACAGAGCTTCAATATATTCACAATCTTAAACTTAAAACTGCAATGCATCGCAATATTGTTGACATAAATCACTTAGATAGTCCAATTTGGTCTCGTTCAGTACGTTAAAGCACAAGTTGCCCTCTGGAAACTTGTACAAATCTATCAAGCTTTTGATCCTGTTAATGCTATTCGTAAATTTAACAATCAAACCGTTACGCTCTAAATTATCGTCTTGCTCAATTTCATCGTCAAGATGTTCTATTTCGATAAGGAATCCTTTGAATAATCCGTGCAAAAAGCAATTACTGGTTCTCAGCCTGAATTTTTCATGTTGACCGTCTTCATTCAATCCGGGCACGGAAATCACGTATCCATATCCTCCTTCTCCTTTGATTGTTTGCTTTACTGTCCAGAGGCTGGCAAGCTTCTTGGTTATCAGCTGTTCAAAATTTTCGGTCGTTGTTCCCGTATTGTTAGCGCATCCATGTTTGATGTGCTCTATGAGTGCAGAGTTTTCAAGATTTGAAGTATCATTAATAAGTGAACTCGTATTTGGAATCCGTGTGATGATGGATTTCGAATTATTAATTATAGTGATTGTTTGATTGCTGTAGTATGACAATTGGAGAGTGTAGAGGTATCTATTAGCTATCTGATTTGGTTCGAAGTTTGCAGGCCTTGAAAATTTGTTATTCAAGAATATCTTGAGCTCAAAATTCCAAGGGCCAAGTGATTGCGGCAATTCATTGGATATGAGATCGTGGAATGTAGTGATCGTGGTGGGTGTGGCATTTTGGACGAAGAGGACTCTTTCTTGCATTAGAAGATAGATAACATCAGTGGTTGAGTACGTACGCTGTGACCATCAGAGAGATAGGTAAAATGATACAACAAAATTTTACAGATTGAAATTTAGATACACAGCCCACAAATAAATTTAACCGTAATCAATGTCCTTGGAAGAGAAAAGAGCAATACTGGAGGATTTGGATAGGATGGAATATGCTATCGCAACTCGAATTTGTAGATATCCCGGATTGTATCGGCCCTCACAGCTTGTGCGCTCGGATAGTCCGTCTTCCAGCGGAGAATCATTGGCAAAAACTACATTACTGAGACATGAAATAAGACGATTCTTGGACAGGAGACAATTCCAAATGCGAAGATTAGATTCTCTATTAAATTTTCAAGACCCTTTAAAGAGCATGAGGGAATTTGATGATTATTATAAACATCTTTCAAAGAAACATGATCAATTGCTGCATTTAGGATTGAATGCTAATGATATCGAGAAAGAGGAATTAAATAAATACGCTTTATTCTCCGGTGACAAAGGAGAGAAACATAATAAAAGAAGGCTATTGAGCCTCTATGCTAGCGATCTTAAACTATCATCAATATTTAGCTCGAAAGAGGCCCTAGGTGAAAATTTGGATCTGAGCGAGAATTACAAGGAATGGTTAAATTTGCCACGAACGAAACTCTCTTATGAGAGAAGCATGCCATCATATGCAGACTATCTTTCAGGGCTTACCAAACTGGATTCCGAATTGTATGATAAGGACTCTGTTCAATATAAGACCTATGTCAAAAACCTTGCCCAGTACCTGTCAAATTTTTATATCAAAACTCGACCTTTGAGTAAGCCCGAAAATGACATCGATCAAATCAAGCAGTCTTTCTCGTCCGCATTGATTGGCGATGGAGATGGTATTTTTTGCCTGATTTGTCAGAAGGACTTTGCAAAATTGTCTGTATTCAATTCTCATTTGAAGGGAAAAAAGCATCAAAGAGCAGCTTTAAGACCTGAGACTTATGGAGTTGCTAAGAACGAATATCTGGTGATCGAAATCCTCAAGTGCCTCCACAAGGAGCTTGAGAATACGAAAAAGGAAGTTGAGAGGTATTCTTCTTTAACTTTGAGGGAGAAACAGCTTGAATCCAAAGACGCTAGGAATCTCTCCGATTACGAATATGAAACTCTTACTGATCTTCAAAATAATCACGATTATGATGACCATGAAGACCTCCATCATGTTGGCAATGACCAAACTTTACCAATTGGTCCGGATGGAAAACCAATGCCATTATGGCTTTGGAAACTCAAAGGTTTCGATATGGTGTTCACATGCGAAATCTGTGGAAACGTTAAGTTCAAAGGTAAAGAAATTTTTCAGAGTCATTTTACAGAGCCACGGCATTTGCACGGACTCAAAATGCTCGGTATTATGGAGGAATATAATGCCTTTCGAGACTTGAATAAAATTGAAGACGTCCTAGAGCTCTCCAATTTTTTGGAAAAAAAAAAGAGAAATGCTGCACAATACAAAGACGATGGGGTTGAAGTTGAAGATGAAGAGGGCAACGTTATGAGTAAAAAAGTTTATGACCAACTAAAAAAGCAGGGTTTGCTTTAACGTTTCTAGATGTGTCGACATTTTCTAATTCTATTACTGAGGGCTATATTTTTTGAGATAGGTCGAACATTCCTTCTTTAGTGCATCATCGCTGCTAGTATCATTCAACATGTCTGTGAGCAACCCCAAACAGTCATGTAACACAGGTGGCCTGAACATAATGAGGTATAACAAAGATTGAAAACCGAGTTTGGATCTTACAGGATCTTTACACAAAGATCGAATTTTTGAGATCAGACTCTTGTCCAGGTATGGCAACTCGCTCATCAGTCTGATAAAGATTTTTCTGTCACTAGACTCCAAGAATGGAATCAGATTGTCCAAAGTAAATGCACAGTACGTCATATAATGACCATCTCTCAATGGCTGAATACCTGTTCCATCACGAATCTCTGAGTAATATTCTTCATTTAGCCACTCAATGACTTCATCGATTCTATTTCTCATGTCATCTTTGAAATAATTAAAAATGGATTTTCTCATACAATTGGCAAGCTCATCATTAGCGAGTCCACGAGTTGCAAGTCGGGAAAGGATTTTAACCCAAGACTCGTCATTCCAACTAGAGATCGCAAGTTTATCCAGCGCATTCTGTTGCATTGATGAATCTAAGTTCGACTTATTTTGCTTGACCTTTTGAGCTGACAGCTTGATGAAATTGCTTATAATGAACCCTAGGTGCTCTTTCTTATTGTTGAAAGAAAATTCTCTAGGCACTGGAACCAGAAACTCTCCCTTCAATTCATCATCACTATATGCGTCGTCAATCTCATTTGAGGTTTCGTTTCCAACGTCGGTCTTCATCCGCGTACGTGCACCATCTTTATCATCATCATCAGTTCGCTTTCTTTTCAAAGACCCTTCATTGGTGGAGGGTATATACAATCCCTGAAATGCGCTATCGGTATTCGTTGTAAGGTCTTTATATCTGTCAAAAACGATTGTCAGACCTTTTACTAGCTTGGCAACGCTTACCTTTTGCAATGCCGTGACAACCATTGAGACTAGTATATCTGTTGGGATAGTTGACATATCAAATTCTGTCAATTGATCATTTGGTTTGATCAGATTGTATATAGATTTATAGTCATGAGATCTGGCAATCTTGGACTCGTTGTAGAATAGCATATTGTTTCTCTGTATAGCCTCAATCTTTTGTTTTTTAATCTCTTTCACCTCGGGGTCATCATCATCATCATCAACATTTAATATTCCCCTTTGTCTTTCATCTCGTGCCTTGTCCAGCAAGTAGTTGAACTTGTTCTCAAATCTGGTTCTCAGACCCGGGTCCTTTGCCAAGAATCCCTTGTTTAAAAGTATTGAAATGAGGCATTTGTCAACTCTGTCATTAAACCTTTTGGTTAGTTTCATTTTAAGCTTTTCCTCTCGTTCGAAACGTGGTTCAATCTTCAATTGTGACTCGTAGGCCAGGATAAACATGATAAACTTATTTGAGAGGAACTTGGGTCTCGATTTGAACAGCGTCATCATTGTGGACATGATTGTCGTGAATATCCCAGTTGGTAGCAAAACATCATCATTTAAAACTGCAAATAGATTGTCCAATAGATTTTGTGCTTGTGATGACAAATTCGAATTCAATAAAAATGGATGGTTAGACTTGATCATAGATACTGATATATCGTGTTCGATATCATTAACAGAAGAAGACGCTGGAAGTTGGACTTGAATAATTTTTCCCATCAGTTTGATGAGGGAAGTTTTGCATGCGATTGATCTCGAGAGGTCAGTTTCCGGATTATATGGCTGTAATGGATATGAAGAGGGCCACTGAGAAAGTAGGTAGTCTCTGACATCAGATAGGCGTTCCCATTCGTCTTCATTGGGATTTTGAACCATCTGCATAAAAATAAGATCGTATGTAGCGTTGAGAATGTCAATACATTTCTGTATAATCAAGTAATTTGGAGATCTCTCTTCGTTACGAATTATCAAGTAATCGAGAAGCTGAATCACTTTGACAGACTGTTGGCTTCTTAATTCAAAAGATCCAATCTTCTTCTCAAAAAAAGCCTTGTGAATAAAGCTCAAACATTGATACTGGAGTCGAAACTCGTTACATGGGGTTCCTAGGCATATAGAGATTGTTGTGTCAAGAATCTGCTCAAAAAAGCTCGGATTGTCAAATGCCAATTTTTCGGCCTCTTTCAATTGATCGAGTTGTTTCGAATCTAGCTCTGTGGTCATGGTGACAGTTATGCCTTAAAAATGGATTTCCAGCCTGATGTATGAAAATAAGAATCCAAACAAGCAAACCGTGATGTGATGTTTTCTTAATACAATAAGAAACCAGATATCAGACAATTGGGATTGGTTCAGAAGCCGTGATATTAAACAAACTTAACATGACAAAGATAAATTTACTCAAAAAAAAAATCAAGGACTTAAAAATTACCCGGACCGTTTAGGGAAATCACTATAGGACTCGATTTCAACGTAAATGAGGTGGAAGTTCTTGATTGGACACATTTGAGGCAAATTCCTCGCCCACCAAATGAGGAGGCACTTCAGGTCGGCGCTCACTGTATCCTTGGGATTCGTGCTGTTGAGGCGGCAGATAATTTTCACGATTCTGAGGGCCGGTGTGATGTCTTTGTCTATCTCTGTAAGTATTCCTACCTCTTGCTCTTGTCCTAGTATTTTTATATCCGCTCCGTCCATTTTTATCAAATTCACCCCTTCGACCATGATCATAGCGGTTTCCATACTGCTGTTGTGGTTGCCTCTGCCCGCCGTCAGGACCTCGACCGAACTGCCGTCCTTCTTCAAACCCTGGATCTAAATCTATCTCCATCGAACGGCCGTTCACCTTGGTTTTATTAAGATATTTAATCGAGTTCAACGCTCCACTTGGTGTGTCGAATATGATAAAACAAAATCCTGTAGGAGTTAGCTTGTGCTTATCCAGCCCCATGATGATTTTCACAATTGTTCCACAATTACTAAATAGCTCAAACAATTGTTCTTCCGTTGTATTGAATGAAAGCTTTCCAATGTAAATTGTCGACGAGGACATTGATTTCTTTAGGTTAGAGTAGCCATTAATTTCATCGCGTCTCGCTTTGTTGAGAAGGTACGAAGAAGGCCTGTCAAGTCTAAAAGTAGAATTCCTAAAATTCGGTGCATCAAATTCTTTTAGATCAGAGCTCATCATATAACAAGATAGATAACCAGAAAGGGTTCCAGTGAACAAAGTTGTAGAATCCGCTTATTTCAAAACTTTTATCTAAAATTTGATCACCTCTACACTTAGGCATTTTTATGTAACCAGATTTTCTTGACTCGAGAAGAAAGAGAAAGCACTCTCGACTGAATGATGGAAAGCTGAAACAAGAAGGCATTCACTGCTTCAGTTACTAGAGAATATCACTTACTATACTGTGCACATTCAGAATCAAGTCATATGAAATAGGCAGCCAGTAATTGAAACCAGATTTGGTAGGGACCAGAAGAACACCAAAAGAAATTAGCTCATTATTGATTGCTACGTTCAACAACTCAATGAGATCATATCCACGGTGAATAAGGGATCTGGGTACTAACAAGTGCAGGGTACGGTTCAAAGACGAGTTCGAAAGCTGATTTTGTACGCGTTGCTTGGTCTTGCAGAATCTGCCCAATTTCTGTCATGTCTCTAACCCCGAAATATGTGAACATGGATTTGAGAACAGAGCCCAGCAGCATACATCGATGGGTTAACTACTATTTAAGGGTAGCCTTAAATATGTTGAATGCAGCACAGAGAGCTCTGTTAGTGAAGCTAAAGCAAGCTTTGCTTGTATTCCACTAATTCTAGGAGCTTTAAATTATTTCGGACTTGCTTCTGACCTTTTAAGTCCGTACAGAATAATGGCGGATTTTGGCAGAAAACTTTCTAGGTGACAAGCCATGGTTCTATATAAAGACACTAAAGCTCCTCAATTTCGATTTCCACTAACTAGCATATACAACGATGCGTAGTGCTTTGTCAACCCAACAGCGTAAAGAGTTTAATATTCCGACAAAGGATGACTTGGGGGCACTGGGGAACAGAATCAACGCTGAGACGAAACAACTCCATGATCAGATCAACACGTTTGTGACAATGAAGTTCGCGATTGCATTGAGAAATCAAAAGGTCTACAGACAGGGACTGCAGGCCTTTTATCATATCTTCCGCCATATTGAGATAGCTCTTCAACGTGAAATGGAGAAAGATCACGAGTATTCTCAGATCCTTAAGGAAATATACAAGCCTGTTCTTTGCAGAACAGAGCCTCTCCGCGAAGATTTGATGTACTTCTATGAAGGGCAGTCACAGAAGTTTGAAAACCCGATACTGCCTCTTCAAATTGAATACGCGCAATACATTCTTGAAAGCACCAAAGAAAAGCCTTATCTTCTTTTGGCGTACATGCACGTGATGTATCTAGCATTATTTGCAGGTGTCAAAATCCTGAACTCGCAAGTGGTGAAGTCACTTAGGTTGTTTCCAAAGGTCAAAGGCAAATCTCGTGATGATGCTTTGAAGAAAGGTACAAATTTCTTTACGATTGATGTGTCTGATACTGAGGAATTGAGGGCTATCTACAAAAGAGACTATGAATTGCAAACAAGAAACAACTTGTCGGAAGATATCAAATTGGAAATTATTGAGGAGTCAAAGTACATTTTTGAAATGACAGGAAGGATTGTGAAAGAGATTGAATCACACAACATGGCAAAGCTTCAAACAAGTGTGACCTATCAAATAAAGAACAGTGCCCACTACGTAATCACTGCTATTTTGATGCTTTCGGTTTGTTATTTCGCTAAGAATATGGTCGCACATATCCTTCTTAAGTAATGAATTATATTAAGCTTACGAATCACGCTCATCCTCCACTATGTTACCGAGATTTATATATATACCCTATTGGCTGAGTAAAAACTCTTTCAGCTTTGCTAGAGCCTTGGATCTGTGACTTATTCTATTTTTTTGAGGACCTCGTAGCTCAGCATATGTTTTTCCCATTCCATGAGGCTCGAAAATGGAATCAAAACCAAAATCCTGAGGACCCCGAGAGGGAACAATCTCACCGGTAGTGACGCCCTGGAAAAGTTTGACATCGGCACCAGGACCTTCACAATAACCAAAGGTTGTAATCGCATTGGCTGACTTATCCTCAAATCCATATAGAAGCTTGTTTAAACCATCTAGTCCCAATTTTTCATGGAACCATTTGATATAAGGTCCGGGGAGATTGTTCAAAGCATTGAATCCCAAACTAGTATCCTCCACTAGAACGGGAGTCCCTAGTAGCTTAGCCGCTTGCTTAGCTTTATGGATGGTGACTTCTTCAATGGATCCCTGAATTTCGTCTAAATCCAGCTTTTCGTTCTTTATAATGTAATTTCCCACCTTTGAACCACCATCAGCAGATTGAGGGTGCCCGTCTGAAAGAATTGCAATCACTTCTTCTAGCTTCTTTGCATTTCCGGTGACAAATGTAATTGTGGACATTATAAATATGTGAACAATGTACTAACTACCAAAGTTATATATAGCGGAAAAAAAAAACTTTTTTAATTACATATATATTTAACTTTCGGATTACCAGCGATACTAGTGTACCTCGATCTAGATATTGCAAAAATGGCCGAAAGAAGACAAAAACTCCACTTTATAATTCAGCTTTGATGATTGCAGTGTCTTTGTTGATTCGCTTAGTGGAGACAAATCATGTAAATTATATCAATGTCATGTTCGTAACTTCCTGGAAAACATCTCTCGGGAGTTTCGAACATATGCTATGTACTTTAGCAGAATGAAGAACGCATTTCCCTTAGTCTTGGTCACTTGCATCCAGCGATGGCATTTGGTTTTTAGTAGTCAGATAGAAGCATCAGTTTTCAGCATATCTATTTTGAAATACGCTTCTAATTGTCACAATACTCCTAATGTTAAGAGATTCTGTAAATAAATATCTGATGGAAAGTGTAAGCTCGATTAGTTCAGCGAATTCTCGCTTCTAACTAGACTTCTCATCCACAGTAAAAATGCTAGTGCACCCACCTCACAACGACGCTCAATGATGAATCGTACGCTTTTGCATGTAAATTGTCCTTCCTCACTTGGTCACTTGCCATATCGTCAGTGTTCACCTCGTGTTGACCTGTGACCATTTGCAGGTGTTATTATCCGATGTAGTGTAACGGCTATCACAGTCCGCTCTCACCGGGCAGATCGGGGTTCGACTCCCCGCATCGGAGTTAATTTTTTTCAATTTTCAACCTTAAAAAAAGTCAAAAAGATAGGTCAAATAGTGGTCTGAGGTGTATTCGCATCATTGTCCGATGTAGTGTAACGGCTATCACAGTCCGCTCTCACCGGGCAGACCGGGGTTCGACTCCCCGCATCGGAGTCAGTTTCTTTTTCTTTTTTTTTACTATCAAATATATACTGATGAATACTACATTAGAAGCTCTATGAACTTTGTCACTGAAAGCTGAAAATATGAACATCGACTTCGTGTCAACTAATTGACCCAAACTTGTTCACTTATGAACATAACGCTCAACTCCGATGGCGTTTACACTGCTATGCTCGATAAAAGGTTTGATTACATTTCATCTGATATAGTCAACTCATATCATCCAAAACAGTAGTACTCCTTTAATGCTCGTCCAAAAATGAAATCTGTTTATTGAGTTCAATGACTGCTCTGATGTGTTCTTACCCATAAACCTACCACTAATAGCACTATGAATTTGAGGTAAAGACAGCAATGATTTAAGATTGGAGGAGTTTGTTCAAACTGGAGAAAAAAGGATTTTGATGTTTTGAGCATTGTACCTTTGTAAAGCTAAGGGCTGGCTATCCCACCGGCCACTTCAAATCACTCAATAGCTATCTCAGCTAGGAAGAATTAACTCCATTGGTGAGGCGAACTTTCTCTCTCCATTGCGCTTCCGCACCATCTTATATGCTTTAATACTTTAGATAAAGGACCCCACCTGCAGCACTCACTCTTCATATTGTCATCACCTGCCCTTATTGTACATACAGTCAGGCCAACTTTTCTTGCTAGCTCTATATATTGACTCATTGCCCACTAAGGACAACTACTTCCGATGTAGTGTAACGGCTATCACAGTCCGCTCTCACCGGGCAGACCGGGGTTCGACTCCCCGCATCGGAGTTATTTTTTTCTAAGCAATGTTGAAGCCACAATTCAATATTACTAATCTAATCGCAAAGGAAACATCAAGAACCTATATATATCGCACTTTGCTCACCTATTTAATCTAAACTGCAATTGAAACTTAACGAATTTGATTGCAATTCTTTCAAATAATGTCCATCCCGAAGACCCAGAAAGCCGTTTTCTTCGAAGAAATTGGTGATCTCGACGTCATCAAGTATGACGATGTTCCGGTCCCTGAAATTGGAGAAGGAGACGTATTGATTAAAAATAGGTATGCCGGATTAAACTACATTGAGACCTATTTTAGGACAGGGCTATATCCCACTGAAAAGCCGCATATTTTGGGCCGTGAGGCAACAGGTGAAATTGTCAAGGTGGGTTCCAAGGTGAACAATTTGAAGGTTGGAGACAAGGTCGGATATCTCTCAACTGCTACATTTGCACAGTATACGAGATTTCCTGCAACAGGAAACATATTGCGTCTTCCGGCCAATGCAAATGATGAAAATATGAAGCTGGTAGCAGGTGCATTACTTCAAGGTTTGACAGCATTGACCTTTATTTATGAGGCATATGATGTGCAGAAGGACGATTATATTTTGGTCACAGCAGCAGCTGGAGGGGTTGGCCTTCTTCTTTGTCAGCTTCTCTCCAAGCTCAAGAAAGCTCATGTTATTGCGTATGCGTCAACCGATGAGAAGCTCAAGCTGGCACAAGAAGCAGGCGCCGAATATTTGGTGAATTCCTCCACCACCACTTATGAGGAGCAGGTCAAGAAGATTCTTGATATAACCGGCGGAAAAGGTGTGGCAGCATCATTTGACTCGGTCGGGCGTGATACCGCAGACTTGTCACTAGCGGTGATTGGAAGAAAAGGGACCTTTGTCTCTTTTGGAAATGCTTCTGGTCCAGTTCCTCCCCTTCAGCTCAGCAGATTGTCCGCGAAAAACCTGAAGGTAGTCAGGCCAGTTCTGTATGGCTACATCACTGAGCATGAGGAGTTCGAAAAGTATACGAACCAGCTTTTCCACTTGATTGACTCAGGTGACCTCAAAATCTACATAAGCAAGACATATCCATTGGAGAATTACGTTGATGCGGCTCGCGAATTCGAAGGTCGTAAGACCACAGGGAAGCTGGTTTTTGAGATACCACAATGAGTGTAGTCACGTGAACAAATTCTATAATTTACTATGGTTAAGATAATCTGTCACTTTTAATACGTGTCACGTGCGCCACCCACATAGTCGGAATGATTTCGCACAACGCTTTAGTGGTCCAAACTGGATTAAATTTTTGAGCTAGTTATTAATTCTCTCGAAGGCGTTGTCAAATTATACTATATTCTGCTAATTGCCAGTCAATATATCGGGCTCTCTTTTGCATAGCACCACAAACAAGAAATTCTAACTTTTGAGTATCTCGGCATCTCCTGTGTACCTTCGATTGAAGAATATGGGAAATTCGCCCAGTAAAGATGGCAGTTCAACTTCTTCTGTGACAACCAGCGGCTCATCTCCGGATGATCCAGACCCGTCGCGTAAGCCGCGACCTAACCAGACACATTTAACGAACGAGCTGCGCGGCAGCAAACACAACAATAATACCATTAACGACAATAGTGGTCGACATATGCACACACAAACTACGACTACACCTGTGTCCCCGTTTGACGATGAGAACGACGTATCTTCTTGGATGATTTCTAAACGACCTCGTGCTGAAGATGACAATTCCTACGGGTTAGAAATTGCCGCTTCCATGGCACAAACGTTAAATGTTTCAAGGTCCCCATTAAGGGATGTTACTGAGGACGTGTGTTCCTCTTTTGACAGCAATACAGATTCATGCTTTACCAGTGGCTCTTCCTCTTCGATCAGTTCTACCACTACTCCGCCACACTCAAAGGAAACTACTCTTTACCCAATAGCAGAGCAAAGCAAAGAATCCACTCCGGATCTAAAGTGTTCGAAGACTTCAAAGTCTCCGGATGCTGCTGAAAGCCTGGTTCATTTTTTGACAAACGATGTCTCTAAAGGTGACAATGTTTGCTCCACCAAAAAACCTTCTCCCTCCGCAGTGAATATTGATGGAGTCATTGAAAGGTTAGTTGAGGCAGGATTGGCTAAGAAATCTCCAAAAAAATTCATGGTCTCTGGTGCGGAGATAAAAGTCATATGTGCCAAAGCCAGAGATGTTTTCATGAGACAGCCAACCTTATTGGAACTTGCTGCTCCTGTGAAAATCGTTGGAGATATTCATGGTCAATTCAACGATCTCATTCGCATTTTCAAGCTATGTGGTTTTCCGCCAAATGCTAACTACTTATTTTTAGGTGACTACGTTGACAGGGGTAAACAATCTCTAGAAACTATCATTCTTCTTCTGTGTCTGAAAATCAAGTATCCGGAGAACTTTTTCATGTTGAGAGGAAATCACGAAAGTGCGAACATTACCAAAATGTATGGCTTTTACGACGAGTGCAAACGTAGGGCGAATTTGAAAGTGTGGAAATATCTTGTCGATGTTTTCAACACACTTCCTGTTGCTGCTACGATCGCAGATCGTATTTTCTGTGTTCATGGGGGGCTATCTCCTCAACTGACGGATCTGAACCAAATCAAAAGAATTCAACGACCTACAGACGTTCCAGAATTTGGATTACTAGCAGACCTTTTGTGGTCTGATCCGCAAGACCCCAGGCAGAGTTCCTCGAAAGTTTCTCTTTCTGTGAGTGGAGATTGGTGTGATAATGATCGTGGCGTTTCATACTGTTTCAGTCGAAAGGTTGTTCAGAAATTTTGCGACCATTTCCAGTTTGATTTGGTTGCCAGAGGCCACATGGTAGTTGAAGAAGGTTACGAATTTTATTCTAAACGGAAACTCGTCACCATTTTTTCGGCCCCAAATTATTGTGGTGAATTCGACAATTGGGGTGCTGTGATGAACGTCAACAAAAAGCTCATGTGCTCATTTGAACTACTCAAACCTTTTTCCGTCAAAAGTAAGAAGTAAGATCAATACTTATGAGTGTGATTCACCTTTTTATTGTGAATATTGATTGACATTACGACTGCGAGTTTGCATTTACATCCATGTTCACGTTTCTACATCTGCGTTTTAACGAGTACACATTTTTTCCTTCGCCAGTTTATAGTCTGATTTTAATTAAACGCTTTAAGTTAGTTATCTCAAGCAATCTATTTGTTATGGAAATGGTTATGGTTTTTTTTGCTCCCTCCACATTTGCATATCACGTCAGAAGGTATAACCTTGAGTATTCCATTATCTTGGAGTTTAATTGGATGTGGTCCATCTATGGTACACAGGGAATCGAGAGTCACCACGGATGCCGCTCTAGACATTCCTGTAGATTTCAGGTCTGGTGAAATTTCTGTTTGAGGGGTGACTTCATGTTGGCTATCGCTACCATCATCTTTCTCATCTTGAGCGTTTGTTCGGTCATTAAGTGAAAGTGTACCAATAGCTGGGTTTTCTCCATCGTATTTTGAATGAACAGAAATAGTCAAAGGAGAATCAGGAGAATTCAAAGATGAGGATGATGAATTTTGTTTTCTTTCCTCTAAATGATCGTGTTTTGGCGATTCGTTGGCGACAGCTATATCCACCATGGATGTAAGAGGTTTTTTGGACTTGCCTACATCAAGCATACTCGACGTGCGAGCCACCGATTGAATAGTTGACGCTCTGGACCTAGCAGAAGCTAGGGAGCTCATATTGGAGGAATTTTTGAGAGCCGATGCTGATGCATGGGAAATAGAATGTGAAGAGTCAAGGGAAGATGCCGAAGAGCTATTGTGGCCATACTCAAACTTGCCTTTGAAGTTTGAGTCTGGGTGATGGAAAAAATTGCATTCATACTCATTTTCATCGATGCACATCTCAGCTTGTTGGAATGTTGGATCATTGAAAAGGTCATAAAGAGTGTATCTGGTCGATGCTTGGGGGTCTGCTAGACGCCAAGCAACTCTAGCAACGCCCGGATCGGGAAATCTTTTGGCAAATCGTGACTCGATCGCGGGACATTTAGTATAGTCATTCTTCCTGAAGGAAGGAACTTTGGAGCACAACTGAGAGTAAGAAATCTCATAATCTCTATACTGAGGACAAGTTTTTCTTGAGCTTTCTGCGAACGGTGTACCGCCGTAGAAGAGAACGAAAAGCAGCAATCCTAATCCCCAATGATCCATCTTGAAAGGGTTATAAGGAGTTCTTTTGGATATGGGCACATCGTGCAGTGCTTCAACTTCTGGAGGCTGATAAGGGGGCGATCCAACGAGCTGTGTACTATATTTGATGTCTGAGCTAAAATCACCAGGAATTTGGTGTCCATAATCAGAAACACCAAAATCTGTGAGTTTAACACAGCCATCAGCAGTTAGCAAAATGTTTTCTGGCTTGATATCCCGATGGACAATGTCACACTCATGCATATACTTGATACCGTAAGCAGTTTGTTTGAAGAGACACAATTTTTCTGCTGGTGTTGTGAAGGACCAGTTGGGGGACGTCATAACCGTAAAAAGGTCTGCTTTACATAGCTCAAGAACAAAACCCCAACCTCTTGTCAGGTTTTGTTGGTGAGGAATTCTGATAAGTGCATAGCATTTCACGATGTGGAGGCCATTGAAGAGGTTTCTATGAATGATGTATTCTTTAGACGCACGCTGGTAAAACTCGCTAGGTGTTTCACCCTTGAACAACACAAACTTCTTTAATGCATACACTTCTTTCGGCTTGTTAATTTTATGGATTTTTCTAACTGATGAGGAAGCTCCTGTTCCTATATTGCCCGGCTCGTCCTTTGGAAACTGATATTCATCAAATAAAACTTGATGTTCTAGCTTAAATTCATCAGGAAGGTGGTCATTGGGCATATCCACAGGGTATGGTAGCACATTTGTATCGTCATCGACTGCATCAAAAGTGCGAGACTTTTTTGATTGAGACGACGAGTTGCTGAATTGGAGACCACTATTGTTTATCCCAAAAGGATTAAACTCAAGTTTCTGGGGTTTGCTAGGTTTGTATTCATCCACAGAAGGGAGTCCCAATTTAGCGGTCGGTCTGGGAATTGTGGTATCTCTTGGCGATGCAATAACGTTGCCGGATGTGCCCAAAAGATCGTTCATATTCTTATTCGACTTCGATATAATAGAATGGCCCAGGCTTGTATTGGATTTCGTCAACTTGCCCTTCGGTCCATAACTGTCAGATGAACTGCGTATTTGAGGAGGTTCTACGACATGTGAATGGCTTGGTTTCAAATGTCTCAAAATATTATGCGATTTGTCCCTGGACTTTAAATGATCGGCTTGACCGTTATTCTTTGGTAGCTGAACATCATGTTCGTGGTGCTTATTGAATGTCTTATTTTGCAACTTCTTAAAGAAGTTATTTGTCTTTGACCCAGTAGAACTGGTCGACTCGCTGTCAGTCGACGAGGATGGCATGGCCAAAGTAATCTTTCTCCAGAAGTCGGCTTTTTCGCGAACAAATTATGGTACTTTGAATACCAAAAGCCTTATATCCGGAGACAGCAGCTGCTGAAGCTTGATGAAAAAATCCTTTAGTGGTAAGGTACTGCGTTAATGCCAGAGTAGTCAATACACCGAGAAGTGTCTCTATTTATTTTTCCAACAATATTTTTCTCTGCACGCCGCATATACAAACTTACAGCATGCGGGCGGGGTTTGGGGGAGTTATTGGCATTTTTGGAGCAGACAATTTCTATGGTGACCGGAAAAACATTGCGGTTTGCCTGCAGCAGAGATTCTGTTTGATTAATCCACATGTTACTACAAGATTAATAATCCACTTGTGTAAAACGGCCTTGCACGGAAATATTACCCTACGATACTTGAAGTAGACAGCGTCCCCAGATTCCTCCTGTAAAGAGTACTCACTCGGAAGGTTCAGATCACAGGTCAGGGGATGTCAGTCAGTCTCTCGAACTGAAGTGTTATTTTATGTATTATGAAGATATGTTGAGTATCAGCCACCAAGAGTCATGGCTCAGCTACCGAAATCAAAAGTGTCAGTTTTGGGTACACGGCCAAGGTGCGAAAGCTTCATTATTTCCGCTGCTTTTCTTGAAAAAGAGGTCAATCAGGAGTTTGACCATAGACAGCCCAGAATTACCCAAGTTCTCCGTAAAATAGTTGCAATTTGGCCTTATGATCACAATTTTTGGGAGTCTCATGACAACCTTTCATCTGGCTAAATATGAAGAAGACTGTTTCCGAAAGATACATTCATTCCGTTTGATTTGCTTCGGGGCAGAGTAAAAAACACAGATCAAGCAGACTGGTTATGAATTCAGTATAGCTCTCACGGTATAATCGACTTCACATTGATCACATGAAATAATTCGTCTCGAGCACATTACTTTAGTTGTTACATCTGCACTTGAGCTGCTCCATATTGGACTTCATGGATGCCAATCTTGGGATTAGCAACGTTTCATTATTAATAGTCAAAGAGCAGCTGCTCCAGCAGCAAGATCAACAGTTTTGTTATTATGTAACATAGAAGGGAAGCGTTTGGACGTCACTGCAAGAGGGACTTTCCGTTCGTATGGTTTTCACCTCTTCAGTTCATTCAGTCTTGCTTGCAAATCATCATCAAGCCCACCGTCAGCACCGACAGCCATTGCTTGATTTTTCGATCCAGTATTTGTCTCTGCAGAAGCATGCCCAATGCCCTCGGGTACACTGTCTAAGAGCTTTGTGTTTAAGTCAGTTCCCATTTCATCCAGAACTTTGCCGACAACCTCGTCAATCTCCTCTTCATCGTCCACGTCGATTTCGTCGTCCATTAGGTCGTCCATAACGTCGTCTACCATCTCTTGTTTTTGGTCCATTATATCCATAGATTTCTGAAATTCCATTGTGATTCTAGACAATCCTTGAATGTTCATTTGGCCATTCATACCATTTAACAAACGGGCTGCATCCTTCATGGAACTAGTCATCTGGTTAGATGACCTCATAGTTTGTAATCTGAGTGAAATCGCTTGTAATTGTGTTTTCATCTTATCAAACTTCTCCACTTGTTTTCTTGTTCTTATCAAGTCTCGAGCCTGGACCTTGATGGCTTTCATTTGGTTGGCCCTTGCAGACTTTTTGATATCTTGTATCAACTTTTTTTCTTGTTGCTGTAGCTTCACTTTTTCTCTTTCTAGTTCTCTCTGAGTTCTCTCTAACTGTCTTTGGTTTTTTCTCATTTGCTCCTGAGGCGTGAGCCTCTTACCAAAAAGCCAGTTAAACATACCACTAGAACTAGAAAGAGTCTGAATTTAATTCCTATCTGTGTTTTGTGCACACCTTTGACAGGCTGTGTAAAGATGCCAGAAGAACGAGCTCAAAATTTTTAGACGTACCGATCTTTTAAAAGAAATGCTCTACGAGTTAGCCGCTATTGCGAGAGTGGCTAACCCTTTAGCTGCACATGTTGAGGCAAAAGAGTATGTGTGATTTCGAATCTTATATCTAACGTATAGATTGGCTACAACGTTGGGAAAGATGATCATAAGAAATAACGGTGTCGTCCGAGAAGTTATTGGATTGGGACTCAAGCCCTTACCCAAGATTTTCAAGAAAGCAGGCGAAAGACATTTCCAGGGGTCTCATTTTGTAATCCTATTTGACTCCTCCAGTGCTGTCCAGCGTGAAATTCTAAGATCCCTGAAAAATGATCCAAGAGTTATCAGATCGTTTCTGACTAAAGTGGACGACTCCAAAAATTACAACGCTGGCTCGTCAGTGACGAGAGCTATCAAGGCTATTAAAGAACATGGGTACGAGAAATCTATTCCACTATAGCTCAAAGATCGTGTACATACTTGAAAATGAGAATGGATTTGCTTGAATATGTAAGAGACAGATTATGCTAGTCAATGACATTCTCAATGTCATAGTACAATTTCTTTTTTTCAGCGCCAGTAACGGCTCTTGAGTGAGAGCCATGCTGAGGTTTTGCATGTAGAGCAAGTTTAGGCTCTTGTTTTTCGAAACGATGCGATAGATCTTGAATATAAACCGGCTTTGAGGGGCTCACCAACGCGTTCAGCAACGGATTGTTGAGCGAGCGATAAAGCGAAAATTTCGTACTAGGTTCTTCCACGATGGAAGAGCTTGATGAAAATGCAGTGGAGCGCGGAGATAATTCCTTTTGCTTTCTGTCCGTGACTTTTATATCAGAAGATTCCATAACACCTCTGATGTCTTCTTCAATGGATCTGGCTTCTTCGAAAGCATGCATCAAGAAAGGAAGCTTTTCTGTAAGAGTAGTCTTATGCAATGAAGAGTTGTGTGCCGCATGGAAGCTACGAAATCTCTCGGTTTTGGCCCGTTTCAAATAATCTGCCTTTTCTGGATTTTCATCATCACCGCATAAGGTCTCAGACATAGTTATCGAGGAGGAAGCTGGAGAATCGGGTCTTTCGCCCAGCTCATCCGAGGTAGATTCAGGCGATGACAGCAATCTTTCTCGTTGACGTGACAGTCTGTCTAACTTCATGGCCTCAAACATTTTCTCCACTTCAGCAACAATGGAGATACATTCCATAGCCCCTATTGTGTCACCAGTGCTGATACAGTCATTGATTTGTTGAAGTAAATTGTTGATAAAATGTTTGTAGTTGATAACTGTTTCCTCCGTTATATCGCCATACTTGCGGTCCTCCTCTTCGTAGATAAGATTTTCAAGATCTATCCCTATGTTAACCAGTTTTGCTTTCGAGTAATGAATAGAGACCTGGTCAATTAAGCCGGATCTCAATTTCATCACTCTCAACATCAACTCGGTTAAAATTGTCCCAGGATCACTGATCCGCTGCAAGGGAGTCATAAATCGTGCTCCTGCATTGACTTCGTCTATTTCTATTCCAAGCTGCTGCAAGTTTTTATGTAATTCCAAACAATTATTGGCGACTTTTCGAGCGAGCCTGGAATTAAAGGTACGCTTCCTTTGATCCTCTTCATCAAGAATCAACGACTGAGAAAGCTTGAATTCCAGAGTTTGAAATTCCCAATTATAGATATTGAGCTCGATTGTTTCTAGATCCTTGAGAATTTCGAATGATTGTATACACCAAGTTTTGATCTCATGGTCATTTATGCTGTTTATGTGCCGGATCAACTCGCTCGACTTGCATTTGTCCTTGTTCAGTTCGGTGTCTTTCAAAAGTTGAATCAAAGGATCTATGTATGGCGCTAAGGTTTCCATTTTGTACAAAAAAAGGGCCCTATAGTCACAAAAGTTTTATTTATCCTTCCACCTGTTAAAGTGGTGTGCTTCCTACCATACTTTTTTTCCACCCCACATCAGATCAAGAAAGATGGCTGTGTAAGAGCAAAAAAGGATAAATGACTAGATCACTCACTCTTGCCTGCAGTAAGAAACTACTTATTGCTATATTGATTGCAGCGGATCATGCTACTTACAACTATGCCATTAACGGCAACGGTAGATTGAAGGGATAAATTTGGGTTTGGCTATATGCCACTTTTTGAAATATAGCGCCCCCGGAATTGTTTTTTGTCTCCGGAAGATAAACGAAAAGCTGCATATTTAATTATTTTGCCTTCCATTAGCTTTTGCAATAATAAGATCCACATGAATGCAGCCAGAGTAACCCAACCAATAGCTAACCAGGAAAAGGGAAGACCACATGTCAGTTCCTGGGACTCGTTCAAGCTGTATTGGTCGTTCAAACCTCTCAGCTACTATGAAAACCAGATTTTGTCGTTCTTGCCCTTTTATCCCAATCCCACCGACAAGAAACGTGCTGAGATTATCAACACAGTGATAGACGACAAAAACAATTACATTCACGAATTATTGGTAGAAAATACCGAGAAAATCGATGGCAATGAACCGCTAGACATCGTTTTAGTACATGGTTATGGCGCGGCATTGGGATTTTTCTATGCTAATTTTGATGGACTAACAAAACTCCCAGGGACGAGGTTGCACGCAATTGATCTCCCCGGCTTTGGTTTATCAAGTAGGCCACCATTTCCGGACCTGAAGGGTGATACTGCGGACGATGTAATGAAAAGTGAGGACTTTTTCATTGATGCCATTGAAAAATGGAGAATAGCAAAGGGGCTCGGGCAATTCATATTAATTGGGCATTCGCTTGGAGGATACCTGTCTTGCTGTTACTACATGAAGTATGGAAAAGGCATTGTAACCAAGATGGTTCTAGTATCGCCAGTCGGTATTGAACGGTCTGAGCTCTCATTTTACGTGACAAAGGAGCACGCTCTTACGATAGACAAGGAGACGGAATTGGCCAGAAGAGAGGGTATCGACTTAACAAACGAATTTACTGATCATCAAGTTGACCCAACGCAAGAGGAAGAGCTCGATGACACCAACGACGTAGTTTCTATCACATCCAACTCGGGTGACACAGATACTTCCAGTTTGATGACCCAAGTTAGAAGAGCTCCTCAAATTGGCAAGTTGTTTACGCGCCTCTGGGAAAGAAATTACTCCCCATTTCAAATTTTGAGGCTGTTCGGACCTTTTGCAGGAAAGTTAGTTTCAGGATGGACGTTCAATCGATTTTCTCATCTACAAGACCCGGAGACTCTCTTCAAGATAAATGCATATACTACCAAAACAATGCTTGCGAGTGGTTCCGGAGAATTTGCTCTCACTAGGTTACTTGCCCCAGGAGCTGTCGCAAAGCTTCCAATATCTGAAAGATTGCCTGATAAAATTAAGATTAGATCGTTGTGGCTATACGGTGATGTTGACTGGATGAGCAAAGAAGGGGGTTACGAGATCGTGAAAGAAATAAATGAAAAAAACAAGGACGAGCAGAATGCAAAGGCAAAATTCAGAATTGTAAAGAACGCTGGTCATCACGTCTATCTGGACAATGCTGCCGATTTTGAGTATCAGGTGCTGAAATTTATAAAACAATAGTGAAAACAAACAGAAAATTAAAAAACAAGCCCGACGCGGGGCTCGAACCCGCAGCCTTGTGATTAAGAGTCACACGCTCTACCGATTGAGCTAGCCAGGCTTTGTTGTCTTCACGTACTACCAAATCAGTTCTCTAACAATGAGTTCAAAGTGACACCGCCTGAATGAAGTTTGTAATTAGTTTTTCGCCGATGTCGAAAATTTAATACAGGATTATATTCAACATTCGCCATGCTGTCGTTGAGAAGATCTCGTCACATCACGAACCAAATGATCCTCACGAGGTCTTATGCGTCATTGGGAAGACCTAAGATTGCAAGCGTTCTTCCAGCACGCCCTACAAAGAAAATTAGGGTTGGAAAAGCGAGACCGGCCATATATCACAAATTTGACACCTTGGTTGAACTCTCGGACGGATCCGTCATCACCCGTCGCACACAGATACCCAAAGAAGAGACAAGAATGATTATTGACCAGAGAACAAACCCACTGTGGAATCCATCCAAGCCAGATATGTCGCAACTTGATGCCGAGAATAATGGAAGAATGAGCAAATTCAAGAGCAGGTTCTCGCAATTTGAACATTCTGGTAAGACAGAGGAGGAGGTTAAGGCCGAACAAGAAGCTTTGGAGAAAGAAAGGAGGCAAAGAATTTTGACTGGTACTGGAGTCAAGCTCGACGAGACACTTGCAGATGATTATGTTAGTGTGTTGGGAGATAATTACGTTGCCCCGAAGCTCGGGGGAAAAGTTGCTCGAAAGGAAAAGGGAAGCAAGAAACGTTGACATAAGTGTATATAGTGCAATCATCTTTTCTTGCCCATGACTTTGAATCCTAGAACAATGTCATCAAAAATGTAATTCTCTGAGTTAAGAATCCGGTGAACCAGGTTCCTTAACCTTGGTACTCCTCCACTACTATGGAAACCCCTTCCTGTGATGATATCCAAATACCCCACATACATGGCCTTTTTTCCGCGCAAATTGGTTCCATCGAGAATTCTCTGTTCCATTTCGAATTTCCACCAAGATTTCAAAACCTGTTGTACGCAGTGTTCAGCTTCTGAGACTAACAACCCATGCAAATCCAACTTATTCGTTTTGAGTGCATCATCTATGATTTCTTGAAGGGGATCGGACGGTCCACCGAGCGAAATGGAAGAAGAAAGCGAAGAGGATGGCAGTGGCTTTGACGTGGGCATGGACTTGGGGCTAGAACCAGGGTTCTGCATCCAAGTAGCCAGTTGTATAGTTCGGTGTACATCACCCCCAAAATACTCCAAACAGTCAAGATAAAAGCGTTTTTCTAGATTGTTGAGATAAGGATTTGTTCGTTTAGACTCCAATATCACGGCCAGCTGTTTGCTATACTTGCTTGCAAGCTGACTGTCAGTCAGATTCCAGCCCAGCTGGATGATTTCACGCACCGTTTTCTTGATATCTTTCGTTTTCTGATATTTGGATTTCACGCGATCCAGAGAGCACGAGAGCAAGCTACTCAGAACAGATAAACGAGGGTCAGACTGGGGAGACTTTACATCGGGCTTTGTATGATTGACCTTTGGCTTGGACGGTTTCGATATCACAGCAGAAGGCCTATGTTCACTATTCTTTGGATGTGTCAGCGCTTCATAGCTCAACAATTCTTCTGCTACCTTTTCCAAATCACCTTTGTTGTCCTCCACAGCCTTTTGGATAGCTTCGAAGGGCACATCTGGAAACATCTCCGCTGCCTGGAGAGACTTTGTAAATGAAGTAGACATGAGTGAAGAGGTCTTTGTAGGCGATGCTGAGTTGTCTGCTATATGAGATCTAATAACATTTATTAAAGTTCGATAAATATATCAGCTTTAAATAAATAAATATGGTTTTCTTTGAAATTAAAACCGTATCGCCCATAGGAAAAAATTAAGTTGTAAATTTTGTGACATCGGGCTTATCACTTGCAAAAGAAGCATAATTAAGGCGTGCGTCTTGGATGAGTGTGTCGACTAGTGATTCTGGACGGTTGGTTTTACCTGCAGTTGTCATTCAGTATGCGGATGGGACCAGCCAAAATCTGATCATCGAGGTTGGTCCGGCCAACAGCAATAACACAAACCAGGCTCAAGAAACAGCAGCGAGGTCTCCAGAGCACCCTCAAGAGGACAACCTTTCTGCTGAAAATGCAGAACAGCCTTCTGAGTCTTCTGGAATTCGTGGAGTTGACTATCCAGCATTCGACGTTTCCAACGAAGGGGTTTACCGTGAACAGCATATAGCCAACAATTTGCTTGACAATTTGATATCCCCGTTTTATCGGTCTTTGGGCGGAAATAACTCAGCATCTCAACAGACCAATAGTATCTCGGTGCCGTTCTATAGAAACCTGACCCCAGCATCAGAACCATCCCGGAACATTATTCTTACTGTTAACTATATTTATGGGCAGCCAAACCCGCTGCAACCTAGTGAGAACAACAACAGTTTGTCGGGATCTCTTATTCTGCATGTGCCTAACATCAATGAAAGTGATGATGAAAACCTACAAGTTTTAATCCGACTGGCAACTACCATTGCATTAAGGACCATTGCGACGTCGGTTAAAAAGGCATCAGGAATTTCTGCAGAGCAGTTCGATAAGCTAGAGGTTAGAAAAATAGCCGACTTGAAGGAGAAGCAATGTGCAATTTGTTACGACGATTATGAAGATGATAATCCCGAGGCTATAAACCAAATCGGCCAGAAACGCAAAAGAGCAGAAGATGAGACCGATGAAACAGGCGAGCATCAACCAAAGAAAATGCGTAAAATGGCGAACGAAATAAAATCGCAAAGCGGGACTACAGACATGGCTAAGAAGGAAGTGGTCTACAATCATGCTCCTGTAGAAATGCCGTGTGGCCATGTTTTTGGCAGAGGTTGCCTTCGAGAATGGCTGAAAACCAATAATAGCTGCCCACTTTGCAGACACAGTATGCTCCACGGCAATGAGTCGTCTGCTACGAGAAACTCAAATTCGGAAAACGAAACTACCATCATTCTGCCTAATTTGGCCAGAGTGATTAGCGAGATCCGGCCTTTGATTGAGGGCTTCAACTCGAGACACCTTACCTTTGTCATGCCTGACCAACATAGCGTTGAGCCTTCGGGGGCAATTCCTGTTCCTCTACCCACGCCTGTCACACCACAGGAGTCCGTTGACTCTCGCTCATCGTCAACAAATCATTCCAGCGTTCTTGGTCTGGTTCGAGGGCTGCTTCAAAACTTGAATGGCAGGCTACGCAACCCAGTACGGGTCAACGAAGATGAACCGTCCAACTTAATCAACCAAGAGTTTTTACAGAGAATGCCTACCATCAGGACAAATCAGCAAGGAGCTCCATTGAACCATTCATCTTTTCTGCGAAGAAGAAGACGGGTCCTTCAGCCTCGTCGTGTTCTCAGATCTACCGGACTATCTTCACAGCAGTTTGTAAACAGGGATCCGCTTTTCCCAGTTGGTGTGGCCAGTCGTCGTACAAGCGACGGCGTGCGCACATCCACTCTATTTTCAAACTCCAACGAGGACGACGACCCGCCTGTTGCCGAGAGAGAGACTGATACTTGATAGTTTGTAACAGTTGCATCAGTTTATTAGTAGCTATTAGCCTGAAAGTGCACCCTCGCACCACGGTGATAAATATTTTCAGACTCTAAATGATCAAATTGTCTTGTCTTGAGCACCAATTGGGCATATTGCATTATTGATGGCTTTGTTGGAGACGATCCAACGTAAGATTAATAAGTATGGGATACTTCCCAAGCTTGTGCGGTCTTTACCCCAGGTGTCTTCTCTCCTAGCGTTATTGGGTGTGATATGGATCCTCATCTTGCCACTGGATGGCCAGTTCCGGACCACATACATTTCAGAGAACGCCCTTATGCCGTCACAGGCGTACTCATTTTTTAGAGAGTCGGAGTGGAATTTCGTGAGAGGCTACAGAGATCAGATCATTGAGCACATCGATGATCCAATGGAAGACAGGCACGAGATGCTGTCTTCCTGGATGAAGACTATTGGCTACAAGACGTTTGATTACAGGTCCCATAATGGTTCAAGGACTACGTACGGCATATACCATGTTCCAAAGGGGGATGATACCGAGGCAATGGTGATCGTCGCACCCTGGATGACCAGCGATGGAGAGAAAAATATTGGGGGATTAGCCCTGACCATGGGGCTAATTCGGTACTTCCACAGGCTATCGATCTGGTCAAAGAATATCATTGTGGTATTCCCAGAGGATGGCCAGGATACTTTGAGGAATTGGGTAGATGCTTATCATACTACATTGGACGAAACCGGAGGATCCATGGAGAGTGCTATTGTGATTGAATATCCTTCTGAAAGCGATGAACTGGATTACGTCGAGGTAAACTACGTGGGAGTCAATGGCCAGCTGCCAAATTTGGACCTCGTCAATTGTGCCGTGATGATCAGCGAGCATGAGGGTTTCAAGGTGTCCTTGCACAATACACCAAAAGGCCAACTTTGGGCTAACGATTACCCTTCTAGACTCACCACATTATTCAAAGGGCTATTTGCCATGGCAACTGCCGGTCTGTTGCCCGAGACAGGAGGGGGAAACGGCTGCGAAGCTTTCAGCGGATGGAATGTCCAAACCTTAGCTTTCAAAGCTAGGGGCACAGAGGGACGCGATATCACAACCTTGGGAAGAGTTATTGAGGCCTGTTTCCGTGCGGTCAACAATTTGCTGGAAAAGTTCCATCAGTCATTTTTCTTTTATCTGCTGCTTACTCCTAATCACTTTGTCTCCATTGGAAACTACCTTCCGGCAGCGGTGTTGACAGCAGCCAGCTTTGTCATATCTTCAGTAAGTGCGTTGCTCACAAATAACAATGTGAACAACAAGCACGTTAGTTTCAACGATGCCGTTGTCAGGGTGGATACGCTTCCTCTAATAAATGGGCTGCTGCTATTCGCTGCTGTCACGGTCGGCTCAATAATTTTTGGAACGGTGTTGATGTGGTTTTCTTCAGCCGTGTCTTTTGCAGACAACAACAATCTGTACACTAAGTTTACTTGGGGGCTGATTTTGACAACTACTGCTGTGTCATTTCTTCCTCTGGTTCTTAGATACAAATCGCAACCTTCTGCGGCAATTTCACAGACAGTGAGAATAGCCAATGCTTGCTCGCTTTTTTACCTCGCTTTTGCGCTGGTGAGTCTTCTTGTGCTACACTTCTCTCTCTCACTCCTCATATCTCTCGCAGCATTCCCTCTTACCCTTATCAGATACGGAACTTTGAGTCAGAACCGCAAGAACAGCATATGGCTGATTTTATCATCGCCATTTTTATGGTTGGCAGTTGTCGGAGTGGCTCGCAAGTTGGATTTTCAGCTAGACATTGTTAGAAATCTAATCCAGTATTTTTCGGTGTCCCTGCTCAAAAGCGAGCTGCAAACAAAAGTTTTTGATACCGACTGGACCAACCCCGTATTTCTCCAGAAGCTGCTACAAGGGCCCGTAGAGATTTTCTACGGACTGCTCACTGGCTACAGGAGGTTCCAGACATGGACATGGATGGTTATCAGCTTTGCATGGTTTCCTGTATGGATCATGTCTCTGATTATCACCTGCATCGATGTGCAAACTGGAGACTTTGAGAAGAAAAAAGTGAATTAGATATATCAATACATCTCCATTACATGATCTATAATTACTGGTGTTCCCTCATGAACTTCGCGTGGAACTTTTTCCAGTCTTCTATCCATTCTGTTCCTGGGGCCAAGAAAGTGGTTCTGACATGCCAAGTGCCTTCGACTTGTCCGAACCCAGAACCAGGAACCGCACAAATACCTGTATTCTCCAAAAGCTGACCACAGTAGTACTCGTCTGGCTCCATACCTACCTTGGCAGCCTCCTCAAAGACCTTCTTGGTTAGAGTCAGTCTAGGGAACAGATACATGGCACCTTCCGGCTTTTGGCAGGCCACACCTTCCATTGTGTTGAAAGCCTCGTACAGCAGGGAAGATCTCTCCTTCAAAGCCTCATGAATAGCATCTCTTTCCTGTTTATAAAGTGGGTAAGACTCCTGGCCTTCGCTGGGAGGGTTAATCATCAGCTCGACCAAAGCCTGGCCTGAAACTGGAGGGCACAATGAGATGGAGGCCAGTTTCAACAGCTGCGCACGAACCGAGTCCTCAAAGCCCACCAGCTCCATGTATCCACCTCTCTGACCACATTCTCCAGAAATCCCCTTGGAGGTGGAGTGGAGCGAAGCGAGCTGGACGTCATCAAACTTGCCCGAGCCGTCGGCTTCTTGCAACTGCTTGAGAACCTTTTTGACCGAAACGAACTGGCCATGAAAGATATTTTCCTGGTAGACCTCATCTGCAATAACAACCAGGCCATATTGGGCGGCAACTGCCAGTAAATCAGCAATGGCCTCTGGTTTCAAGATAGCTCCTGTTGGGTTACCAGGATTGATCAGAACCAGACAGCGGGCCTCGACGCCCTGGGCCTTAGCGTCCTCGATGATTTTTACAAGGTCCTGGGCGTTGATGGACCAGTCGTCTTTTTCGTTGAGGTAGTATGGAAGTGCAGTGGAATTGTTCAGAGCCAGGGACGCAGTGTAGAGAGGATACTGTGGGATAGGAATCAGGAATCCCGTTTGAGGGCCCAGAGAAAGCAGACTCAGCAGGTAAGAAACGGCAGTCGAGGCGCCAGCAGTGAGGAAAATGTCGTCTGGCGAACTTTCGTAGCCGTCTCTCACGGAAATAAAGTCCGCGACTCGCTGTCTGATGTAAGGCACACCTTGAGAGTGCGAATACGCACCAACAGAACCAATATTGTCCAGCAGGGTTCTAGCACGCTCAATCAGGTCCTTTGGCAGAGCATCGACCACAGGTTGATGGTTCATCAATTCAGGATACTGCAACAGAGCCAGCACCTGTCTGTAGAAGGTGAGGGGTTTCTGGTCCAGCTGCTGAGGGTTTCCAATATTGGCATTAATGATTTTGTTGAAGGGCAACGAGTGAGACTTATTGGCCAGTTGGTTTCTCAACTCTTCCGCCTTGGTGGGGATTCTTCCACGAACAGCATACTTAGCGTTGAGAGCATGAGGGTTTAGGTCTGAAGCGGTCAACCGCGAGGCAGGCACAAAAGAGGAACTGACTTGTTTTTTGAAGACACTGTCGGCAGCAGGCATGGCAAAATGCTTGCTGAAATTACGAGTTCCCAACTTTCGGAAGCGAAGCATGTTAAATACGGAATCGATGACTAGAAATTTTGCGCATAATTTTTTTTTTTGGGCTGTCGGAACGACATTCTGATAAATGACCTTTTTGGAAGTTTGCGCGGGGGTCGACCAAAATAGAATTAACCTAGTTAGCTAAAAACCGGTTCTCTACACAGAGCTCAGTTGTTCTTTTTGCCGAACTTGGGCAGATTGATAGGCTTGATGGTCACGTAAGAGTTGCCCTCGTCAAACACACCGGCTGCGGCGTTGTACCATGCGATGAAAGCGGTGATCACTCCAAACACACCCCCTGCAGTAATACATCCGGATGACGGAGCCAAGTGGCCAACAGCGAGCAGCAAGAATGTGAGGTCCAGAAACGCAAAGAGTGAGAAAAACGCGACGGTGGATTTCATGGTGCAAAGCACCAACATAAAGGTGAAAATGGTCCAGCCCAATAGGTAGAAGCCGAGCGCGTTGTTCAGTTCCGTTTCATCGGTATACGAGTCGGCGATATGGAAGAATGGGATGGTTATGGCTGCGTAGCTCATCCAAAATCCACCATACGACGACAATGCCAGTCCACCGAACGTGTTCTGCAGGGCCAACTCCCACATTCCTGCAAGTAGCTGGACTAAACCTCCGTAGAAGGCGGCGAGACCCACCACCACGCTGGAGTTGGAAACACCCATAGCGCCGGCATTGATCATCGACAGAACAAACGTCGTCAGGGCGAAAGCGGACAGCCCTAGAGGCGCTGGATTGGCAAACTTGTGGACGCTTGGAGGAGCATATCCCGGTTGCAAAGTACCACCAAACGCGCTCACGAGATCGCTTTTCAGGTACTTGCGGCCACCCAGCCAAAGGTACTTGCCATCGTCAGAGTGAACCACGGGCTGAATTCCTTCTTCCTGGACTGCGGTAGGTTGAGAGTGGGACGATCCCACTTGGTCGTCACCTATTTGTTTTTCGACGTCCTCGTTAAATTGTGACATATGTGTCAAAGTGTGCAAAAGCCCGGGAATCCTCCTCGGTATTTATAAGGGCCATTCCTTTGCCAGTGTGAGAACTTACAAATGCCTTTTCTGCATTGTCCTAGGAGTCACGCACTTGCAACAAAAAAAGTACGTGTGGGGTTAAGCCCTCAGACAGGGTCCATGATAATTATTGCCGTGGCCCGATTTGGTCTTAGTGGGCCAGAAAATCTGCAGCTTTTGTGGGGCTGCCAGGTGCAGCATTCAGTACAGCACAGAATGCCGATTAGTAGACCCCCTTGCTATGGACATGTTTTGCGCAGATTTGGTGCTCTCACCACTTACCCCACCTGAAAGAGACCCTTGTTCCTTGAGCTTTCGTCTGTTGTGCTTCAGTAGTGCCTCCATAAGACTGTTGAGATCAATAAGTTCGCCCAGAAGGAATCTCTTCACATGGAACTTAATCCGGTAATTCTCCAGCACCTCAATAATCAATTTCATCACCACCGGCTCCGACTCGAATAATTTTGGGTGACCGGACTTCAACCGATTTAGGTTCCCCACAGCTTTTCCCTGGTTGACGGGAAGAAGTAGCAGATTTCTGTATATTTGCTTGAGGGCCTGGTATTCTTTGGTGAGGTTTGCGGAGTGGGAGGAGGGGCCGGGTCCCGTTGCACCGCCAACCCCACTGGGCGAGTCGGTTCTTTTTAATAGCTTCTCTCTACCATGGAATGGCAGGTAGTCCTGGTCCATGATCCTGTCGAACTCTTGCATTGTTGTCGAGCTTGGGATTCTGCTCAGGTCTGCAAGGACGTCCTCGTGCGGGTCCAGGTCCACCAAGCTCTCGAGCTTTTTCGGCAGACACAACCCCAGATAACCGTTCGAGGCAGTTTTTGTGAACCACCCCACGTCATCCAGCATCTCGGAGCCGAGGTCTGTTTGGGCAATCAGGCCCAGAACGAAAAAACATGTACCTCGGACCGACGCGTTCAGCGATTTGACACAAATCGAGACAATCTCGTTCACGACGCCCGTCATATCTAAAAGACGCACCCCGTGGTCCGACGATCCTATGTGGCCGATTGCCCACAGCACAGACTTCAGGTCGGTCACGTAATCCTCTTGCTCACTGCACGGCGTATTGTAATAGAACTCCGACTCCTGACCTGTCTCGATTAGATTCGCATACGAGTTGACCACGCGCGAGAACGACTCGAAAGTTCCAGTGACCTCAAACAACCGCAGTCCGTCACTTGTCCTCACCAACCCGCCGAAAAAGTGGTACGGCAGCTCGCTGGGGGCCTTCTCGTTGAAAAACTTCTGTGCCAGATACGACTCTATGTGCTGCACGTAGTGCCTGTTCTTGGACTGGATCCAGGCCTCCATCTCCTCGTTGACAAAGTCGTACTCCTGCAAATACTCGAACCCGGGCCGCGTAGCCAGAATCTTTAGCATCAAGTTGATGCCACTCGGCGTTTCCAAAACACCGATCGACGGCCGGTACTTGATGATCTCCAGCACTTTTTCCTCGTCTTTGGCGAAAGAAGTTAGCAACTCCACAGAAACCTGTCTGATATTCTCGTCCGGATCACATAGCTGGCCAACCAGCACACGACACGCAAAACTTTCGCTCTCCTCATTCTCCAACAAACTCCCCAGCAGTCGGACGGAAAATAAACGCATCGAAGGACTCGACGTATTTGCCACCTTGCTGAGGATGATCCGCATATGGCTGTTAGAGTTGTATTTCATTTCCCTTATAATGATCTTCACCAGATCTGGTCGGCGTGCTTTCTGGTCCGTTATATGGTACAGCATGTCGAAAAACCACCATTGCTCCAGCATCCGCAGCCCGTTCGGATCTGCTGAAAGAACTCCCAGAAACGAAAAGTAGCCGTAACTGAGCGTTGTCTCCAGCTTGGCTTTCGAGAAAAGCGGGTCTCCTGCCGTGATTCCACTGTACGGATCTACCTGTGCGAGACACTCTGCTATCTGGGGTAGAACCTTATTCTCCGTCAGGTACTTGACTCCCTCGGCGTTGGAAAGCAGGTTCTTGAAAATTTCGCAGCCAACTTTCACGAACACCAGATTGGACTTTGTTTTGCGAAGCGACGCAAAACGGTACTTGAACGGACGGTAAAACGACATCAACCTCTTGTAAAACTTGGTAGTTCGCACAATTTCCTCAAAGTTGCGCGTGTCGCGTAAGGGGCCTTGCATTAGCTCAGTGATCAAGCTCCAATTCCATTTGTAGTAGTCTTTTGTAGCCAAGACATGAGTCTCCGAAACTAGATTTTTTAGGTGTGTCGCGTCCACACCGCACAGCATTTTGAGTCGCAATTCTTTGAAGACCTGTTCCGAGATCCTCACGTGGACGTGATCTGCAAGAATGAGGTTGGAAGTGTGGTGGTTTCGAAGGTACTTCTCGATCTGTTTGTTGAGCTCAAACGACGGAGCTATTGACTTTATCAGCTGGTCTGGGACCAGAAACGACTGCATGTACGATATTTCTGACAGCAGGATCATTATGCGCTTATTCAACTTCTTGTCAGTGACTTCTTCGAAAAGCTTTTTCAGCTTGTCCACGAGACCACAACGAATGCATATATGTAGCACCAGCATGGTGTAGTGGTTGACCAACGAAGTTTCTGTTTCTGGCGAGCTCCGTGCGTTAGTGTTGGACTTTGCTGATGAGAGTTGGCGTTCAGGATTTATCAGAGGCACAATCATCGGGCCATTCTCGTCATTGGTGTCACCCAGTGACATCGGTTTTATCCGAAACAGGTCGCTGAAAATTTGCAGCAATATACTCTTTATTGAAACTGAGCTGAAAGTAAGACAATTGATCAGCTCACGGATAGGGAGGAAATCGTGCTGGCTGAAAGCTATGAGTCCAGACCAGTTTTTCAGCATGAACACGATCAGATGCGCGATAACTTGCAAATTTTCTGTTTTGATATGCGAAATATCCATGAAAGGCGAGATGAGCAACTGGACAAGATGCGATTCCATGATGTAGGGTCTGGTGTTGGGCAGATCGAGAAGTTTCAGTATCGCGGCGCAAAATACACCTCTTGAAACGGCAGGCCCGTCCACAATGTACTGCAATAACACACCCAATGCGTTGGCTTTGTACGCTCTTTCTGGATCCAAAAGAGCAATCTCCACTAGTGTCTCAAATGCGATGGTTCTCAATGGATCAGTAACATCCTCTACTATATTAATCAGCGAGCGGACCAGCGCGACCGGAAACTGGTTCGGACCACCTTCAATGCTTACCAAACGTCGAACAAGACGCATGCATTCTCTCCGTTCTGTCGTGTGTTTGGGATTTTTGCTCAAACTGGCAATAACAAAGACGTATAAGTCGTACTTGAAAAATAGCAGTAATGCCTGTAGATCGGTCACAACGTACCACAAGATCCTGTATCCGCACGCAATAACCATCTCGTTGCGCTGAAGCATCAATCTCTGAACGACGTGGATGACGGAAGAGAACACCAGATCGTTCCTTAGTGATTCGTTTTCCTCCAGCAAATCCACCATATCGTTCGTCTTGTCCACAATTTCCTCACTTGAGGTCTTCTTGTCGCTCAAAATCTGTAGAATATCGGAAAGAGCCCACGTCGGGCTCACTTTGTCGCCTGTAAACCTGGATGTTTGCGTCTGGTCGGCAAAGGTGCTATCGTCTGCCTCTTTAATGGAAATGCTCGATAGCGAAGTGGCAGAGTCCACGCTGTGGATAGCCGCATTCGAGTGCCCTCTATTTCGCGTGCTTTCGAATTCAGGGATCGTCAATTTCTTTCGTTGACTGTCCTTCCGATCCATGCTAACAAAGGACGGATAGTGGCCCAGGGACTTCGATAGACTCCCGATTGAGTCCATGCGAGGGAGAACTGCAGCTTCTGATATATCCTCAGGAATCGATTCGTATACTTTGCGAGGATTCAAAGACAGCCGGGACTTTGCATCGTGAGCTGTCTCCGACATGATGAAGTACAAGAACACTTTATTTTTCTGTTACGCGAATGCTGACTAAAACTAGCAAATTAGTGATTGATGTCTACAGTAGTCAATCAGTACCGGACTAACAGTAAGACCGACCGGTGTTCGTGCAATCACCTCAAAACATTGGCGTAATGAACTTCGGCCTCCTTGACTAGTTGCTGTAACCCCACGATTACAAACTGGTGCGTGAGATTAGGAAACTTGTTTCTGTGCAGTCCAAACCACTCCAGCGGAGGCGTGGCGTTTCCCAGATCACGTAGTTTAGGAGTCTCGATATGCGGCTCTTCTAGCGGAACATAAACATATTTCTCGTCAGACTCCACGTCCTTTAGCCTATCCTCTAAGTTGACGGTCTCGAAAATTGACTCCTTGTAGTTCTCTTCCAGCAGATCGTCGAAGTCCGTTCCGTAGCCAGAAGTGAAGATCCGCAAGGCAGTGAGACGAGTCTTCAGTGTCGTTGCATGGGAATACCACATTTCTCTAATAAAGTAGACAGAGCCCAACTTCCACTTCACGTCAACGTTCCCTCCAAAAGAGCTGCTGAACTTGAACTTGACTAAATTGGAATCTGGATGCTGGAACGCATCCATGTAAACGTTCAACGAAGGGAAGACAAAAATGCTGCCACCGGTGGCCGTGTTCGCAAGCTTGACGTAGCTCCAAACTCCCAGTTCTCCTAGTGACGCCTCTGTAGGCTTTGACTTGAAAGAGGAAAGAGCCACAGTGAAGTTGTCAAGGCTCATGTCCAACTTGTTCTCCATGATACTGGTCTTGATCTGCTCAAACTTAGCCCTCGAAGCTCCCACCCTGATCACCAGCGCCTGGGTATCCAACAAACTACTGGGGAAAATTTGTATCTGCATCGACCCTATGCGGACATCCAACTCTGTGTAGAATTCGTCAATCACGTCCAAAAACATTTCCACTGTCTTGACGGTGCTTGAGCTCGAAGTATCAGTTTTGCGCAAAGCAGCCAATGACAAAGACGACTCCGAGGATCTCGTTGAGCCCTTGAGGAATTGCATCTGATCATCCAAGGCATCATTGAGAGTTTGATGGTACGAGATCTTGATATCCTGTCGGATTCGCAATCCAATCGTGTAAATATCCACGAAATTGGAGGCAGTCAAAGCAGTCATATAAACGTTGAACGAATCCATCGAGGTTTTTCCAACAAGCTTGTCTGCATGATTGTCCACACTCTGATTGTATATGGAAGCCATCGCTTTGGTGATCACTGCTATGCAGAATATGTGGTAATCAAGGGAGATTTTGGTTTCCAACGATCGAAATCCGGCAGACAGGAAGACCAGCGGAATATCCTCCATTCCTTTTTCTTTCGACCATGAGATTGCAGAAGCCATTCGCGCCCTTTCGACAACCAAAAGCCCTCCAAGTCTTCCCTCTGATGCAATTCTGAGCTGGCCCAGTTCCAATCTGAAGTTTTGGTCCCTGTTGGTGACCTTAGTGGATTTGAACCAACATTTATCGGCATCCACGTCCAATGTTCCTAGCGAGAATCCGAGATCCACCTTCAATTTCACCTTTTCTACCAGAAGAGTGACGATCCACGGAAGTACAGTGGTATTTGACATGTCTTTGACTCTTGCTGCAATATGTTGCAGTGAAACGTCCTCGCTCTGTTGCGGCTTTTCAGTAGAACTTTTGTAAAGTTCGGACGGTAGCCATATTTCACGAAAAATGTCGACGTCCTGTCTCTGCTGTATGTTCAAATACGAGTCAATGTTTGATACCTTTGACGTGTTGGTCATTGTTTTGACACCATGAGCTTTGGCGATAGTTGCAGATAGAAGAATATCATCGATCCCAACAGATCCACTGGTTTCTTTCGAATAGACGTGTTGCAGCTTTGCTCGAAGTTGTTCAATACAGATAGTAGTGGTGATCAAATCTGTATCGGTGTTGAAATGCCAAAACAGTCCATTAGTGGAGACGGCGGCCTCGACCTTTGCATTTGGCTCACAACTCAATGTGAGTCGCTGAGGCTCAACCTTCAGCGAAAAGTTGATTTTGAATTTCTCAAAGACTCGCTCCAAGCTGACACCTACTGGCTCCTTTTCTCCCATAGGTGGCCATCTTTCCTCGGACTTTCGTGTTGTTGGCACCTTGCTTTTCTTTGCATGATTTCTATTCGCAAAAGACTTCACACTGTTAGCAAGACTGACGATCACAGGAACACATGATGCTGACAGTGCATTGTCAGTACTTGAAGTGACGGCTTGTATCAAAATGATGTGTTTTTTAACCGATTCCAAACTTTTGATATACTCTGCGGCAATCCTCATGGATGGAGCCTGGAGACATAACGATGTAGGCTTACGGTTTGAATCCCTTGTAGGATTGCTGATCATAATTGAAGCACCGTTAAATGCAAAGATGCAGCCAATAAGCCTCAAGTCCGAGTGGATCGAAGAAAAAAGAGTTGGCGAGCCATCCTCCGTCTCGGCATGTGCGATTTCATGAGAAAAAATAGACTCCAATTTTTCTTGAACATGAATAACAGACCGCGCTAGTCGATCGGCAACAGAAAAGAGTGTAGTTTCCAGCTTAAAATCGACCTTATCACCGTGAAGCTCAGCGTCGATAGCTCTGCCTTTGGACGTTCGGGAAACCTTATAATCAAGCTCAAATCTAGGGAAATATGCCCTGTTAGCACTCAAGCTTTCATCACTGGTGGAATAAAAGTTCATGGAGTTGTTCCCGTGGGAAGTTGCCAAGTACATGCTCGAGACGAGTACATTTCCTGTTTTTGTGCTGCATACTATCTCAGCTTTTTCGTATCCAACAATAAAGCCAGGGATGTCCGACGAGTTTAACATCGCCCTCTCTGGCTTTGGAAGCAGCCATCCGATACACATGTTTTTGGACACAATGCGAATCGAATAGACGCTCAAAAGTTCCCATATCTTTTCCGCGCTAACGTTCTGTCTTTGAGCGGGTTTGCGAGGGAACTTGTAGGTGCCAAAATTCCTATGGAAATCAAAGTAAACGTCAAGGAGTTCAGTAGTGGAGTGCGAATCTAACACAAACCTGCAGTGCTCGCTGATTAATTCAAGCTGGTGGAGTTTTTGCTCACTTGGAACGGACGTAGATGCTTTCAATTCCAGGTTTACATCACAGATCGTAAACTTTGAGGTCTGAGGACCATGAGAGATCATACTAAATCTTGTGGAGGGCAACTTTAGGAAGCCGTGGGGTTTGTTTCCGGTGTGATTGAAATCAGAGGTGACAAACTTCATTGTGATCTTGTTACAATCGAGGAATGACCGGTTCTCGTTGAGAAGACAGGCGAATGACAAGTTGTCCAGAGCAACAGCAGCCGTGGCCTTCACAACGAAAGAGGAGTTCCCTAGTTTGGACTCGTTGTTGCTTGTGTGGCCAAACTTTTGAAGCAGACTATGGAACCTTGATTTAAATTTTTCAAAGTACGCCTCTGCAACACGGTAATCCGTTTCTGCAAGTTTCGCCAAATAGATGACGTTACGCTGTGAACAATTGATTCTGAGTTGATCTGCGTTCACCTGTGCGAAAACATCGAGTCTACCATGTTTTTCAACGAGGCTCGCCAAAATTTTCAGATCTCCTAGAGACACGGTAGCAAATTGCACTTGCTTTGTTGTGGAAGTGGAGATGATTCTTGAGCTGATGCGTGACACTGTAAAATTTGACGTCCCAACCTGATCTGAAGCTGAAAGATCAAATGCAATATCTCGCACGTCCATCTTGTAAAGTATCGGTGACAGAACTTCAAGCTGCAAAGAAAGTTTTGAGACAAACATACTACCCGTTACTTTTCCTTCCAGCTGAGCTAAAAATCCATCGCTGGATCGAGTAACCGACGGTTGTTGTCTTTTCCTCAAATTGTTAATGAGTGGCACCAAAAAGTCATTCTCTTCATTGATAAGCACATCTAAAGCTCTTAGATAGAAATCTGAACCCGACCCAGCTGATATGTTGATACTTGAGGCAGATAAGTCCACATAAATCTGCTCATCACCAGATGACCTGACCTTGGAGACAAGCAGTGAGTTTTCAAAACTTTTAAGCTGCGCTATCTTCATTTTATCAAGCATAAAATCAATACCCACCGTGGTATTGTTCGACAGCATAGCGAAAAACAGATCCTCTGAAGATTTGATTCCTGACATCGTTAGCACCGAATTACTACCGTGGACGTTGACAGACGATCTATCAATTGCAACCTGGTGAGTAAACTCTTTAACCAGGAGATTTATGCTGAAAAAGATCGGATCTGGCTCTGATCTGTTTGCAATTTCGATAGTTTGGTTGGCACTGGACTTTGACGTCATACCTGCAATCAAATCGCTGATATAAGGGATTGATTGCTTCAGGGAATTGACACTGGTATTAAAGGCGCCGATGGAAATCCCAACATTGATCTGATCTTGAACATTTATCATAGAAAGCTCAGTGGCCATTTGGTACAGCTCCTCGGAAAGCTTTCCTTTACTTAAGGCGAGTTCTAGGTTTTCAGTCACCACCAAATTGCTGAAAGGATGAACATTGAGTTTGGATGTAGAAAGCGCCGCTTTCAAAGAAAATGACTTCCGTTCAGCCCCAGAGCTGGTGTCACCGAAAACGCTCATCAAAACATAGCTGGTGGATATATTACTAAACTCCCATCTTCTCCAATTTAGAAACACATCAAAGACTCTTTGCTTGGCGTCTTCCGGGGCATTCCAAGAGTGTTCGTCATATCTTTTCTGGGTGCTTTCGTGCCAACGTTTTGGCAGGTTGTAAGCAATATGTCTGATTCTTGTAATTATTTTCCAGCTGTCCTCACGCCTGATGTGCTCGTCGGAAAATTTGCTAATATACGACGGTTTGGTGATACACGATGGATCGTGGCGCACAGAATAGTCCGTTACCGCTTTGGAAATGGAATATACGGTATCGATCTTGGCCTTGGTACTATTTTCCACTGCTAGCGATATTTCTGCCGTTGCCTTCTTTATCGGATCAACCAGAAGGGAAATGTAGCTCTCAACCCATTGGAGGCTTGTAGGGTCCATATCGAAGTATAGGTAATCCTCATCAACCATGACACTAGTCGACAATTTGCTATCATATATATCGGCCCTGAGTTTCGCCATATCGAGACTGCAAACAGACCTGCCGCTTTTCAGTATGCTAATCGAGATCTCGGAAACGTCTGCTGCCAAAGAATCCATGCCGCCTTCTGGTTCAATTGTAGCAGTTAATGTTGGATTGGATATGCTGATATCGATGCAGTTTTCAGAAGACCTTGATTCTGTCACATGTAGATTAATCATTGGAATTAACGCTTTTATGTTGACTTTCTGAGACTTTGTGGCATGTTTCTTAGTCAAGTGCGATATAAAATCATTTTGAATCTCATCCAGTACATTGGTGACAGAAATGACCTCCTTATTTGATACAATGTAGCTCCATACCAATGCGACTTTCGGATCAATATATCCTTCAACAGTATCAAAGCTGCATACTATGGAATCAAGCTCAAAGCCATCATTTTCGGAGGATATTTTCGAAAAGAGGTTCGTTGCGTGTGACCTGCCCCCATCTAGAATCGAAGATGAATCGGAGACGTCGTCATCTCTCAAAGCATCTTTCAACCGTTCAGGATAGCTTGCGATCAACAAATCTATCGAGTTGGAGTAGAGCGGTGGAGGGATATCGGGGAAATTGAGGAAAGGCCTCAAACCTCCATAATTTTGATGGTATGTTGAATCTCTATCACTTCGTGCAAGCAAAAACGGACATCTGTGGAACGGCGCATCGTGGATTTTCATATGAGCTCTTTGAGCTTCTTTGCGAGTTGCAAAGTCTGGTTTTTTAACAAAGTCACTCACGTACACTGATGTTCTCACATCCATAACAGTTTCGGTGCCGCTCATACCTTGTATGACAATGTCCTCGATCCTGAAATTAATTCGGCTATTGTATGTAGCAGATGACTGATCAGAAATAGTTAGGTGCAACGCTTCCAATTTAACGAGGAGGCCACAAGACGGACCATTGATTTTCGCCAAAATTTGGGGACAGCTGAAAGACAAATTCAACATATCAAAAAGCACCTCCTCAGGAAGGTCTAAAGAATTCTCTGAATCATTGTATCCCACCGCAAGGGACCCAAGAGAGCGGCGGACGATGTCAAGAAAAGTTGGCTCTGAGTCAACCACTATTTGTCCTGGATGGAAATCCCACCTACAGTAATAAGTTGGTTCATCTGGAGGAAGCCCAAATGTTCTGTGGCCATGCACTGGAAGATGATCAATAAAAAGCAGAGGATCAAATTTCAAGTGCTTGGAGGTCGTGCTAAAAATCATATCCTCGTCGGCGCTCTCAATTGATCGGCCATAGATTTCCGAGAAATTAGCTTGAAGATCCATGTAGTAGTTATTGAATCGAAGATCAATGTCCAGGCTTTCAAAATGTAGTGCCACATGTGTTTCACAGTCATAATTGTGTGATGGCAAAACCAGGCACCCATTTTTGACGCAAAAAGAGAAGTGTAGGTCGGTCTCATTTCGCAGTTTCATTCCAAACAGCTTGAAATCTTCTGACGCTGGTTTTTCTTCAAACTTGTCATTCATGTCTTCGAGGAATTCTCCGAGAGTCTGGAAGTTGATATCTTCTCCAAAATAGTTGGCCTTGAGAAGCAACACATACTTGATGATGAATCCATAGCATTCAAGCGTCGTATCTTCACAAGTACAGTTGACTACAATGTTGTCAACCGTATCTATGTCGATCACGTTGAAATAAGTGAAAGATCCCGACATCTCAAAGTTATTAGCCCTTCCAACCTCTTTATTTCGCAGGAAATTATATCCTGTGTGCCATGGCGGGAAATGAACAGCCAAATCAAAGGTGGTGTTAAGTTTATAGTCAATAATTGTCGACTTTCGATATACGGTATCTAAAGGAATATCGACAGCTAAATCAAGTTCGGATCCGCAAAAGGAAACATATATGTTGTCATTATAGTCTAGAGGGTGGCTGACAATATTTTTTTCGTTCAAATTGAGAGAGATATTGTAGTTGTAAACCTTCCAGTTGATCTTATAGAAAAAGGGACGGAATAGCTCGTAAGGAGTTGGGTTTCCAGAGCTGAAATCCCCAAACATGTCTGTGAGCAACTCAATATGCTCTCTAAGTAGATAGAGTTCAGCATTCGTAGAGCGGTTCTGAAAACTCCACGTTGCAGGGCCATTCCATTGCAAAGGATACCCAACATCCGCATTTATGGTGTGTTTCATGGCTTTAAAGAATATCTCGTGATTCACACTGGAAGAGATGACCGGGTTATTCAGATCCACATGGAACTTATTTGCCCATCCACTCTCTGTGCTGGGGATATACGAGGTTGATACATTAAAGGTGGAGTTTTGTCCCACCTTAAGTTCAAGCCATCCAAACGGTCTGCGCTCAAGTTGGTTTTGAGAACTGTCATTATTGGAATAAAGAACGTCTTTGCTGCTCTCCCTAAAGGGAATCCTTAGCACCAGATCGTCCACACTTTCGAAAAATAGCCTGAATCCTTCGTACTGTCTTTTTGATCCTGCTTTGAGACGGTCAAACGGATCAGCATCCCTGCAGATAGAAGGAAATAACATTTGATGTAGAAAAGCGCGCTCTTTTTCGGCCCAAGGTCCGTAGTGGATAATTCCTTCTGAAACGGATATGTCAATATTATTCGCTGGAGGCTCTCCGCCATTTCCAATATCTGGATCCTCAGTGGGAGAATTGACCGGTAACGCTGGCGTTCTACCTGGGATATCGTAGTAATAATGGATATCGACGTAATCGGAGTCAAAGACGTGAGTGTACCGCGCGTACTCGGATTCCGAGAACACAACCGCGTCTTCTTTATCCTCAGAATGGGTTTTCCCGTCAAAAGAACTCAATGTCGAACTGTTGTAGGTCAAATAACGTTCAAGACCGCGCCAATGATGCAGCTCTTCCTCTTTAGTCTTCTCGCTGTCTTCTTTAGTGCCATTGTGATACAACCCTAATTTATCCAGGAAACTCTTGAGCTTGTGACTTTGACCCCGATCAAAGTCTTTTTTGATCTGATCCATACCCTCGTATGAAACGTTTGGTTTAAGGTAGAGTTGTAGTTGGTTCGCTCTAACATCGTGATCAACTCGACACTTATCGTATTTGGAATCTGGCCGAAGGAAATCAAAAAACCCTTCCAAGGATGTATATGATCCAACCAAAAGAGACGTTGTCGTCTGGTTACCTATTACAAACCCGCCCTGTTTTATCAAGACCTTGAGGGGAAGAAATTTGATGAATCGTGGGACATAGCGCTCGTCCGATTCTTCAGAGTCATGGATTGTATTTTGATCGCTGCTGGTTTCGCTGGTGCGACTTGTAGAGTACGACTGCTTTTCTGTGTGACCGGTCTCCCCATTCAACTTTTTCAGTAATTCGTCGTAAACATTCACTCGGTTGTAGACAAAAACTTCAAAGCCATAGATTTCCATCAGTAACCGTGTGGGAAGTAGCCCGTTTTTCGTATTTTCTTGCTCAGTAACGAATCCAGATTGGCGCACGGATGTAAGCCAATATCTCCATGTGAGCCATCCTTGATGAATGAGGATCATCTCATTTTTGGTTATAATTGTAACATTTTTGAAAAAGAGCCGTCCCCCGAGAAAGGAGACTTTGTATGATTGAACTTTGAATCGTACCTTATATCGCTTCCACAGAGTATATTTCAGTAGGAATGACACTATTGAGCCCAATAGCCGATTGAAGTAGAATAGAATTCCAATGGATCCAAGCAGAGCTATAACCCACTCAACCATGTACACCCATTGCAGGTTGCCAGCTCGGCTCACCGACGCATAGCCGAATTGTGTTGAAACGTCCATGGCTAACAAAGCATAACTTAGTGTTCGGTTCAAACCAAAATATTTACTTTGGGCGGGTGCGAGGTGTATGTTTCATTACTGATTTTACTCGCCGCTATTGACAAGAGAATAGCCACAGAGAGACTTCAGCAGTGACTAGAATGAAGATGCATACATGTAAGAGGTGGCAGTGTGTTGCATATGACGAGAACTAGTTGAGAGGGAGCGGTCCAGCTATCCTCTATTACGTAAGCAAAGATTGAAAATCCTGGGCTCGAAACCGAAATTCGAAATATTGTAGTGGCAAAACACTTAGTTGAACATCCTTCCTTGTATTTTTGACATGTCGAGAGAGGCTCCATTGAAAGCTGAAAAAGATTTCACCGAGACTCTGGACGAGCAATTGCCTCAGATTGAGCAGTTGTCCAGATCGGACTACAAGTCTGCTGTCGACAAACTACTGTTGTTAGAGAAGCAAACAAGGCAAGCGTCCGATCTGGCTTCTTGTAAGAGAATTATGATAACCTTGATGGATCTTTTGGCCTCGAAGAAAGACTGGTCTTTGCTCAATGAGCAGATCTTGTTGCTCTCCAAGAAGCAAGGACAACTAAAGGACTCCGTTAGGGTGATGATCCAACAAGCGATATCCCATCTCGACGAAATTCAAGATTTGGAAACAAAGATTCAAACGATAGAGACCATTCGCACAGTCACTGAAAACAAAATCTTTGTGGAAATCGAGCGTGCGCGGGTCACAAGAATACTCAGTGATATTCTGTTGGAGAAAAAGAATGATTTGGATAAAGCGTGCGATGTGTTGTGCGAATTGCAGGTCGAAACGTACGGGTCTTTGGAGCTTAGTGAAAAAATTGAGTTTATTTTGAGACAAATGACTTTAAGCAACAAGAGAGGTGATTATCAGATGTCCAAAATGCTCTCGAGAAAGATTTTGGTGAGATCTTTGGAGAAGTTTGCAGACCAAAAGTTGGAGTATTACAGACTAATGATTGACATTGCTCTGAGTGAAGACGACTACATCAACCTGGTGAAGTACCATCTAGCCATCTATGACGTCCCTAAAATAAAGGGAGACAGCAGTGAGTCTTTGGAGGCTTTGAGGCAGATTGTTTACTTCAGTATTCTTTCGCCGTATTCCAATCTGCAGAACGATCTGATCTCCAGAGTGAAGATAGACAAAAACGTTGATAAGCTGCCAACTGAAAAAGAGATCCTCAAGCTGTTCACTTCAGATGAGCTGATCAACTGGAAACAACTCGAGGCACAATTTGGCAATTACTTGTTCAAAGATACCACCTTTGATCAGTCGACTGAGAAAGGTAAGCTGCATTACAAAGATCTTCAGAAGCGCGTGATAGAGCATAATTTGAGAATAGTGTCAAAATATTACTCATCTATCAGATTGGAAAGATTATGTGAGCTGCTGCAACTCGAACAACAGGATGTTGAACTGAACATCATCGAGCTGGTGAACAACGGCGTCATCTATGCTAAGATAAACCGGCCCCTGAAGATTGCCAGCTTCATAAAGCCAAAGAACGAGAACGAGTACTTGAATGAGTGGAGTTCAAATATCGACCAGCTTCTGAGCAGTATAGAGACCGTCGAGCATCTAATCACAAAGGAGGAGATGATGTATGCTGCGAAGGTGAAATAAATAATACGAACGTAGATTATGCTTCACGCTGTTGTAATTCCAGTTCTTTTCGTTTGCGAGCGCTCTCAACGAGGTTATTCCACCGTTCTTTCAATTTAATAATCTGATTCTCTAGAACGATTCTATCGCGTTCCTGTGTAGCAATTTTCTGTTGTAGTTGGTCAATCACGCTCTTGAGTTGCTGGTACTGATCTCCAGGTTGTTGTGAGGGGCCATTTTTCAGCAATCCCAGTAAATCCCCGATGAACTCGTGATTAGCCATCAATTCGCTATAATATACCAGATTCAGTTCTGTAAGAACGCTGTTTTTGGCCTTCAGTTCATCTATTCCCTGCTGCTTTGAGGATTTTTCTTTGAAGTTGATCAACTGCAGATCGTGTTCAAGCTGGTTAATCCTATCTTGTTCAATGAACTTGACCTTGTTGGAAGACAGATCAAAATTGAGATCCTTGACCATGAGAAGTTTTATATGCTCAATAAGCATCTGATTATCGGGCTCCTCGCAGAGCTCCTTTTCCTGAATCGGGTTTTTTTCTCGCTGTTGTTTGTATTCCTTGGATTTTTGAACTAGTTTAAGCTGATCTATTCGTTTGAGTATCTGCGATTTGAGGGTTGTAAGTGAATTGAGCGTGTTGAAATGGCTAATCAGCGATTCTTCAGCTATTCTGTCAATAATATCCTGTAGTAGTGCTATCGACGACTCGTGACAACTGATTGAACGACTGTAATCGCCTTTCATCATTGCCCTCTCGGCATTGTGCTCGCTCTCATACACCTTTTGGTTAAAACTTTAAATAGAGTACCCACCTCTGAAAGACCATGCATAGTCAATAAAAGATTATTATTATTTCAGGGGCTGCCAAAAACAGTCGAGAATTTTAAATAAAATCACCTTTTTATCTTTGGCGGGTCATCATCATGACCAACGTCAAACTTTTACAAAAAGAATCTATCACTCTAGACAGATTCTGGGACATCGCAAATGATCTGTTTCATTCAGAGAGACAATTTGACGAGCTCAGAGATAGCTGTACAGAGGAAAAAGTCAATACTCTACTGGTGAACTACTTGACTCTCGTTTGTGAACATTGCGACCAGCTCACAACACCAGACACTGAAGAGCAGTTTTACAATGACATATCCGAGTATGTCACTTGTCATAGATACTATCGATCGAACATGCAGTTCTGCGTTCGCAAAATGCTCTCATTGCTCACGTATAGTGTTGGTTGCAATGAGAGTAATTTGGCGCTCGAGTTCGACATGCTGGACAACGACACCAGGGAACAGGTCAACAATTCCATAATGGTGAACGAGAAGCTGATACGAATAATTGGGTGGATCCTCATAGTCAACTACCAGTCGGATAAAGATACTCTTTTGCAGATTCTAAAAGATTTCAATGGATTTGAGACTCTGGCAGGTGTGCTCTCGAACTACTCACGAATATCACGTAACTCGGGTGACAAGGACCCGTATATTGCAAATTACTCTCCGTACTTCGAGCTGTTTTATGAGCTTTGCAAAAACTACGAATTTGAAAGCACAGAGCTTGATCACGTCCAGTCCCAGCTACTTGAATATTTATTTGACAGCTTGGAGGTCGTGCCTAAGGAGGACAACATCCTCAACTTTATGAAATTCAAGCTGCTGCTAGTGTTCAACGAGCAATTCATGGTCTCTCAGTTTTCGTCGGCAGCAGAGAACTCGCATCAGATAGAAAATCGGTTTTTCTTTAAGATGACGGAAGACGGTCAACGATTCCAAAATTTCAACGAGGTTCTCATTTTGAACTTCAACAGAGAGCAGGACCACGTCCTTCAAATACTAATGCTCAAGGTGCTGTATCTGGTGTTCACCACCTCTCATACGTGCGGCAAATTTTATATCAACGATCTCAAACTTATCATAGACATCATGATCCGAGAACTGTTCAATCTGTCGACTGTGAAAGAAGAAGCGCTAATCAACACGTACTTACGCGTGCTCTATCCGATGATACTATTTTCAAACATCAAGGAAGAAGGCTACAAAAAAGAAAGCATTTCTGAGGTCCTCAGATATCTTGTTGGGGCAGAGCAGACCTCTGAGACTACCAAACGGCTGGCCGAGCGGTGCCTGGTGCTGAATTTTTTTGACGACAAGGGCGGCCCTCCCTTGATCACACGAAACGCCGCGCCATACACACATTCGCGGGAAAACTCGTCGCAGTCATCTGTGGTGAGCGAGATCGACTCGCCAGACTCACCAACTGCACCCATCGACCGAAGCAGGAGCAATTCGTCTGTCTCGTCGCAGGATTCCAAGGGTCTTCATCGTAAACGGCCTCCTCCCCCGCCTCCACGCCGGTACAACCAGCGGAACGGCTCCGAGCTGATGCTGAGTCGGACCAAGGTGGCCAATAAATAGATAGAGTGTAGTTAAAATCGTCAAAAATATTTATTTATTCGATAATATTAGTCTTGCGGGCAGTATTGAAATATTGAGCAAAATGTCCCTTGCTTGGCGAAGTCTTCGGCGCTCACTCATATGGAAAAGGCCACTGTCTGTGCGATATCAGTCAGGGTATCCAACGAACATGCCACCCAATAGAATCTTGCAGGAGCAGCATGTGTTGCGCACGGGACTGGAGAGGTTCATTCAGAAACAGGCAGCACGGCCAGTGCCAACTGTGGCACTTAACGACCTCCTTAAATTCAACTCTGCAGCCTCTCACAGAGACAAGTCGCTGATGCTAGTGGAGAACGCCAATGAGACGTTGAACGATATGGTTGTCTTGGTGACCCGGCGACTCATACAGTTCATGAAACTGCCCTACATTGTAGTTTTGAACGCTAAAATCGCAGACATCTACACTGCGTACTTGGATACGCTGAAGGTGATACTAGAATTTGTGGCCAAGTGCGACCCTGCGAGCGAGCTAACCGAAGAGTTCACTTTCAAGATCCAAAATCTCGAACAGAACGATCTGTTCCTCCAAATGCTGAAAAAAACCATCGACATTCACACCGACAACCTCTCGATTTTGAGCGAGGGATTTGAGGAGATATCTGGACTGAATCTTGTCGATGACAAGACTTTTCTGAACGACCATCTGAAGGAGCGGATTTTGATGCGTTTGCTGGCCAACCATCACATACAACTCACCGAGCAGCTGAACTACAAAGGAGAAGAGCTGGAAAGGCTAGACCAGATCGGTATGATCGAGCCGAATATGAACGTCCTCGAGGTTCTGCACCGCTCGTTTGCGTTTGTCAACGACATGGTCGCACTCAAATATGACGAGAAAATCCAGATGAACCTGAAAACAGTGATAATAAACGGCGACGATACCACCACAGAACAGATCGTGGAGAATTTTGAGTCGCCGGACGGTCTGGAGCCGCTCAAATTCCCCTATATCTCCAGTCACATAGAGTATGTGTTGAACGAGATATTCAAGAACTCTGCGCGGGCTCACATAGAAAACGGAGTGAAGAAGCCTGTGGATGTGCTTATTGTCGTGAACAAGCCAAACGTCGAGAAGCCAGGCCCCCAATTCTACAAGTTAGAAATGCGGGTCGGCGACCATGGTCTGGGAATAAAGCCTGAGGTTCTGGACAAGCTATTCGACTACTCGTTTACCACTTTCGAGTCCGAGGCTGTCGAGGAGGATTCATACAAGACACTCAACAACACGGGCGCAAACCAGGCCAACATCATAGCCGGCATGGGCTACGGCCTTCCGCTGAGTCTCACATATAACAGACTATTCAACGGCGATATCGAGCTCAAGTCCGTCTACGGCCAGGGAACAACTGTTTACCTGAAGTGGGTCGGGGTTGATGCCAAACAAATACCTTGATTTATGTACATGGAGTTCTTATTTATAGTGTATCACCTCTCTTCGGGCTATACGCGACGTCACGCGACATAGGACTCAAAAATCCAGCCTGTATGGCTCTTTTGATTGCTCTGGTCAACTGTTGCTGTTTCTTGTGCTGCAGCTGTGTGACCGAACGATGGTGGATGGTTCCTGCGACCGACATGTAGTGGGAAAGAATTTTTGGGAAACAGTAGAAGTCCAATGGGCTGACCTCCTTTGTATTGAACGCGGACTGCGCCAGTCTCTTCCTCCTACTGTCTCTCTGCTGTTTTGCTGCGTACCTGAGCTTGGCCACCGAAAAATCGAATGGGTCGTAGGTGTTTTGGTTTTCGAAGCCGTTTATCAGCGAAGGGTTGATCACTGCCTGTCTTCTGCTTTCGAGATCGGTCTGTTGGTCTTTGATGGATTTCATGGCATTTTTGAGCGTGTACTCCTCGCACGCTCTAGCGGACGAGACGAAAGTTCTGCGGAGCATAAGCATGAGCCAGACTAGAGTTTTGGTATTTTATTGAAGGTACTTTTAGTCGATCGATTTTTCGATTTTTTGTTTTACCCGGCTTCTTTATATGACAGTGCAAACAAAGACCGAGGATTGTCCTGTCTGTCAGTCGCCAGACGATGCAGGCCCCGCCGTTGATCTCGTCTATGGCTGGATCGGCTGCGAGCTCTGCCAAAGATGGTTCCATCCGTCCTGTGTCAAATTGTCTGCTCACGACATCGAAACGATAGGCGAGTACCACTGTCCGGACTGTGCCCCTAAACACGGCCCGTCGGTGCTCAAGCGCAAATCAAGTCGGTCGCGGAAGAAAATTGACTACATTGCGCTGAACGAGGGTCAGCAGGTTCGCGAAATTGACAAACATCCGCATATCGACAACTTCAACATGTTCGAAAACGATAGACCCCTGGAAAAGCTGATATACGTTGTTCGTCCCGAGGTGGACGGCGACCAACGCGGAATAGTGACAGACCGCAAACTCACGCAGATAATCTTCGAGACGCAGCTGAAGCGGCCCATTCTTGTTCCAGCATGCAATCCTGCTCTCTCAAACTACAAGAACTGCTACGATCTGACGTTCAAGTTTCCTCAGTTGACTGTCGACCAAATAGCGGAGGAGGTGGGACTGGACAAGGAGTTGCCGGTCATGGATGTGCTTACGCAAAATAATACGCCCAATTGGACGCTCGGAAAGTGGAGAGACTACTTCAATCTCAAGGCTCAGGATAGAGATCGGATACGCAACGTGATCAGCTTAGAAGTGTCGCAAACCAAATTGAACGAGAAAATAGAATTGCCCAAATCAGTGCTGGACATCGATGTGGTGAATAAGATCTTTTCGACTTGCAAATCAGAGCTGGATGCGCACGAGATCGAAAAGCCCAAAGTCAGTAAATATATCCTCATGTCTGTCAAAGACTCGTTTACCGACTTCCATGTGGATTTTGGAGGGACGTCTGTGTACTACACTATATTGCAAGGCCGCAAACAGTTCCTGATGTTCCCTCCAACGAAGAGGAACCTTGCAGCGTACCAAAAATGGTGTTTGTCGGACGACCAGAACTCTCACTGGTTTGGCGATCTCGTCCCTCCAACGAAACCAGGGAAAGAGCCCATAGATCCGGCCTATATGAACAACGGGGTGAAAATCGACATTGACGCTGGCGACCTGCTTATTCTCCCCTCTGGCTGGATCCATTCAGTCTACACGCCATGCGACTCTGTAATCGTGGGTGGTAACTTTCTCAACATGCTGAGCCTGAAAAATCATCTGGAGGTGTACAAAATTGAGATCGACACTAAGGTGCCTGAAAAATTCAAGTTTCCGAACTTCATCAAAGTGATCTGGCTTATCGGCTGGTTTGTGATGAAGAACAACAACTTGACAGAGTTCGAGCTGGACTGTCTCGCAAACCTCATTCCATTCTACAAGAGCCAGCTCCAGGATATCGAGAATATTGACGCGGCAGACAAATACCATAAGCGTATTATAAACAGGGTGAAGAGCTCTCTGCCAACAAGCGTAATCGGCAAGCCGGCAGATTTTGTAGCAGAGTTCGAGCGCTGGTACTCTTTACAGACGAGAAAACGCAAGTACGACAACATGTAACGATATGACGAAATCCATTTTTACGAAATTAGTACATCAAGCCAAGATACGTAGGCCAGAAGCAGGAGCGCCAACTACGGTGACCTTGGTGATCGAGCAAATCTTACCCTTCTCGCTCAAATGGTACTTGGCACCTGTAAGAGCTTCCGTCACCGAAGGGGAGCCCTTGTATATTGGGGTAAACGTGCCGGCACAAACGTCAAAGTCTGCGTACGGATCGAAGTCGATCTCCACAGCATCGGTGGAAATCGAATCCGACTTGGCCTTGATCTTGTTGGCATGCTCTGCTCTTGGTCCGGAGGAGACGATCGAGAGGAACTCGCCGGCAAAGTAGGAAGCCAAGGCGTAGTTTTTATATTTGAAAGACTGGGTCATGGCAACCTGAAGAGCATTGACCCTATGAGAAGGCTGCAATTTGGCTTTCGTAAAGTAGGCTGCCAGCTCCAAATTGCGCTTGACATCGTCCTGATGTAATGATCTTCTGGCAAGCTCAATGGAAAGGCCAAGAATGTACTCCTTGCAAACGGCGAGCACCTCTTTGCACTTCTCCTCATCGTCCGCATTGTACACCACAGATGTAGCAACAATGTAGATCAACTCCCTGAATACCACGATGGCCTCTTCCAATTTGTTGGCTTTGAACAACTTGAATCCTTCGTGCAATCCAGCCTCAAGCTTGTCGAATCCAGGGATGTATGGAAGTGCCTTAGAGTCATCCTCTTCCTCGGGGTCTGCTCTCACATAAGACTTCAAAGATGGGAGACCATCGATAGCCGGAATGAACACCTTGTTAGCTTGGTAAATCTCAAGGAATCTTTTTCTCAGAGGCTCGAAATTGGCTATTCCGAGCTGCTTATTCAACATTTGGGCAGCAGGTTCGAATGCTCCCGCAGCAATATAGCCCGCAGCACATCTAGAGTTTCTAACCCAGTTTCCAAGCTCGCCTGACAGTGCTCCGACATCTTCAACATCTTCATCAACGGCCTCTTCATCAACTTCGACTTCAAGCTCTTCATCGCCAAGATCCCATCCTTCGTCATCGACAACTGGCTCTGCATCCTCGAACAGATTCTCGTCATCCACAGAGGAAGCAAATCTATCAGTGGTACCAGCCTGTGTTTGTGGCTGGTCTTCGACGGATAAACCTTCAAAGTTGCCCAGAAGAGCTTGTTCGAAGTAGGACAAAGAAGCTTTCTCCAGAGGCCATGGCTCAGTGATTACGGACTTCACCTCAGGAACACTGTTAGGCTCTCCAAACGAAGGCATTTGGATATCTGCCTCCGTCAATCCCGCCTCTGCCAAAATCGATTCTGCAATATCGTCAAGACCATTCGTCTTGGCCGTCGCATATGCAAGTGGGAAAAGACCAGTTTCGATGAAAGTGTTAATTCTTTTTTCGACCGAGTTCAGATAAAGAGTGTTCTGGAACAACGACGAATAGTCTCCTCTTGCCTCGGCAATTTGTTCCATCTTCGAAAGCTTCTCAGTCTGACCAGTGATGAGGTACAAGAACGATAGCTTTTCGAGTTTCTTGAGCTGCTGGTAGACAAGTTCGACAATCGGAACGTTGCCTTGTAAAAGGGCTTCCTTGCCAAGTTTCTCCCAAATGACTGGGTTGTCCAGTTTCTTGGCCTCTTCCAAAGCGATGTCCAGGTTGTCACATTCAATTGCAAGCTCAAATCTGGTCTCAGAGTCTTCAACAAACTGCAATGCGATTTCCGGATATCCCTTGGCTTGCAAATAGCCGATAATGTTCTGACCCACAAGGTTGGATGTCTTGATAATTCTAAGCACCTCATTGAAGTTTTTGTTGACCAATGCCTTCTTGAATCTATACTCAGTAGGATCAATGGTCACAACTTCAACCTCTCCCTTTCTGTTCAAACAGAAACACTGCCTACCAGCAACCTTAATCACATAAAGAGTAGTCTCCAGAGTTTTGATAGTTCCGTTGTCACCATTCAACAAGGCGTACTTGATATGATTTAGCGTGGAGTAGATCAAAACGCCAGAGTCGTCCCACGCGGCACTCTTGACTCTGATAGTCTCATGCATCGACATCAAAGTTTCCAGCTTCTTGTTGGCAATGATGATGGTGTGTTTGGACAGAAGAGCAACGTGCTGAGTGTCTGCGGACCAAACAGCATACTTGGCATTGCTGATCTGGATCTTGGCAAGCTCCTTCTTTTGCTGGACGTCGTAATGGATAACCTCGTTAGGTTTCATCAAAAGAATCGTACCTGGACCGGCATACAAGATATCCTTCACAGCCGAGTCAAGATCGATAACTTTGGTGACCGTGTTTCTGAGGTCTCTGACTTCCAATTTATGTGTAACTTTCGAGAAGGTGACAAATCTATTTCTGGCAATGAAGCAAGCTGCTGTAGCTGCACCCTCCCCTCTTGGGCTTGGCTCCAGCGCACCAACAATCTCCTTTGGCAAATCCATGTAAGAATACACCCCATTCTCGTTTTCTCCAGCTTGAACCAACAAAGAACGCTCGGCAGGGTTGTAGGAGATATTTCTAATTTTGGTCCAAGATTTGCTGATCTTGTTCAAGGACAGCATTGGCAAAGACACTTGTTGCTTGTCAAATTGATACTGTTGAACCTGGCTTTCATTATTGACAAAGAACAGAGTGTTTTGGAACAAAGTGCTTGCTGGTCTTTCTCTGTCAAGCTTGAAAACCATGACACCTGAATCATGACAGGTGGCAAACAGGTTCATCGTGGGGTGAGCAGCAACAAGCCAGAACCGATCATTTTCCCGCTTGAATTGTTTCACAGGTGTTCTTTTGTTCAAGTCCCAAGTTCTGATTGTTCTGTCCTCGCCAACCGATATAATGAGATCTTCAGTCGGATGAAAGAGAACGCAGGGAACGTTATTGGTGTGTCCTCTGCAGCTGTCAACTTCCCAGGCTCTGGTCTCACTCATTCGCCAAAGCTTGACGACTCTGTCATCACCTCCAGAAACAATTAGCGGAAGCGTTGGGTGGAACGAAGCCCAGTTGACACCCTTGTCATGGCCTTCCAGCACGTACTTGACGACGGCATCTGTATTACCGAAGATGTCCTGCTGGGGCACCTGGTTTCTAGCGTATTGTTCTTCGAAAGAGCGCATTCCACCTTGTGGAGCCGAGTGTTTCTTCCTCAGTCCGGAGATGTCCCAGACTCGGACGGTTTGGTCCAAAGAAGCCGACACGATCAGATCCTGGGACGGGTGGAACTGTGCGGACATCACGTAGTGGTTGTGGCCAGTCAGACAGGCAATCTCCTGACGATTCTGCCAGTTCCAGATTCTGATGGTCTGATCGTCGGAACACGAAATGATCCACGGTAGATCGTGGTGGAAAAACACAGTTCGAACATAATCCAGATGGCCATTCAAAGTGAACATGCATTTCCTAGTCTGCAGCGACCAGACCTTGACAGTGTAGTCATCACCGCCAGAAACAAAGATCGGTTGTGTAGGGTGGAAATCGACAGCTCTCACTGGGCCGTCATGCTCTTCGAATCTATCAATAAGGGTACCCATCCGGTAATCCCACAGTTGGATGGTCGACGAATGCAAAGAGACCAAAATCCAAGGCCGCTTGGGGTGGAAAGCCACGCCTTTAGCCCTTGAAGACTTGGATTCAAACTAAAGAGAGTTAGCATACAGTACACGTCAACAGGTCGAGCGACTTACCTTTGTGAGCATCTTCATCTTGAATAAACGGTTGCTTGGAGCTAAGCAAGAATTGGTGCAATTGAGGATGATACTCCAAGGAGCTTTATTTAATGGATGAGTGATGCGTGCTTTGCTTGTCTTGTTGTTCTTTTAGTTTTTTCCAACGAGTCCAGGACGAAGATCCGCTGACGTAAGCAAAAGGGGTGCCAGAGTATGGAGCAGGTGCAAGGGTGGAAAGGAGGCACGAGACACCGGTGACAGGTGTTGGAGCTTTGGCGGGACCGGAATGAGGAGTTGCGTACTTGTCTCCGGCCAGGAGGAGCATGTTGGCGACTCCAAGTTTGCAGCGACACCAGCTCCACAAATTCAGCTGCCTGGGTCTGGTCGTGCATTCCCAATAAAATTTTTCATAAAAATCAGCAACAGGTATAGCAGATCTATTCTACTAAATACCACCATGTCGAGATTTTTTGCGACCGCGTACGATTCGGAGGACTCTTCTGACGAGGAATTGCTCTCGTCGTCGGAAGAGCTTCTTTCGTCGTCCGAATCCGAAGCCGGCGAACGTTCTGAGCAGGAAGAATCCGAAGAGGAGGAGGAGGACGACGAGGAATGGGCTTCCAGCTCTGACGATTCTGACGATGACTACCACGCCGGCAAGGTGAGAGGACCGTCGTATTTTCTGAAGAAGGATTACAAAAGCGGAGTGGATGACAGCGATTCAGACAGCGACGCAGAAGAGAAGAGAGTGGTGAAGAGCGCCAAGGAGAAGTACCTGGAAGAGATTGCCAATCTCGTGGACCAGATTGAGAACTTCTCGATGGTGGAAGACTGGGTGAAGATATCCACTGAATTTGACAAACTGAACAAGGCTGTTTCGAAGTGTCCTCAGTTCCACATTCCTGTGCCGCGTTTGTATATCAAATCGCTTGCCATCTTGGAAGACACCATTTCCTCCGCACAGAACAAGGACGTGAAAAAGAAGCTGAACGCGTTGGAGTCGAAGTCGATGAACGTGGTGAAACAAAGAGTCAAGAAGGCCGTCAAGGACCACCAGTCAGAATTGGAGCTATACAGAAAAAATCCAGAAGCGTACGAGAGCGGAGCTCTAGTCGAAACCGACACTCTAAAGGAAACCCAAACTACGCAGACTTCTGGCTCAGAGGCCGCTGGCATATTCACGATTTTGCGTTCTATCATAGAGACGAGAGGAAAGAAAAACCTTGACCTTGCAGAGCAGATTAGCCAACTGGAAGAGCTCACGCAGCTGGCCAAGGCGCCATTCCACCTCATCTCCATTTATCTGCTTCTCGTTCCCATCAGGTTTGACCTGTATGCCAAAGCCGCCTTCATGCCTTTGGAACAATGGAGATATGCTCTTAGAGACATCAACGCTTTGCTGGACGTGCTGGAAAAAAACCGCGACTACGTTGTCAGCGAGACTGCCGCTCCGACCGACGATATCGAGACCGAGCCGCAACCCGACGCCAACGGTGTCAAGCAGATGATTGGCTCCATCGCTTCGTTGGTCGAAAGACTTGCTGACGAGCTGACTTCCCATCTTCTGGCCATCGATCCCCACTCCACGGAGTACGTTTCGAGACTCAGAGACGAGTCGTCAGTCTACACTCTCTTGGTGAGAGCCCAGGTCTACTACGAGTCTATCATCTCCAAGAAAGAGCTGCAGACTCCGAAGGGCGACCAGCTTGCCAGAGTCATTTTGAAAAGAGTGGACTACATCTACTTCAAGCCTTCGAAGCTCATTATTTTCGGCGAAAATACTGTGTGGAAAAAATTGGACGAGTCGCTGGACTCCAGCATTTATCCAAAACTGAAAGAATCCGGACCGCAGGGAGTGGAGTACACAAACGGCCTGATCGACGCACTGTGCTTGGTGTTGTACGAACAGCCAAACTCCGTGTTTAGAAAGAAGGCCGTGCTCTACCACATCTACTATTATGCGTTCAACGACCAGTATTTCAAGGCCCGCGACATGCTGCTGCTGTCGCACTTGCAGGCCACCATCCACACCGCTGACCCCCAATTGCAAGTGCTTTTCAACAGATCACTGGTCCAGCTGGGTCTGAGTGCGTTCAGGTGTGGCCTTATCCACGAAGCCCAGCAGTCGCTATACGAGATTGCCACGTCCCCAAGACAGAAGGAGCTGCTTGGCCAGGGAGTCCAGAGATTCCAAGTCCAGCAGTCTCAGGTGGACAAGCAGAGACTGCTTCCTTTCCACATGCACGTCAACTTAGAACTTCTGGAATGCTCGTTCTACACGGCTTCCATGCTGATCGAGGTGCCGCTGATGGTGCAGAACCCCGACTTTGCCAAGAGAAGAGTTGCCGTGTCCAAATCGTTCAAGAGAGTGCTTGAGTACCACGAGAGACAGGTTTTCGACGGCCCTCCAGAGTACACGAGAGATTACATTATGCTGGCAGCCAAGGCTCTGCTCAAGTCCGACTGGAAAAAAGCGAGTGAGCTGATCAACTCCATCAAGATCTGGGATCTTTTCAACAACAGCGACAAAATCAAGGCCATGCTCCTGGAGAAACTCCAGATTGAGGCCCTGAGAACCTACCTGTTCACCAACGAAACCTTTTACTCCAAGCTCTCTATTTCGACGCTGGCTGCCATTTTCCAGATCGAGGAGAGAATCGTCAAGTCCACCGTCCTCAAGATGATCGCCAACGAGGAGATCACCGCTCTGTACAACCAGCCAGCCAACATCCTGGAGTTTGTTGAGGGCAACAAGCTCAAGGCTTCGAAATTACAGGAGTTGGCGCTCAACCTGAGCGAGAAGGTGAATCAGATTGTTGAGAGAAACGAACGTCTGAGCTTGGGAGGTTTCCAGTATCCGCTGGAGAAAAAACAAAACAGACCAGAGCGTGCGAATGGCGTTGCCACCAAGCAGTAATGATGCATACCTTGAGCGAAGGGAAATCTATAATATAGTTAGTAACAAGCTACCATAAAAAAATCCAGTCCCAATTACTAAAATAGAAAGAATAATCAAAAAAAATATGATAACCGAATGTACTAGCATGCGCTCCCTAATCAAATCTCATAAAGAGAGCACGACGGCGTCCCGACCGAGATCACGCGAGAGCACAGAGCCTTCCTCGACAGTTTCAGCCGGATGGAAGCTCACGAACCCCATCAAGAGCTTTCTCAAGCACAAGATTTCAAGCACTGGGCAGGGGGGCACAGGCTCTGGGAGAACGAAACCCACACCCGCCAATTCGGGTGTCGCAAGCGCACCGGGCTTGGGACTCGACAGAGAGCTGAAGAATCCGACCATTTTCGGCAAAAAGACACACGACTGGAGCGCCGACGCCAGTCCCAGGTCGTTGGTCTATGCCTTCGACAAACCAGACCTTGGTGCGCAGGTAACGCCAGAGACGTCAAAAGAAGGCGAAGAGTCCCCAAACGTGGATGCAGAATCGACGGACGATTTTTCTATCGTCGTACTGAAACGACGGGAGGAGTCACAATCCGATCCCAGCTCGAGCTCGAGCTCGTCGCATTTCTCGTTTGAAGGCACCGGCAGAAACGCATCGCTGAAATACTACAAATCGTACGACCAGGTGAAGTACGAGGAGATGAAAGCGCAACTCAAAAAGAATCAGGACCACTTCAAAGAGTTTATCAATGACACAGAGTCGCTTAACGATTTACAAGAAGACATGAATTTCTACGATGGCGGGGACATGGACGATTCGGAGGACTTGTTCAACAGAAAACTATTTTCGAGCGATGAGGAGGCAGACAACTATGAGAACTTTGACAGCCCCAAAAAGGACACACCTGAACAGTTATTGACCCTAAACGGACAATACTCTTTCCATTCAGACCGGGAAGCCACCATAAGCGATCTGAGTCCTCCGCTGGTCGCCACAGACCCGTCGTCCTCTGACATCAAGGACCTGGTGACCAGGTTTCGCTCCAGCAGCATCAAATACCACCAGCTCAAGTCCGGCGACGGCGACGAGCTGGAGTTCCTAAAGCAGAGATATTCGTCGTACTCTGACGACGAGTTGCCGAAAGCAGAGATGCTGGAATCGTTGCTGGACGAGATAAACGAGATACCGGAAGATTTCGATTTCGAGACCGAGCTTTCGTTACCACAACACACTTCATCAGCTAAACAACGACGTAGGCAACTGCTAAAGTCAAACTCAAAATTCTTCTATGCCGGCGCCCCTAGTCCTTCAAACGACCGCATCGAAACGGGTAACAGGACAATCACGCTTTTCAAACCCGTCTCACGTTCCAATAGCTTGGAATACCACAATCACGATAAACCGCTACCGCAACATCCAGTGGATGTGAGTGCCAGTGAAGAGTACGCTGATGAGCTGGATGAAAGCACTGAGATGGTAGGCCTCTCGACACCAATCCAGCTGCATGGTTTTGGACCCAAAAGCGACTCTCCATTGACCACTATCAGCGAAGCGTCCTACGATAGTGCGGCTGTACGCTCGCCGTTACGCTGAGTGTACTTTCTATGCATAAAAGAAATCCTCGCTGATGATCCGGAGACTCGAGAGCATAATATGCGAAGGAGACATGTAACCACGCGAGTCCTCCTCTGTATAATGATTGTTGTTAACTTCAGACCCTGCATAGGAACTATTCCTCGTTTTCTTCATCACAATCGGTACACCTCTGTTCTCCTTTTCATCAGACGAAAATATGGGCCGGTTCATCAATTCTAGTGCATCTTCGTACGTGGCTGTGAAGAACAGAGGTTTTCGGGGAGGCAACGTTTTAGACTCGTTGGATGGCGGATTAGATTTCAGCTTTGACTTCTTTCTTTGTTTCTTCGGCTTTTCAGTTAACCACGCTCCAGCTGTAGGTTTGCCAGCATCAGAATTTCCTAAAATACCACTTTGCGAAGTGTTAGTTTCCTTCTTGGTTTCAGAAACGTCACTCTCAAATTCACTCCATATAGGCGAGTTGAATAGCAACTGCGGAGATAAGTCAGCAGAGGGTTTCGTAAGTATCTCATCGGGAACTGGAAGCTCTGGAATAGCTAACAATGAATGCGGGACGCATTTTGATGGTGAGCGCGGCGAATCTCGTGCTGAGGGAAGCGGTTGTGTAGCAGGTCTGCTAGGCGCCTCCACCGCCTCATGTCCTCTATCTGCAATCTTCTTGGGAAACACTATTTCCAGAGGGAACGGGAACCCGTTGATCATGACATAGCTGGTTTTCATCATTCCTGACTTCGGTCTGCTAGAAGGAGGTCGTAAACTCATTTGGAGACTTTCGTACGACAAGACGCTGTGTGCCGAGCCATTTTTTCGCTTTGACTCAAATATATTACCTTCAGAGCCCAACGACCTGGAAATCTGATAAGGTGGCCCCGTTCTGTTTTTGGGCGGTTGTCCCATGCTGATGCCATCGGATGAAACACATGCACGCAGAGGAATATCTGAGTCAGATTTCGTCAATCCAATGGATTGGAAAATCTTGCCTGAGTTTGATAGCTTCATGATTCCAGCTGCAACCGCTAGATTAAAAAAAAACAGTGAATGCGGGTTGCCAATAATTTTTAACATGTTGTAGCCGCACGTCAAATGTGCATATCGGTACCTTTGACAAGTACACCAAGTCTGCTGACGGTATCAATCCTCACTTTCAAAGTGCTTCCAGATTGCGTCTTGGAATTCTTTTCGTCAACTGCTCTGTCCTCAAAGACAAATTTGGGAACTAACGATATGCCTTGAAACGCATCATCAACAAATATTAGATGGTAAAGAACTGAGTCAGTATTGATTTTCCATATTAGCAAGACCTTACCGTCCCAGCGCCTCACATCAATGGAGTTTATCGGCATTACCTTGAAGAAGGTATCTGATGGGTAGTCATTGGCATTTATGATAGCTAGTTCTCCTAGCTTTAGCACAGGTGATGTGGAAGCATGCAATTTAGGGTGCTTGTTGCCTATTTGATCGCTGATCACTTTCCAAGGATAATTTGGCCTTCCTCCGTTATCGGTTGATTCCATTGAGATGTCAGAAGGGACGAGAATCCAGTCCTCATCTTCGTCATCAAAATATATCTCGCTATTCATGAGCTTCTCGTATTCCTCGTTGTCAATAACACTTGAGGTCGATTGATCTTCGACCACGTGCGCGCGCATAAATGGATCTTCCGTTTCTTCGTAGGATAGTGTAGCCGAATCCAGGACTATAAATTCGTGTGAATTCTGCAAACTTACATGGAACGGTTCTTCTGCGGTGAGCCACTGATCGTTCGTTGAAAGCAAGGGAACCACCAGACATCCGCTTCTCACCTTCTGAACAGTTCTATAACGCCGTTCGACATAGTAGCCTATTTTCAACTTAAAAAAAGATTTCGTCCTGTGGTTCAGCTTGTAGGTCAGTTTCACATTTATCGTTGGGAAAGAACAATCCTGGACAAATGAAAATAGTGCGAACGAATTAATCGTCTGGTGGTTAAAAACTTGGTACCCGTTATCGTCAACGACTTCATTGTATTTGATCTCCACACAGGAACCTCCATAAAACGAGTCCTCTTTTGAGAGTCTCCATTGCATCCCATTTTTATGCCTCTTGTGAATGGCGATAGGAATCTCCATTTGCAATGAACCATTGACCCAATTATCGTGATACACCTTTTCTCCGCGTTCGTAAAACCCACAGCCCTCTCCAGATCCAAAATTGGTGTAAAAAACGAAATTGGAATCGTTGATTTTATAAAGCGGCGAGCAGTAAGGCTTGAAAGTGGTAGCCACGGAAGACTCTCCGTCAAAAAGGCCTGTCCAAAACCGTGTATCGTTTTGAGTAAAGTCTTTTCGATCCAAGTATTCATAAGTCCAAGCAGGAGCAAATAGAGCGACATTGGAGCGGTACTTCTTGATCATCTGGCATGCCAGGGCCGAATCGTAACCCCCTTTTCCTATCACTGTGCCTCTTCCCCATACGTCGTAGCCTGCATAGACTTTCAGTCGGGATCCTAAAACACCAACATTTTTGATATTATCCTGTAGATGCTTCACGTTCCACCAGTAGTTTGTGAAGAAGGAATCGCAGCAAGAGAAAAAATTGTGGTTGGCTTCGGTGACACCATTTTTGTACAGAACTCTATTTTCTGGGTAGATGTAGGAGTCGTACCATATAAGCTCCGTTGAAGGATTACTCACATGAAGATCTGCTCTTAGCTGTTCCAAAAAAGGCTCTAAAAGACTGGCTATTCGCGTATTGCTGAACCTCGTCTCAATGTTGAAAAGATAGCCGTCAAATTGGAAATATTCCACCAGCGCAACTAGACATTTGACAAAAACATACTCTCCGTCTTGCTTTGTGAGCAGTTTATCAGCCTCTTCAAAATCGCGGTACGAGTTTCCTTCAAAGATGACAGTGCCTAAGCATTTGATCCCGTTCCGGTGGCACACATTGATCCAGGCCACCGGCGGGACACTGACGCGATGATGAGAGAAATACACAAATTTGTCGACCAATTGCGGGTACTGGAGAAAGTAATGCTGGCCGTCTGGATGGGGAAAGTATCCCAGGGGATCCTCATCTTCGTTGATCTGGTAGCCACCTTTTAGATCGTGACAAACTAGAAGCTTCACGTCTTCTGACGCGCTTTGCTGTCTTGCTCTCGCATAACGCTCGAGTTTCTCAGTAGGTTTTTTAAGCTCGTCGAGTTCAAACAATCTCTCACTGATCCGCTTTTGCCAGTTTGCTAGTTCATCAAGAGAGTCGAAAAAAGACGATTCGAGAGATGAGAGAGGCAAATTATTTTGGGGCAACGAGGAGTGTTTAGCTGTGTTTCGAGGCATTGGATTTCGACCAAGCGCGTCGTGCACTTGTCTGCCTGAGCGGAGCCGGCTTGATGGCAAAGACCTAGTTTCGGCGATTTCCTGTATTCCAAACAAAGTGGATTTTGATTATTGATAAGGCGTAGTAAAAGACAATAAATTATTGTGGGGGCCAAGACAGGATGATGTGATAGACGCGCCGATCGACGCCACGGGAAGCCGGGAGGCTGGGTTAAAATAGCAGCCGGCCCCTTCAGGCGTCAAATTGATGCGCGGAGAACGTGCCAAAATTGCAAATGGATAGGCATATTATTTGTTTACAGCTAACCGTTGGTAACTGAGGTTATTACTGTTTCTGTTTTAAGCCTCGTTCGGCACTGAAGTCTAGAAAAAAACCGAGTGACAAAATTTCTGTGCTAAATTTGTAAACTTTACACAAGATGGGTCTGTTCAAAAGAAGTTCGCAGTCGTCTGGCGACAAGATGAAGGTCAAGATTACACACGAGGACGAGAAGCGGCTTAAGATGCGGTCGGCCAACGTGCATGATCCGATCCTGGACGCGGTGAACGAGGCACAACCGTTCGAAGAGTCTGCCAACGAGCACCAAAGACAGTCGTCGCTGGGCGACGCCGGATTACGCGACGTTTTCGGCAATACCATTGTGAATCCAGACATATCGAATCCATCCAGGTCCAGAGACGAGCGGCCCATGGACACCATACGATCGTTCGAATATTCCGTGACAGGTGATCCGACCTATAAACAGCAGCTCGAGACCCCGACTCTGGGGTGGAGAGTGAGACAGGACTTCCCGCTTTACACCGGCAACCAGTATGCGCAGGGCTACAGTTCGGGACAGCAGCAGCTTGACGAGTACGGCCAGCCGACATACGACGGCAACGCGTACCAGCGGCCTCAGACCTCGTCTACGGAGCAGGGTGTGTACACGGCACCACCTCCTAAGGAGCCGGAGAAGAAGAAGAGAGGCCTGTTTGGCAGGAAGAAGAACTGAGCGATACAATGAGAGAGACCCAAATAATTGAGCCACCCCGCCCATGGCCTTTGCGAGTTGGCCTGTTGCTGCAGTTCGGTGCTCGGTCTTGTATTTTACTATGGATGCGATGTGTAAAGAATGAATTTTTTCTGTACCGAAGGGCGTAAATAAATAAATTTTTTTGCGAAAAAAAAAGAATCATGCTCAGAAGACAGGCCAGAGAGAGAAGGGAGTATCTCTATAGAAAAGCACAGCAGCTGCAAGAGCAAACTCTTATAGAGAAACGCAGACAGCTCAGCCATGCGCTGGCTACGGGGAAGAACCTGCCCAAGGAGATCGCCGACGACGAGAAACTGCAGAAAGACTATTTATATGACGAATCGATCCAGGAGATCGTCGATGACGAGTACTCTGCACTTTCGGGCCTTGTGGAACCGAAGATAATAATCACAACGTCTAGAAGCCCCTCGTCCAGGCTTTCACAGTTCACAAAGGAGATGAAGCTGCTATTTCCTAATGCCATGAGACTCAACAGAGGTAATTATATACTTAGTGATCTGATTGAGACGTGCAAAAAATCGGGAGTCACAGATGTCATCGTCATTCACGAGCACAGAGGTGTGCCTACAACGCTCACAATTACACACTTACCTCACGGGCCTTCCGTCACTTTCACTCTTCACAACGTTGTTCTTCGTCACGATATTTTAAATGTTGGCTCGCAATCAGAGGCTTATCCGCATCTTGTATTTGATAACTTCACCTCCAAACTCGGCAACCGCGTTGTGCAGGTGTTGAAGCACCTATTCCCGCCAGGAGTGAAGCCACATTCGCCGAGAGTAATCAGCTTTGTGAACAATGAAGACTTCATCAGCGTGCGACAGCATCTGTATGTGCGGACTAAAGATGATGTTGAGCTCAGCGAAGTGGGCCCAAGGTTTGAAATGAGGCTGTTTGAAGTTCGCCTCGGAACGATGGACGACAAAGACGCCGACGTTGAGTGGATGCTGCGCCGGTTTGTGCGGACCGGTAATAGGAAGAACTATCTGAGCGAGTGATAAACAAGCAGATATATTTTTCGTATAAAAACTAGAAGTCCGTGTTAAGTACGCAACCCTTCATTTACATAACTGTGCATACTATCTTTGTCGGAGTCGTCGTCAACCAAAACATCGTCGATGTTGTGGCTGCCTGTCTTGAAGGAGTGTTGACTGGCATTTGATAATCTAACAGGAATTTTCTTTTTTTGAAATCCAGTGAACCTGAAAGGGATGGACGACTGGTCGGTTTCGTTATCGGAGTCGGAGCTCTGCAAGTCAACAGAGAACTTTTTCCCGGACTGGACGCTCGAGGTTCTCTGGCTGAAGGGACCTCTGGCGTAGATTTGAGGCGAGATAGGGCCTCCACATGGAGAAAGCGAGGAACTCGATGCCTGGGCTGAGGCGCTAGGCCCAAAGGCGGTGTGGATTTGGGGAGCCTGCACGCTCACCGGAGACCTTTGCGAGAAGGAGGTGGACGAAACAGAGCTGGTCCGGGACAATCTTGGGTGATTCGAAAGACTGGCGCTAATACTTGGACGTCTAATAGGAATTTTCGATTCCTGGTCTTCCTGGGTGATCATATCGGCGTACGAACAAAAGGAAAGGGTGGATTTATTTTGCTTGAGCATGGGCGACGTGACAGGCGAATTTTGTTGTGCTTGAGGAATATTCGATGTAGTGAGAGAATGGTTGAACGCAGGACGCGGACTTTGGTTGGACATCAACTGTTCCGTCAGATTGGAGCTGCTGCGTTTCGTGCTAGGTCTGGAGGAGAGAGACATTTTTCTGTACCCTGGCGAAGCGAATGCGGCCTGCAGGTTGGCGGTCGACGATCTTCTTGGATAGCTCATATCGACCTGATCGAGCTCGTCGTGCGAGATCTGCGCGGTGAGATCGAGCGAGGCAGGAACAAAGTTTTCAGTAGAGTATTGCCGAGGCAGAGAAGATGAGATCGGCTGAGAGTCGATTAGCTGGTCTTGAACAAACCGCTCAAAGATCAGAGAGTCCTTGCGCTTCGACTGCGAGCCTCGCGAGGTGTTTGAGCGTGCTTGCGACGGCGACGATGATGTGCTCGGAGGAGGCACGCTCTCCAGCGAGATCTGGTCGCCATCGAGGTTGGAGGTGGCTCTGTGGCACTGGTCTTCATCAGACAGCGAGAGAGGCGAGTTCATAACGTTCGCGTTCCCAATTGAAGAGCCCCCCGTGCCACGGCGCTGTGTGGTGTGCTCCGCTGGATCATGGGAAGACTCCACCTTGGATAACGAGTGCTTTTTCTCTCCAAATGTAAAGTTCGACAATCTGTTCTGATTGGACGGAACCAGATGCGATTCCTTACTGGAAGGTGACAACATTAGTAGCAACCCTGTTCTTCTTCAACGTCTCCAAACTTGAAGATAAAAAATACGGTGTACCTATCTTGTCCTATGCAACATTCTTGGGTTTTACGTGCGCAGACAAGGTCTCCAGGTCGTGCGTGGAACAACACTTCCCGTTCTGGTGATGCACTTTCTGCACAATCTCGCGGGCAAAACTTGAGGATTCCCGCTGCAGTACGATTCGCCGGACCGACGAGGCAAAATAAAGTTACCCGGCCGAGTTTCACGCACATCCTCGGACGACGAGCACGGCGTTGCTTTTTTCTTTTTGCTCCCCCCTGGCGTAGCTTTTTTTTTTCGTCCGCGACCTCCTGTCCGCACGCATACACCGTTTGAGGCAATTTCACGTGAGCGCAGGGCACATGATGTTGCGCCATGTGATTGCTTTCATGACTCGACCATAGATCTCGGACTTTGGTCTTTATGGTGCGATTCTAAGGTCATCGGCTTCCCTATATAAACAAGTGGAGAATCCAGCTACCGGAAAACTTTGACATTGGGCGGCAACTCATCCTTGGGTCACCCGCTGAGTATAAATCATCCATCCTTGCGCTTAGCAGTGCATTTTCTCTTTGCTCTATGCCTACGATTCCTCAGGCTTCCACCCAGCTCCAGTTTACCGCCCATGAGGGTTCCCCTATGATTGACACCGTCTGGCGCCCCAAGCGCTCATACGACGATGCAGACAATGGCTCTGTTTCGAAGAAAATACGGCCACTATCGTCCACTTCCCCTAGCTCAGAATTTGTCAAGAGCTGCCGCCGAGGAGTGCCCGAGGTGGTGATCAAACAAGCGCATTTGCCAAAGTCGAACGTTTTCGATCTGCTCGACGTGGCCACTGATAACGACGACATGCATTTTCTGGGACCAGAATCAGACACTAAAATCGTGTTCGATCAGCATAGGGCCAACTTCTCGCTTCCGATGGTGCTTTTCTTCTTTGGCGCTGCAGATTGCGATTCCCAGCTGCTCCAGTTGATGGACTCTGCGCGTTTCCACGGATATGTTCTTGGGGTAACCAGCAGCTACGACGGGTCCAATAGCTATAATTTCCCAATACTAGTTGATTCGCGTGGAGAGTTGGCAAAACACCTTGGGGTGACCGATCCGTTGGGCGGCGGAACGTATCCGCTAGCATCAGTGATGGTTTTCAACCGAGACGGACTGGAGCTGGTGAAGATCCTTGTGAATTACGACCACAACAAATATTTCGGCTCGGGCCAGAGCCTACAACAGGTGATTGAGGAGACTCTGGAGTATATTAATGTACACTAGCTTTTCGACGCCCTAATAAAAGACACTGGATTATCGTATACACGCGCTCATGCGACAAGTCGCTGTCTTTCCTGCTCCAACTCCTTGAACTCGATGCTTTTTTGGTCAATCTGTTTTCTGACTTCTTCAAGGGCCTTTTCGATCCGGTCGATCTCCTGCCGCTCTGCCTCCTTGGTGAACTTGGAGTTCTCGCTTTTGTAGGGCAGCAGCGAGCCGGGCTTCGCGGTCAGCAGCCTGAACATTCTCTCTGTAGGCTCATTGAAAACTATCTCGTCGAACAGTATGCTCTCCACTCTGCCGGTTTTCTGGCTTTCCTCCACGTTCGGCCCGTACGGATGGAGTTTCAAATGGTGGTAGAATGTGATATTTTTCTCGCCGCAGTCGTTGTTGAAGTATATCTTGATTACAATCTCAAACTCTCCCCAGCCGGTCTCAGACACCTCGAATGGCGGCTCCTCGATGGATCGAGTCGGGTTGTTGTAGGTGTCGTGCAGTTTAAACACAACTTTGCGAATATAGCTCGACAGGTCGTTGCCTAGCGGGTCAGCAACAAACACCTTCCATGTGTGCGTGTGATCTGCGGGCGCGCCTTCGGGAAGCGGGTTGGTCTCGGATATTTTCTGGGCCATATTGCCGTAGATGATAGGCTTGGAGATGGAGATGTTCTTGATTCTGCGCGAGGAAGAGCTCTGCGGAGGCATCACGCGGAAAATAATCGAAATAAAATATAAAAAAACTGTGCAACGGAGATTTTTTAGCCAGATATTTATTTATTCACATCATCTCACTGAATCCAGTTCCAACACTTTTGGCAAATCCGCCCTCCTTCGCAGCCATCTCGTAGTAGCCGTAGATGGTGGTGACGGCCAAAAGAATGGACGTTCCAGAGCCCAGACAGCCGGAAAGGTCGCTGACAACGGAGAGAGCGCCGATGGTGGCTCCACCGAACGCAGCAGCAGTAGGAATGATTTTCTTTAGTTCTTTGTAGACGGACGTCTCTCTGTGACCCGCAATTACCAAACCTTGGTCCTTGAACTGCTTGGCAACGTCTCTAGGAGAAGAGCCAGAAACCTCGATCCAGGTCTTTGAGAAAAATGCACAGGTGGCCAGCACAAATATAATGTAAATGGCGGTTTTAATTGGGTCCAAAAACGCCTCCGTCAGAGAGAACGGTGGCTGCATGTAGTAGGCGATGCCCGAAGAGGCAAACAACTGCTGGGAGCCTGCCCTTGGCTCCCAAGTGCCCAGCAGCTTGACAAGCACATTGTTTGGGAATCTGGTGTAGAGCATCTGGGAAATGATGAAGATGTTGGAGGTCAGAGCACTCTGCAGCATAATTGGCATGTTTGAAGTGTAGAAGAGTCTGATTGGGTACAAGCCGTATGGGCCTCTCTGTCTGGTGGATTTGACAGGAAGTTCGACCTTGAGCGACTGCAAGTAAACCACGGCAAGGAAGACCAGAATGGTGACGATCACTTGGAACATGTTTGCGGCGTTGTCTCTGTAGAATGCTTCAATCAGAGCAGCCCTCTTGGACTTCTTAGTAAACAGAAGGTGGACGAAGGCCAGAACGGCACCCTCAAATTCTGTTCCACGGCCTCTGTTGATGGTGGTTGGAGCAAAACATCTCCAGAAAATTTGCTCGCAGATATTGGTGGCCATGAACAAGGAAATGCCCGAACCGAGACCGTAGCCCTTTTGCAAGAGCTCGTCCAGAAGAATGACCACCATGGCGGCAAAGACCAGCTGCAAAATCAGCAACAAGCAGACGCCAGTGCCCAAATCACTTGGACGACCATACATTCCCGTCAGAACGTACACGGTTGCCTGTCCCACAGAGAGCAGAATCGCGAAGATTTTCTGTGCCACTTGCAGCAATTCACGGTCCTTCTTGTTCTCCATGTTGACAGTGAGCAGCTGGGTGCCTTGCAACAGCTGGAAAACCATGCCGGAGGTGACAATTGGCGAAATACCCAGCTCCATCAATGTGCCCCTGTTCGAGGCCAGCATCATTCTGAGCCAGTACAGAGGGTCCGAGGAGTCCGAGGCAGTGATGCCGTACAGCGGGATCTCGCTCATGACCAAGAATATGAGCAGAGTGACGCCTGTCCACATGAGCCGTTGATTGAAGGGCACTTTTCTTTCTGGGGCCAGCACTTCTGGCAGAAACGGCGTGAACGGTTTCACAAGGTCCAGAACACGGACTGCGGGTTAGCTGGCGGCAAACAAAGCCAAACGGCGCGGTTTTATAACTTACAGTCGCTCATGTTTCGATTGCCTGAATTTATCGAAGTTCAGAGGATTTGACAATTGAAAAATTGACACCTACACGATTTAATTTTTTTCAACCGAAACAAATAAACCGTCATCATTTCTTTATATACTGCAGCAGTTTCTCGATCTCCTTCTTGCTTCCGAGCCAAATTCCGCTTCTCTCGTGGATCTTTTTCGGAACCAGATCCAGAATGCGCTGGCCCTTGTCATTAACAGCCTCTCCGCCGGCCTGCTCCAACAGCAGAGCCATTGGGAAGCACTCGTAAAGAACTCTCAATTTTCCCGTCTTCGATTTCGAATCAGCCGGGTATGCAAACAATCCGCCGTACAACAGTGTTCTGTGCACGTCTGCCACCATCGATCCAATGTATCTGGCAGAGTACGGCTTTCCGTTGTTGTCTTCCTGTGGCAACTTCAACGATGCAATGAAATCCTGCACTTCTTTAGGCCAGTAGTACGAGTTTCCCTCGTTGACCGAGTAGATGGCTTTTTTCTCGGGCACTCTCAGCCGTGGCTTTGTGAGAATAAACTCGCCAAGATGTGTGTCCAGCGTGAACCCGTTGACGCCATGGCCCGTCGTGAGCATCAAATGCGCACTTGCGCCATACATGGTGTACCCAGCAGCCACCATTTCTGTTCCCGAACGCAGAACGTCCTTGATGCTACCCTTGGAGCCTGGTTGCAGCTTGTAGACACCAAAGATGGTACCGACAGACACTCCGGCGTCCAGGTTGGACGAGCCGTCGATCGGGTCGCAGCAGACCGCGTAATTGCCCTCGGAGCCCTCAAAAATAATCAGATCCTCTTGCTCCTCGCTCACCAGCACCTTCACGTTGCCTGAGTTCTTCATCGCGTTGATGAAAATGTCGTCTCCAATGACATCGAGCTTTTTCTGGTCGTCTCCCGTGGCGTTTATGATGCCGGCAAGGCCAATCAGGTTGACCAGCTCGGCTCTGCGAATGGTATGTGCAATGAATTTGAAGGCGTATTGCAAAGAGTTGAGCAGCAATGTTAGCTCGCCGGTCGCGTGGGGAGCGTACCTATTCTGCTCCTCTAGAATAAACCTGGTCAGAGTGACCAAGTCGGTGTTAATGGTTTGCTTGGATTCCGACATTTTGTGGTATTGGCTGAAGGGATATTCACTATTTATGTACCAAGACTGAATCCGGGGGAATTCTGGGGCTGCGCTTGCGCAGAAAAACCCCGGGGTTTTTTCCCGGCCGGTAGCCTAAAAAATGACTATGTGCAATTTCATAACAAGGAAATAAATCCGTCGATTGCCTTGGCCCGCGCAGGCTCGCTGAGCGGCTTGGCTCCGGAAAGATAGCTCATAAACAGTAGCCGGCCGATCAGCGGCTCCTCAACAACGCCCATGCTGAACGGCTCCGCCATCTGGTCCCGGGTAGTGTACTGTTGGAACGACAATGCCAGCTTCCCGTCGTCCAGAAGCTGTAGCATCAGGGTGGAATTTTTCGACGCGGTCACTTTGCGGGCCCCAAAAGCCTTCCGCAGCTGGTCCAGCCCAGCGGCCAGCTTCTCGTCTGTTCCGTCGCCCCGCTTCGCCAGCTCCTTGTATTTCGGGTTGGATTTAATTGATTTAATCAGGCCGTCTCTCAGATGGTTGAAATCGGTGTTTCGCACAGGCACGATCTTGGCAGAAAACCGCACACCAGAAGATAACAGCAGCTCCACCACCTGCGGCGACAGGGCCGGGTCTCTCAGACTGAAGGCCACCTGCGACGGGTCGGGGCTGATGCTGGTGAGTGTCTTTTTCAGCAACGGCAGGTCTTGTCTGGCCACATAAATTCCCAGAGCGTACACCTTCATGTTCAGAAAGGTGACCGTTCTGATGCCGTAGCCAAGCAGTTGGAACGGCGTTTGCAATAGGTAGTCAGACGTGACCACAGGGAACGAGTGCACGGACGAGTCGACGCTGACGAGGTTTTCTGGGTCCTGCAAAGGTGCTGCGTCGCTCAGGATTTGGGTGTACGAGAAGTACGACCCGACAGCCATGCCGACGCCGCTGAACGCAAGAAGTCTTCTGCTAGGAGTTGCATATCTCACACTGGCGAAGGCCCTCCGGCCAAGCCGAGGCCAACTTTTTCTTATTGCGCAAAGCCCAGACCTAAACATAAAGTATAATTTTTAAAACGGTGCGTTTCTCGCTTTTTCTCGCTTATTTCGTAACGTCAAACGAAGCCCCGCCTGACTTAGAGACCCGGTCCAAAACGTCGCTGCAGGTGTCCGAGGCGGACGACACAAACCTCGAGTTCATGATCCCGGAGCCGCCGTTCGAGAGTATCTCCAAGTTGCGGCTCCTCACTTTTATCGCTCTAATGGCTACTTCCCAGATAATTTCCCAGGCACTTCTGGCGCAGTCGCTCGTGCCGGCCCCCTATACGGCGAAAACGTTTGGCAAGGAAGACAACCAGGGCCAGATCTCGTGGATGACAGCAGCATATTCGCTCTCAGTGGGCACGTTTATCCTGATCTCGGGCAGGGTCGGGGACCTGCTTGGCTATAAGAAAGTGTATCTTGCCAGCTACCTGAGCCTGGCTCTGTGGTCGCTCCTGGCGGGACTGAGCCGATACAGCGGCTCAATTGAGTTTTTCGACATCTGCCGCGCGCTCCAGGGTCTCTCTGTTTCGGCTGCGGTGCCCAACGCGCTCGGTCTGATGGGCCACTATCTGCCTGCAGGAAAAGTACGCGATTTGGCCTTTGGATTTTTCGGGGGAGTCGCGCCCCTGGGCTTTGTTTTGGGCGCCCTCATGAGTTCAGTACTCGCCCAGTTCGCCACGTGGCCGTGGGCATTCTACGTCACCGCTATGGTGAGTGTGGGCAGAACAGCGGTGTCAATCTTGGTGATCCCAAAAAATATCGTCACCGTGCACAAAAACCTCACCGCACACCATTTTGACCTCTACGGGGCTGCCACAGGTATAAGCGGTCTTGTGCTGATCAATTTTGCCCTCAACCAAGGCCCTGTCGTTGGTTGGCACGTGCCGTACGTCTACATTCTTTTGATTGTCGGGGTGGCATTAATGGCTGCCTTTGCCTGGATCGAACGCGTTGCTCCACACCCCGTCGTGCCAAAACTCAATGCTCCCGTGGTATTCACTCTCGCGTGCATCGCTTTCGGCTGGTCTAGCTTTGGCATCTGGATCTCTTACACGTTCCGATTCGCTTACGAGATCCTCAGGCTCAGCCCCCTGATTGCGTCTGTTCAGTTTATTCCGTCCTCCATTGCTGGAATGCTGGCCGGAATGCTCACCGCAAACCTCATCCACCGGGTGCCCGCCTCCATAATGCTGATGGTCGCAATGGCCTGCTTTTTGGGCGGGCTCGTAATCATGGGCCTCCGGCCGCGGGGCCAGATCTACTGGGCCCAGAAATTCCCTGCCATCGTGGTGGCCTGCTTTGGCATGGATATCAGCTTTCCGTCGGGGATACTGATTCTCTCCAACAAACTGCCAAGACGCCACCAGGGCCTCGCCGCGTCGCTCGTCACAACGGTTGTGAACTACTCGATCTCAATCGGTCTGGGCCTGGCTGGCACTGTTGAGTACTATAAACTTAAAAACGGAGCAGACGCGTACACGGGGATCCGCAGCGCGTTCTACATGGGCATGGCCTCTCCGCCAGCGGACTAGTCTGCTCTGTCGTCTATGTATACTACCAGCTGGTCAGGCACAGGCACAGTGCGCACAAGACTTAGTAAATAGCTATCGCTTCCACGCCACTTTGTCACGTGACCTGCTCCGCATCAAACACTGTTCCGTTTTCCGTATTAGGCTAAGACATCCCCAAAGTTTAGGCTATCTCTTTTTTTGCTTCACCAGCAACTTTCTCTGTTTGCTTTCCATCTCAATTATGTCCTTCACCACACAAGCCGAGATCAAGTCGTTTGGCGGCAAGCTGGTCAAGCTCCAGCACGACTCCAAAGAAACCCAGACTAAGATGGACGTCAATCTTTACCTGCCTGAACAGTACTACGAGCAGTCAGACTCAATGTTGCCAGTGCTGGTCTATCTGTCGGGATTGACGTGTACTCCTAACAATTGCTCAGAGAAAGGGTTCTGGCAGCCATATGCCAACAAGTACGGCTTTGCTGTCGTCTATCCAGACACTTCTCCAAGAGGAGCCTCGATCGAGGGAGAGGACGAAAGCTATGATTTTGGCAGCGGTGCAGGATTCTATGTCGACGCCACCGAGGAAAAATGGTCAAAGAACTACAGAATGTATTCCTACATTCTGAAGGAGTTGCTGCCTAACCTGGCTTCCTCTTACTCACGGCTCGACTTCGATAATATGTCGATTACTGGACATTCCATGGGGGGTTACGGAGCGTTAATGTTCTATTTCAGAAATCCAGGCAAGTTCAAGAGCGTGAGTGCGTTTGCTCCGATCTCGAACCCGTCCAACTGTGCTTGGGGCCACAAGTGTTTTGGCGGATACTTGGGTGCGGACAAGTCCAAATGGGCCGAGTACGATCCGTCCGAGCTGATCAAGAAGTACGACGGCCCAGACACCCCGATTCTGATCCACACGGGAACCGCCGATCCGTTCTATTTTAGGGACCACCAGCTGCTGCCTGAAAATCTTGTCAAGGCGAGCGAGGACTCCAAGCTCAAGGGCAAGATCGATCTGCATTTGGAAGAAGGCTACGACCACTCCTATTACTTCATCTCATCCTTCACCAAGGATCACGCAGCCCATCATGCAAAATACCTCGGTCTGAGCCCTAAGTTGTGAGCAAGTAGCGAGTTTCGTTTAGTTCAACTCAACCATCTCTAAATGGTAGACTTCGAACGATGGACCGTCGTCCACCGGCAAGTGCGCTTTTTCGTAGACAACGAGGGCGATGTTGCCTTTGTTCACAGCCGCGCCCGTTTCCATAGGACATCTGAACGGACCAAACATGGAAAAGGCGAGCATGCAGGAAATAATAAGCAAAACAAGGCCCGCAAGTGCTCTTCTGAACCGACCAGCCCTTTGTTTTCCGGCTGAGTCATCCTTGACGTCGTAGAGTTCGGAGTACCGAGGAGGCTCATCCGCCAGCTCGTCCTCCTTGTATGTATCGTGCCCGCTCTTTTCGTCCACATTCACTTTTTGGTAAACAGGCTCCACCTTGTACATCTTTGGCTTATACTGATCCATGTTGGTTGGGTCGACCTGGGGATCGTATTCAACAGGTTCAAACCTCATATACGGAGTGACAGAAGTGGTCTTTTTGTCGTTCATATTATAAACGTGTTTAGGATTCATCATGCACATTTTATATGTGTGTTCCAAGATAAGGAAGGATGGCAACTAAAAAATGGTGGTCATCTTCTGTGTTGGCGTCGATCGACTTTTCGTCTAATAAAAAAAACTAAGTGCTCTAATCTCCGCTTCATGGTTCCGCGTCCTCTTCTTGTTGAGGGCCCAGAGTATGTGGACTCTGCTCAGGACGGTGGCGAGATCAAATTGGTTGATTCTCACGAAAAGACAGTTTCCTGTTTCTACAGCCTGTGGTCGCTTTTCCACGGACGCCATAAGGTTGCCCTGACTGACACAGAGACGAAGGCGGAGCAGATCTACAATGAACAGAAATATGAGAGGCCGGCGGCTGCTGACCGCGTGAACACCACGACCAGACTGACCCGTCTGAGAAGTCTAATGAGATCCTACGAGGTCGGCGTCTACATTGTTCCGTCGCAGGATGAGCATCAAAGCGAGTACACCTCTCCCAAAGACCAGCGCCGCGAGTTTATATCAGGCTTCACCGGAAGTGCTGGAGTTGCCGTAGTCTCGCAGGACGACGCTGTGCTGTCGACCGATGGCCGCTATTTTCTCCAGGCAGAGCGGCAGCTGGACGAAAATTGGATTTTGCTCAAACAGGGAGTCCGAGGAGTTATGACCTGGCAACAGTGGTGTATTGAGAAGGCGAAGGTGTCTAAATTTAAGACTATTGCTGTGGATCCACGACTGGTGGACTACAAACTTGGAACGTTCTTCCAGGAAAGATGTCACAGCGCCAACATCGAGTTCCTGCCCCTAATGGACAACTTGGTCGACAAGGTGATGAAATATGAGCACTACGAGCCGTCTATTCCTCAGTTGGACTACATTTTTGAGCACGAAATGCGCTTCGCAGGCGAACACTCAGCAAGCAAGATCGCGCGTGTCCAGAACTATCTTCGAGAGACTGATGCCTTTGCTGTGGTCGTGTCGCAACTTGAGGAAGTGGCATGGCTTTTCAACCTTCGTGGCAGCTCTATCCCGTACAATCCGGTGTTTTTCTCGTACGCTATCGTCAAGCTGGATGGCGTTGAACTGTTTCTGGACAAGTCGAAGCTGACCCCGAGGGTGTCCAAATATCTATCGACCATTGCCGACCTCACCGTTTACAGCTACTCGCAATTTTGGGATAGTATTCCCGCGCTAAGAAACCAGTCCACCGACTCCCGTGTTGTCGTGCTTTCCAACAGTTCCAGCTATGCTCTATATATGAACGTTGCTGCCGCATTTGAGGTCAGAAACCGGTCTCTTATCACCGAACTCAAAGGAATCAAAAACCAAACGGAGATAGAAGGCAACCGGTTTGCACAGCTCAAAGACTCGGTGGCACTGATACGCACGTTTGCTTGGCTACACGAAGCATTTTTGCCGCCTCGGGCACAGGTAGACGAGATAGAGGTTGCTACGAAAGCCGCCCATTATCGGAGCCTCATGCCCAACTTCAAAGGGCTCTCGTTTGAAACAATATCCAGCACAGGGCCAAACTCGTCGGTGATCCATTATGCTCCGACGCTCGAAGATTTCTCTGTGCTTGATCCTGACCGAATTTTCCTGCTGGACTCGGGTGCGCAGTACTTAGACGGAACTACAGATATTACTCGCACACTGCATTTTAGCAAGCCGAGCTACGACGAGATAGAAAAGTACACTTTGGTGCTGAAGGGCCATCTGAACGTTGCCATGCTTAAGTTCCCGCCCGGAACGTCGTCGTCGTACATCGACTCTTTAGCTAGAAGACCGCTGGCAGAAAAGGGACTGAACTATAACCACGGCACGGGCCACGGCATTGATACATTTATCTGTGTTCATGCTGGGCCTTGCGGGTTGTCCCCAGCTGAGACAAGTTACAACTACAAGCCGTTGGAGCCTGGAAACTTTCTCAGCGACGAGCCGGGATATTACAGAGATAACGAATTTGGTGTCCGGATAGAGAGCGATTTGCTGGTCGTTGATGCCGGAGAATCGGACGGAACCAAGTTGTTGGCGTTTGAATACTTCACTCTCGTTCCTTTCTGCAAGAACCTTATCGACGTGAACCTGCTTGAGCCCGAGCAGGTCAGCTGGATCAACGACTTCTACGACAAAATCCGCACCTCTACTATTCCTATACTGGAGAAGCTTGGCGACACTAGGGCAATTGATTGGTTACTCAAAGAGACGGAGAAACTATAGCACGTTGATTTTGGCGTATATACAGATACCTCGCTCATGATGATGATGATGAATATGGTGAATTTAATGAATTCAGTGTTTGCGGACCTCGAGCGGACTGTCAAACTGGGAAATCTTTTCGTGCGTGTTGACGTAATAATACAGCTGCAGGACAGGATCGTAGCGGACTTCCCAGTGGGGAGGGAGTTCTTCGAAAGCCTCGGCAAAATCGTCTATGGACAGAATAGACTCTGTCGTATCGTCGTTGTTCAGGGAGCCGCAGGAGGCCGGGGAGCTAGCCTGTGTAGAACTGCTGCTATGCGAGAGAGTTTTCTTCAGCAGTCGGGGAAACATCGCCTTGATCCTATGCAGTTTTGTATGTTCCATACTTGGTTTTCGCACATGGCTTTCAATCTTGGCAGCCATGGCCTTATATAGTTGGTCAGCTATGTGCACTTTAGTCACAGCCCGATATATATACGAAAGCGTGGAACGGCAAAAAAATGACTCCGTCCGGCTCCCGTTCGGTCCGACGCAAGAAAAAATTATTACCGGTCTTTATTTCTAATACGGAGTTTAGACACTCATGGGATTCGGATTTACATGAGCGTGGTCCGGCCGCCAATATTTGTGCTTGCTTGACCATCCGGCAGGTTGCCCTCTCGCTTGCCATCAACGAATTGGGAGTAGATCTGGGCAAAGTTGCGCAGCTCCTCGTTGGAGATACTCTTCTTGGTTTCTTCTAGAGCAATCTCGAAGTGACTGTTGTTGATGACGATCTGGTTTGGCTTTCCGCCAGAGTCGTGCCCCACGTCTTCCCACGAGCTAAAGTCCGTAATATGCAGGTTTTTACAGATGGTATCGATTTTGCTGGCTATGTTGCCCGATGGTTGCAAGTGTTTGAGCATGCTGAAAAATTCAATTTTGCGTTCTGTAGTGCCCTCGTTCATGTCTGCAAGCTCGTCGAGACTGTCGTGCACAGCTTTCAGATACGCGTTGTAGACAAAGGCCTGTAGATCTGCGCCAGAATAGCCCTCTAGTTTGTGCGCAAAGTGTTCGAGCTGGCATTCGTCAGACACGTGGAATTTCGAAGCAACGGTTTGCAATATGTCCAAGCGGTTCTCGTAGTCGGGCAGGTCGCATAGAATGGACTTGTCTAGCCGTCCTGGCCTCAACAAAGCGGAATCAATCAAGTCCGGACGAGACGTGGCGGCCAGCACGTACACGCCGTCGAGTCCCTCGGCTCCATCCATCTGCGTCAGCAGCTGGTTCACCACTCTGTCGGTAACTCCTGTCGAGTCGTGGCCCCTCTTCGGCGCAATAGAGTCGAACTCGTCGAAAAACAAAATGCACGGCTTTGCGCTTTGCGCCCTATCAAATAGCTCCCTAATGCTCTGTTCGGAAGCACCGATATATTTGTTTAAAATTTCTGGGCCCTTGATGGAGATAAAATTTAGTCCGCATTGCGACGCCACGGCAGACGCCAGAAGTGTCTTTCCGCATCCTGGGTACCCGTACAGCAGGATTCCCGAACGCAGACGCAGGGGACAGTTTGCAAAAATGGGGGCATACTTGGTTGGCCATTCTAGGGTCTCCAGAAGCACACGTTTGGCGTCTTTGAGACCGCCGATGTCGGACCAGGCCACGCCAGACTTCTGCAACTTCACCCCACGCAAAGACGACGGAACGAACCCCTCCAATGCGCGCTCGAAGTTCGAGGCTCGCAGATGGAAGTCGTTGTTGTCGAGTGTCGATGATATGTAGTCGTGGAAAGTCCTGTCAGCAAGGACTTTGAGGTCTGACGGCAGATATCCCTCTGTTTCAACGGCGATTTCATTCAAGATCTCGTCTTTTTCAAGATCCATATTGTACTCGTCAATAAAGCTCCGTAGCAATTCTTTTCGCAGCTCTTTATCTGGAGCTTTCAGACTAAACTCCTGTTGGACGAGATGGGTCTGGAAAACCGTTGCGTTCAGCGCTTCTTTCGACTTCGACGAACATAAGAGCGATATCTCACGTTCCCGTGTAAGAGATTTCAGCGAGCTGACCATAAGCTCGCTCACCTGCCTGCTCAGCCCAGAGTCTCCGTGCTCCACTTCCTGAGGAATAAGAGAGTCTAAATTTTCAAAGACAAGCAGAGATGGCGCGTGCCAGTTGGCTTCCTTGATAGCGTCGTCCAGCGTAGTTTTAATTGCATGGAAATTGTCGTTTGAGACGGTCTCGCAGTTGATAGTTTTGGAATAGTATCCGTGCAGCGTTATCAGGCGATGCACAACCTCACTGATCAGCGTCGTTTTTCCCGATCCCGACGCGCCAGAAAGAACACAGTTATGCCCATATCTGACGGATCTGACTAGCCTGGCAATAAGCTCCTTGTGTCCAACGACCGACAGGTCTTTTGGCTCGTCTTGTCTTTCCACAAACGATTGCGGTTGCAGTCGATCGTCGCCTAGCTCGAAAATTGGCAGCTTCTCGCCTAGCAGGGCCCATTGGCAGCCGTCTCTCAGCTCCAGAAACCCTCCGTGGGGTAGCAGGTCGGGTATAATCGGCACTTTCATGCCGTTAGTGATTGGACAGTTTGTGAAATTCAGCCGTTTGAAGTGTTCTTGGAATTTGGCACTCAGCGCCTTTTTTGATTCTGCCTGCTTCAAATGCCGGTTCTGGTCCTGTCTGAAGGCCAGCTCGTTCACGGGCGGTGTTTGTGTGACAATCTTGTGCAGAACAACCGTGTGTACGTCCGTGCCGTATTTTTGCGGAGCAGCCTCGATACAGACCATATCTCCGCACCGGTGCTCAATACCGAGTGCAATAGCCAGCAGAGGCGAGACCCCGGCACTGCGCCGCGGAGCAAGTGGGTCGTCCACCAGTACGGCTATTACTTTCCGCTGCTCTGGGTCGGGTTGTGCAACCGAGCCGTTGACGCTTTTATGGTCAACCACAGACGACGAGTTATTTCTTGAGCTGCCTGAGGAGTCAGTGTCGTGAGTTTTCGTTTGCTCGGCCACGGAGCTGGCTTTTGCAGGCGTTCCCGGTCCCGTGACCACAGACACCTGCGCGTATTTTATGGATTTGAACTGGTGGTTGACGAAGTCCTGGTCCAGGTTGACGTATATTGCGTAGTTTTCGGACGAGTGGCTAACATGCTGGAAAGTTTTATGCGGCAGAGAAATCGAGCGCAAAAGACAGGAGGGCACAGTGTCAAACTGTGAGGAGCGACGTCCAGACACGGACCGTCGGCGTCGCGAGGACCCGTCGCTCGGCTGCTTCTCGCGTCTGTGCGCCTTGGGAATGATGTGCAGCTCGGAATCATTCGCCAGGATTCCGCGCTCGATCTCATCTGTTTCTGATGTGATTTTTTTCACCACAAACTTGATCACATTGTTGGGGCTGGAGCTGGGGTACACGGCGAGCTTCTGGCCCAGAACGGCGCATCTGACCTGGTTCAAAAATCGATCCTCGACCGTCTGGGCATACATTTCGGTCAGCTCCCAGTCAGCGCTTGTTTCAGGCTCTAGTTCGACGGACTGGATCTTGGGCAGCGAGAGAGATAAACGAATGACGACTTTCCTCGACTCGCGAAGCCCAATGGAGCTCGCGTAGACAGAGTCAATCTCGATGGTTTTCGGATCGCCCGAAAAATAGCCGTTCCAGCCAACAAGCCACTTCGCGTCCTTCTTTCCTCCACTGGGACGGAAGTTGAGCTCCACTGCAATGTTCTGAATAAGTATGTTGTTGGCGAGAAACGGGTTGATCAGGGGCGCCGGCAGGTTCACAAGACAGTTGTTGAGCGGCCTGAACACCACGGTTACCTCCTGTGAGTCCATAATGAGCGGATTTGGATTTTCCCCGAATTATTTCACCCGCTTTAAATACCTGTTGGTGCTCGGTTTACCTAAATGGGATCATTTTGTCGATAAGGGTCGATTGGCGGTCGAGTGAAAAATCCGCGTCGACAAAACAATCCAGAGTGAATTTTATTGTCCTCGTGTCATGCCGGCCAAGGGGTGGAAAAAAGACGGCGACGACTCGAATTTCGAGACGGCAGCCGATAACGAGAAAGTGTCCATCGAATCGATGCTGTTTCCGAAGGCCACAGTGCACAAGGTGGCCAAACAGGTCCTCTCGCAGTCGGAAACCAACATGATCCTCGCGAAAGAGTCGCAGACCGTTCTGCAGCGCGGGTCGGTGCTATTTGTGAACTACGTGTACCATCACGCGAAACAGGTGGCCAAGGAGCAAGGGCGCAAGGTTGTCAACGCGAACGACGTGCTTGCGGGCCTCGAGCGCGCTCAGTTTGGCGGATTCGTGCCCGCTCTCAGCGAGGAGCTGGAAAAATTCCACTTGCGCAAGGAATACAAGAAAAAGAAGAAGGACGAGATCAACGAGCCGGACGACGAGCACGAAAACGAGAGCAAGCGGGCAAAGCTGGACGTGGACGAAGCAATGGCCGAAGACGTTCCAGAAACTACTCAGGACGATGCAGCCGCCGAAGCCACGGAACTAGGTGAGGACACTGAGGAAGCCGAGGAAGATGCCGAGGACGACGGGGCGCCAGCGCTGACCCCGTCCCAGCATCTGCAGCAGGAGATGAAGGAGCTCGAGGGAGATGAGCCTACGGAGACGGCCGAGTCGGAAAACGAAGGGTAGAACTATATTGCATTAGAGTGTCTTCTGGTGGGGCTGAGACGGTTTCGAAGGATGGAGACATCTCGTGTAGAACGGGAGGCCGCACTCGAGGCCGACGAATAGATATATCACGAAAAGGACGACTGCGCTGACGAGAACAAGGAACTTGACGTTAGACCACCACAGTTTGCGCTTCACCATCACTGTTCTTCTGCGGAACGAGCCGGCAGAGGAGTTGAGATTGTTAGTCTTGTTAATGAGCGAGTTGAGGTTCTCGCCCCTGTGGAGAATGCGGTCGATGTTTTCGGACATGAGATCTCGAAGTTCGTCCAGTTCGCTAGTCGTGGTGGCTCCGTAGTTGGCTGTCAGCTGGCGCAGCTTGAGTTCATGATCCACGATCAGATCGCGCATTCTGTTCTTGAATTCGTAACTGAGCGTGCCGTCTTCCGTTTGGTAGAAGTGCGCCAGATACTCCTCCATGATTTTCTCCATGAGGTTGTACACGAAGCGGTCGAGCATGCGATCATTGCAAAGAGCCACGATTGTAATTAGATCGTTATTTTTCATCAGCTTCTTGTGGTAGTAGAGCATCAGATTCGTGAGCACGTTGCGCGGGGCTGTCCCGTGCGAGCCCGTGACGCCCATCACCACGTTGTTCGCCAGCTTGAGGCTGTTGATTCTCGTCTCCTGGACAGAGTTGATCACTCCCAGATTCTTCGAAACAAGCTCCGAGTAGTTCACGTTCAGCTTGCTGGTAAGGCTGGCATTGTCGTAAGTGTAGAGCGTCGTGGAATTCAGACTCAGCGCTGCGTAGTAGACGCTGCTATCGAGCTCTTGCTCAATGTTCATGCAAATAAATAATCAAATAGATCACGTAATCAACACAATGGTGCATTTTATATACAGTTTACACAGGCATTTGGTAGTGCAGATCAGTGAAGTCCGAGACCAGAAGCACCTCCAGCGGCTCAGACGTAGCCACCGTCAACGTCCCCTCAACCTTGTCGACTCCGCCAATTCGTTTTGGTGAGAGCCGTTTCATAGCGTAGATCTGGTCCGTTTCGAGGCTGCAGGCTATCGCAAACCACGTTTCTCGCTGCGGCTTCGAGAATTTTGGACAGTAGACCTTGAAGTCGCGATTCAGCGGGGGATTCGAGTGCACCAGCTCGACGTGGATCTCTTTGTCCGTTTTCGCAGCCCTGTATTTGCCAACGGGAAGGGTGGAGACGATCTTTTTGAACTGCTCGATATTTTTCGGCTTCAGCCGGTGCACCAATTTGTTCAGTTCTCCGGCCTGCTCGCCTGCTTTCTGGAGCAATGAAGGCGGCGGCAGCCCTGTGTATTTGCCGTCGTTCTCTGTTTTTTCCCAGTCGTTCACTCTCATCCCAGGCAAAGCGTAGATAAAGTCCTCGTCAAACCACACTGCCTGCTTCACGCACTGCATCAGTCTGATCAGCATCAACACCGTCGACAGATAGCCCAGCTCGGCTGCCGCGTCAATGTACGCCTGCAAAATACGCAGACTCTGGTCCAGCACGGAAACTGTGTCCTGAGAGTAGTCTGCTATTGGCAGCTCAATTCTCGAAAAATAGGCCTGCAGCAGCAGGAACGCCTTGATGTGCGGGTCCCAAATAAACTCGGCATTCTCCATGTCGTTGGCAGGATAGCGCATCTGCTGGGACAGCTCCATGTTGATCAGTTCCTCGCCGTGTCGCGTTGGCAGCTCGTCGTACTCTGTGGCCTCGGCCAGCCATCTCAGACACTGGCGGAATGAGGCTTTGGGGACAACGGATTTGAGCAGGTTGCGCAGCGTCTTGTGCGACAGATAATAGTACGACGCTATGTGGAGGAACGGCGTTGGTTTCAGCTTGTCGGAGTACGAGATCACACATTTGGACTCCTTCAGATTCTCAATAGAATTATCGATCAGGTCGCTCAGGAACTTGCTTATTCCCTCGGTGCTATTATCGGTAATTCCGTAATACGTCGGGTTGTGGTGCGCCCTTCGGTACAGAAACGTCCAGGTAAGAAACTCAACCGCGTCCTGCCTGGTTTTGATAGTTCCTGCCGAAATCTCGGCTCCCAGGTGGTTGTCCAACACCTTGTGGAGCGACGACTCAACTGGAAACCCGACATTGAGGAAGTGCTTGTAGAACTGCTTTTTCGACTCCTTGGTGAACACAATGGCCACGCCGCTGGTGTCGAAAGCCGGTCTTCCTGCTCGTCCCATCATCTGCAAAATGTCTGTCAGGTCCATGTCTCTGTAGCCCTCGATTTTGGCGTCGAAGAACTGCGTTCCCTTGATGATCACCAAGTACGCAGGCAGGTTGACTCCCCAGGCGAGCGTGGACGTGGCAACCAAAATCTGGATCTTGCTCTGCTCAAACAGCTTGTGCGAGATCTGCCGGTCGCTCTCCACTAAGCCGGCATGGTGCAGCCCTATACCAAACTGCAGAGACAGTTTCAACGTTTCGTCCTTGACTTTTGGTAGAATCTGCTGTAGTTCTGTGTCGTCCATCTTCAGAAACCGTCTTGGGTTCTCCTCCATCCCACAGAGGTGGATCAGGTCCAGCGCGGTCAGTCTGGTCTGTCTTCGCGAGGCGACGAAAATGAGAACCGGTTTCTGCGGCGAGTGCTGTTTGATGGCCATGAACGCTGGCTTGTTCATCGTTTTCATCAGCGGACAAAAAGCCAGGTTGTCTGGGAACCCGTCGATGTACATCTGCAGCGGCACCGGCCGCACGCTCGGCGGAAAATTAAACAGCCCGTCCCTCACGCCCAGCCACCCGGCCATGTCCATGGCATTGGAGATGGCAGTTGACAGGCCAAGTAGCCGAATAGGCTTTTTGGTGAATGACGAGATGAAGTTCATTCTGCTGACAATAATCTCCAAAATCGGTCCTCTGTCACTGGCCAGCAAATGAATTTCGTCCATAATCACGAGCGAGACGTCCTGCACAAATTTCCGTGTCTGCCAGTTACGGGAGATACCATCAAATTTCTCCGGCGTGGTGATGACTATGTCGGCCTCACGCACCTCGCGCGCTTCCGGCAGCGAATCTCCCGTCATTTCCACCACCCTGTGCTTCGTGTTCCTGGAGATGCGCTGTCTCCAGTCGTCAACCCGCTCTCTAACCAAAGCTTTCATTGGCGCAATGTAAACCACCTTGGAGCCAGGAAACTCGTTGAAAGCGTGCCAGATGGCCAACTCTGCGACTACCGTCTTCCCAGACCCCGTCGGCGAGCCAACAAACACGCTGGAGTTGGTGTTGTACAGCGTGTGGAACACCATCGTCTGCATCGGGTTGAAATAGTGGAATTTAGCTCCGTAGATTTTCTCCACCTCCTGGTTGTGCAGAGCCGTGATAGGCAGCGGCTGCAGCCGCAAAAGCTTCGTCTGGATGGTCTCGTTGTGCGGCTTGATCAGCTTCTGGAACGAGACCGCGTGCACCGTCTCAGAGCCGATCCAACTGTCGCTGAGAGCACGGACCACGATCTGGGGCGGCGGCGGGTCGCTGAGCGGGATCATAAAGTCCATCTCGTGCGGCGCGCTCATCTGCCGCTTGCTCAGCAGAAACTTCTCGAAGTGCAGGATCGAGCCCTTGTCGCTCTCCTCAACCAGAAGCCAGAATAGCTGGACGTTGCCGTGCGTCTCAAAATGCCACGCAAAATCGGGCTCTATGGTCACGTGCACACGCATCACGTTTGTCGTCACCGGAAACACCTCGGCGTCCACCAGCACGTACGGGAACCGGCCCACGAGCCTGTACAGGATGGGCCCCATTCTGGCGTTGTGCACGAGGTCCCCGAGCTCGGCCGCGCTCATGTCGCGCAGCGTCTCCATCGACGGGCCGTGAGCCTCGATGTTGCGGAGGATCTGCTGCGGGAGCTCAAACTGTCGCATCGGGTGGTTGAACGACCAGAGCTGTTTCTCGATCGATTTGCAGATGGACAGCATCACGCGCGCAAAAACGCCCCACCGGCGGTTCAACCCAATCAGAAACAGCGCACGGCAGATCCTCGCGGCATTCTGTGCCACGTAGTTGGCGTCTGAGATCAGCGCAGAATCTTTGATGGCTGCCCGCGAAATGTACGCCTGAAGGAGGATGTTGGACTTGCCCTGGGCGGACGCAACCTCCGCGGCGATCTCGCACGCTGTCTTGTCGTTTTTGAGCTGCTCCAGCTCCTTGGACTCCTCCTCGCGGAACTTAATGTTGTCGAACTCCGAGCTCATCGCGATGATGCTCAGTACGTCCGCCTCAGTGGCCTTGGGGCTCATCATCTGGTTGAAGATTTCGACAGACTCGTTCAGTAGGTAGAAATCAGACGCGACGCGGCCCAGATCCTTCGGAATGAACGCTCCCGACCGTTCATCGAAAACAATCATCTGCAACGAGTGCAGCTTTTTGGCAGCGTCGATAATCATGTCGCGTCTTTTTTGCACCAGCAGCGGGTCTTTGGCAAGCTCCTGCCAGTCTATTCCGTACGCAAACGGGTTCTGCTTCATCCGAACATACATGTACGTGTAGCCGAGCCACTGCACGCCCTCGTCGACGTTGGTGACGGTACCCAGGGAGATCTCTGCATTCAGATTGTCCACCAGTTTAGCCGACAGTTTCGACTCGATCGGGTGCTGCTGCAAAAGAAGAGAGATGTAGTGGTCCAGCTTGTCGCTCGTGGTGCACAGGATTCCAATACCGTGGCTCTCGAACTGCGGTCTGCCGGCACGGCCAAAAATCTGGATCACGTCTGAAATGCCCAGGTCCACAAAGCCACCGGCCTTCGAGTCGTACACCTGCGTACCCTTCACGATGACCACAGCAGCAGGCAGGTTGACACCCCACGCAAGCGTGGCCGTGCAACACAGCACCCTGATCGTCCCGGAGAGAAACATTTTCTCAGTCAGGTTTCTGTCGCTCCGCAGCATTCCAGCATGGTGGACGCCGAACCCGTTCTGGAACAGCTCTCTAAGGTCTTTGTTTTTATTTTTGCTCATCTCTCGCTCAAAAAAACTGTGTTTCGGAGCAGCAGAGCAGTCGAAAAGCCACGCCTCGTCGTTCTCAGCGGCCATCTTGATGAAGTTGCGCGCAGTGTTGACCGTGTCTTTTCTCGAGTGCACAAAAACCATCACCTGGTGGCCCCTTTCCACCATCTCCACCAGCTTCCTGTACGCCGTCTTGTCAAGCTTGTCGCGCGACTGCATGCTTCCCGCCTTGGCCCTCACTCCAATCAGCTGCTGCTCCAGCGGAACTGGACGGAACGACTGGTCAAAGTAGAACATCCCGACCTGCCGGTTGACCCCCAGAAAGTCCGCTACGTCCACAAAATTCGGGAGCGTGGCCGAAAGACCAATCACGCGGATCATCGACTGCGAACTTTCCACTTGCCGCAGCGTCCTGGCGACCAAAGTCTCAATAACAGATCCTCTGTCCTCGTGCAACAGATGGACCTCGTCTATAATCAGCAGCTTCACTTTCTCAACCAACTCGCTGTCGCCGGTCGATTTGCGTGTCACGACGTCCCATTTCTCGGGCGTCGTGACGATGATCTGCGTCGTCATAATCTCAGCCTTGGTGAGCTGCATGTCCCCAGTGAGCTCCCTAACCTGTATGCCCAGCCACGCAAGCTTTTTGCTGAACTTTTCAACGATTTCTGCTGCCAAAGCTTTCAGCGGAGCAACATACACAATTTTGAACTCGTCGTAGTCTATGTCTGCCTGCACACGGTCATCGTCCTCCGACTCGGACAGGAACTGTTTGATGGTGTGCAAAATGGTCAACAAAGCGACATCCGTCTTTCCCGCACCAGTAGGAGCACAAACCAGCATGTTCTCGTTCGTTTCATACGCAACCGGGTATATAAGTGATTGCATGCGGTTGAGAGTCTTGTACCCTTTGAACGTGCCCTGGCAAAGGTAATCCAGCGTTTTCACCGGAATGTACACCTCTTTGAATTTTGAAGGCTTTTTCTCTGACTTGGGGATTATGATCTCCTCGTAGTTTTCATAGGAGTTCCTAGTGGTACCAAACGGGAGACTGTATTTTTTGCCTGTGAACGAAATGACATTGCCCGCGTCGTGGACCCGGAAAACATGCGGATACTGCTGTCTGGCCTGCTCCCATTCCAGTTTGGCGTTCTTTGATTCTTTGCGGTTGACGTTTGCCTGTTGTCGGATCTCTTGTTCGCTCATCAGCTGTAGCATCTGTGTCTGCGTCCTCTTTTCTTCGAGAATGGCGTCCTTGTTTTGCAAAATCTTTGAAATCAGGTCAAACTCCCCAAAACCCAAAAGATCAAATAGTCCTGACTCGATGTGCGAGTTGTTATCTGACTCAAGAATCGAGAGTATGCTTTCCACCATTTGCTCAGCATTCTCGGTGTTGATCCGCTCACAATCGCTTTTGATCTCGGAAAGAAGCGCAGCAGCCTCCTCCTCTTCGGTATCCTCCGTCGACTCGTCGTCAAGCTCTATATCAGCACAATTTTCAAATTCTTTCAGTAAATTCGTCACCTGCTTGGAAATGTCTATTTTTGAGCTTCCATCGTCAATGTTTGGCAACTTGAAACCCGCACCCTCCTCATCCAACTGCAAACGGTTCAGCGACTCGATCATCGGCTGCATCGCCTGCAGGTAAGACGACGTAGACGAAACATTATAGGAAGACATAAAAAATTAGTTTTATTTATTTCTCCCTGTATAACAAATAATTAAAACCAAAATTACAGATCGAACTGACCATTCACAAAATCGTCGTCAACGTCCATATCATCCCGCGTCTCCTCTTCGTCTTCCTGGCTCTCTTCGTCAATGACCTCCTCCTCGGGTGGAAGATTCGGATTGCCAGGAATCAAAGAACCACAAGCCGGCTTGTAGGAGTTGCCCAATCTCTTGCCCATGCTGTGACTGTTTAGATGGTCGAACATCATCGAATCGTCAACGTATGTAAACCCTTTAAAGTTCTCTTGCACAACTGAGGACAATGGCGTTCCCATCATGAACTGCTTGTTGATGACTGACGTGGACGCATTTGTGAATTCCGGATCAAAGTTCGAAGTGTCTAGCTCGTTTGCAATGTGCGGGATAAATGGAGGAGGGATCTTCTTCTGCTTGAGAAGAACCCAGTCGATGTCATTAAAGAAAGGGTGAGCTCTAAGTTCTCTAGCGTCATTAATAGCTCCCAGTCTGTGACGAGGGTTTCTGTTCAGTAGGCCCTTCACAAACGACCTGCCCTCGGGCGATAAGACTTCCTTCGGGAACCGGACTTTTCCAAAAGCAATGTTTTTGTACATTTGCTGGGTGTTGTCCGCATAGAACGGAGACCATCCACAGCACATTTCGAAAATCAGAACGCCGAGCGACCAGAAGTCAACCATTTTCGTATAGCCAGATTCGTCCAGTAAAACTTCAGGAGCAAGGTACTCGGTTGTTCCGCAGAAGGTGTTGGTGGTGCCGTTGGATGCCAGGTTCGCCTTGGACAGGCCGAAGTCGCACAGAGCAATGTGTCCATTGGCGTCCAAGAGAATGTTTTCAGGCTTCAGGTCCCTGTAAACGATATCATTGTCGTGAAGATGCTCCAGAGCCAGAACCAGCTCCGCGATATAAAACTTGGCTCTTTCCTCGCTGAAGCGTCCTTCCTTTTGCAAGTGCCAAAAAAGCTCTCCTCCGGACATGTAATCCGTGACAAGGTAGAGATCGACTGGAGTTTGGAACGAGAATTTAAGGCCCACAATGAACGACGAGTCTGCGCTGGATGTGCGCACCAAAATGTCTCTTTCTCCGATTGTGTGCGCAATCTCCTTCTTTCTAACAATCACCTTTTTGGACAGCACTTTCATGGCATAAATACGCCCTGTATCTTTCTTCTTCACCTGAAACACCTGGCCAAACGTCCCCTTACCCAAAAGTCGGAGGATCTCAAAATCCTCCGGACCATATTGTCTCTTTCTGGTATTTGAATATTCGATTTGAACTTTTATTTTGCCGCTCACAAACTCGGTGTTGATGCGGGATTTCAAATCGTACCACTGCTCTGCTCTATTTTCGTGGATGGTTTGCGGCTTGATCCGGATGTGACCCAGAAAATGGTCGTTCTGCGCAGAATCGTAAACTGAAATATCCAGCTCAGATGTTGCCCCGACAACATCGAATACGGCCTTGTGGTGCCAGACAGGATGCGACGAGCTGTAGTTGTGCGACATGATGTTGAGGTTGTGCTGTGACGACGTTTGAGTCCTGACTAGCGGCCGCCTCTGCGGAGGCTGGTTCGATGGCTGATGCGGCTGTGGCTGTGCCGATGGCGGTGGCATGTCTCTGCTCTGGTCAAAGCTTTCAGGACCCTGCGTCACAAACTCAGAGCTCTCAAATGTGCAAACAACATATGGAAGCGAGTTCTCAGACGTGACGTTGAGCCCTACAGCCTCAATGATGCTGACTCTGAGCTTTCCCCGTGGAATACCAGTGGCCGTGTCTGTGTCGCTAGCAACAGCATATGCGGGAGTCGAGGGCGTTTCGACTGGCTGCGCAGAGTGAGCAGATGTTGTTGACAGTTGTGCTGTTAAATTGCTGCTCTGTTGCGTCTGATCTAAACTGGTGAATGTCCGGTTCAAAGAGTTCTGGTCTCCCTTGATAGTGGTGCCCACAGCAAAGGAGTTGTCGCTAAGGGCAATCGTAGGTGTCGCAGGTTGAGGGATCATCTCAGATGGGAAAGATGTTGTGCTTATCTTAGAGACAGGCATGGTAGATTCCGATTGGCCTGCAGTATCTAACGGTTGTGGTTTCTGCTTGCCAAAGGCAAAAAATGTTTTTGCAAATTCTGACATATATCAGACTGCAAATGCTCTCTATACGAGTTGTGGCACGTCCAGATGACTCTTCTTAACGAGGAGACTTGAAAATGTGCGAGGATTGAAAACAGCCAAACAAATTAATATGCTTTCCAATCTTTTTTTTTTTTCTTTTGGCCTTGCAGTTTATTCCGAAATTACATTTATTGCAACTGCTATTGTTCTAATGCTGACCATTATTATTTATCGCTAAAGTTCAACTCTGCCAGGACTGAAAGCTGTGTGAGAATATTTATAGATCCGATATTCCTTTGAGTACATCATAAATATCGCACCCTTCCAGGGTCGCTTCTTATCTCAGTTGATAAGACTGGCCGTCGTTACTTTTGGTCACATCTTTTTCGCTACACCTTTGCACCCCCTAATCTGGAATTATCCGAACGTTGGCTACCAATTCGCCATTGATGGTGAGAAGCCCGTGCTGTGTGTACCCGATATTTCCATATGGATTTGATGTTCTGAGCCAGCCATAATCAACCCAGACTATGTCGTCCACCTCCAAATTGCACCCATTAATCTTGAGCAGCCTCAACGAGCAGTTGTACGGATCCACTTCGACAATCTGACCATATCGGTCGATTTTCCCGGGACTCAACCGTTCAAATGACATACGGAGATTGTCTAGCACCGGAACATACAAGTCTTGCGGCAAAACCGGCACAGTCACATTTTCTTCTGGTCGGTAGTTTGGTCCTGCCACCACTCGGTAAATATGCGTGTCTAAAACTCCCTCTAACGATCCAATCAGGGCGTCGAAATCTTCTGTTGACTGCGTCGGAGACGACATCATTCCGTTCTTTCCAAAAATGTCGTAAAAAGGGCCATCGATCTCAATATTGGTAGCATTTCTGTAATAAGGAGGGCTGTGCAGCGCAACCTGGTACCTATCATCAATGCGGTAGAACATTGGATACTGGAGGATCTTGGAATGCACGAATGCATGATCCTTAGAAAATACCTGGCATCTGGACAGGCCCAAGTAGTCTGCATCCAGCGTAAGGTTCATTTCCTCAATAATTCTATTTGAATCTTTTTCTGTCATATATGGCTTGAGCAGCTGATACACTTTGGGGTTAACAAATATACGTTTCCCCTGCTCCAGGTTTGAAGGATATTTGATGTGGTATCTGTCCAGTGCCTCTTTCATTTTCTCTGTCAATGTGATAGGTTTGTAGTCGGGGAGCGGATTTTTCTCAAGCCTTAGTTTTGCAAACTGGATATCAACTTCCTGAGGCGAGGCTTGGGCAAAGAGTTTATCCCAAACAGCCTCCATTACCCCTTTCCCCATTGTTTCTGGAAGTACAATATCCTGGCGCATATTGTACACTTTTAGCTTGTCGTCAAACCAAAATGGGTGTGCTTCCGTTGAAAATATAGCTGCACCATTTTTTGTATGGAGATCATTTTCTGGGTCGAACAGCAAATACAGGTATTTCAGCGTTTCGCTCAGAACAAAACTCTCCATCCGTGCCTGTCTGGTGCCCACTCTGATGTCGTCAATGCCCGCGAATCCGCAGGGAGCATGAAACTCTGTCTCGAAACGATGCAAAATGGCTTCACCAACGCGCAAGAAGAACGGGTCCTGGGTCGCTCTATAGAGAAAGTATGTCGACTCAATGAATTCAGGGCGTAAAGGGTACCACTCAAGAAGGATGGCATCGTTCATCAGCACGACCTTCGTTTCTTCGCGAGACATTCCTGGCAAGCTATCCAAAAGATGATACGGCTTGGAGTTCCTGTTGGCGTAGCTCCAACGGAACCCAGAAAAGTCCCATCGTTCAGGAATCGCTCCGTAAGTGTTCCAAAGCTTGAAGTACACGGTGTAGAAGTCAAAAGCGTTCTTCAAGTCTCCAGCTAAAACCAGCAAGCCGGGGAAAAATGCTCCCAGAGCATCGATCCATTCCCTGGCAGCCGCTGCATTGGAGGCATGGACATTCGTAAAAATGCCAACTGCATTTTGTGAGTGCATAAGCAGCGCCTTGTACGATTCTTGCCAGATGTCATTGAATATTTCGTCGTCGAATAATATGGAGTATTTCAGAGCGTACTCGTAGAAGGAGTCGATGGACGCACCAACACCTGTGATTTGGTCCGTGAAAACATTGGACTGCGCATCCACAGACATAGGCAACAGTCCGAGCACAGTTTTTGAAGACCACATGTTGAGGAACGTTTTCCTAGAAATCTGCTCGAAAATTGGGTCGTTGGTCAGTCGAGAAAGCAGTCCAAACTCTAAAACTAGCGAGGTAATTCCTGCCGTGCATTGCTCTCTTTGTAGACTCTTGGGCACTTTTTGCGGCCCGTACCTTAAATTTGTGCGTGGGAACGGCACTCCCGACTTGTTTTCAAAAGCTAGCACGAGTCTCTTCCCCAGATCGTATGCCAGACGGAGAAGAAATCCGTCGTAGTTTTCGATACTATACCCTCGCCGCTCGTCTGAAGCATATAAATGCGCACTCAACAGCCCTCCTAAGACTCTGATGGTGGTCTCGAAAACCTGAATGTTTGCGTCAATGTCGAAATTTTCGTACGTGTCTCTGATCAGTTGGATATTCCGTTCAAAGCCCTGTCTGTCTCCAAGCACCACAAATGCGTCCAAAGTGTCGAAAAGAGTGAGAGAAAAGTTGCCCATGGCGTCGTTCTTCCATGTGTTGTTGATATCCTCGTAGTCACGAGACGCGGGCTCGCAAGTGAGCGGGTCCACCTCGTCATAAGGAAACCCATGAGCCATGTAGCTGTTGAATCCATGATAGAATAGGGTTTTTGTGCGGTTGCGCAGATCCTTCAAGTGAAGCTCCGTATATCCGCAGTGCTGGTCGGACGATGCGTACGTCACGGGAAAGACAGTGGCGAGTAACTGCAGCAAATATACAAGAACAACTGTCATGTCAACATTTGCGACTTGAAAAAATATTCCAGGCTGTGTAGTGTATATACTAAGCTAGCGCAGCCAGATGCTTGAAGCTCGAAATCCAGATCCATATTCTCCTGGTCTGGTGTATTCCTGTCAACGAGAGGTGTTGAGCATTGATCGGCTTCTAGTCGCGCAAGCTGACCCTTTAGTGCGCAGTCAGCTGATTCTCAATTCCACAAACTTATTAAACACCTCAGATTTATAAAGTCCAAAACTAAAACGGGAGCAATTGTGCATAGCACAACACAGTCTCTCAGTGAGTCAAATTCACCGGCTTGCCCGCCTCCCACTCTTTTAATGCATTTTTGATATTTTCCCAAAACTTCAGCTTCACCGTTTCGACGGCAATTGCCTCATAGTCCTCTGTTTTGTAGAGCTCCTCCAGCTTTGCAATGCTTTTCTCAATTCTCTCGTCGTTCTCGTGCTCCAGCTTTGCTAGTTCCTGCTCGCTCTGTATATCTTCCAGATCCTCATGGACATTCAATATCTCCATCAAAACAGACTGATCCTGGAACTGGAACTTTTTGTTCACCGAGTCATTGTTCAGATCGATGTTGGCGTTCTTCTTCAGCAAATACTGCGACCGTTTCAAGGGACTTGACAGCACCGTGTATGCGTTATTGAGAAGCGAGGACAAATCGCCCGAAGTCTCATCCTTGATCCGATTGAGGTCGGGATGGTTGGTGCTTTGGAGTAATCGGAACTCTTTCCGAAGCTGCTTCAGGTCCACCGAGAAAGAGGAATTGGGTGGCGATCCCTTGGGGAATGTTTTGGGAAACAGCTTGTAGTAGTCCACTAGGCTCGAATTGTGTCTGGTTATAATTTTAAAAGGTGTCCTTGCTCTATGCATAATAATTTGATTCAAATAGTAATAATTTGAATATAATTCTATAAATTTACCCCTCGATTTTAAACGATTTCCTCATGGCTGGTGGAAGACATTTATTGCGAACAGACAAAGAGGTGCAGAAGTTTGCCTACTTCCGCGAGAACTTGGCCAACTACTACAAGTTCAACCTGAAGTCGACCTCAATTGGTATCGTTGCCCTCGTGATTATTCCTGTGTCGCTCATGTATGTAGCGTACAACACCCATACTATTGATGTCATCAGTAAGAGGAGGACCAAGCCAGTCCAGGAGGACTGGTCACCAAGATGATCTGCGTTATTTATTACATATTTATACAACCAAATGTTATTTATTGTCTTCGTTATCGTTGTCTCCTCCGTTTCCTCTCCATTCCTTCCAAAATTACCTCGCTATCAGGATTCTCGGTGTACCCATTATTATTTAAGTGCCCATTTGTGTATTGATTGGTTTTAGGAGGCTGCGACGGCGCAACCTCCACAATGCTTTCGTCGCTATCGTCCAGCTGTCTCTCATGCTCCTCCCATAACCTCAACAGCTGCGTCAATTGGGTCTCGCCAATCAGTTCCGAGAGCTCTTCGCAACTGTTGAAAAGTAGCTGCGCTGGACTGTATCTTGCAAGGTCGTCATTGACAGAGTCTGTCCCGTATAAGCGTAAATTGTTGAGAATCTTGCATAGCACGCTTAGTTGAGGAGCCCAATTGCGATTATTAAAGAACTTCATGGATGAACTGATAAGCGTTTCCAAATGCAGCGGTGTGTTCCCAGTAGCAAACTTGATGGACCCTACTTGGAGCGTGATCTTAACGTTGAGATGCTGTGCGAGTGATTCTATGAAATGCATACACTCAGGCGTTTCGAGTCCATCGAAAATCAGCTCTTTCGGCTCGCGAAAGGTGAGAAAGATAAAACTCATAAAATTCCCCACACTCACATAGCTAGAGTTGTCCAGCGGTAACAAAAAGTTGAACTTTGTCGCACAATCCTGTACGTGCAACACATAGCGAAACCATCGTTCTTCGACTTGTCTGGAGTCGTTGATCATAGCAAATCCCGAGTTGCACATGTAATCTTCAAAATCAAGGATCTGGAAATTGAGCACTTCAAATGGCCGCAGCACCCGAATGCAGCTTGCAATTAGATCGAATATGATACCACTGTATCCAAATATCATTTCCAGTGCGTGCGCATGGCTGCCTGTGTTTTTGATCATGCGACAAACAAATTCCACTAGCTTTTCAAATCCAAGGATCATTTGACAGCCGTCTGGCACCGTTTTGTAAAAGAGCTTTTGGTATGATTCGGAATTGAGATCCCTGCTCTCATCACAAAGTATACCAACACCTTCGTTGTCCACGAACGTGATCGCCTTGTTGCTTGTAAGGAGCGCGTATACTCGCAGCCTTTGTCTTAGAAAATCAATAAAAGCCTCGTCTTTGAACTCCATCAAATACGGCTTGAGCGCCCTCATACGGCCTAATCGCCTCACGTATTCAAACAGCTCAAACTTATCGGCAAGGATGAGCTCGATCTCCACTGGTGTAAGCACAATCGACTGATCCGTATGCTCAAAACTATAGTCCAGAGAAGGTGACCCAGATCTGGCCAGCAGATCGGTCGCCGACTTGCTTCGCTCAAAAAGGGAGAGATAGAATAAATTTTGGGACTTGCTGAGCTTGTCTCTGAGAGATTTTTTGAGCCTATCGTCCACAATGACCCGTAAACTCATTAAATTAAATAACTCGATTCAAATTGTGGATAAATATTAACTGAGAGCTCTCTACACCTTACACCGAGGGATGAAATGAGATTATGTCATTACTAGATAGATTAGGGAGCAGTGGAGAGCAAGACATTAGCAAGGAAGTCAGGTCACAGCATTGGGTCCATAATGTTTTTGCCTTCGCTCGTGATTTTCTTTGCCCACTGTCTTGCCAAAATCGACACCTTCATAAACTTGCGCGAAGCATACTTTTTGAAAAACTCCTCGTGCACAATGGGGCTGATCAGATAATCTATAATCATCTCGCTCACTTCCTTCAAATCGCTCTCTTTGTACCCCCCACTGTAGTGAATGAGGTTGCCGTTCCAGTCGTTCTTCGACAGCATTTTGCGTGCTATGTACATAGCAGCTGCTGAGCACAACGATGGCAGGTATCCAATGAATTTGTGGTCGATGATTGATATTTCTAGCAGATATTTGCCAATGGTTCTGGACTGAACGTCGTAGTCATCGGCTTTGGAAATGCGTCGTAGAAAATTCATAGGGTTTGGGTAACTCATGTTGAACTGGAGAATCTCCAAGATAAACTTTTCTGCGTTTAGGATCTCCTCCTCGGTGAAGCCTCCGTCCGTCACGTAGGCATAGTTCTTTACCGATGGAGAATACACCTCCTCGTATTTAGCGGCAATGAATAAAGACCCAGTGGCCAACAGCTGCAATCTATCCACTTGGACGCTTTCGCGTGACATAAAGCGGTCCATAATGTTGATGGCAAGGTATAATGTTTCTGGAAGGAGCCTGAACTTGAGGTGCACTTCAACCATCCAGTCCACCAAAATAGACCGCATCTTAGGACGCAGATTCCTTTGCCAATGCAAGTAGTTTGGGTCTGGAAGGGTCTTGAGCTCCAGTTCATGCAAGTATTCAAAGATGTCGTTAACGTATTCACTCACCATCAGCGGATCGTCGGCGTCGTCTGCATCAAGATCGTCCCAGGTGTAGTCGTGTTCCACCTTGACTTTCTTGACTTCCTGAGTCCCCTGTTCTAGAAAGTCACTGCTCGAGTCTGTAGCCTGTCTTTTAAGTGACACGCGCTTGTCGTTGTGTTCTGCGTCCTGCTTGTCAGCACGGATTTTTAAGGGCCTCACAAGTTGGCTTGCAGTTTTTCCTTGTTGTGACTGTTGATAAGGTAGACTCTGTTTTTGTCTCTGTGTCTCTGAAATGCCCGCGTTATTATTGATGTCGGTCAACGCCGAGCGCGCACGGGTCAGCGATTGTCTTGGTCGAGGTTGGCTCTCTGCCAATCCTTTGGAGGACATCACACCGCTGATTTGCGGCATGTTCTCGTCGTCCATTTGCATTTGAGAAAGTTCCTGGATGTTAGACTCACGCGACTCTATTGGTATACTCACTCTCGACATGATAGAACAGAACTTTTAGGCGTTATTCTCGTTCTTGTCGTTCTCTTTCGGTATCCCTTCTAAAACACGTCCGCTACTTTCCTGGCTGTCAATCTAGATCTATTCCAAGCTTGTATTTGCTCCAGTACAACTATCCTAGTTGTGCACTCTCTATGGCTTCGGCTCAACTCAAAACGGCGTCCTGCACTCCTTGAAAGCCAGCAAACCAGACCTAAAATTCAGTTGTTTTCTTTATGAACTTTGGTTTTCCCTAAAAGAGAAACTAGAAATAAAACACCCGTGCTTTCTGCCATCCTGCCTACCCTGGCAATATGTAAACACTAAAAAATACATGTACTTTTGAGGTGCGAGGAGTAAACGCGTTTGTTCAACTATATCCCATTTTACGGTCGTACTCTTCAGTCTCCTTCTGGCCCAACACATCGCTGTCGTTCCACTTGATGTTCAGACTGCCGTAGTAGCTTCGTTCAAAAATCTCTGTGCAATTGATCTTTTGGATCTGCCCAAACACCGTACTAGGATTGGTTTTGGCCTGTCGCCGAAGAAGCTGCTTGATATTCGCGTTCGTGCCCCATGGAGCAAGCTGCTTCGACGCTTCATCATCCTCATTGTCCGAACTTATTTCTGGCAATTCGTTCACGTCTGTGATGACTGGTTTGGAGGCCGTGGAAGACATCACCCCATTAGTAGCCTTGGTAGCAGGCTCTGGTAAACGATTAAGCTTCGAGTGATTCACAGAGATCTGTCTCAGCTTCGTGTCCACGCGTTGCCTCTTGGCTTGCAATAGATGTTCTGACTCTTTACGTTTCTCTAATTTCTTGTGCAAGTCTATCAGACTCTTCGCATCTGGCGAGCTTACTCCATATTGCGACTTGTTTGAGCTCGGTTGCAGCATCTGTTCAGTCAATGGCAGCTTTGACCTATTAAGTTCATTAGGCAGTTTCAACTCTAGCTGGCTCAATTTGGTTTTCTGTATCTTCTTGTCCAGATTGGGTAACCTCTCCGATGGGGTTTTCGTAATTTTCGAAGTTGGAATAAGAGACTTGCTTTTCGACGGCGAGCCTGTCGCTTTTGTCGTCTCATTGTTTGTTTCCAACTTTAATGGCTTCAGTAGTTGAGATCTGTGACGCGAATCGTCGATACCAAGACCGGCAGAGGCCTTCGTAAAATGCGTATTTTCTTTAGAAGGGGACGTTTTACTTCGCTTTGTACTGGCTTCAGTTGGTGCCATCAGCCGCGATAATAGATCGGAATGCGCATGTTTGCTTGGAGATTTCTTTGGAGACCCGTTGGGGGGCTTTGTAAGGGATTTAATAGGCGATCTGGACAGTTCATTCTGTAGAGGAGACGACTTATATGCCAGCCCTCTATTTATTTTGATCGTGGGCTCGCTGCTGCCTGTATTCGATGGCGACAAGTCACTAATTGGGGGTAATCTCAAGTTGTAAGGTTGCTTTACTATGCTGGAATTGAAAGAGCCATAATCCTTGAAAGGAGACAACTCATCGCGGGTGTCATCTCTCAAATGGTGCTGCGTGTTTCCTCTAATCTGTTTCGTAGTCTTCTTCGACTGATTTGTGGCCTTGCTGATTGATTTCTTCTTCCCCTGCTTGATCATTAAAGGCTCTCTCGATGGCAGCTCTGCAAATTTAATAGGCGACCTGCCTGCGTTTGGAGTAGTGCTATTATTGACGCTCGGTAACTTGCTTGTTTGCGCGTCCGTCTTAAGCGGTATTCTTATCTGTGCAAGCTCAATCTTCTCAAGTTTTCCAATTTGGAAACTGATGTCATTGTCAATGTCGCTGAGTATGATATCTCCCTCGTCCAGAAGAACCGACGCGTCGGCCGGTTGTTGAACAGGTTTTTCCCGTTCCTTTGGAACAGAATCAGTGGGTGTGGTTGTGGCTGTTTCATGCACAATTGGGCGCGTGAATTCATCCTTCGGCGACGATTCTTCATGCATTAGAGTTTTGCGAGCAAACGATTTGCGAATGTTTTTCGAGATTGCGTCGAATGAGAGATCAGAGGAGTCTTCATCGTTTGAGACAGGTCTTTCAGGTGATTCAGAAAGAGACAGTGTGCGCTCCTCCGGAGACAAAAGCGGAGCTTTGTCTGGCAATTGCGGATGATCTTGCTTTCTTGATTCAATTTCGGGCACAGGAGAAACCTCTGGCACTGGCGAATTGTGCACGGTTGGCTCTTCGTTGTCATTGTTTATACTGCCGTGTTGGGACACTATATTCGTTTGTTCTTGAATCATCCCCACCCCTCGAGAATATAAGTCCCTCACAGGCGAGCTTATCCCTCTCAGTTTTGCAGGTGACCTGAGCAACACCATCTCACTCTGGTCTTTGTCTTGTTCCTCTTCCTGGTCATCCTCTAGCAATGACAACTCGCTCACATCCGAACAGCTTAGGACTTCATGCATAACTCCATTAATCCATTCACTGTGCTCCATCATAGCCAGACCTAGTTGATCAACACTTGATTTTATCAGTTTGGTTTCCACGTTGACTTCTTGGGCGAACCATTTTGAAAACCCTGGAATTGCAGCCGTGTCGATATTTCCAACAGTGCTTTCACGCTGTTTCTTCAACCGGGCCGCGGCTTTGACCCCCCACATCTGGATATAAAAAACAAATATTAATTGGTTTGTTCGTGTTTTGTTTTTGGGACTTCTGTGCACGACCTCAAAAAAATATTTGAAATATTTTGATCTTGCTTGGATTGAACCTTAACACAAGCAGCGTAACCTGAAACCATGTCCAAAAAAGCCAAGTACGTCTCCAATATAGACGCAGGAATTTTGCAGCAACTATCTGGATATTTGGATGTTCTGGACAGGAAAGAGGAGCCAAAACCAGAGTCATTGCAGAGTTTCTCCTCGTTCCTAGAAAATTCTCAAAATCTAAATGCTCTTGTCCAATCTTTCTCATACTATTCCACAGTGAATGACCATTCCGGTTTATCGCAGACGTTACAAAAGCTTGTGAGGGTGATTAGACTTGGAATTCGCTATCAAGAGCTTCAAAAACCATGCTCTACGCTCATACAGGATATCCTATCAACTCACAATATCAAGATTTTTTACAGATGTCTTAATAATCAAAAAGGAGGAATAACAAATCCTGCGCTGAGGTTACTTTCGTCGTCATTGGAGTTTAAAAAAGGAGCATATGTGGATCTGTTTCTTGACAATTTCGACCTATCCCTCAAAGTGCTTCCTCAGCTTCTTATTCCAACAAAATCAGAAATGGAAGATCCAACAAAATGCAGGACTAAGAGTTCCATTCGCCACAACTTCATTTTGTTCTGGACCAATCTGTGTGCACAAGCCAATCCCCTGACGAGAAAGGACTTGTTATTAAATAACAGGAAAATTACCACAAACTGGACCAAGTACATAGCAACTCACGACTCCCCCGACACGATTAGACAAACACTCAATTTCCTGGACAGGTACATCATAGAGGAACGCTCCTATAAGAAGATGACAAAGTGCAAGATTTTCGGAGACTATATCCCCAAGAAACTTTTGGAATTATATGGCGTCGAGGCCGTTCGCGACGAGGTTCATGAGCTTTTAATAAAGTTATCAACAGATCCCGAAGTGGGCCTTATGTTTTCTGATGACAGGAATACTTCAGATACGAGTGGTGTGCCTGTGTCAATCGGAGATCACACGTTTAAAATCCATAATAAGTTGATATTCAGTCTGCTAGCAAGTTGCAAACCATGGACTGATGAAAAACAGCTGGATCTGACTGTTTCTGTGCTTTCTGCAGTTCCTGAACTAGTTCCTTGCTATAACTATAACCTCTCGCAAACAATCGGAGTTCATGACCCCAAACTTTCCGGTTTATATATCGCAGAGTCATTACTTCTCACCAAAATCATCAGATTACCGGTTGTTGATAAGGTGCTACGGTCCGATTCTCCAGCATATGTTCTTGTCGAGTACATCTGTCCTAACTCGTTGAGAAGAACGTCTTTTTCAAAGGCCCTTTCAAGCGATATTGGTCTAGTGCGTCACATTGGCTCACAATTAATAATAGACGTATTGCAGAATCTCCAAAAACGTTATCCGTATATCACGGGGGATGTGAGAAACGAAGTTTTGGAAATCCTCATTACCCAACGCTTACCGGACTTCAGCTTAATAGTTGGTGCTCTAAACGACTGCTACAAATCTGAGCCATACAATAAGCTCTTGATAGTCAATTTATTGAAAGTGTGTGAGTACTTCCAGGCTGTTCTCAACCAGACTGTGTCGATGACCCTTCCTAAAATGAACCTTGGACAAGAAGCCGAATTCAAGGCTATCGACCTCACGATTCTTGATAGCTACTTGAAGATCAACTCGGATTCTCAGCAAAGTAAGTGGTTCAATTCTGGAACTGCAAAAAATTCGATGTTCACAACCATTTTGCGACTGCCATACCGGTCGAAGGAATCTGATATGCGGACTAAGGTGGTGGGTGTTATATCAAACCTCATCAGCTCGTCGCTATCTTTTACTGACTGCAGGCAAGACAACTCAGTTTTGATCACGCAAGCCTATGCTTTAGTTTATGCCTTAGATCAGTTTTCTCGATACGTGAAAAACGACAATGACATAGATGCCGTTTGCAAAACCTTGGATGAGGCCATTTCCAGAGTCATGAGAACGCCCTACAAGTACATTGATATTTCGCGAGAAGTTGGAAGACCCGTGAGCCCGTTCTACGTGGCTGCCGTTGAACAGGCCAAGTTTGCAACCACCGACAAAGTGAAGGTCTGGGTTAATTTGTTGACAAGGTATATGTTTTTAATTGGAGAGCCCTTGGATGGCATGAAAAAGGTTCTGTTGAAGTATTGGTGGGACGATCGTTTGGATTTTGACGAATACGAGTCTTCGTTGAAGGAGTTTTGTTCTAAATTTTACGCCGATGAAGATGTGCCATTCTTTGAGATGGTGGTCAATTTCCCGATACCCAAATTGAAAAAAGCCATCTCCAGCAGAGTTGCAATGGCAGATATCGATGCTATTGCTCTCCTAAGAAGACTGCAACTACTGACTTCTGACAATACAATGAAACTCGGAGACATCAAATCCGTTGTTATCGAGTTATTTTCCAAGCTCGCAAATTATCTGGCCCAGAAGACTTTCTCGCATTACGAAACTTTTGATCATGTTGACCTCTATAGGTCAAAATACTGGAGTTCATTGTATCTGAACGGCAATCACTCAGAAAAGCAGTATTTTGTGGCTGGTTTGCTAAACGAGATGTTTTACAATCTGTTTGAGCTCGACAACTCCATCCGTGCCAGATTATCGGATTACGAAAATAATGTCCACAATTATAGATCATCAGAGATAGACGAACAGGAAATCCTTGCTAGTTCGTTTTGGGTGCTTGATGATTCCAAGCTAGTCGAGCATTTATTCGGCCCAGCAATCATACAGAACAAGGTTCTTGAGCTGGCTGCTCGTAGAGGCCTGCAAGTGGACGCTAACGAGCTCACCAAAGTTGCAGATTTTGTGACTGTGACAAATCTCCATTATTATGTCACGCTCGCATCAAGGACCAATTTTGGGGAGCCCCAGATTAGTATTCTTGCGCAAAGGGCACAACAGAACGAGCTGTTGTACTCTGCTTTATCTGCGATCCTGAGATCCAATCCCGATATAGCAGACTTTTTGTTGAAGCAACCGGGACCTGCCGCCAACCAATCAGTACACAGCCTGAACTATCTGATCACGCTCGACGAATTTGCAGAATCAGAGTCGCTACGTCTGAGGCTGGAGACTACCGCAACGGAAAAGCTGCAAGAATTTTTGTCCACCTCTGAAGCTTGCGATGTTCCCATATATATCAAGATTCTTGCACGCAGAGCGTCCTCTGATCTGTTTGCTCGTTTGATGGAGTTTGCGCCTTTTTACAACAACGCCGCCTACATGTTTAGCCCAGAGTCTGCGTATTATGTTTCTCAGTCGGTTGACAATATGGATCTGCTCAAGCCATGGTGTTCCAAAGCCATTCTTTACTCCACGAAGATGTTTGCTGAGAAAGACACGCTCCCGGATAGGTTCTTGACGTTCCTCAAGAGTCTCCAGGAATTATTGCTAAGAGTTGACCTTTGGACTATTGTTCCGGCATCAATTCTTAATTCTCATCTGGAAGTGCTTTTGTCCAAACAGTGGATACGTTCAGATGATATATTACGGTACATTTCTTCGCTCTTGATGACGACTATTTCAAAAACCGTACAGCACTCAAAACATGTTCAACTGTTCATCAACAACAAATTCAATGTGCTTTACGAGCTACCATCGAAGTCCAACTTGTCCACGAGGTTCTGCTCGGCACTTGTTCTCTACTATTTGGTGCAGGTCGGGCCAGTGTCGAATTTTGATGTTGCAAAACGTCTTCTGCAGTTCTACTCAGGGTCTCTTCGTGCCGATGACTTGATTCTTAAACACCTTCTAATGGAGATCGAGCAACATGTGGGACAGAGCTGGTTATCGTTTGTGGCTGATTGGGAGTTTCTTGATGGAGAGTCTTATGAATCGTCCACTACTAATTTTATCTCAAGCAGTGCGCACGGTCTCATTGTGAATCTCTCCAAGAAATTCATCGACAACTCTATTGCCAAATTCTCTGGCTCCTCTAATGACTTTTCACTACCAACAGTGAAGAAGGCAATGTGGAAAGACTGGGAAGCATTCTTCGATCACAATTCTGTTGTCCTTGAACATGCGATCACCAGCAACATTTACGAAAAAACCATCTATGACCCCGAATTTATCATGCTGTTGATCATTAACAATGACGAACTTTTCAAGGCCCAGGAAGAATATGTGGCAGTGGACGTGCGTAGACTTGTGGAAACCAACATTCTGCAATTCATCGTGATGAACCTGAGTAATTGCAACGAGGAAGTGAGACATATCAGCCGCAAGATCTTGTTGTCATGTTACTTCACGATCGATATAGAATTAAAACGGCTGGCAGAACTGAAGCAAGACAAGGCGAAGACGGAGGGGGCTGCAGATAAAGCAAAGACGGACGTGTCTACTCTCCATCTTTTCGCCTTCAAGGAGAGACTGGCGTTCAAAGTATACTTGGGAAATCTCCTCTCTATGAAGGAAGAGTGTTCTCCCGTCATCGTTTTAATGCTTTCCCACTTGATTCCAGTCTTGGATAACCCGGGCCATTATCTTTATGAGAAGGCCTACCGATACATTTTAGGAGGGTCGAAATTCCGTCCATTTGACATCCCCTTGCTCAAGGCCGTCACCCAACACTTTGTCGCAGACAAACATCTGGGCCATTCCAGATTTGACGAAAACTACTACAAGCAACTGTCGTGGCTCATTACTACTCTGACGAAGTCTCTGAGTCATCAGAACGACCTCAAGGTTATCAACAGAAGTGGAATACTGGAATACCTAATGGCCCTCACCGGATCTCCATTCTTGAACTTCAAACATCAACAAGAAATAATTCATCTAATGCACCGGATAGCCGAACTCCCAAATGGAGCAGACCTCCTCATCAGATCGTACGGAGTGCTGAGTTTCACAGAGTTACAGAAACTCAGACTTTCTACAGACACGGTCCCAAGCAACTTCCGGCTGCTTGATTGGCAACGCTTCGCCGTCAAGGCGCACGTGATTGCCGATAAACGCACGTACGAATGGACAAGTGAAGATTTCAATCGGTCGGTGAAACGAGTCTTAGCCTAAGAGTCAACTTCCATCGCATCCTCCTGATTTGCTTCCTTCACCTTTCTGGCCGCCTGCACCGCCTTAGTTAGGAACGATTCCTTGTCATTGCCGGTGTGCTCCAGTCGACCACCTTTCAAAACCACATGTCCATGAACTTTGGTGAGAAAGTCTCCGTTCTCGTTGAACACAAGCTCCGAACCCACTAGTTTGGACCATTCGCCCTGATACAGGTTACTGTTCAGCTGCACCAGCGGCCTGTCCTCCGCCAATCCGCTCAATCTTATGTGGGCGTTCTCTGAAGACGGCTCCTCGAGAGACTCGTCCAGACCCTCCTGCTTTATATAATTCGCACTCAATGATGCTTTTTCGAGATTGATGTACTGGTTAGGCGGAAACTTGAGCGCAATGTAAACGTCCTCAAAGTCGTCATCGTCTTCACGTGCAAGGCCTCGCATTGGTTACCTGGGCAGCTTTTTTTCGTGCCTCAATGTCCTCTTTGCTTCCGGCCTCAAACTGTGCGGTAGCAAAGTGCCAGTTCATCTCTGGTCCTGCGCTAAGGAACTCTGTATTGCCGTTCATAGTCATGATCCAGCCATCAGTCTTTCTCTCGTAGCGGTCTAGCGAGCATGTGCTGGCCTCTATTCTAGTGCTCACGCCATCTCCACCATGTTCAACTTTCAAAAAGTCCCTTGTATTTTGATATCCCATCAGCGACATTCCAAGAGCGATCTTCAAAGCAGCATGTGTAACAAGGATCACGGACGTGACTTGCGGAAACAAAGTTTCGACCTTCGGTATGAACCTCTCCCAGAACAGCCTGCATCTCTCCAAAAGTTCGTCCTCTTCCTCACCTTCTAGAGAAGGAACAACTGTTTCTGGAAGCCATTCATCCGACAGAGTTGCAAAATATTGAGACAACACGTCAATTGTCGCGGGCTCGGGGATGTGGGACCTACTGCGTCGGTACCATTCTCCAAGCCCGCGGTCTAGGTATATTTTCAGTCCCAGCTTTTTCGCCGTCGGCTCAATTGTCTCAATACATCTGTAAAAAGGACTCGAAAATATCAACTCCGGTTTAGGCTCCAGTTTGTCAGAAATATAGTCGGCCAACTCGTGGGCCTGTTCCACGCCATGGGGAGCAAGTAAAGGGTCGCTCTCGTTGTCTCCAAGCGGACTATCGCGCTGTTGGTCTTCCGGAAGCCAGTTTTCACGATACCCGTGTCTAACAATGTATATCGTCTTTATTGCCATGAAAAAAAGTAAATAAAACCGTGAGAGTAAAAATATTATCCGCAGTGATTATTCAGATACTAGCACATAAATCTCATACTATTTATTCTTTGTCATCCTCCTTCCCGTCCTCCTCCTTCTTGTCCTCCTCGTCATCGTCGTCCCAGGTGAAGTCGTCGTCGTCGTCAGCAGGCTTCTGTTGCAGGATTTCCTTCCGTTTCTTCTCTTCTTCTAAAAACTTGGCTTTGTTGCAGAAATAGGTTTTCCAGAACACTTGTTCGTCGATCTGGTCCGGAACAAGCTGGTCGATCAGTTTCTTCATACTCTCCTTTGCAGCAAGAAGCTTTTTTTCTGCCTCATCATCTGCTGTCAGCACGTAGTCTTTAACACTCTCACTATTCCAGTTTGTAAGATACAGATCCTTGTTGTTTTCCAGCTCGTGCAATTGAGCCTCGAGTCTGCTGGTGGCAAGGTTTTGCGGCATGTTGAACATAATCTCGTCTTTTTTCGCGCCATCCTCCTCCTCGCTGCCAAATCTGATACCCGTCTTACCAGCAAGCAAGTTTCCCAGCTTAGTAGCGTACCCCAGCGTGAGGTTTTCAAGCTTTTCTAGATCCTGGTCTAGCCCGTCCAGATATTTGTTAGTATTTTCATTGAGATTCTGCAGCAGCTTGGCGGAATTCTCCTTGAGTTCCTTCAATTCCTCCTCGTTGAGTCTACTTTGCACCTTGGCCATGTTTTTTTCGAAATTCTCCTTCGTAGCATTGATCCTGTTCTGCAAATCGATCTTCTTGGTGATCTCCTTCGTGTCCGTCAGAAACTCCGGCAACTTCTTCTGGAAATTGCTCAGATACTCACTGAAGGTGTTCCAGCCAGAAACGGTTTGGGACTCGATGTTTGAGTACACTTTGCCGACTTGTTCCTCAAAGTTGTTGACCAACTCCTCGGTCTTTTGGTCTTTGTGCCCGGACTCCTGAGTTTCTGCCTCAATAAACTCCATCGCGCTTGCAATCGACTAGGAATTAAACACTGGGTGTCACCAAATTAATTTGCATTTCATTTCTGTTTCCACAGAGAAAAAATATATATTACCTCATAGCTGACTCAGCATCCTTGAAAGAGCCAGGAACATGGCCTTATATATCCGTCACCAGAAAATGGCGTGTTAGTCCCACGGGCGGGTTTTTTGCAGCATCCGCCCCAAACACCACCGTTTTAGTTGGTGGCACTACATTCATCCGTGCGAATCACGAGCTCTACGAATTCGGTTCGTGGTGATTTCCTAAAGAAGTAAGTCACCATCTACGAGAAAAAGCAATGATTGCTTTGCGGACTGATAACCTCAACTCAAATGCCGGTATCTAGATAACAGTTGCTGCAAGATTAGCCATCGTCATTGGACACGGAGAGAAATCAACGGAGTTCGGGTTCATGGGTATCCACCGAAGCATCCGCGTGTTTATCTATTATTGCGTCTGGAGAAGCTGCCATACTCGTGGGATTTGACGAACTATAAAACGGTCGCGCAGTCGTATATGCCGACAGCTATCGACAAGGGCAGGAAAAATAAGTAGCATTTTTCCGTATTGTTTTTTAATTGTCTGCAGCCAGGAAAAGAAATAATATAAAAAGCAAAGTTAGGGTTTTTGAACGGCACTCTTATTGTTTGGAAGCACATAAGTATAGGATATTTTCTGCAGCCGTCTCGGTCAACGGATCCTCTGTTACCACCAACAAAGAAAAGCCTCACAAGTGCAAATTCTCCGCCAATAACAGGATAAAGAGAGTACATATTTCTGAATATCAATTTCAGTAGTCCTTAGGCCCAACAACCAAAACTTTTCATCTTTTGGAAGTTATCCTAATTCAGTATGCTTAAAGCTGGAAACTTCGGTGAAATCAGTCCTCAGGTGTCCAAGGCCATCGACAAGGAAGCCAAGGAGAGGCTGGTTGTTGCGGATGAGAGTGAATTCCAAATTCATGATATTGGTGCTGTTCACGACGACCACCGCGCTCGTGGCCTCCCTTTGAAAGTGTATCGCCACTATGCTGACATTCAACGTAGCTACGAGCAAGCCAACGACTATGAGGGCCTCTACATTGCTCAGAGGAACCAAATCAAGACCGACGCTCATGCTAACCTTTCTGAGGACAAGCTGGACGCCCAGCGCAAGCTCCGTCAGGCCAAGGTGTACTCCATTTTCTTCCTTATCACCACCGATATTTTGGGACCAAGCAATGCTCCATACGCTATTGCTCAGATGGGTTACGTGCCAGGTATCATCCTGTACGTCGTCTTTGGTATCTTTGCCGCTGTTGGAGGTTACGTTTTGAACTACTGTTTCTGCAAATTGGACTCCAACAACTATCCGATCCGTACTTTCTCTGACCTGGCCGGAAGAGCCGTTGGCGCATGGTTCCGCTACCCAACGGCACTGTTGCAGTTCATTCAGATGATCATGAACGTTGGTCTGATTATGCTGTCCACCGGTCAAGTTCTGGCCCAGATGCTTGTCACGAACCGTGGCCACAACTCCCTGTGTTTCAGTGTTGAGGTGCTGGTTTGGGCATTTTTGGGTATGATTCTTGGCCAAATCAAGACTTTGAACCGTTTCGCTCACATCGCCAATTCCGCTGTCTGGATGAACGTGGCTATCTGTATCATCACCATGGTGGCTGCAGGTGTGGAAAATAAGCCAAACTACGACCTGTTCTGGTCCAACTACGGATGTACTGCTCCTTACGACACCTTGGAAGTCGTCAAGCACGCTATTGCTCCAGGTACGCTTTCTGACCGTATTGGTGGAATGAACAACATGGTGTTCGCTTGGGGAGGTGCCACCGTTTTCTGCGAGTGCATGTACGAGCTCAGAAGACCTATGGATTTTTGGAAGGGTATGCTCTGTGCACAGGCTTTCATTCTGGTGATTTACTTGGTCTTTGGCCTGTTTATCTACTCAAAGTTGGGACAATGGTCTTACGTTACTGCCAACATGGGTATTTCAAGCCACGCTTTGCAAAATGCCACCAACGTTCTTAGTCTTGTGTCTGGTATGCTTGCTGCCACGCTCTATGCTAACGTCGGGCTGAAGGTGTTGTACCAAGGTTTCCTTGTCTCTGACTTCAGATTCCCTCAATTGACCACGTACAAGGGTACCATCGTTTGGGGAGCCCTAGTCGTCGTCTACTGGGCCTGCGCTTTCATCATCGGTGCAGCCATCCCAGGTATCAGTGAACTTGTCTCCATCATTGGTGCCTTCTGTATCTTCCAGTTCTCTTACACCTTGCCATTCCTGTTCATTCTTTGCCTTTTGATCCGTATGGATGTGACATCGCCAGACAGTTACGATCCCGTGTCTGAAAAACTTGTCAAGGCAGACACTCTGCGCGACTGGTCCCGTTGGAAGCGTGGACTCACCCATGGAGGATGGTTGCGTACGTTCATCAAACTGAGTGCCTTCCTTCTTTTCCTGGCATCCCTTGCTTGTGCCGGACTGTGCTCTTACTCTGCCATCGAAGGTGCCATCGATTACTATAAGACATCCACAGCTAGCGCATTTGGATGCAAGGCCCCTGTTACGCCAAATCAAGGATTCTCCTGTGCTGGTATCACAGTCGGCGCCAATTAATTGTGTTTGGCTTGGACAATTTATATACGGCCCAAGCACATATTTGAGTTGTAAGCGAAATTAATTGAAAAATAATTGTACATATAATTAAACTAACATATTTCTCATGCCAGAGCCGTTTACACCTCCCATCAAATTTTCCCGGGTGAATCCAACGCTTTCCCGCGGAGCGTATCCGCGGCCCATCAATTATAGATACCTGGAAACTCTTAAGCTGAAAACCATGATCGCGCTGACGCCAAACGAAATCACCATGGAAAATGATCCGTCCTTATATTCTTTCTGTTCCAAAAATAATATACTCCTAGTCCACTTCGAAACCGACCACTTGGCTAAAGATAAGGGGAAAAAGAGAGGGATACCAATTGAGTCGGAACAAGTGCTGAAGCTCCTCGAATTAATCCTCAATAAGGAACGCTCCCCAATCTACATGTTCTGTAACAATGGAGGCCAGATCACGTCGCTCGTGGTGGCATGTTTACGCAAGATACAGCTATGGAACCTGGTTTCCATCTATGATGAGTTCGCGAGATACAGTACAACTATTAACCAGAACGACCGGGCATTTATCGAGAGCTTCAAGGCTCGTATAAAACTGCCCTCTGCTGACAAGCGTGTGGACTGGCTCTGGAAAGGCATCAGTCCTAACATCATCCAGAACCATCCAAGCATGCAGTTCCTCTTGTTCGGCGAGGAGCTCAAAGAGGATGCCGTTCAACTCTAATCAAATAGCATTCCTGCCGCCATCTCAACATTGTTGTTAGTCTGTTGTAAAGCGAGCTCCGCTTGCTTCCGGTCGAATCCCATCGCCACAAGCTGGTCTACTTTAGCCGGGTCAGCAGTTGACTTGGGAGCAGCTACTTTTGGTCTCTTGGTAGCTTTTTGGGCATCTGACAGGTTGAAGATGTTACCTCCTAGCTGTGACGAGGGAGCACTTTGCTCGACCATGCTTGGACACTCGTGTTCGGGCAAAAATGAGGTGGACACATCGTCGATCACCAGCTGGTTGCGTTTTAGGTCGATGATGGCTTGGTATCTTCTTAGCATGTCCAATCCCAAAAGCATTTCCACATGTGTGTCAATGACTGTGAATGTGCACGGGAAATATCCGTTTTCGATTTTCAATGGAGCAGAATGGACTCTTCCCAAAATCTTCGTGGATCCGACTCCCCGGGCCTCACCAATAAAACGCTTGTCGATCAGTCTCGTCAGTCCGGTCTTTTCCGCCAGTGAAGGAGAGATGATCGTCGTTTGTGCACCGGAGTCAACAAACGCTTTGACAGGGGTCCCGTTCACCTCGCAATTGATATACAGCATATGAACGCTGGTAAACGACTCTGGAGAGATCTCCATGGCTGTCCGCAGATTCTCCTCGATGGCTTCCTGGTTGATCAGCTCCATGATTTTTTTCTGATTTTCAGGATCATCTGGATTGCTGTACAACTGAGCCAGCTCTTTTTGGTGATCTGCTTGCAACTGTCGCTGGTTTTCCACCATCTTCAATGCAAGCTCTCTAAACCTTGCAGGGTTGTGCAGAGCGGCCCTGGTCTCTGGATCTAATTGACTTTGGATCTGCGGGCTGGAGAGGTACTGTTGGCGAATGGTTTCAAGTTGTGCATCCATAAAGCCAAGTTGAGGCTGTTGCGGTGGGCCTGATTTTTTGAGGATCAGTAAATCGTCATCCTTGAGTCCAAGGTCTTTGAGAGTACCGTTTTTAGAGAGATCTAACTGTTTGCCGTCAAAGACAAGCACCTGCTGGTTCTCATCGATATTCGACTCGGATTTCAAGTAAGCCTTGAAGTCCACAAATTCAAGCTCTTCGGGCAGATCTGCGGAGATAATTTGGTCTGTATCCTCAACAGCAATGGTCAAATTCATACTGCTTGTTCTTCGTGGCGATCTGGGGAAATTTTATTTATCGCTATTTTTCTATATCTTTTTTTGCCACTGGTTGCGGTTTTATAGCCATGAAGCGGGCTGCAGCTGTAGCCTCCGAAGGTGGCAAAACTGCCGTGAAAAAGGCAAAACTCATCCAATTGGAGGAGTCGTTTCCGAAACTTGACTACTTCGACCAGTTCCGAGACACCAAAGTGGACCCCGAGAAATTCGTCAAGTTCGAGGAGACCAACACTAAAGAGGCCGTTGAGGGACTGAAATATATACTGTCGAAGGATCCCACACTGGAGCGATACCTTACAAAGCCGTTTCACTCTTACTTGAAGGATGTGAGCGGAACTAAACCCCTCAAGCACTATTTCGATAGTCTTGTCAGCGGAATGATCTCGCAACAGATCAGTGGAAAGGCAGCCAAGGCGATTAAGCAAAAGGTGATCGACGCGCTGTCTAGGGACAACGAGCTTCCAGATCCGGAAATTTTCGACTCAAAGTCGATAGAAGAGCTCCGGAGCTGTGGTCTCTCTAATAAAAAAGCAGAGTTCGTGAAAAGACTAGCCAAGGCCTTCATCGAGTCAGAAGACGTGCCTCCCGAGGGCGTGAAATTTTCTCAGCTTTACTTCCAAACCAAGGACGATATAACCATTAATCTCGATCTTCAAAAATTCAAAGGCATAGGGCCGTGGTCTGCGTCCATGTTCCTGATGTTCGCGCTCCAACGATACAATGTGTTTGAGGTTGGAGACCTCGGGATACGGCGAGGAGCCACGGTCTATCTTTCTGAGCGACCCGAGCTGCTGGCCGAGATAAACGCGAAGCTCAAAGAGCTAGACCTGCCCAAACTGCCGAAGTCGTCGCAGAACTCGAAATACGTATCCGACCACGTGATAAACTGCCTGGCACACCAGTTTGTGCCATACAAGAGTATCTGGATGCTTCTTCTCTGGCGTATAAGTGACACGTCCATCGATGCATTAGAGTAGTGTACATACGGCTTTAATCTAGTTGTTTCGTGGCTGAGCTCGTTCTCTCGCCCGAGGGCACCAGCATGGCCAGCTGTCTGGAGTTTATCAGCATTTTAGGGCGTCTGGAGATCAGCTTGTCACCTTCGTATTCCTCAACGTCTTCGAGCACAACGTTCACAAAATCGTCGAATCCCACGAGTTTGCCCACAAATTCCTGGTCTGTAGTCAACAGGATCCAGATCTTGGACCCAATACACTTGTCAATCAGCTCCAAAGGAAGCATTATGTCCGACATGTTTAGTAATTGTGTGAACAAAAAAGACGGATTTATTTCACTAGGTCTGTGCCCCGCCACCACCGCCACCTAGAATTTCCATTACCTTTTAAAAAATGTTGTCTATTTACAGCACTTTCTTCCTCCATGTCATCCATCGAGTCAACAACAGAATCGTCGAGTTCTGCGTCGTCACAGGAATCCAAGCAAAAGCTAGACAACAGCTCCAAGCAAAAGCCTGAACACCTCTGCATACGGCCGCTCACTATTTACGACTGGCAGCAAGTGGTGGAGTTAGATGCCCAGGGATTCCCCGAGCACGAGAGATGCTCGGAAGAGAAAGTAAAGTACCGTCTCACGGTGTGCCCGGAGCTGTGTTCTGGGCTTTTCGTGAGGGAGTTTGAGGAGAACGCCGCGCAGAACGACAATCCTCCTCCGCGTTCTACGATAGTGAATGAAAAGCTTATTGGACACATCCTCGCCACAAAGACGTACGATTCCACCATCACGGAACGGTCGATGGCTATTCCAAAAGATGAGAATGATCTCCAGAGCGGCCACGTCGAGACTAGCCGCACTATCGGCATCCATGCCGTGGTGATCGACAGCCAATACCGGGGATTGAAACTGGGGTCTCTTCTGATGAAAGACTACCTGCAGAAACTGAATCAACAGTACGTGGCCGACAAGGTGGTTCTACTGGCCAAGGCCCAGGTGACGCCGTTCTACCGCGGGCTGGGTTTTGTGGACGACGGCGTGAGCTCGTACCGGTTCGCTGGCGAGGAATGGCATGACATGCATTGCGATCTTACACACGAAGAGGAGGACGAAGACATGTAGCAGTGTCGGTGGAGTTCTATTAGAAGTATGGGTCGAACAGTCTCTTGAGCCAGTGATTGCGGAACACTCTCATACCGTACGAAGAGCCGGCTTCGAAGTCGCCACGCAGTCGCGCTTTGACAAAGTTGTGCTCCACTATTTCGAGGCGCCGTTTGTAGATGGTGAAACTAATAATTGCGTACGCCAATCCTATGATCAGGTCCAGCCGCCAATGGTGGTCCAGGTACATCGTGGCCCACCACTGTAGAATGACAAATGCGAACATGCCAACCTTGGGGAACCACCACTTGGTGTAGAACGCGATGAAGAACATGCATTGGACGGCCATCGCCGAGTGCAACGAGGGGATCGCTCCAAACACGATCGGGCTCTTGTGGAACCCGTTGGAGTTGAGATGTGTGCCGAGCGCCACGTCCACACGTGTCAGGCCGGCAGCGTATCCGGGCATATCGTAGTTCGCGGCGGCGTCCTCCCCGTACAGGTGGATGAACCACGGGGGAGCGTTGGGAAAGAGCATGTGTGTGATGACGCCGGCGATGTTTTGCGTGCCGAGAGCGAAGGAAAACCACTTGATCGCACCCGGTGCCTGGAAGACATAGAGGTAGATAGCTGTGAACAGCGGTGCGAGAAAGTGGAATAAGACGTATGAGACCCACGCCAGAAAGTCCCGTGCAGTAGTTTGAGGGTAGATCAGCGCGTGGTCGATGTTCAGGATTGGCCAGCACAGCGCCAGAACGAGCACGGGAGCAGTGTAGACGCAAGAGGCTGGGAGGTACGTGGGCTGGGACGACGAGGAAAGAGTCAGGTCTGTCCAGGATGAACTTGACCCGCTGGACCCGCTGGACCCTGCCGAGACGGTGCCAGTCTGCGAAAGGTGGGTCATTTCGACATTATTCTCGAACTGGTTTTCTTCGTCGTTTTTCATCGGGATGGCAAGCTCCTGTACCTCCTGGCTCGACTCAAAGCACGCGCGGTGCTGAACTTGGTAGAAATAGCTCCATAGCAAATATGAACACGTGAGCACCAACAGGAAGGACAGCCACGCAGAGAGTCTGCTGACGTCAAAGACAAACGAGTCCAGTGACATGGCCAGTTTCACGTGGATCGTTGGCCGGATCTCGTTCGGGACGATTCCGGCGTTCTTGAACATCAGCAGCCATATGAACACGGGCGAGAAGTTGAGTGCAAAATTCAGGATGAGCCCAAAAAATGATCTCTTGTTCAGAGCCTGGCTTAGCATATGCCGTACCAGCTGGAACAGGAGTAGAGGTAATCGAAGGACTAACGACACGTAGGACATTTCTGTGTGGCTCGCATGTAAGTCCGATGGCGAGAGGTGAGGGATGGCTCTATGAGGGGACTCTGATGCGACGATTTTGTTCCTAGCTGGAAATTTTTTTATCGATCAAAATTCGGTAAGCCTTGCAACATACGAAAAAGAGTACCACGCCGCAGTCGTGCCCTTTTTGGCCTTTCTTTTATTTTTTTTCCGACCGTTTTGTATTTTAATTCGATCTCCAGATTATCCAGATCTGCAGCGTATAGCTTATGCATGCCTCGCGGCATCAGTCTTGCACGCCAATCCCCGCGTTCGTCTTGAGCTGCGGCACAGAAGTGATACGAGCGTCCAGTTGGCCCGTGAGCTGCGGATTGTACAGCTGCGTGAAGAACTGGCCTGCTCCCTCACTGAACGACTCAGTGCTGCGGCCCTGCGAAAGCATCTGGTTCGTGTACCACCACCCCATCCCGTCCCAAATCCTCGACCGCCAGGGCACAACGTTCGCAAAAGTGTGGATAACGTTCACTATGTACTCGTACTCGTCCAAGTCGGGCTGTGCTTTTCTGGTCTTGAAGTCGTTGATCATGTTGGTGTAGTTCTGCACGATGGTGAGGTGGCTGTTTTTAGTTATGAGCGAATTGTAGGCGTCTGAGTGTTTTCTGTAGTCGATAACCAGGCCTTCGATCACGGCAGAAAAGATTTTCTGCGCGTCGTAGCGGATCGTGACGGTGTCTGTCTTATTAATTTCGGTGGCCGGAGTGCTGGTCAGGGACGCGCGCGGGGTGTCCGTGTTGACCGATGTGGACGACAGTATTGTTGTGGTGGTGACGTAGGCTCCTGTGCTCGACGCCATCGTCGAAGAAGCGGCCTGTGAAGGCCCGATTGTCGCGGCCGTAGTCTCTGAGCCTGCGGCGGAGATGTACACCCACGGCTGGTAATACGTCGCGGTGACGTAGTCGGAGTTTGCCGTGGGCGTATCGTAGAGCATCTGGAGAACCAGGTACGAGCTTTTGGCCTCCTGGAGCACGCGACCGCTCCACGGAAGCTGGCTCAGATACGCAAGCAGAGTGTCGCATTCGAGGTTCACTCGCAAAAGATCGGACTCCGTGGAGTATGCGCTGACTATCTCGTTGAGGCTGGTGGCAAACCCCGGGTTTGTGATGGCCATGCTGTTGTACTGGCGGCCGTACGTAGCAATATCGTAGCAGAGAGCATTGCACTTGGCCAGCTTGTAGTACGTCATGTAAGTGGCCGACTGGTCGTCCGGGATGATAATCTCTGTATCCCAGGTGGTTTGTGATGGTGTGCTGGACGGAAATTCCAAAATGGTTTCGACAGCGGAGTCGACAGAGGTGAAGCTGGTATAGTAATTGGTGGCCACCGACAGCACGTACTGTTGGGCAGTTGAGGGCAGTTGCACAAGCATCGACGTTGCATAGTCGACAATGGACGTGGCCAGCAGATGGTCGAAGAACAGGTTGTTGTCGTATTCGCTGGCCAGCGACGCAAAAACCGAGGCCTCAGTGCCCGGGAAATAGGACGTTTCGTGACCGTAGTAGAAATAGTCGCGCATCGCGAGACCCACCGCGTAGTTGTAGTCTGCTTCGGCCACAACGCTGTTAGCACATGCTCCAAGCAGCGGGAACAGTGCAAAAGCTAAAAGCATGGGCGGAGCGGGATCTAGCTGGAACCGTTGAATTTACGCAATTTCGTATCTAGCTTCGTCGGTGCAGAGATGAAGAGGGTGAAAAATAAAATAAATTAGCCTTTATTATGGACCAGTTCCAGAACACGTCGTTTGCACAGATGTTGCAGGCGCACGCGGCACAGCAGCCGCAGGTCAATCTGGAGATCGACAAGAAACGGATTGACGTCCTGCTCAAGATCAACACGGTCCTGCTCCAGAAGTGCCTGCTTCTCCAGCCCTACATTCTAAACAAGTCCAACGCGACGAACCCGGACTACAACCAGAGAAAAGAGACGTACCAGAACTATTTGAAGCGAATTCACTTCAACCTCACGTGCCTGGCATCCATCAACGATATCCACTCCACTCCACCCAACATGCCCAAGAAAAACTACAGTATCCCGCAAATAGTTCTTCCGCCGCCAGAGCTGCCCGAGCTCAACGAGCCTTACAAGCTGCTCAACCAGCTCTATCCCGAAGCGTTACCATTTTTCCAGAGACGCATGGAGGCCGCAAGACAGCAGCCGCAGCAGATGCAACAGATGCAACAACGCCAACCCCAGCCTCCAGCGCAACCACAGCAACAGCCACAGCCTCCGCAACAACACCAGCAACAGCACCAGCAACAGTTCCAGTTCCGCAACCAGACATTCCCGCAAGAGGAGCAGCATAGCCAGATGAACTTCGCGTGGAACTCGCCTTCCGACCTGCTGGCTCCGCGTGCTAAGCAGCAGCAGGCTCCCCAGCCACAGCACCAGATGTACTCGCAATTTATACAGCAGCAGTTGAACCAGCAGCAGCAGACTATCCAGATGCCGCAAACAATGCAACCGCAGCAGACGCCCCAGCAGCAACAGCCGCAACAGCAGCCTGTCTTCAACCAGTACACACCGCAGGACTTCACTAATTTCCAGCAGCCTCAGCAGCAGTCGTTCAATGGCAACATGGGGCAGTTTGAGACGAAAAATGGCAGCTCGGCGGCTTCTGCAGGCAGCTCCACCATGCTGAGTCCCGAGCAGATCCTCGCGAGCGCCAATAACCAGCAGTCCTCAGCCTCTTTAGACGAATGGTGAGGCGTCGATCGTCTCTATTTTTATTTTTTGCGTCGTTGCGCGAATCTAATATATATACATTTTGGACTTATTGTAACACTAATTTCTCTTCCCCACACCGATGCCCATGCCCTCAGGAGCCAGCAAACCTCGCAACCTTCACGAGCTGACGGTGCTGGTGGATGAACTGCTTGAGTCGCTGAAAGTCGGCTCGTCGAGTTCCACCAAAGAGCACCTTGTGAAGGCCCTCGAGTGCATCGAGAACTATAAAGGCGTCGTCGGGCAGAAACATGTTTCTGAGCTTGCGGCGTCAGAATTCGAGGAGGGCTTTATCTACTACAACGCAGCATCCCGGATATTGAGCGATCTGATTCCAAGACTCGACGACTATCGACAACTCAAGCAGAAGCCCAGTTTGTACCAGTTTTACGCAGATCTCATTAATTATCTTGTGAGACAGCGCCCCACATACGAGGCTATGAAACAGCATATTCGTGGATCCTCCGATAGCCTGGTCTTGAGACTGCAGACGCTGAAAAGCGGGACGGAGATAGCGTCCAATGGCTCGACTCATAAAGATCTCACCCAGCTGTTCGACTCGTTCGGCGATGCCGTTTCGGTTTCGCAGCTTTCGTCGCTGCTTAAACACCACTCCGACCTTGTATTGCTTATAGATTTGCGCCGCAAACGAGAATTTGAGCTCGAGCATATAGATCTCGCAGATTCCATCATACAGTTGGAGCCCGTGTCAATCAGAGACAGCTACACCTGCCATGAGATAGAGAAGTACTCCATGATCACTGACACAGACGAAGAACGCGAGCTGTTTGCGCAGCGAGACCGCTTTGAGCTGGTGGTTGTTCTAGACTACAGCTCCACCAAAGAATCCAAAAGCCCGGAACTTACGCGACTGATATCAATACTGACCACGAAAAACGCTGGGGTATTTCTCAAGCGCCATCCCGTCTTTCTTGACGGCGGCTACAAGGCATGGTCGGAGTCCCGTTCTGCTCTGTCGTCGCCAATACATGGGCTCCGGCCCGTATATGGACGTGACCGGTCTGAATCGATCAGCTCCATTTCCGGCCGCGACGACATCACAGTCACACGAAGAACATCCTACAGCGAGCGGTCGCTCATCAAGAACGTCGGCGAGTTTCTTTCTAGCCAGTCCAGAACGCAGTCCAGCGAGAGCTCTGTCGAGTTTAAAGCCCCAGCAGCGACACCCTCCCACGAAATCTACAGCCGCAGAGACCTCCCGTCTCCAAAGCCCGAGCCTTCCGTATCGTCGAGCTCGCCGTTGCGGCCTTCTCCTGCATTTTTGTCGCCCGTGCCTCTCCCCAGATCGCGAAGCTCGCCGCCTAAAGCGCAGCTACCAAAGGTGCCCTCGAAACCCGCGTCGTCGCCGGCGCCAGTCTCCAGATCAAGCTCTGTGTTCCAGAACTCTCTGAGCGTCATAACCGGCCTGGCAAACCTCGGAAACTCCTGTTATATGAACTCTGCGCTACAGTGTCTAATTGGGTCAAAACGACTCACGGAGTTCTTCATTGTCGGCACATTCAAACAGCACATCAACATGAGCTCCAGACTGGGATCAAAGGGCATTCTGGCGAACGAGTTCTCGTCGCTGCTTACAGAGCTGTACAAGAAGAGCACTCCCAGCCGTCCACAGTCGGTAACACCCCGTCACTTCCGCAAAGTGATAGCATCTCTCAATAGCATGTACAGAACCCTGGACCAGCAGGATTGCTCGGAGTTTTTGAATTATGCTCTCGACTCACTCCACGAAGACCTCAACGAGAACGGCAACCATCCGAAACTGCCTGAGTTGAGCAAAGAGGAGGAGGAAAAACGCGAAAAACTGCCAATCAGAATTGCCTCCACGATCGAGTGGGAACGGTATCTCAAGACCAATTTCAGTATTGTTGTGGACATTTTCCAGGGCCAGATCATGTCACAGCTCCGGTGTCTGAAATGCTCCACCACTTCGACCACGTACAACGCATTCAGCACTTTGAGTTTGCCGATTCCCGAAAATGGCCCCAAGTCCACGCTTGGCGCCTGTTTCGATGAGTTCGTCAAGCCAGAACTGCTCGATAACGACAATGCATGGCTCTGTCCGCACTGCAAAACAAAGCAACGCACACTGAAACATCTCCAGATCTCCAGACTGCCCCAGGTGCTCATCATCCACCTCAAACGCTTCAAAATGGGCAACTACCTAACAAAGCTCAACACCTACATCGACTATCCGCTTGAGCTGCAGCTGGACAAGTACTGGCCGAACGTCGAAAACGAGCTCGAACGTGTCGAGCTGAGCAGACTGCCGATCAGAGGACAAGTTCCGCCTTTTAGATACAGGCTCTACGGAGTGATCAACCATTTTGGAAACCTGATCAACGGCCACTACACTGCTTTTGTCGAGAAGGGACCGGGCAACGGCTGGTGTCTGTTTGACGACGAAAAGGTTTACAAAAATTGCGCGCCGCACAAAGTCGTCAACGGAGATGCGTACATGCTATTCTACGAACGTGTCTAATTTTCCACCGCTCCAATAGTGTAATTTCCCTCGTTCGCGCCGTTCAGGTCGATGAACTTGTCGCATCGTGGCACCTCGTTCGCAACGTGTCCAATGACAAGCGCACATCCTTTCCACTGGTCGACCAAACTTTTGCCCTTTATGATGTCCTCGTTGGACATGGCACTGAGAGACTCGTCCAAAATTAATATTTTTGGCTGGTTGATCATTGCGCGCAGCAAAAGTACCATTTTCTGACTGCTCACGGGCAGGTCCTTGAACTCTGTATCTTTGTACTGCAACAGACCGACGTTTTCCAGGTACTTGGCGATTTTTTCTTTCTGCTCGGGAGTCGTCTTGGGAGGTATAAAAGACCCCGTTTGGTAGCCCGTCGAAATAGCCTGTTCGACAGTAAGATGTTTGGGGAAAATGGCGTGTAGTTCTGGCGATGTGAGTCCGATCTGCTTGTTGGTGTCAAAGTAGTTGGTCTTCCCAGTTGCTCGCGGAACGCCATTCATTTTGATCTGTTTGTTCCAAGCCTGCGGATGGTCCAACGTGATCAACGACAAAAGCGTGGTTTTTCCCGAGCCGTTCTTGCCTCTGATGTGCCATTTTTCGCCGTCTCGAACAACCCAGTTCAGATTCTTCAGAGCAGGCTTGCCCCGATACACAACATTCACGTCAGACATCTCCAACAGCGGAGTTTCGGAGCGCTCGGACGTCTGTTCTTGGGGATGGTAAGACTTGGCTTCCAGCTGACTTTTCATTTGTTGTTGCTGTTCCCTGTGTGCTGCGCGTACGCTGTTCAGTGCGCCGGCCAGGTCTGTTCTGTTGCCGCTCTCAACAATGCCGGTGTGGTCCACAATGGCCACTTTTTCTATCCACTCGGGGATCTCGTCCTCCAGCTTGAGCCCGAGACACACGGTGGTGGGGGCGCCCGTGTGCTCCAGAACACGAGACACGGTCTTCTTCGCAGCGGGGTCCAGCCCCAGGAACGGGTCGTCGACCATGAGCAGGTCTGGCTTGCCGTAGAGACTTCTTGCTATTCGGGCCCGGCGGAACTGTCCGTTGCTGAGCGTAGTGATATATTTCTGCTCAAAGCCCTTGAGATCGACCCTTTCGAGGATCTCGTCCAGGAGCCTGGGATCTTTTTTGTGCTGCGAGTTGTACGAAACGTTGGCCACAAAATCTGCCACCAACTCGTCCACCTCGCGGTCTTTGAAAAATTCGTATCTGCTGGATAAATGAGTGAATCCGCCGGAGGAGTTTGTAGCTCCGTGGCCAAACGAGCCGTTGTTGACGAACTGCAGCAGCTCAATTCGCACGTCTGGTTTTTTCAGCCGCAGCGGATACGTTCTGGCGCGCGGGTGCGGCAGAGCGAAGAAGGAGCCCTGGAGAGCTTGGAGAAAAGTGGAGCGGTGCGAGTCTCCGACAACGGCCCATTTTTCGCCCTGGAAAAGCGAGAATGTGATTGGTTTCTGGAAAACAAGCGCGTCAGACTGGTTTTTCAGCGTCTTCGACAGCAAACAGCCTTCCAGCCTCACGATACAGCTCATATCTAAATCTGTAATAAATTTGTTCTGCCAAAAATTCCGGGCACACACACCTCTGGTAAATATTTTAACTACGCTTTTCTGATAAACAAGGCGAAGCATCCGGCTGTTTACAATGGAGAAATTTGTCTACACGAGGCTGCCGAACGCTCCTGAGGAACACCTCTCCGAGAAGGAGAAGATGGAGATGGAGTTCGGCCCGCTGAGCTCCAAAGACTACCTGTACGAGGTGAACTACGACCCGAATCAGCCGTTGAACCCTGCCGTGGACGAGCCTCCGTATTTCGTGGTCATCTTCACGTACCTGAACTACCTCATTCTCATCATCATCGGCCATCTAAAGGACTTCTTTGGGAAGCGATTCATGCCGCAGCATTTCGAAGCTGTGCTGCCGAAAAACGGATACCCTCCGTGGTACTCGGCGTTCGAGTCGTTCTACCCGCGTCGTCTGAAGAAAAGACTAGACGACTGCTTTGCGCGGCCGATCTACGGTGTTCCGGGCCGTTTTGTCAGGTGCTTTGATCGCATCTCGCCTGACTACAACGAGACGTTCCTTTACAGCGGAGAGCTGAAGCCGCTACTTAATTTGTCCTCCTACAACTATCTCGGGTTCGCCCAGTCCATCGGATCTTGCACGGACGCCGCCGTCAAGAGCGTGGAGGAGTACGGCACCTCGTCGTGTGGTCCTCGAAACCAGATCGGAACGTGCGACCTCCACAAGGAGACCGAGGCGCTGGTGGCTCGGTTCGTCGGGAAGGACGACGCGGTGATGTTTTCGATGGGATTCGGAACCAACGCCTACCTGTTCACGTCGTTGGTGAACTCGAAGTGTCTCGTGATCTCAGACTCGCTGAACCACAGTTCTATCAGATTTGGAATCCGTCTTGCCGGCGCAGCCGTGAAAGTGTTCCCGCACAACGACATGAAAAAGCTCGAGCAGATTCTCAGAGAGTCGATCTCGCAGGGCCAGTCCAAAACGCACCGGCCCTGGAAGAAGATCGTCGTGTGCGTGGAAGGACTGTATTCGATGGAGGGAAACCTCGCCGATCTGCCCGCCCTGGTAGCTTTGAGAGAAAAATACAAGTTCTACCTGTTTGTGGACGAGGCACACTCGATCGGCGCGGTGGGAAAGTCGGGCAGAGGTGTTTGCGACTACTTTGGAATCTCTCCTTCCAAGGTGGACATACTAATGGGCACGTTCACCAAGTCGTTCGGAGCGGCAGGCGGATACGTCGCGGCCAATCAGGAAATCATCGACAGGCTCAGACTGGACATCAGCACCAACGTTTACGGAGAGTCGATGCCTCCGGCGGTGGTCACCCAGATCAACACGTCCCTGAGAATCATCATGGGCGAAATCAACGGCGACGAGGGCAAGCAGAGACTGCAAAGAATCGCGTTCAACTCCAGATACCTGCGTCTCGGACTCAAACGGCTCGGTTTCATCGTCTACGGTGTGGACGACTCCCCCGTGGTTCCTCTGTTGCTGTACGCGCCTCCGAAAATGCCTGCGTTCAGCAGAATGATGTACGAGCGCGGCGTCGCTGTCGTGGTGGTCGGCTACCCGGCCACGGAGCTCATATCGTCGCGTGTCAGGCTGTGTGTTTCTGCCTCGCTGACGAAAGAAGACATCGACAGAATTCTCACCATCTGCGACGACATCGGCGACAAGCTGTACCTGAAGTTCAGCTCGGGCATCTCTGGCGGAGAGAAACACCCGGGCGACTACAAAAAAGGTATCCCTCCTAGATGGAGCCTCAAGGAGGTCTTGGAACGCACTCCGGAGGACTGCAAGAAGCCCACCTACTAATTCCGTCGGCATACATACAAAATTCAACCAGATATACTAATTATATTATATTTACAGTTGTTGCTGCTCGCTTTCCTCTGTGCCGATCTGCAGCTCGTCCAGTCTCTCTTTGGTCAGCAGCCTCTTCATTCTCGCCTTTTCTTTGGTCTCGCGCTTGCCAGGACGGATCAGCTGTCTTCCGGGCCAGATCTCAAAGTCCTGCATGTATCGCTTGTCAAAGTTGAACTCCATGTGGACCACTTCGTCCGTAAGTCCCAGCTTCTCAATCGCCCAGTAATATCTCTGTGGGTTGCTTTTCTTCAGGTACTTGAGCACTTTCTGTCTCTGCTGGGTTAGCATACGCGCGCGGCGGATGTGGATTTTGTCCTGCGGATTCTGCTTGATGTGTTCCATGAGATTGAACAGCCTCACAGTCATGGCGGCGGCCTGGACCTCTGACGAGCCGGTATCGCCTTCGAACCTGCCAAACTCGGCAACAGCCATGCTCAGCACCCGTTTGTTCTTCTCCTGTTCGTCTGCGTTTCTCATGCTGAGTATTCGAAGCAAGACCTCTCTTTTTTCCGCCTCCTCTTTCTCGATTTGCTTCACCGTGGCCTCGTCGTAACCGAGCGTCGACACAGACTTGAGAATCTTGGATTCCTTGGCTCCGTAGAGCAGCTTGTCCACCTCCGCAAGATCAAACTTCTTAGCCAGCACGGTGGGCTCCTCGATCTCGATTTTCAGTCTCTGGATGAACGGATTGTTCGCTCTGCCGAGGACAGGATCGACCTTCTCTTTATTGAGGAGTCTGCTGCTTTGCAGCACGATGTTGCGCTTCTTTTTGTGCGCCGCAATCTCCATCCGCTTCTGCCTGCTCAGAGTGGCCGCCACACGCGAGGTGTGGAACCGTCTGGCCTGTTGTTGGAAGGACTGTAGCATACCGACACTAAATAAAATGGTCAATTTTTCATACAGGAGGGTAACCGCAGCAGAGGTAAGAGAATTCCTGGGGTGAAAAAATTTTCTCCCATTTCACCATGAAGTACATCCAGTCCTCCGAAATCCTCGACGTTCCCCAAGACGTGTCTGTCGTCATCAAGTCGCGTAACATCCTTGTGAGAGGTCCCCGCGGCGAGTTGAAGAAAGACCTGCGCCACATCGACGTCACCTTCACCAAGTTGTCCGATACACAGATTAAAATCACTGTCCACAACGGCGACAGAAAACATGTCGCCTCGCTGAGAACTGTGAAGTCTATCATCAGCAACTTGATCAAGGGCGTCACTGTCGGCTTCAGATACAAGATGAGGTTTGTGTATGCGCACTTCCCTATCAACGTCAATGTCGTGAACGAGGACGGCCAGGATTACGTCGAGATTAGAAACTTCTTGGGAGAAAAGAGACTCAGAAAAGTCAAGGTGTGGGACGGCTGTAAGGCCGTCATCTCCACCGCGCAGAAAGACGAGCTGATCGTCGAGGGAAACTCTCTCGAAAACGTGTCGCAGACGTGCGCCGACATTCAGCAGATCTGCAGGGTCAGAAACAAGGATATCAGAAAGTTCCTGGACGGTATCTATGTTTCCGAAAGAGGCCATATCGTGGAGGCCTGAGGATATAGTTTGATGAGAATTGTCGCCAATCTGTGCTGGGAGCGCCGGGTGCCTCCCAGTGCTGCGAATCGTTGCCTGCCGCGGAAGACGGCTCTTTACGATTACGCAAGTAGTTTCTGTAGCGCGTCTGTGTGCCGTAGATCTCGATGTAGGGCCTCCGTGGCGTCCTGCTCTCCACTCGTCTTACCTCCGGTGTCGGGTGTGCTTAGATTTCGCGACCCGGCGATTGGCCAGACCGGCTATTTCTTAGCTGAGATTACTCGATGTGTGACTATGCAGATTCTAGCCCGTTACTTGGTAATTAGTAAGTGGTGGCAGCATTATATAAACCGCCTTTTTTCTGTGCGGGAGAACATCATTGCAATGGCTTCCTTCGCTAGAACGGTTTCCAGACTCAACTTGAGACCTCTCATTGCAGTCTCGCTGGCTGCGGCCGGAGCATACGCTTACAACGAGAGCAACGGGCCTACTCCGACTCCGAAGAATTCTGGCAGGCTCTTGGCGTCGTCGACGTTACTGGCTACCAACGTCAGAGAGGCCAGCGCGGCCGTCAAGCCGTTCGAGGAGTACCAGAAGATTTACAACGACATAGCAGAAAAGCTGAGAGAGGAAGACGACCGCGACGACGGGTCGTACGGCCCCGTGTTGGTGAGACTGGCCTGGCACTGTTCCGGCACGTACGACCAGAACGATCCGTCGCAGAATAAGGGCGGCTCGTACGCGGGAACAATGCGGTTCCAGCAGGAGCAGGACGACCCAGAAAACGCAGGCCTAAAGGTGGCACAGGACTTTTTGGAGCCATTCAAGACGAAATATTCCAACCTGTCGTACGGCGATCTTTGGACCTTGGGAGGCGTGTGCGCGATCCAGGAGCTGAGCGGGCCAAAGATCAAATGGAGACCCGGCCGCAAGGATCTCGGCCTGGACGCTGTTCCTCCGTACCACCGTCTGCCGGATGCGTCTCAGGAGACGGGCGAGTACGTGAGATCGGTGTTCAACGGCAGACTGGGCTTCACGGACCAGGAGATGGTGTGTCTGATCGGCGTGGGTCATGCTCTGGGCAGGTGCCACGTCGACGCGTCCGGCTACGACGGTCCATGGACGTTCTCACCTACGATGGTGACCAATGACTTTTTCAAGCTGCTATTGGACGAAGACTGGAAAATCAGAGACTGGGACGGGAAAAAGCAGTACACGGACTCGAGCACCAAGTCTCTGATGATGCTCCCGACCGACATGGTGCTGAAGAAGGACTCGAAGTTCAGGAAGTACGTGGAGCTGTATGCCAAAGACGAGGAGAAGTGCATGTCGGACTTTGCCGACGTGTTTTCGAGACTGCTCGAGCGGGGAATTAAGTTCCCGGATTCCACCAAGCCGATGGTCTTCAAAACACTCGAGGAACAGGGACTATAAACATATACTGACAGGCATGTAACGTAAACTCCACGGTTACATTTTATGGCTGTGTAGCTACAGGCTATTTTCTTCGGACATCTCAGGCGCAGGAATTATTTCGAATTTGTTTCTCTAATGGTGAAACCAATTATTGCTCCCTCTGTTCTGGCCGGCGACTTTGCGCAGCTCGGCTGCGAGTGCCACCGCATGTTCAAGTGCAACGCTGATTGGGTGCATCTGGACGTCATGGATGGCCATTTCGTCCCCAATCTGACCATGGGGCCGCCTATCATCTCCAGCCTGAGAAAGGCGGTTCCCAGAGACGAAGGCCAGCCAGGCAAGTTCTTCTTCGACTGCCATATGATGGTTGCGAACCCTGAGCAGTGGGTTCCTGAGATTGCAGACGCTGGCGGCGACCAGTACACGTTCCACTACGAAGCAACCAAGGACCCTGTCGGGCTTGTCAAGCTGATCAAAAAGTACGGCATGAAGGCTGCGTGCGCCATCAAGCCGGGCACGCCGGTCGACGTGCTGTATCCGCTCGCAGAGCACCTAGACATGGCTCTTGTGATGACGGTGGAACCAGGCTTCGGAGGCCAGTCGTTCATGGCCGACATGATGCCGAAGGTCGAGAACCTGCGTGCCAAGTACCCGCACCTCAACATCCAGGTTGACGGAGGACTTGGTCCCAAAACCATCCCGGCTGCTGCCAAAGCTGGAGCCAACGTCATTGTTGCCGGCACGTCGGTGTTCAAGGCAGAGAAACCGGAGGACGTTATCCAGCTGCTCAGAGATTACGTGACGAAAGAGCTGGAGTCCCGCGGACTTCTTGAGTGACGCGTCTTGCTGCCATTTTGCGAATTACTGGTCTTCTTCGATAGCATAAATCAATATATTCTATAAAGTCAGCGGTCCTCCCAATGTAGTGCCCTCGCCAGAAACGTCGTAGGCAAACCCGCCGGACGCCGCGTCCTCGACCACAGCCCACAGGGCACTTCGCACGCTCTCCTGGGCTTGTTCCGTCGCCTCGTCGATCTCCATCTGCTCCTGCTTGGCCTGTGCGTCCACCAGCAGCTGGTCAGTGTCCAGGTGGCGGGCCTTGGCGTACTTCTTGTTTCTCTCGATTTTTTTGCTCTTTTTGTTGGACAGTGTCTTAGTGGTGACGCCAGACCGGGAAGGTCCAGTGTACAGCGCGACGGTTGTGGACTTTGGAGCGTCGTCTCTGGAGGATTCGCGCGAGCCGGCTCTCTTCTTCCCGAGCAACTGGCGCTTTTGCCGTCTGAGAATGTTGTCTTTAGGTTTGTTGATGCTGTTTCTGGATGGCATGCCGTCAGATTTGGCTTTTTTTTCTTTGGTAAAATTTATTTAAAATTTTCAACCACACCTTAGGCCAGATACGATAAGATAAGCACACGTAGCAGCAAGCGAGACTGGGTGGTCTGAAGGGGGGACGGACTTGAGTAGCTTTGTGAACAGAATGGGCGGAATTCGGAAGCAGACGGCAAGACAGTAATTTGTGTCTCTCCCAAAAGAAGGAAGATTGTCTATACAAAGGTCTCTCGAGGGAATTTGGGTTCGGGACGGTTCCTCCGGCCGACTGAGACGAGCATCGGTTTCGAACGGATCGAAAATTGGCTTTCGTTTGGCGACTTCAAAAAGTTCTCCCACTGCAGCAGATGACACGCCGAACAGACGCCTCCAAAAGCAAAATTTGCTACATGCAAAGCTTTGCAATGGATCCGGACAATTGTTTTGTATCCCACCAGCCAACATTCCTTTGTTCAGTCTGTGAATCTCGGAGTTGCAGAAAGCAGAGGTCCCCCGAGTATGACGTCAACTAGTCCCAATGACGCTCCCAACAAGAAGCCTGTTTGTGGTGTGCGCAGGGCGTCGGAAAAACATTCAGGATCTGAGCAGGATTATTTGCGCGGTTGGCAGGACACATACGACTCTTGTGCAGGAAGGCTAGACTAATTGGAGCATGCCAAGTAACGGAATAGGCAATTTGGCTCAGATCCCACAACCTTGTATCAAAAGCACCTGCACAAGGGAAGTCCCTCTTGTTACTAATTATGCCAGACTATAGCGATTCTTTTTCAAGGCACTTGTTGATCTGCAGGTAAACGTCATACTCGTTTCTTTGCACACTGCTAACCTTCACCTTCTTTTTTTTTTTTTTTGTTGAGGGACTACCTTCCGTAATATTCATTTAAAATCCAGCTTTTGCCGTCTGCTCTGGCTCAACACACAACAGACCACAACTCAGAATAATGACTGCAATGGATAGACTGGATCATGTTAGTAACCAGCTGGCCGCCAAGCGCCAGAAGAAAAACCCAGAAAGCAAGCCGTTCCGCCTCACCGTGGTGGGTTCAGGCAACTGGGGATCAACCATCGCAAAAGTGGTCGCTGAGAACGCCAAGGAGCTTCCGCAGGAATTCCACCAGATCGTGAAAATGTGGGTTTTCGAAGAAGAAGTGGACGGACGCAAACTGACGGAAATCATCAACACCGATCACGAGAACGTCAAATACCTGCCAGACGTCAAGCTGCCGGATAACATTGTGGCCATTCCAGACATCGTTGATGCCTGTTCGGACGCCGACATTATCATTTTCAACATTCCTCACCAGTTCCTGCCTAGGATCCTGGCCCAGTTGAAGGGCAAGGTCAACCCTAAAGCCCGCGCAATTTCTTGTCTGAAGGGTCTAGAGGTCAGCAAGGACGGCTGCAAGCTGCTCTCTAACTACATCACGGAAGAGCTCGGAATCTACTGCGGTGCCCTTTCAGGAGCCAACCTCGCTCCAGAGGTTGCCAGACAAAAGTGGTCGGAGACCACTGTGGCCTACAGGATCCCTGAAGACTTCCGTGGCGAAGGCAAGGATGTCGATCAGAACGTGCTCAGAAACCTGTTCCACCGCCCATACTTCCACGTCAGGGTCGTTGACGACGTTGCTGGTGTGTCTTTGAGCGGAGCCCTGAAGAACGTCGTGGCCATGGCCGCCGGCTTCGTCGAGGGACTCGGCTGGGGTGACAACGCCAAGGCTGCTGTGATGCGGATTGGCTTGGTCGAGATGATCAAGTTTGCCCACATGTTCTTTGACGACTGCCAATCTACCACCTTCACCCACGAGAGTGCTGGTGTTGCCGACATCATCACGACGTGCGCCGGAGGCAGAAATGTGCGTGTCGGGAGGTACATGGCGGAGCACAAGGTGAGCGGTTTTGAGGCAGAGAAGGTGTTGCTGAACGGCCAGTCCTGTCAGGGTCTGCACACCACCAAGGAGGTGTACGAGCTGCTGGCTGCCAAGAACGTGATCGACGAGTTTCCGCTCTTCAACGCCACCTACCAGATCATTTACGAGGGTCTTCCTATGGAGAAGTTGCCAGACTTGCTTGAGGCATCTGAGGACTAAAAAGGCTGGTTGCAATTTTTATACAGAGTTCGAGATTAATATAGCTCAAGTGCAAGAAAAAAAAAAAGGTAAAATAAAATATAATATATCGTGTTGAGCATGTTTTTCAGACAAATTTGTTCACGCAGCAGAGTCGGGCTCTACTCGGGCATTTTCCCGAAAGTTAATGTGCGCTTGCAATCCACAAAGGCCGCCGCTTCCAAGGGCCAGCTGACGCCTGAGGAATTGGAGCTAGCAAAGAAAATGACCTGGGAACAGTTTTTGACGCTGAGAAAAGAACAGCACCGCATGTCGTTGCTTGGGTCCGGTATCTCGAGTTTCCTTGCCGTCGCGATTTCCTGGGGATACGTTTCACAGATCGAGATTGACCCCACAGAGACGATATTCGGACTGGATACTTTCACGGTCCACATTGGAGGCATTCTGGCGATGGGCGTGCTGGGATTCCTGGTCGGGCCTAGTCTGATTGGCGACCCGCTGTTTGCACTGAAAAACCGCAAGCTCATGGACAGTTTCCGCATCAAGCAGAAGCTGTTTCTCAAGCACATAATCAAGCGAAGAGTCGACGCCTCCAGACAGAGCATGAACAACCCTGTGCCGGACTACTACGGCGAAAAGATCGGCTCGCTCAAGGACTACAGGCAGTGGCTCAGAGACTGCAACGAGTACAGACGCAAGGCCAGAGAATTCCTGTAGACGGGTGTATGTAGATAATGCTTATGTAAAAAGAGTCAAGAAAAAACAAGCTTTTTAAATAATGTCGAGTGGGTCGAGTTCGAATCTGGAAGACCTGTATTTGCAATCGTACTCGTTTACGACAACGGCGGCCATAATTGGCTCTGTCGATAGGAAGGTGTTTGTGCTGCTCAGAGACGGCCGAAGCGTTATCGGCGTGCTGAGAACGTTTGACCAGTTTGCCAACCTTGTCATTCACGACGGCGTGGAGCGGATTTATCTGGACGGCTCGCGGTACGGCGAGTCGACGGAGCCACAGATCTTTCTGATCAGAGGCGAAAACGTCGTCATGATGGGCGAATTGGACATCGACAAGGAGGACGAGCCGCTTGAAAAGCTTACGAGAATAGATTACGGGGTCGCATTTGGCGAGTGGAAAGAGGCACAAACGAAGATCGTCGAGAGACACACCATCGAGGACAAGCTGCTGAGAAGCAAGGGCCACCTGACGTCGTTTTTGACCGACGAGTTCTACTAGGTAGAAGCTAATGTACACTAAAGGCCATTAAATGCTATTGAATGCGATCAGATGCTAGTAGATGCTTTGAGTGCTAACTGTCCCGTATCTCGTTCTGCTCGCTGAAAAGCACGTAGTTGCGGTCTCTTCCTATAGGGTAGCGTTTGAGCGCTCCGCACACGCACGAGACGGCAAGGACGTCATTTTCTGGGCTCTGGGCGTTGCTGGTATTTTCGATCCTGATCGACGCGGTCCGTCCGGGTACTTGCAGACGGTGGCACTTCTTGCAGAGAGTGCGTTTCACGCTGGGATCGAGCTTGAGCACCGTCTTCTTGGCCACCACGTCCATATTACGCAGGTACATCCGCGACAGCGCGCTGTCCGGATCCAGTCGCGCGGCCGCCTGGTACAGAAACCCTAGCCGCTGGTAGTGGTCGTTTTTGGGCACCGTTTTGGGCGGGCGCGGTGTCTTGGCCGGGTTCTGCTTCTTCATAAAAAATGCATCACAATAATTTCAAATATATTTTTTTGCCACATTTCCTATGAGTGGTTACGACAGTGCTCTATCTATTTTCAGGTACGTAAGAGACAATTTTTGACTAACAGGCAGTCCCGACGGACACGTGTTCCAAGTGGAGTACGCCCTGGAGGCCGTGAAGCGTGGAACGTGTGCGGTGGGCGTGAAGGGCAAAGAGGTTGTGGTTCTTGCGTGTGAGAGACGAACCACGCTGAAGCTGCAGGACCCGAGAATCACGCCGTCGAAAATCAACAAGATCGATACACACGTGCAATTGGCGTTTGCTGGGCTGAACGCAGACGCAAGAATCCTGATCGACAAGGCCCGCGTCGAGGCCCAATCTCACAGACTGACCCTGGAAGACCCGGTGACAGTGGAATACTTGACCAAGTACGTGGCCGGCGTGCAGCAGAGATACACCCAGAGCGGCGGAACCCGGCCGTTTGGCGTTTCGACGCTCATTGCCGGCTTTGACGAGAACGACAAGACGCCTCGGTTGTACCAGACAGAGCCGTCAGGAATCTACTCGGCATGGAAGGCCAATGCCATTGGGCGCAGCAGCAAGACGGTGCGCGAATTTCTGGAGAAGAACTATGACAGGGAAAACGAGCTGGACGAGGCGCAGACCGTCAAGCTGACCGTCAAGGCGCTGTTGGAGGTGGTGCAGACCGGAGCCAAGAATATCGAGATTTCCGTGATGAAGCCCGGCAGAGTGATCAACCAGCTGTCCAACGACGAGATCGAGGCGATTGTGCAGGAGATAGAGGCCGAGAAGGAGGCCGAGGCCGAGAAAAAGAAGCCGAAAAGAGCCAGTGAATAGATCCACCATAGCTAGTAATTCTATTTACAGAGTCCTGGTCTCGCCCTCGACGTCGATGATGTCGCCCTCGCTCGACGGCGTGTTGATGACGAAGCGCTTGTTGGCCACAAAGCCGAGCGGGACGATCTCGATCACGCACTGGCTCTTGCCGACGCTGATGCTTTGCTCCAAAAGGTCCTGGAAAACCGGGGTGTCCAGATTTTTCAGACTGAAAATTACCTTTGCTATTTTGTCCCCAGACCGTTTGTCGTAGAGATACCTGCTCTGCACGGTTATCATGTCCTCCACTTCCTGGACGACGCCGTTTACTGTCTGTAGCGAGACGTTCCAGTCGTACTGCACGCCGTCAAGAACACCCAGCGCGATGTCGTTGACCGACTGGACGTTGAAGTAGTCTGCCACGCCGTCCTCGTTCAGCAGAAACGCGTCAGAGACCCGGCGAAGCACGAAATTCGCCAGGTCGCTGTTGATCTGCTCGATCGGCGGCAGCGCCAGCGGGTTGGCGCTGTTTCGCGGCCGGAAAACCAGCCTCGAGTCTTTCAGCAGCGCCCATTTTTCGCTCATCTGCCTGCGGTTGCGTCTCTGGGCGATTTTGTACGCCATGAACGAGCCCACGCAGAGCGGCGGAACAACGAGCGCAAACAGCGGCAGCGCAACAAACACCACGAGCGAGCCCACAGCCGTGAGTCCGAGCGCCAGCTTGAGCGAGTCTGGCGTCCGGGCAAGCACCTCGTTCAGAAGCGAGGGGCGGTCGATCCGCTGTCGCGGCGGCCGCGAGTACCGGAACGTCACGAGGCTCGAGTGGAAAGAACGACACCCGTGCCAGAAAAGCGGTCTGGGCACGGAGGGATTCACAATTGTTCTGCGCACCACAGATCTTAGCAGACAGCTCATTATAGAATTTATTTAAATTACGTGAATTGTTATTTTTCTACACCTCTGCACCGAGATCCGGCACCTGACGAGCAAACAGCAGGTACGACGTGTGTGTCTTCAGCTCAGGCCCCGTCTTGGACACGTTCTGCCACTGGAAACTCTCGTCTCCCTCGGCTATGCGTTTCCCCTTGCCAAACGGGTTGTATCCGCGGTCTTTCTCGTTCCCGTCTGCGTCTCTCTTTGGTGGCAGCTTCTTGAGCTCTGCTCCCTCCTTTTGCCGTCTTTTCACGTCTCTGAGCCGCTCAATAGCGTCGTCCAGCTCGCGCACCATCTCCTTGCGAGCCTCCCATTTCTTCGCCTGCACCTCTGTCATCTCGACCGCGGTCCAGCCACACTCCTGCAGTGCTTCCACCGTCTTAACCACCTGCTCGATGCAGGGGCTGAAACAGCAGATCCCGACGGTCTGGTCTTTTGCAATGACTCTGGACAGGTGCGGTATCGCTTCCCAGGGCGACGGAAGGTCCAGAAACACCATCTGCGCGCTGATCTCCGAGTCTACGTCAAATCCCTCGCTGCAGACGTCTCTGTGCGTGAGCGTGACATTTTCGAGCTTGTGGCTCTCGAACTCCTCTTTTGCCTGCAGGTACCTCTGCTCGTGGAACTCGTATGAAAAAACTCGCCCAGTAGAACCCACAGTTCTGCTGAAAGCGTGCGTGAACGAGCCCGATCCGGTACCTGCCTCGATGACCCTGCTGCCCCCCACAACGTTCATTCGCTGGATAATGTACGAGGAGTCTGGCGTATAGACGATCTGGGTCCTGTGCGGGAGCGAGACGGTCCACAGCTCCGGCGTGGGCAGCAGCAGGTAGATGAAGCCGACATTTTTCGCAGATGTCACCTGCGATCCAAAAGGCTTGCCGATCATGTCTGTGTGCGGGAAGTTGCCGTATTTTGTCTGCAGAACGTCGCCTTTCTTGACGAATATGGGCTTCAGATTGTCGCGGCCAATATACGCCAGCACAAGGTCGCCCTCGGCGATGGTCTTTTTATGTTGGAACATGAAAAAATGCAGAAATTGTGTTCCAAAATATTTTTTAAAAATTATCGTAGCTGCATATGGGGATCGGAGCTGCAGAGAAGGGCCGGGGCGACACTAATCGGGAGGTGAATTTGGGATTCAGGTAAATTTGGGACTCAGCTAGCTCGGTCGAGAGTTGCTGCGCTGCGGTTCGTCTGAAGAGTTTGGGCTCCCGTTGGGTTACCATTTGTCTCCATTTCGGTCTCCCTTCAAGTTCCGTCTGGCACTCCAGCCGTGCTCAAATATCGTTGTGCCCAGCGCAGAAACAACACTCGGGAATTTCTGGCAACATGTGAGTCGCGCTCCTATTTCTCTACTCGGATTGCGCGCTCTCAACTTCACGCATGCTACACGTCTCGGAATGTGTTTTTAATTAGTGACAGAATTAATTGCATAGGCACAGTAGCCAATTCTGATGCGTCATTTTGTTTCCCATGGCACGTAGCCAGTCCCACAGCTGCACTCCTGCATTAGAGGACGTGCACTCGTCTGCGCAAATGCAGCCGTGACAGTGCCTGAAAAGCTATGCCATGTTCCACGCCGACCCGTCGATCGACGCATAAACAAAGCGACAGAAATGGTAAACAATCAACAAAAAATTAAATAAACAGCGCCAAAGATCCCGAACCTCTACACCAAAGCGAGCGGCTACAACTTAACTACACATTCTTCCCTATCCTCACTGTCTTCCCACTATCAATAGCTAATATAGACCAACACCCGCTTTCGATTGGCTAGAAAACCATGAGTACTAATGGCATTAGCTACGGTCTGCGGACCGGCGTTCAGCACGACGAGAACGCCCCAGCAAATCTCAAAGAGCGGCATCAGCCAACCAGGGCTGTCGCGGCCAGACAGCGGAAGGTCCTAGGAGTGATCCCGGACTCCTCGCTGAACACAAGACAAGCGGATTCCAAGACGCCTAGATCTGTCAAGCCGCAGCCGGAGGACGACGACGACGAGGACTACGACGTTTCCGGATATGTGAACGAGCCCATGTCGCCGATCATGAACGACAGAATTGTCCAGGAGATCACCAGAGCGTACATCAAGCACTCCAAAGACTACTTGGACCCGGCCGACGAGGACACCTTTGATGTGTCGATGGTGGCCGAGTACGGGAACCAGATCTTCAATTACCTGCACGAGCTGGAGTACAAGTACGCTCCGAACCCGCGATACGTCGAGGAGGTCCAGAACGAGCTGACGTGGGAGCACCGGGCGACGCTGATGAACTGGATCGTGCAACTGCACGCGCGGTTCAACCTGCTACCGGAAACGCTGTTTCTCACGGTCAACATCATCGACCGGTTCCTGTCGGTGAAAACGATCTCGCTGTCCCGCTTCCAGCTGTGCGGGGCCGTTGCTCTGTTCATTGCTGCCAAGTACGAGGAAATCAACGTGCCCACCATCAAGCAGATGATCTACATGGTGGGCGACCAGTTCACGATCCCAGAGTTCCTGCGCGCTGAAAAATTCATGGTCGAGGTGCTGAAGTTTGAGTTCGGCTGGCCGGGCCCAATGTCGTTCCTGCGCCGGGGCTCCAAAGCCGACGACTACGACAACGAGGTGAGAACCTTGGCCAAGTACTTCATCGAGGTGACCATCATCGACCCCAGGTTTGTGGCCTCTGCTCCCAGCTGGCTGGCGGCCGGGGCGCAGTTCCTGGCGCGCCGGATGCTGGGACGCGGGAACTGGACCGACCTGCACGTGTTCTACTCGGGGTACACGGCAGAGCAGCTCGAGCCGCTGGCCGAGGCGGTGGAGGAGTGCTGTCTGCGCGCGGCGACGCACCACCAGGCGGTCTACGAGAAGTACAGCGAGCGCCGGTTCAAGCGGTCGGCCAAGTACGTGCGCGACTACCTCGAGGCCCTCTACCAGGAGGAGTGAGGCGGTGCCTGAGACTCGCCATATTTACGCTATATAGGTCGACTAATACCACGTGACACGGACGAGGGCTGTTTGTTGGGAGTTCCTGCGGCGCGGCACCCGCCACGGTGGCTGGTAACCTGTTGGAAAAATTTGTCAAGAAAAAACTCACCTCTAACCAAACTACACAGATATCGCAATGTCCGGATCAGGTGCCTCTGGAAACAAGTTCCGTATGTCGTTGGCCTTGCCAACTGGAGCTATCATGAACTGCGCAGACAACTCCGGCGCTAGAAACCTGTACGTCCTGGCCGTCAAGGGTACCGGTGCCAGACTGAACAGACTGCCAGCCGCCTCTGTTGGAGACATGGTGATGGCCACCGTGAAGAAGGGTAAGCCAGACCTCAGAAAGAAGGTCATGCCAGCCATCGTTGTGAGACAGGCCAAGCCCTGGAGAAGAAAGGATGGTGTGTTCTTGTACTTTGAGGACAACGCCGGTGTGATTGTGAACCCGAAGGGAGAGATGAAGGGATCTGCCATTACTGGTCCTGTGGGTAAGGAGTGTGCCGACCTGTGGCCTCGTATTGCCTCGAACTCTGGTGTTGTGGTCTGAGCAGGCCGGGTTCGATCTTGATTACGTAAAAAGAGGAAGATGAAATAAAATAATTTATCGATTTTGCTAGTAGACAGGCACGAGCGGGTTTGAATGCGGTTATTCGAGGTCGCGGGTACGTTGTTTTCCGCCAATTGGCTAACGGCCAGAGCTGCTTGTGTCGGCGAAAGTGCGCGAGCGCGCCGAGGCGCTCAGTGAGCTGGAGGCGGCCGACTTTAGCTCGGCAGCTGTGCGCGACAACGCGGACCGGCTACTGCGCGCTCTGTCGCAGAGCATAGCGCTCGACGCGGCGCCGTATTTGCGTGCCGACGTGTCCGAGCGCGGATCGGGTGTTTTGGAGGCGCGGATCGGCAAGGCGGCCGATCTGGTGCGCCGTCTGTGCCAGGCGATCTCGCAGCCCGAGACCGTTGCACGGTTCAGGTACCGCCAGCTGAGCGAGATCGTGGACGTGTTGCTGGGCCACATGGTATGTGGGGGTGGCGGGCGGCGCATTTTCGAGCCTGCCGCGCTCGCAATGGCGCGCGCTCTCTACTCTCTGATCTGCGTGCCGAACTTCAAGAGCCACCTCAAACCGGAGAACCACGAGGCGATCGTGCGCACCGTGGTGGACTGTTTGGCTTTGGCGGACGACGCGCCGCAGATTCTCGTGAACGCGCTGCTCCAGCCGCTGTGCGAGTACGTTATTCCTGCCAACTCCTCGAGCATGGAGATGTTTTTACGGGAGCAGACGTATTACGCGGCGATAGTGAGCTTTGCGGAGCGTCGATGTGGCGCAAAGATGGCAGAGACAGAGACGGCTGTGTTGCTGGTGCGGCTGATGCGCCAGGTCGTAGCAGACAGCCGGCTGGTGGACGCGGCGCTGGCAGAGCGGGCTTTTTGGACGGGCGTGCGGATCGTGGCCGGGATGCGCACGGTCAGCATGGCGGCGACGCAGCTGGCGGTGGCGGAGTTCATTGGCGTCATGGGCGGGTTTGCTGGTGTCTTTGGGACGGACGAGGCCGCCGTCCACAGTGTTCTGTGTTTTGGCGTGCAAGTCTGCGCTGCGCGCCGCGAGACGAGCGCGGCGGTGGCTCCGACGCTGGAACGGTACCTTGCTGTGGCGGTTGCGCCGTCTGGGGCGAAAAAACAGCGGCTGTCCGGCGTTGCAAGCCAGATCTCGCAGCTTGTGCGGCGCAGCTCCTGTTTGGACTTCGCAGCGTTCTTGGGGGAGAACGTCGGCGATCTGGACCGGTCGGTGGCGTGCGCGGCGCTGGCTATAGTGCAGGAGTGGCTGGCAGATGCTAAAGTGCGGGAGAAGCTGTCTGCACACGCGGCTTTTCTTGCTACGCAATTTTTGCACGTTGTCCAGTTGCACGACGCCAGTCTCAGCCAGGGCGCACTGGGGTGTTTGCGAGTCTTGCTGGAGAGGAGCGACACGGCCCCTGAAATTGACCGTGTTGTGAAAACGAGTCTGGAGCTCGTTAGGGACCCGAAACTGTGCAGAGAGGCGTGCCTGCTATTCTGCGCAGCTCTGCGGAAAAAAGATGTTTACACCCTACTCGACCGCTCGACACTGCTGCAGCTCACGATGGCGCTCGATATCTTCGATATCAATGGCCCTTTCAGCGTGTGTGCGGAGAGTCTGCAGTTTTGGGGCGCGGTGCTCGATTTCTGCCAGCCGGCCGTGGACGAGCTAAGAGACTACTTTCCGGATAATAAACGGCGGCTGCGCAGCAGAATCGTCGACTGGGTGCTGTACAAGGGCTTTCGGCCGGCGACGGTGGGCGACGCGCGGGCGATGGCCGGCTTTCTGGGGCAGGGCGCAGATCTAGGGCACAAATATGCCGAGCTGGAGGCGGCATTGCGCGGGGGACTGCGCGAGATGCGGCCGTCGCGCGAGGCCGTGTGCTGGGCGTTGCTGCTGTGCGAAATGGGGGTGCTGGACGAGGAGAGTTTGCCGTTCGAGCCGGCGTTCGTTGTGAACTGTGCTGCCACGCTCGGCGTGGCTCCGCGGTTTGTTTTCTCGCTGGACGCAGACCCGCTGGACAAGCTGCTGCTCAGGATCAACAGCGGACTGTGCCGGGCTGACGAAATGGCAGCCTTGGCCAGGCAGCTCGATCCTGCGCAGCTGCTGAGTGTGTGCGAGACGCTTGCAGAAAAAAAAATGTTTATTGCTGCCCCCGATTTGTTGATTCCCCTAGTCACCGCGCACGAGACCAAAACTGGAGAGCGCACGGTTGTGGCCCTGTGCCGGCTGCTGGAGCCCCACGCCGGCGTCTGGGCGGGCTCAGACGCGTTTGTGCACCTCTGTGATATCTACGAGTACCTGCTACAGCTGGACGAAAAACAACTCGTCTGCACGCGGCTGGCAAAGTTCCATGTGCTCAGACTGTGCATCCGGGTGTACACGGAAACGAGGAAACAGGAGGAACTGGCGCGGCTCGTGCGCTCGTTCAGAGAGAGCAGCTGCTACGTGCGGCTGGCCGTGGCTCCGTTTCTGGCTGGCGTGCTTGGCTTTAATTTCGACCTGCTGGCGACGCTGCTGGCGACGTTTAAGCCTCAGCGATCGGCAGAGGCGGCGCGCGTCTTTTGCCAGTTTTGCGTTGCTCTCAGCGCGCAGTCCACGGCCGCACTGCTGGCGTGTTTCTGCAACCTGCTAGACCTGTGTTCGTTCGAGCACGTGGCGAACTTGCTGCCAGAGACGCTGGCCGAGCTGGCCCGCGGCTGCGGCGGGGCGCGGGCGTTTCTGGAAAAATACAAGCTGCCCATCGTCAAGGTCTGGATGGGGTTTGGCCGGTCTGTGCTTGCGTTTCCGAGCGAGCTCTTTTCGCTCGACACGCGGCAGTTTCTGCAGCTGGCGGGCGCCGAGGTGGCGGCGATGTGTCTTGCTTATGGCGGGTCCGGGCTGATTGCACGCGTGGCCGCAGTTTTAGAGCGGAGCGCGGCCGAGCTCGCGCGCGACGCGGTGTCGCTTGCCGTGGCTCTTGCCTGGACGAAAAATGGTTGCAGAGAAAAAATATTCGCCAGACTGGAACAGCACTGCGCCGACGAGCTCGAACGGCAGAAATGTCTTGTTCTGGACCGTGTCGTCGAGCTAAGCGGGGCCGAATATGCCCAGTTTGACCTGCAAATCGAAGACGCGGTGGCAGAGCTGTTTCAAATGGTAGCAGGCCCGGTGAGCGATGAACTGGTGCACTTTCTGTGCATGCGCGCGCTTGCACGGCTGTGCGCCGCTCCGCCCGACGAGCAGGCCGCACAACTCGCGCGATTTGCCACTCTAGTCCGAGACTGTCTGAAACTGCGTATTCCTACTCCCCTGCGCAAAATCTACATTCCCATCGTTTGCACGTACAGCAATTCCCTGGCTGCCGCGCTGGCAGACGCGGATACGGACGCGGACCAGTACGGCTTGTGGGCGCCGGTGCTCGCCCAGGCGCTGCAGGAACGCGGCGAGCTCGCCAAATGGCTCTATAAAAATAGAGAGCGGTTTAATGGCGAGGGCGCGGAAACGGGCCTGCTCCGGACTGCGATTGCGGTCCTGGCCGGCCGCCAATGCCGGCTGGACGCCAACGACGTGCTGGCCGTGCTGGCAGCACGCAGAGATAGAGCAACGGTGCAGCTGCTGTCTGCGCTGATGGAGAGGCTAGAGATGCCGTCGGTTTCGGCGTGCAGTCCAGACATTGCCGCCAAGCTCTACGACACGCTGGAAGCGGGCGGAGCGCATAAACTGCGTGGGCTCATTGCACGCTGTCTCGCGCGCACGTACGAGGAAACGGGCTTCAATCCGGCCACAGAAAAGCCCGAGTTCGACCACCGCAAGTTTGGTCACGTGACCGGGAGCAGCATGGATCTGCCGTGGCTGCTGGACGTGTGGCGGCCGCGGTTGGCGTCCGTGCCGGCCCAGTTTGCGTATCTCTGTCTCTGTGGTGTTCTGCGCGCCCATAATCTTAGGTACTCCTCTGAGCAGCCCGTGTGGCCGCTGGATGCTGTTGTCTGGCGACTTCTGGATACCACGCCCCAAATCAGCGTCGATATCGAAAATCCAGCATCCTGGGCCGTGGACACGTTCCGGCGCGATGTGCTGCTTACGCTGATGGCCATGCGGCGGGGTCCTGTTGCGGCAGGTCTGCGTGCTCTCGTTTTCCATGACCAAACTGCATTTAGCCACGTACTGCTGTATCTGCTTGACAGCGACAAAACCACGAGCCTGGCTTTCTCCAAACTGATTCATGCCGTCTTTTCCAGATCGTCCGCCCCCTGCATCGTCAAGGAATTCACCGAGTTTGTGCTGCTGCTGCGTGCCGCCACCATTCGCGGAAATAAATCCTGTCTCCGGCTATACACCCAGCTGGACCTCGAAAAGGTGTACAGGGCAGCTGCCCCGCTGGCTCCCCGTGCTGCTCTCATGCTCATGGAGGAGCACTACACCAGCGGACGGGGAAAGGACTGGCGCACAGAGCACGAGTGGCTGTACAGCACGTACGCCGCGCTGGACGAAAAAGACCTGTTCTTTGGCCTGCCGCTGCGCTCCAGCTGGGACTACGGCGTCGACCGGCTGCACTGGACAGACAACACGGCCGGAAGACTGCTATTCGACAACGCCAGGTACAACGAGCTGCACGAGCCGCGCCAGCTGGTGGCTTCCTTGTTCGACACGGGGTATGATCGACTCTCGAGTCTGCTGGGCGGCCAGATGGCGTCGTTGTCGTACGAGCAGCTGTGGAAGCTGGGCGAGTGGAAGCTGCCTACGCCTCCGGTGAGCGACAAGCACACGGCGATGTACTCGCTGCTGAAGGACGCGCCGAGTGGCGCCGCTGAGCGGGTCGCGCACCTCGAAGCGCAGTTCGGCGACCTGGCGCGGCAGTTCGAGGTTTTTCGGGACTATAGACGTGCGCGCGAGTGGGTCGTCACGCTGGCGACGCTTGAGGCTGCAGAGCAGCCGCGCTGCGACTCGTGGCTGGCCCGCGCGGCGCCGTTCGAGATCGCTGCCGATCTGTACCTGGTGCGCACGGGACTCTGGTCATGTGACAACAAGAGCGCCTGCGCCGTGGACCTGCACCGGTACGCGGAGCTGTGTCGCGGGAACGGGCGCGAGCAGCACGCGGCGAATGCGGCTGTACGTCTGGCACGGCTGCGCGAGCAGGCAGGCGCGGGCACGGACGTTTGGGTGCTGTCGCAGTACAACGTGGCGGCGTCGTTCTGGACGCAGCACGAGACGAGCTATGCGCTGGAGACGCTGCGAACGGCGTTGGCTCATGCGTCCGACAACGGCGAGCTGCCGCGCGGGCTTTTGCTGGCAAAGCTGGTGCAATGGTCGCACGAGTCGCGGCAGGAGACGGCCGATCGGCTGATGAGCGAGTATGTGGAGACGCAAGAGTGGGGGCAGGGCCAGGAGACGCAGCTGGCCGAAATGTACCACATTCTGGCCGAGTTCTGTGACGCGCAGGTGCGTGGCGGTGAGCTAGACAAACAGATCGAAAAGCTGGCGGCGGCCGTGGCGCAGCGGGAGCACGATCTTGCCGAGCTGGAGAAGTACGCTTCGAGCGCGGGCCGCGACGCGACGCAGCGCAAGAATGCCCGGCGGGCACACCAGAGGCTGTGTGTGCAGCAGGAAGCGGAGCAGGAGGAGCTGGCTGTCGCACGGCGCAACAAGACGCGGTACCTTAGACGGGCCGTCGAGTTCTACGTGCGCGCAGCGGTCGCGAACGATAGCTGTGTCGACCGCAACGTGGACCGCCTGTGCGCGCTGTGGCTTGCGCACACGGACGTGGACGTGGGGGAGGGGCTGCACGAGATCGAGAAGCACAAGTTCGTGCCGTGGCTGAACCAGCTCACTTCTCGGCTCGCGAGCCAGGCAAGCCGGTTCCAGCGCACGCTGCAGCAGCTGGTGTTTGAGATCTGTTTGCAGCACCCGTACGACGGGATGTACCTGCTGCAGTCGCTGATGCTGAGTGGGCGGGAGAGCGCGGACGAGGCGTCTGTTGGGCGTGGCGAGGCTGCGCGCAGCGTGTGGTCGCGGCTGCTCTCGTCCGAAGCTCGTGAACACGCTACCAAAGTAGAGGCGATGGCTGCGGCGTGTGTGGAGCTGGCGAACCGCGACTTGCGTGGGGCAAAACACACAGACGTGGGGGGTTGGTGGGTGCGCACGCTCCCGGGACTGCAGATGCCCGCGCCGACCGTCCAGCGCCGCGAGACAAGCCGAGGCTACGGCCCCGACCAGCACGTCGTCCAGGTGGCCCCCACGGCCAAAACTGCGGCGTCCGGGCTGAGCCTGCCCAAAATCGTCAAGGTGGTGCTGGCGTCGGGCGAGACGCACCGGATGATCCTCAAGGGCGGGTCCGACGACCTGCGCCAGGACAGTATCATGGAGCAGGTGTTCGAGAAGGTGAACGTGCTGCTTGTGCAGGACTCACGTGCGCGCCGCCGCCGGCTGCGTGTGCGCACGTACAAAGTTGTGCCGTTGGGCCCCCGGTCCGGCGTCATCGAGTTTGTGTCCAACTCTGCCTCGCTGGACGAGCTGCTACGGGCGTTGCATGTGGGGGACAAGCTGCGTGCGGACCGTGCCCGCGCAAGGATGAAGAGTGCCCAGGAGCATTCCGCCGCGCACCGCGTGGCCGTGTACATGGACATCTGCGAGCAAGTGCAGCCTTGCTTCCGCAATTTTTTCTTCGACAACTATACCGCACCGGACGGCTGGTTTGAGGCCCGTCTGGTGTACAGTCGCGGGCTGGCCGCGACGAGCATCGTGGGGCACGTGCTCGGGCTCGGCGACCGCCACTGCAACAACATCCTCGTCGATAAAGTGTCGGCCGAGCCGATCCACATCGACCTGGGCGTGGCGTTCGACCAGGGCCGCGCTTTCCCCGTGCCGGAGATTGTGCCGTTCCGGCTGACAAGAGACCTGGTGGACGGGCTAGGGGTGGCGGGCACGGCGGGCGTGTTCAGCCGCAGCTGCGAGAACGTGTTTGCTGTGCTGCGTGCCAACTCCACGCACATTAGCGACATTCTCGATGTGCTCAGGTACGACCCACTTTACTCGTGGACGGTGTCTCCCGTGAGGGTACGGTGGGTGCAGGAAGAGTGGGGGGGAGACTGGGACGAGGCTGCGCGCCGGGACGTGGGCTCAGAAGCCAGCATGGCGATCGACGGCGTTCTACGCAAACTACAGGCGCGCGGGCTCAGCGAGGAGGCTGTGGTGCGCGAGCTCGTGCGCGAGGCCACCGACAGTCGCAACCTGGCGTTGATGTATGCTGGCTGGGCTCCATTTTTGTAGAGCGGAATAGATACGTATCTAGAAGTGAAATCATGGCGGTTGGGGGCGACTACGAGATGATCCACGCAAGACACCCGGCCCCTTTTGTGGTGGGGAGACCGAGTTCTCTCAGACAATCTCAAGCCCACGTTTGGTCCTGCCCCACTGCCGCCCTCTGGACAGTGTTGGCTCCCCACGGTATGGGGTCTCGCTCAGCTTGGGAAGCCGTGCTGTGATACCTGCTGAACATCTCTTGTTCGTGTCATAACCCGCTTGTTCTGTTGCGTGTTCAGGCCCAGGTCTGAACTTGTTCCCTAACATCTGCGAGTAGTGTCTCCTCCGCAGAGTGGCGCAACATCGGGCAAGGCGTACGCCAGCAGCCCGTTCAAGGGCGTTGTTGGATGCAAACTGGTAAAAAAACCGGTGGAATCACATTCTCTAGCTTAGTAGGCGACCAAGAAGCCACTTTCTAGCAGCTTCCCAAGGTAATCCTGGCTTTCCCCGCGTGTTTTCTGAAGCGCTCATAGATTGAGCCATAATCACCGAGAAAATAACCTTAGATCGCGCAAGACGCAGATACGCGAGCTATAACCATCATGCGAAAATCTATGTGTGTCCACCGTGTGGCAAGGAAGTGTCAAAGAAACAGACTATTGATATTGAGGGGCACGCAGCGCAACCAAAGGCCAGAGGCGAGCTGTAAGGCAGGCGGGGGGAGAGGTTACTCCACGCCAAGCTGCAGCCACGAGCACCTGACTACGAAACCACTCTCGATGGTGGACTGATGCGGTCGTTCCAACGCGGGGCGGTAGACATGCCCTCATGCACACGCAGGACTCCGCTTCGGCAAGGTCGGGCTTAAACGCAACACTCCGGACGTGTCGCCCAACCTGTTTTTTTACTTCCAGCTATGCATCTGCAGCAATCTGCGGATAAATAATGCGCTACATTTTTTTCCGGGTCGCCGACTGCCAGATCGTGCTGGCACGTCAGTAACTTCTAGAACAACACAGCCCCATGGGACAATACAGGTGGCGACTGCCAGACGCCGTCGAGCCAGCACATTCACACGCTTGGAATTTCGCATCCAGATTATCAGAAGGCAACATTCACCAGTGCGTAGGGTACACACCCCACTGCCGGAGTGCTTTAACCACCTACCCTTTCGACGTCATTGCAGACAGGCGCCAGCCCTTTAAGGGTCGTGGTGGAAAAAGTGGAATTATCCGAACAAGTGCGATTCTAGCCTCCGCAATGCACGGCGCCGATCTTTCTCGTAACAATATTGCGTAATAGCGGGGATGGCCATTGTTGGGATTGTCTTATTCAGCATTATTAATAAGCAAACGGAGTAAACTCTAACGCGGGCCACCTTAAACGGAAATTCCAAAAAAATTAGTATTGTTATACTTGCTGCACAAGAACCCTATCATGGAGTGTGTACAATAGGCCACGCGTCTGTTTTCAGAATAGCTACAATACGCACGGTCACTCTTGAGACTGGGGAAATGTGGGATTGGCCGTGCACGGCTTTCAAAAGGGTTTTATCCGAGAAACAGTCTTCAGGACGAGAGCAAACAAAATGTAGTCAGACTGCTGGAAAAGAGCCCATGGTGGGCCAGCAGACTCCCCCAGCACGCTAATGAGACTACCCCGCTGTTTTGGCCTTCCCTGAAAAAATTTTCCATTTCCTTGCTGCATGCAGCTTAACAATGGTCCGGATTTTTCTCCCCACCTTTTCTGAAAAACCTGGGGGCTACTGGGTGTCCATTGTTTGGCGTTGCCATAAATACGTGTGTGTCCCCAGCTGTTTTGCCAGAATCCAATCGACAAAGACAAAAAATGGCTGGCGGCGGTGTTGCTGTGGCAGGAACTGCTGACGTGAACAGAGTCGAGGCTCCCTTGACTGTTAAAGCTTATCTTATGTGCGCATTTGGTGCGCTAGGAGGTATCCTCTTTGGATACGACTCCGGTTACATCTCTGGTGTCATGGGTATGGACTACTTTATCCACGAGTTCACCGGGAAAGTGAAGCACGGCGACAATGACCCTCATTATGTCCTGAGCTCGTCTCAGAAATCCCTTATTACCTCTATTCTTTCTGCAGGTACCTTCTTTGGTGCCGTGTTTGCAGGAGACCTGGCTGACATGCTTGGAAGAAGAACCATTATTGTGGCTGGCTGCGGTATCTACTCGGCCGGAGTTGTGATCCAGACTGCCTCCACCACGGTGGCCCTGCTGTCCGTGGGAAGAGTCATAGCTGGTGTTGGTGTTGGTTTTGTTTCGTCGGTGGTGATCCTGTATCTGTCGGAGATATCTCCAAAGAAAATCAGAGGTGCCATTGTTTCTGGCTACCAGTTCTTCGTCACCATCGGACTGCTCATCGCGTCCTGTATCGACTACGGCACTGAGCACAGAAACGACTCTGGCTCCTACAGAATCCCTATTGCGCTGCAGCTGCTCTGGTCCATCATCCTCGGAGTTGGACTGCTCTTGCTCCCAGAGTCTCCAAGATACTTTGTCCTCAGGGGCAAGCTCGACCGGGCCGCCAAGGTGCTCTCCAGACTCAGAGGCCAGCCGGTGGACTCCGACTACATCCAGGAGGAGCTCGCCGAGATCGTGGCCAACCACGAGTACGAAAAGAGCGTCATTCCTACCATGGGATACTGGCAATCCTGGGGAGCTTGTTTCACCGGAGGACTCAGAAAGCCTTCTTCGAACCTCAGAAAGACTATCCTCGGAACCTCCTTGCAGATGATGCAGCAGTGGACCGGTATCAACTTCATCTTCTACTTCGGTACGACTTTCTTCCAGCAGCTCGGCACCATCCACAACGAGTTCCTCACCTCCGTGATCACCACCATCGTCAACGTCGCGTCGACTCCTATAGCCTTCTACACGATCGAGAAGCTCGGCCGTCGTACGCTCATGATTTACGGTGCCGTGGGAATGGTTATCTGCGAGTTTATCGTGGCCATTGCCGGTACCGTCGATGGTAAGAACCAGGACACCGTGAAGGCTCAGATCGCCTTCATCTGCATCTACATCTTCTTCTTTGCTTCGACCTGGGGTCCGGGAGCTTGGGTTATCATCGGAGAGATCTTCCCACTGCCGATCAGATCGAGGGGTGTTGGTTTGTCGACCGCCTCCAACTGGTTGTGGAACTGTATTATTGCCGTCATCACTCCTTACATGGTTGACACCGACAAGGGCAACCTGGGATCGAAGGTGTTCTTCATCTGGGGCTCGCTGTGTGGCTGCTGTCTTCTGTACGCCGTGATGCTGATCCCAGAAACCAAGGGCCTTACTCTGGAGCAGGTCGACAGGATGCTCGAGGAGACCACCCCATGGACCTCTGCCAAGTGGAAGCCTCACTCCACCTTCGCAGCAGACATGGGTCTGGCCAAGGACGAGGTCAAGGGCGTCACTCACGAGCTCAAGGAGCGCGCCAGCGTCGAGAGTGTGTAGGCGTTTCGTATATATTAAGGTTAATACGACGTTATGAGCAATATGACGTGCAACCAGCTCTGCGCCGGCGGCGAATTTTCGCTGGGTAACTGGCCGTCTCTTTCGGCCGATTTACGAGACGATCTTCTCGTCGTAGGATTCGCAGTAGCTACTCATATTCCGGGTCTGCTGCATGAGATGAAACAGAACGCAAATAGCTGCAGTACGTCCTCCTGACCGCAGACCATTGTGCCCTAGGGATGCTACCCAGCTATTTAGCCATTAATATTTACGTAATTGAAAAAATTAGTCGGTCATGAGCAACAGGACACTTCGAAGATTGCAGAGACACGAGCTCGAGACAACGTCCGACGACGAGCCCGAATATGTACCGCGGCGGGCGGCGAATGCATTTGCGCTGCTAGGCAACGAGAGCGACGGAGACGAGAGCGAAGAGCAGGAAGCGGATGGAGAACAGTACAGAGAACAGGTGCCTGAACCAAAGCTCCAGCCGGCCAAGAGAGGTAAGAAGCCGAGGAAAAAGAAATCGCCACAGCCTGAGGACGAGGACATTGATGCAATCCTCGCAGAGCTCAAGATCAACACTCAGACTGCTGATCAGGACGAGCCTTCCGACAACTTTGACGGTCCCTACGAGAAATTGGTCGACGGTGCGCCTGAATTGACCGCAAAGCGGCTACAAAGTAGCCTCCCACTGCTCCAGTTTGATCCGCGCGACCTGGATCCCGACAGAGAGTTTGAGGCCGTTTTCGGCAAGCTCTCGTCAGCGGCGGTTGACGACGCAGACGCCACGCCGTCCATGTTTGTGAGCCCTGACGTGTTGAAGCAAATCAAGCTGCTAAGCAAACGGGTGCGCGGTTGGTGCGGCAGAGACCGCCGCTCGATCCCGGGAACTTCCCGCAAGCTCGTGATGTGCAAGATCCGCGATGACTGGATTCCTACGCCCAAAAAACCGCTCTCGATGGAAATGGTGCCTGGCAGCAGCCACGATTTTTGCGTTGTCGAGACACCTGCCTACCCACGGGCAATTACGACACAGTTCTACATATACACAGTCATCCATCCCGACCACGAGGCATTAATTGGCCTGCTCCAGCAGTACCCGTACCATCTGGAAACGATTTTGCAGGTGACGTCCATCCTCCAGCGCCAGGGTGACAATTCTAACACCAACGGGCTCATAGAGCGGGCTCTTTTTGTTTTTGACTGGAGCCTGCGAACTAATTTCCAGCTCGGAAGCGGCGACTGTCGCTTACCGTTTGAGTATTTCCTCAATAGACAGTGCTATCTCACCGTGTTCAAATATATCACCGTGCTGACCCAAAAATCCACCTTCTACACGGCTCTCAACTACTGCAAACTGCTGCTGTCGTTCGACCCGGCAGGCGACCCTTACGGAGCCAGATACTTTATTGATTTTTACGCCGTGATGGCCGGCGAATTCCAGTATCTGGTAGACCTGTGCAATAGCTTTCTCGTCAAGACCTACAGGGAGTGGCTGACCCCGCCGCTGGCGTACTCTCTTGCCATCTGCCAGTACAAAATAGACCGCACGGCCGCGGCAGAAGCTCTTTCCAACGCTTACAATACATATCCTTACACAGGTGAGATGTTGCTTCACAAACTGGCGGCAACCAAAGAACCTTCTTCCAGAGTGTCCGATTACATCAAGCTGGCTACGGCGGTGTATTTGACCCGCGTGGAAATGATGCTCGAGGAGACAGAATGCCGCGCGTGGCTGGTGGCCGAGCTCAAAGAGGTTGTCCAGAGGGGCAGAAAGGCAGGTGTGCAGTTCGACAAGAAGGACATCCCAGCAAACCTGCTCCGTCACGTGATCCTGTCGAACGAGACCAGTGCCATGGCGCGCATCCCTGCGCAGTTCTGGAAAGACCATGAGATCTTTGAGTTTGACGTGCTGCCGCCGAATTGCGGTGAAGGAACCACCATCTTCGACCACATCGATCAGGCCCGTGTGAGCAATGCCATCATCAACCAGAGCTTGGAGCAGGAGGAAGAGCGGCAGATTGCAGAGCTAATACGCCGCACCGCAGAGCAGGACAACTAGACCACAGATAGACCCTGCTGGATGGTGTGTGCGACGAGCTTTTCACCTTGGAACAACTCCCCAGTCATGATGCATTTGCTGTCGCCGCAACCGAGGCTCTTGACGCCGTGCACAAGCCATTCGGTGTCCGCAACAGGCTCTCTAAAGTATATAATGTGATCCAGCGAAACAGAGATTTTCGTCGTCATCAAAGGACGCATGTTTAGCCGCATGTTTGTGTTCAGGTAGAAGTAGTCTGTGAGGTACGCCGTGATTCCCCATCTCTGGATCTCGTTGGCCGCGGAGAATTTTGTCCGAACTTTGTACCACAACGTGCGCTCAGAAACGGGGAGTTTTAGCTCTCTTTCTGGGACCTGCGCCAAATCAAACATGTGTGGCGGGAACTGCCACTCTATGGGCTCGTTGTTGTAGAAGTGTTTCAGGTTGTGCAGCTCGCCTTTGCGTCCGTTGGATTCTGCCCAAAGCTCGAAAGCCGTGTTTTGATCGACGAGCGCATCCACAGCAGGCGGTTTTCGGTGATGTTGCAGCTGGCCGGTGACTTTGCCTGCTGTGCCCTCCAGTACGGTCTTCTGGAGCGTGCACACCGCGTTGAAGGCCAAGTTTTCACCCTGGAACAGCCGCACCTCCTTCACCTGGTAGTTTTTGCTCACCTTGAGGTCCTCTACTTTGTACACGAGCGGCACACCCGGTTGTGCTGCAGCTAGAAAGTGGCAATGGATCGAAAGCGGTTTCCATTTGCCGCACTGCTCGGTCTGCAGCGCGGCGACTATGGCCTGCGCAGCGAGCGCTCCTCCGTAGAGGCCGCGGCCCCGAAACGGGACCGCCATGTGTGCATCGTTCACAAAAACGTTGTGCTGCGTGGGGCGCAGGTCCAATATGCTCTCAAACGCGCGCGTGGAGTACCTACGGGCAGTTTTCAGCATTGGCGTATATTTAAAAAGTCTATCTACACCAGCCACACCATAGCCATTCCGACAGCCGCCACCAAACCGGTGGCCAGGTTTTTGCCAGCGGCGTCCTGGTATGTGATGACTGACGAGGCAACGCTGGCCGAGGACGAAGATGACGAGCTCAGCGTGTTCTCGGTGGCGTGGGTGTGCTTTGTGAGCGTGCTAATCTTGGTAGATTGTGTGGTAAGTGGGGGCACGTAGGTGCTCGATGTGTTGGCCACGCGCGTACTGTTGAGGTGGTAGCCAGTAGATGCTGCTACTGGAGCCGTCGTGGTGGTCAGCGGCGCAGCCGAAGAGCCAGGAATGACGTTGTACTCGGTGATCACAGTGCTATGGTTGCCGATGACAGTGGTGTACGAGGACAGCGACTCGGTCACGATTTCGACGGAGCACTTTCCACCGGGGCAGGTGGTGGTGACGAGCGTGGTGAGCTGCGGCAGCGACGAGGTCTCCTCGTGGACGAGACTGACGGTGGCGGTGAGATAGTACACGTGCTCGTCTCTCTTGGAATTGGAAGCGGTGATGACAACGGCGAAGGTGGCTGTGAAGACGCGGTCGTAGACGTTTGTGGCTTCAGGCGACACGAACTGGAGCACGGTGGCGCCGCTGAGCGACGAGAACGGCGTGGACACGACGACGTCGGTGGCCGAGGCCGTGGAGAGGTCCTCGATTCCGGATTTCACAGCGGCAGGACCGGCGAAAACCTCGGCGGTGCCGGGCACCCACTCAAAGTTGGACGTCTTGCCGATAGAGACTATCGAGACAGAGTCCCAGGGGCCGAGCTCTGTGGGCACGTAGATGGCAAACCGCGGCAGCTCGTTTTCGAGGTATCCTTGGATCCACGGCGTCGGCGTTGGCTGGGTCGTGGAGGATGTGTTGGTGTAGATTCCGGAGGCAGAGGCCACGCAGAGAAGGAGAAGGAGAGAAAGACACAACATGGTGGGGTGGGGGGAGAGGAAGGAGAGAAGGGGTTTATATAGACGCGGCGCAGGCCATGGCTGGGTCTACTCATTAGCCAAGTTTGCGAGCCCAATAATGCATTCTGCCAAAACGGATTATTTAGAGCCAGCCCGGTGCCTGAAAAAACCAGCCAAAAATAGCCAGCCCCACAACGGGGCACTAAAAAACCAGCCCTAAAAAAACCCACTAAAAAACCAGCCCTAAAAAAACCCACTAAAAAACCAGCCCTAAAAAAATCAAACTAAACCAAGCCACAAGCTTTTTTAATTATTGTATTAACGTCGATTAGTACTGCTGCAGCTCCTTGTGCGTCATCTCGTACTTGATCCAGTTCGGCAGACAGTTCTGGCGGTGCACGTCCTCGGGCGCAAAGTAGCCGGAGTCCTCCGGCGCCGTGCACTTGTCCGAGTTGGGGATCGACTTGTACGGCGAGTGGTGGTAGCCGATGTCGCGGAACCAGTGGATCTTGCTCTTGTCCTCGAACAGCGCCACCCCCACGGAGTGCACGGGAGCGTCCCCCCATCTCTCGTAGTAGAACCCGCCAGCGGCTTCCAGAGCATCGAACCATCTCGAGTACGCTTCTCCCCGGTAGAAGTCCATGTTGGCGATCTCGAAGTTGGACCAGAAGTGGCACGTCGAGTACCCGTTGGCTAGCTTGGTGTACTCCGGGTTCTGCACCGAGTCGGTCAGCCACCGAAACGCGCCGTTCGGATGCACGTACTGCGGGTTCTTCTTCACAAAGTCCAGCGTCACCGGCCACAGCGTCTCCACCGTGAGCGGGTCGTCGTACAGCGAGATCGTGAACCCGTACGTTTTGTCGTTGTCCTCCATGAACTTGAAGATGTCGTAGTCGATCGAGCAGTAGTAGTCTGTGTTGGGCTCGAACCGCCAGTACCACTTGAACTTCTTGAGGCCCTCCAGCCGGTAGAACCAGCCAGAGTTGAAGCGGCACATGTTGTGGTAGCTCTCCAGGCCCGCGTACTGCACGCCGTTCTCGATCAGCTTCTGGATGCCGGCCTTTTCCTTCTCCGGGTCGATGTCGGACGGCTTGTTCCAGATCTCGGGCGGAATGATCTCGAAATGCACCTCGCCCGAACAGTGTCTGCGGACCGTGTCCTTGAACTCCTGCGTGAACTCCTCGTCGCCGATGAACGTGTACGGATAGTGGAAGTTGTGGTTCCACGTATTCTCGATCTGCCGGATCGTGTGCACAATCGCCTTGAGCTCCTTGTTTCTCACCAGCGTCAACAGCGTCGCGTTCGCCCGCGGATACTCGTCCTTCGTCAGCACCCGCTTCAGCCCCGTCTCGTCGTACACCACGTTGTACGTCAGCTTGGCGAACTTCGGCTCCGTCACCTTTTTCGAGTACACCTCCCTGTAGAAGTCCATGTTCTCCTCGACGATGTCCTCGCTCGTGTCGTTGTACTTCGACTGGCCAAACTCCAGAACCTGGACGATCTCGTCGAACGTCAGCTTGCCGTCATGGTTTGCGTCCACGAGCTGCTCCTGCTGGGCGCCCGTGCCCGTGCCCATCAGCTTCTCGTTGAACTGCAGCCCGTACTTGCTGACCGACGAGGAGTACCGATGCAGCTTGTTGACGCGGTTGACCGTCGGGTGCAGCTCGCGCCGCGGGCCCGACGCGTGCTTCCGCGACAGCGCGAAGACCGCCGCCACGAAAATCACGGCCGCTATCAAATATCTCGTCGACTTGTGCATGGCCATGGTCTACACGTAGGATATTTTTTTATTTTATTTTTTTTCCTCTCCATTTCACTCTCTCCCATCTCTGCACCATCTTTCTTCCGAAGGCAAATGCCCATCTTCAAGCTATCGGCGACTTTGCAAGGCCACGAGGACGACGTGCGCGCCCTGTGCTCGCCCGACCCGGACACCCTCGTGTCCGGGTCCCGCGACTCGACCGTGCGCGTGTGGCGGCGAATTGATCCCCGTTTGTGGTCAGAGCCCACCATCAACTACAAGTCCACCAAGTTTGTCAACAGCCTGGCTTGTTACAAGCACGCGGGCGAGACGTTCATTGTGAGCGGCGGCAACGACGCGCTCGTCAGCCTGACGCTCGTCGACGCCACCTTCGACTGGGTCGACCCGGCCTACGTCCTGGTGGGCCACCAGAGCAACGTGTGCGCGCTCGCGTGCAAGGACGGCCTGATCATGAGCGGCTCGTGGGACAGCACCGCGAAGGTGTGGCGCAAGGACGGCACCGTGGTGTACGAGCTCAAGGGCCACGAGAACTCTGTGTGGGGGGTCCAGATCGTGTCGGCGACGCAGTTTGTCACGTGTGGGGCAGACCGCACGATCCGGGTCTGGAACGGGGCCACCCAGGTGCGGCAGTGGGTCGCGCACGCCGACGTCGTGCGCGACGTGCTCGTGTTGCCCGACGGCACCATCGCGTCGTGCTCCAACGACACCACGGTCAAGCTGTGGACGCTGGACGGCGACCTGCTGCAGACGCTCCACGGCCACCAAAACTTCGTGTACTCGCTCGCGGTGTTGCCGACGGGCGAGCTCGTGAGCTCGGGAGAAGACCGCACGATCAGGGTCTGGGACAGGGCCGGCACGTGCGTCCAAACCATCACGCTGCCGTGCATCTCTGTGTGGAAGGTGATTGCGCTGGAGAACGGCGACATTGCGGCCGCGTCGAGCGACGCGCAGGTGCGCATCTTCACGAGGGCCGGCAAGCGTGTCGCCGCGCGCGAGCTGCTCGACAAGTTCGAGGCAGATCTCCAGAACTCCACCGTGAACGACTCGGTGTACAATGTCAACAAGGACGCTCTCCCGGGCAGAGACGCTCTGAAGCAGCCGGGAACAGGCGAGGGAGAGACCCGGATGGTCCGCACCGAGATCGGCACGGTCGAGGTGTACCAATGGAACGAGTCCAAGTGGAGCAAGGTGGGCGAGGTGGTCAACTCGACTTCCACTGACAAGAAGAAAGAGTACAACGGCCAGTTTTACGACTACGTGTTCGACGTGGACATTGCCGACGGCCAGCCGCCGCTGAAGCTGCCGTACAACACCAACGAGAGCCCGTACGCGGTGGCAGACAAGTTCCTGCTCGACAACAACTTGCCCGCCTCGTACTCGCAGCAGGTGGTCGATTTCATTCTTGCCAACACCGGCGGCGCCAGTCTGGACCAGCAATCGGGCCCTGGCTCCTCTGAGCCGTACCAGGACCCAGCGTATCAGAAACAGGGCATCCTACCGCAGACAGAGTACCTGCAGTTTTCGAAGCTAGACGAGACAAAGATCCGCACGGCGTTCGCAAAACTGAACGCCAAACAGGCTGTGCAGAACCAGATCGAGCCCGTGGAGTTCGAGACGTGCATGAACTGCCAGGATTCCAAGCAACTGGCGGTCTTGGCCGGCCAGATGATCTCGAAATGGGACGCCAGCTCAAAACTGCTCGGGTTCGACATTCTGCGGTTCACCATTCTGCACGCACCGCCCTCCGAGACGCTGTTTGAGCTAGTCAAGATCGGACTCACGTCGCAGTCGCCCAAAGTGGTCATGATGACGATCCGCCTGCTGGTCAACATCTTCAGTGCGAAACAGTGGGGAGAGCGTGTCTTTGCGGACCCGGACCTGATGGACGTGGTTTTCCTGGACGACATTCTGGACGCTCTCAAGACCGAGAAGCTGATGAGCATCACGGTCGCGACGTTTGTGCTCAACTACGCTGTGTTCATTCGCAAGCTGCGGGACCAGACGCTCTACACGAAGCTGGCTGCCGTGATCAACAAGTTTGGCGTCGCGCTTGCCCGCGACGAGGAGTCCGCGTACCGGCTGTTGGTGGCGATCGGCACTCTCAAGCCTCTGGGCACCAAGATAGACGCAGCAGTGACCGCTGAACTGCAAAAATACAAAAGCCCGCGTTTCGACGCGCTCTGGACAGAAATCAAATAGACAGATTATGACATTTATTGCTCTATTTGGTCACTCCTCTCTCTGCGAACGCAGAGAGCACCTGGTTGTAAACTTGCTCCACCGGCTGGTTGCAGCTGACTTTGACCACGCGGCCCTGTTTGTCGAAGTAGTCTACCACAGGCATGCTGGTCTCCAAAAACGTCCTGAACCGTTTCTTGATGCTCTCGAGGTTGTCGTCGGCTCTTCCAGACGTCTTTCCTCTCTCGAGCAGTCTGTGCAGCATGACTTCCTCCGGACACTCAAAGTACAGCGTCAGCTTGCTCTTGACAATCAAATCCTCGAAAGAAACGGCCTGGTCCATCTTCCTAGGGAACCCGTCGATCAGGAACTTGGTCTTCTTGTTTTTGGTGTATTGTTCCACGATCGCGTTCTTCAACAGGTTGATCGTGATCTCCTGCGGCACAATCAGCCCCTCCTTGATGTAGTGCGCTATCAGCGAGCCGTACTCGGAGTTCGGGTTGGCCTGCTCGGCCCGCAGCAGGTCGCCGGCCGACAGATGGACAAAGTCGTAATTTTTCACCAGCTTGGCGCACTGCGTGCCCTTTCCGGATCCAGGGCCGCCCAGCACAAAAATCACGTCGATGTCGGACTCCCTGAACAGCGGGCCGGTCGGGTCGATGGACGCCCTAGGCGGCTTGCTCGTCGAGTTGAGGTTGTAGTAGGTGACTCCGATGGCCAGTCCTCCGAGCAACAACAGCGGGTAGAAATGCTTCGTTTTCTGCTGCTGCGACGAGTAGAAACGCGCGCCGCCCGCCCTCGCAGCCGGCACCGCGTACAGAGATCTGTGTCCCGCGATTATTCCTCTGGAAGGTGCAAACAGTTTCAGCATGACGAGTCCTAACTATTTTTTTTTTTGTTTTCGCTACGTTATCTCAGTAGTAGTATATACACAGGGCTGTGCAGAGTAACGTCTAATTGCTACAACTCTATAATCACCATCTCATCATCGACATGTCGTTTCTCAGTCTGTTGTAATCGAACAATGCCTCGATCTGTCCCGTACCAGCGACGGCGATATCCTGGTCGTACAGGTACTTCTGGGCCCATTGCGACACTTTCTTGTGCGACACCTCCTCGATAGACTTGACGATCTCGCCCTCCGACTCCTCGAAGCCGTGCAGGAAGGTGTTGGTGGCCAGCTTCTCGGCCTCCTGGGCAGCCGTCTTGGCGGGAGAGAGCAGCTTCAGCTTGAGAGCAGCCTTACCCTGCTCCAGCTCCGTCTCCGTGAAGGTGCCGGCAGAGAATCTGTTCCAGTTTTTGAGCGTGAAGTGCACCACCTCGTCCAAGTATTCGATGTGCTCGGTCTCCAGATAGGCACCCCACAGGGACACGTCCGAGTAGCCAAGCGAGAAGTGGTCGAACTCGTCGGTCATAGGGTTAGCGTTGAAGAACTGGGCCAGTTGCGAGCCCTGGAAGCCGGTGTACAGGCCCTTGGCTTGGTAGAGGCCGTTGATTTGGGCAGCAACAAGACCAGCGTAGTAGTCTGCAGCCGTAGGGGCAGGACCCTGGGCAGAGATGGCAACGTGGGCGGCCGGCAGAGTGTCGTCTCTGAATCTGGCATCGGATCCCAGGAAGTGGAATGGCTCGAACGCTGGCTTGGATCCCTCTGGCACAGACAGCTCGGAGGCAAGCTTGACCAGGTCGTCGTGTTTGGCCTCGCCAACAGACACCAGGGCCAGGTTCGAGGCCACAAACTGCTTGCCCAGGAACGACTTGAGGTCCATGGACTCCAGGGTGGCCAGGGTGTCGGCCTTACCGTAGGTTGGCAGAGCAAGGGAGGTTCCCTGGAATGCGGTGGAAATCATGTGCTCGATGACCATAGGCTTAGGCTTGGTCTCGAAGGCCTCGGCGAACGCGGAAGCCTCTGCAGCCTTGTCTTTGACGTAGGACTCGTTTTTCAGCAGGGTCTCCAGGTTGGCAACAAGGTTCTTGATGGTCTTGAAGGCCTCCTTGGCGTTACCCTTGGCGAACGAGGTGACGGCCAATCCGGTGACCTCCTTGGCGTTGGAAGAGCTGACCTCAACACCAGACAGCGCGTAGGCCTCGCTGGCAGCCTTGGACGAGGCAACGACGGATCCAGCAAGCGTCGAAACACCAGAATTGAACGGGTTCTCGGATCTGGAACCAGAGTTCAAGTACAGGCCAATCGACGAGGTAGACTGCGGGCCTGGCTTGGACACAACCGTGAAGCCGTTAGGCAGCTTGGTGACCACAGACTTGGCCACCTGTCTTGATGAGGAGAAGAATCTTCTTGACAACATTGGAAAACAAGGAAGGTTGGAAGAGTTGTGGATATTTTTTTTCGAGCAGAGCGGGCCAATCAAATTTTCATTAATATTAATGGCTGCTGGTGCAGAGATGGCGGACGCTCGCTCATAACTTTTTCCACCGCGAGAAAAGAAAAACTTTGACCATGTCGGAGCTCATCAAAGTCGTCAAGGCCAGCAGGCCGCTGAAGCGGTTCCCACAGCCCGTGAGCCTGCCCACGGGTTTTGTGAACACGCGTATCTTGCGCGACAATTTCAAGAGACAGATGGCTGCCGAGTACGAGGTGACCAGCAAGGCGCTCAAGTTTATTGCTCGAAACGCGGCGCTGCCTCAGAAAATGAGGCTCGAGGCGCAGATCCAGCTGGCGGCAATGCCAAACTACACCAGAATGAACCAGGTGCGCGACAGGTGTCTGGAGTCCGGAACGGCAAAGAAAATTATCAAGCCGTTCAGAGTCGGCAGATACCAGTTCAGGCTGATGGCCAAGGAGGGCGAGTTCCCGGGCGTCAAGAAGGGCGTGTGGTAGTAGGCTGTACATAGTCGTGTCGAAAGTTATGAGTGATGAAATTAGCGGGTATTCTATACTCATATATACCCAGTATTCCTGCGAGCGAGATGCGAGAGTCCTAGTCCGGCTAGAACGAGCCCAATTAATCCTCTCTGTACGAGATTTTCTTGGCCAGCTTTCTGAACTTCGCGTCCGCCTCGTCAGCCTCAACGGTTCCTGGGTTGCTCAGAACAAACATTCTTCTGGTCTGCATCGACAGCGGGTCCTCCTGGACAATTTTCACACGGTACTGAGCAAACGACTGGAAGTGGCCAGCAGGAGCCTTGACGGCGTTTGCGGCCTGCGCTTGGACCTCCTTCTCCTTCTCGAACAATCTGATAGCGGTGGTGGTGAACCTTCTGACTGACAATCTCAAAGACATGTGTGTTGCTTGCGTTTGACGGGACGGACGCTCACTTTTTATATTAATCAGATGGAAGGGGTATGGAAAGATTGCACACCCCTCGTTTTATTGTGTATATGCATAAGATATAAAAAATGGTCACGGATTTTTTCAGTCTCACCTTGAGTCTGCCTCGGCTATCGTAAGTTTTTAGGCGAGGACAGCAAAGCTCCTGTAATTTGGCAGAAAGCACCCCATTTTTGCAGGAGATAAGGTTACGTGACCATGCAAGATGGGGTTGTGGTCATTGCGGAGGGCAGACGTGATGCGCTCAGTCTCCTCATTTTGTTTTGACTTCGGTGTCTCCTCAGATTTTTCGGATATACAGCGCAGCTATCCCGTATGCCGATAACTCAGATGGGCCTGGGCAAAGGCTGGTGCTGGTGTGGATTTTATGTCGCTCTTATCTCCATGTGGACACCGTCAACATAGAGTTGCTGACTTAGCTCAGTTGGGAGAGCGTCAGACTGAAGTTCTGAAGGTCCTGAGTTCGATCCTCAGAGTTAGCATCTTTTTTTGCTTCTTCATTTTTTGAAGTGCACATATATTTTCTTGTTTTATTTCATGGACGACGAGTTTGACGATTTCGGCGAGTTCGAGGAGTTCGAACAGCCGCCACAGCGGTCTGCCGCAGACCCGTTTGTTTTCGCTCCAGAGAACGGCTCAGTTGAGGAACTCAGCCGCATGATACACAGTCTCCTGGGGTCCGACCCGTCCAGCGAGCCCGCCGCCGATCTAGAGCTTAACCAGAGGTGTCAGGATGTCTATGAGAGACTCACACTGCCGCCAATAAACCTCCAGCAGGTGAACTGGAAACGCTCTCTTCTTCGAAGACAGCTTCTTATGAGCCTACGTATTCCTATTGATCTGGACGAGGTTCTTCCCTCCGGCTCGAAAACCAGGAAGTCCAAGCTTTACGACAACAATGCATTGGCGGGACTAAAGAACAACGAGCTCTCCAGACTGGAAGAGCAGATTGCAAAGCTGGAAGTTGAAAAAGCAGAAAAGGATAAAATACTGGAATCGAGTGCCGCTGTTCTCGAAAGCGTGCACCAGAAAGTCCAGCCGGAGTCGTTCTACCGCGCTGCCGCGGAACGAGGCGAGCTGGACGGGAAGGCCAAGGAGCTGGAAAGCGTGCGCGACGAGCTGCTGAAAATCGCGTGCAGTCTGAACCTGCGGCTAGAGGAGCTCAAGCAGGACAACGAGATCTACTCGATGTACGTGGAGAATCTTGTTGGAAATACACAGAAGCGCAGAAGAGAGGAGAAAAAGGGGGATCTGAAGTGACGGGCTCTTCATCTCCACACACGGCCGTCCCGACGCAGTCTCCGTCTGTAGAGACCGAGGGCCTTGATTGGAAAAATAAACCGGTAATTTGGATACTCGATCGCACACGAGTGGTTGAACACGCCCTCCACGCCCTCAATTGCCCAGCTGCCGTCGGAAGCCTGTCTTTGCAGCAAAAGCCGGATCCCGCGCTCTATCACCGTCAGATCGTGGTACTCCGCCAGCAGCAGGCCGATCAAGGCCCACGAAGTCTGCACCAGATTGGACTCCTTGGTGCTCACGTAGGTGTGCGTCTCGCAGCTCTTCATGGACTCGCCCCAGCCGCCGTCAGCAAGCTGCCGTTTGACCAGAAAATCGCATCCTCTGCGCACCGTCTCGCTGTTGGCATAGTTGTGGCCCGTCTCAGAAAACGCCTCGAGCGCAAACATCCCCGAGTACGTATAGCAGATGCCCCAGCAGCCGTACCACGAGCCGTCCGGGTTCTGGGCCTTCTCGATGTAACGCAGCGCGCGCGAGATGGCCCGCTCCACGTCGGCCGCACGGTAGTCGCTGTGCTTGTGGAAGTACACCAGCCCCAATATACTCGAGTCGGTGCACTCGACGTACGGATACTCCACCATGATGTTACCGAACACCTCTGCTGGGTTGAGCAGCTCCAGCAGCGGCGTCGCCTTGATCTTCTCGTACGTCGAGAACGAGCCGTAGTACGACATCAGCCGCGAGCTCCAGTCCACGTTCTGCAGCGAGAGCAGCACGTCGATGGTGTTATGTAAGCGCTGAGTCAGCTCTCCGTCGCCCGGGCGCGCCATCAGCACCGCTTTCATCGCTTCGGCCGAGCAGTCGCTGACCGTGTAGCCCTGGTCCTTTGTGGAGAACGGCCACGCGCCGCGTCTCTTGTCTCTGTACGAGCCGGGCACGCACTCTGTGTCGAACTGCGACCGCAGCACGAAGTCGACTGCTCTGTCGTGCGCGGTGGCCACCGCCTCGTGGTCCTGCACCTGCGCCACATGGAAGCACTGCACCGCAAACGAGCTGTCCCAGACCTGCGAGCCGTTGGTGCCCATCATGGTCATCCCGATAGGGCTCAGAAACAGCTCCTCGTTGAGCCGAGCAGCCACTCTTTCGAACCGCTTGCTACGGCCCTCCTCTATGAACACCACGATGCTGTTGAAGGCGCCGTTGACGGGGGCTATCGACAGATCGTCGGTGTTGTCGAGCTCCTTCAAAACCAGGCGGTATGCGATGTCGTTGGCCCATTTGGCAAGCCACTGCGGCCGGTACCGGTCGTACTTCACCATCATCCAGTTCACCGCGTCCAGCACCTTGGTGTGCGGGTAGTACAGGTCTATGCCGCACACTTTGTTGCGACAAGCGGCGAAGTCGATCTCGGCAAACGGCCGCGTGTATATCTCGTCGCGAATTTGCTCCAAGAGGGGGTCCAGCTCGCACTGCGCCTTGAGGTTGTACAGATACGACACGGGAGCGTATATGGCGCGCGTGTGCACCCACCACTTCATGGGGTGGACCGGCAGCCAATAGGGAAGCGCGAACAGCTCGCTCGGAGCAGGGTTCACGCCCTCCCACTTGTACAGGTTCAGCACAGACAGCCAGATCTTGCCCCAGTGCGGGTTGCCCGTGGCTCCGCCCATGGCCAGCAGCGTTTTTCTGGCCTTGGCGCACGTGGGATGGTCCGCGCCGAGCCCCAGAAGCCGCAGGATCACGTAGTTGATCGTCGTGCCGAAGCACGTCGACTTGTCCAGCTCGTGCAGCCCCCACCCGCCGTCCACAGGGTGCGCGGTGTTCACCAGGTACCGCACGAGCTCTGTGGTCACGTGATCGGGAATTGGGGTGCCGGTGAACTTTGCCGACGCCACGTACCCGATGGTGACAAACATCGGGCCCTTGTACATGTTGGGCCACGTGCCGGACTCGTGCTGCACGCCGGCAAAGTACGCTGCCGCCTTCTCGATCGCGTCGTCCAGCGACCGGTTTCCGCTGGGGACAGGCCTGCTGGCCTGCAGAAGGTGTTTCTCGACTGCGGAGGGTTCCTGCTTGCCGTAGTGCCATTTCTGGTTGCCCAGGTCGCTCACTTCGAGCGTCCAGCGCATCTCGTCCGTCGCGCTCGGCTCAATGCCCAGCTGGTCCGAGTAGTACATTTTGTATATGTATACAAGTTTTTTATTTGCGTAGCATGCTTATGTAAGAACACAGTTAGTCGATTTTCCAGCTACCGGTCTGGCCGCGCACGCCGTCGAAGGTGAGACAGTTGTCGAACGAGACGTACTGGTTTGTGAGGATCTTGATGACCTCCTGCGACGCGATGCCGCCCGTCAGCGCGCAGACGTTGTGGAGCGCCGTGCCCTCTGCCCGGAGCAGCTCGTCGAGCACGAGCTCCAGGCCCTCGGGGAACGATTTCAGCGTTTCCCAGCGGCACAGCTCAGAGATTGCTAGCGCGCGGACCTCTGACTGGTCTCTGGGTGCAGCGTGGCGTCTGTGTTCCTTGTGGAACGTGTTGAGGGCCAGGAACCCGAAATAGATGTTGGTGTTGTGCAGCACCGGGTTCGACTCGCTGAGCATTTCGGAGCTCCACACGTTTTTCGAGCCTCTGTGCACTTCCAGGACGCTGCAGTTCTTCACGAACAGCTCGATCTCGGACTCGGCGATCTGCTCGGCTCGCTTATGCTGGGCCAGAACTTGCAACGCCAGCCCCTTAAGCTCTTCCTTGTCGGCCTCGTGTTTGGCCCTGTATATGCTCTGCAGCTTCAGGTATTCTTCCGTGTTGCTGGCCATGTCGGGCAGCGAGCCGCTGAGCGGCAAGACGCCGTGTTTCTCGTAAAACTGTCGCAGTGCCTCCACCAGAACCCAGAACGGGCTCGCCGTAGCCAGGTCCACCTTTTCCTGCATCAGTTGCGCCAGTTTGTCGCTCAGCTCGCTCGACCGTTTTGTCACCAGCGCGGCCTTCCTGATCGCCTCCTCGACGTTGTCCCCGTTGCCCAGCTGCGCAAGCCGCCGTCTCGCCTCTTTCGTGCCCGGTCTGCTCCCGTGCTCCCGCATAAAGCCCTGGTACACCTTGATCAGCAGCACGCTGTACGGCACCTCTGCCAAGCTGGGCCCGTCCACCGCGTCCACGTACTCCTGCAGCTCGGGCCAGACCGCGTCTATGCGCAGATCGTCGGCTCGCGGAGAATGCGTCTCCACCATCGTTCGCTCCTCGCAGTACAGTCTGACCAGGGAATAGAGTCCGATCGAGTGGGCGTGCAGCAGCGGGACGCCCAGGGCCCAGAGCAGGTCAATCAGGGGAACACACGGATCCAGCCTGCAGTTGACAACGCAGTCAAACTGGGACCAGAACGAACGGTCCTCTAGAAGAGACTCGAACGGAGCCTTGTCGTGCAACACGGTGCTGTCCGGGTTTAGCTCGCCCAGATGTGTGGCCGCACGTTCGCCACGCGGCTTGCCCGTGTCCTCTGGCACCACAAAGAAATTTGTCGCGAGATCTTCGCCGGAAACGCGCTCTGAGTCCAGCAGGACGACCTGGCCCACGCCAGCCAGAACAAGGTTCTTCACCGTCTCACACGCCACAGCGTTGGCCTCGACCACGCACACCCTCGAGCCAACGAGCCGCGTCTGCCCCGAAGAGCTCCACAGTCGCATCTGGCGGTCATATTTGCTGTTCACGTCGCTGTCGTTCATGAATATTAAATAAATACGAAAAATAAAATTAAATAAATGCACTCTCTGCATCTCCTATACTATTGTACACGTAGGTTTGTCTGGGTCCACGATGTGGCCATACTGCTCCTTGAAGATCTCCTTCTCGTCCTCGCGCTGCTTCTGTTTCACCTCCTGCGGAAAGTAGAGCTTCAGGTACGCCATCTGGGCCACGTCGAGGTTCCGCTCGTCGGCATGCAGCACGACCTGCTGGCGACAGAGCGGACACTTGTCCTCCTCCTTACGTTGCAGTTTCACCAAGCAGCGCACACAGAAAAGATGCCCGCAGTCCAGTCGGATGGGCTTGAAAGCCACAGTGCAGCAGATCGGACAGGTGTAGTCGTCCAGCTGCGGAACGATGCTCAGCAGTCGCTCGCCGATTACCGCACACACATCCTTGTACACCGTGCTATTGAGAATGTTGGCCTCAAACGACTTCTTGACCACATCAGGGAACAGCTTCAGCGAGTTGAGCGTCGTTTGCTTGTCGAACTTCTTGAGAATCTTCTGCACAGCCATGCTGTTGATGGCCTGGTAATTGGCAACTTTAATGATCAAGAAGTTCATCTCCTTGAACGTGGCAAACGCCGCGAGCGAGTTCCGCTGCCGCAGCCTCTTGAGGACCTTGGTTTCGTTCACATGGTCGACAAAATCGCTCAGTCGCTTGCGCGAAACCGCCACGTCAACGCGTCCCGAGGACCTCTCTCGCGTGCTAAAGAACACCTCGCTCTCTATGTACATCTGGAAGATTTCTCGCCAAACATACATGTCATTTTTGCGTGTGTTGGGGGACCCTACCTTGCCTATCACCGTGGCCAGATTCTCGACGGTGTTCACTAGTTCGTGCTCCTGCTCCTCTCCAAACCTCTTTAGCTCCTCCAGCTCCTCATACAAGGTCTGGAAAAATAGGGTATCCTCGTGTAAACTGACGGTCAAAACGCTTCCGTCTCCCTCTTTTTGCACGACAGAAAAGGAATAGTCCATGTCGTTCAGCCTGGAAATCACCACCTGCTCCAGTTCCTGACTCACGTCAGTGGTCAGCTGGGGACGCAGTTGGTGCTGGATCTGCTCTATCTCATATGTAAAACTCATGTTCTCCCTTTTCAGCCCCACGTTCTCGAGCTCCTCAACTACCCGGTTGATCCTCTTCTTTAGCGCCTTGTACTGAATAGCTTTCTCAACCCATTCTGGAGGAACACCTCCCTCTTGGAGAATCTGTTGTAGCAGCTTAGCAAACTTCATTGTCCGGTCATGCTAGATAGAACTAAGATAGCTTATTTATTATTTTTTATTTAATAATTAATTTTTTATTTTAGCTTATTTTTCACAACGTGCATACAAACTTTAGAGCGATTGATTGACCTAAGAGAGTGAATATTTAGAGACCTCATTTTTTGCTACCGAAAAGGTTTCCCGCAGTGCCTAGCACCTTACTGCCGACCTTGCTTGCGGTACCGATCACCTTTCCGGTACCGTCTAGTCCTGTATTCAAGATTTTGCCGGCACCCCCCACAGCGGTTCCGGCGACGTTTGGCAGCTGCTTCTCCGCACTCAACAAGGTAATATAGGACGGCTTGAAACTGAGTGCCACAGAAAGCTCGCCTGATGGCTTTCCGTCATCGTCCTTCAATGGCAGTGTCATTTCGTGGACCCCTGAGGCAAATGGATTGATCTCGCTCATATTCAACTTCACCTCGCCAAGCTTGTCGTCCTGCTCTAAACCGAGATCCCAATCCGAGACTTTGAACCTCAGCACGGAATTCACTCTATTCACCACCTCAAAGGACGTCTCCTGATTCCACTCCGGGTTCAGAGTTTTCTTGATGGTCTTGGTTTTGAAGATCTCCTCGCCATTCAGGTACACCTTTGTAAATGGATCGGATTTTCCGTTCGAGTCTGCAGGAGGCAATCCAGAGGCCTTGATGACACGCAGCGTCATATATCCCATGTTTCCAACAGAGTCCTGTGCTGGTAAGTCCTTCATCAAGACAGGAACCCATCTGGTCTGCAGCTTGATGCTGGCTCCGTTCGACAACTTGACAACGCTCGGCTGGTCGTACGTTCTCTCAATCAGCTCCACGGTGGACATGGAAGTCTCTGCAATGGCTTCCTTCTTGATATTGCTTCCTTTCTTCTCAGCAAGCTTGATGGTGACCTCAGAGTATTTGAGTTCTCTCACCAGGCCTTCACCGGTAGCGTTGATATCTGTGTCACGAGAAGAGAGCCTTGGACTAACATACTCTGGATACCCAGATTTATCGAGGAAGATCTGCAAATAGCCGTCCCTAGGAATGTGTCCCTCTAAAAGAGTAAAAACGCAGACACCGCTATTGTAATTGCGGACCTTGTCCAACGGCAGATCGAGCTTAGGCTTTGTATCTTCGATCTCCTCCATCTCTTCCTTGTCCTTCTTATCCTCTGCAGTCTCCTTGTCGCCGTCGCCGTTCTGTTCGGCCGTCTTCTCTTCCAGCTTCTTCTTTTCCAGAATGTCGTCGGGAGTCATCACAGGAAGAGTAGGGAAGAAAGACATGGTGTACGTGACGCTGCCCTTTGCACCACGCTTAGGGTGCACAAGACGGCCTTCTTGGGGCCCGCCGTTCGTCTCGATGGGATCTCCCTTGTCGTCGAACTCGATAAACTCGTTGAGTCTAACCTGGAACGAGCCCAAGGTTCTGTCTGGAGTCGATCTTTGGACGTCCATGGCTTCAATAGTGACTCTCTGGTTAGGAGACGCGATGGGAACGTAGATCGACTGGTTGAAAACAGGGTTGGTGGTGGAATCCTGGGTCAAAGTTCTTCCTCTCTGGACACCGTTGATCATGACTCTGACGTACGGGTCGATAACACCAATTTTCTCCAGGTTGATGAGGTTCATCGCCTTGCCTATGTTGAAGCGAACAACACCGAACGGCTCAGAGTAGCCCATAGCGCCTGGAACTCCGGTCATGGCCACAGAGCTCCAGTTGCAGGTCAGCTTCACCTCCCCAAGACCTTTGGTTAGAGACTGCCACTCGTTGCCGACGTACGACGAGTCGATGAGGTCGGTGAGCTTCATGGTGGCAGAGCCGATGAGTTTCTTGGACGAGTCTCTCAGAACAACACGAACTCTGCACTTGGACCGGTTGTAGATGATTTGGTCGTGGGTGATGCTCCACGAGGCCTCCTTGCTCTTCTTGACAACCCCCGTCGTGGCCTTGAGCTCTCTGTCCACGTACAGCTCGGCAAACACGTTGCCGGGCTTCTTGTCGTCCTTGTTGTAGGATCTGGCACCGAGGAGCCTGATGACAACCACGCCTGTGTTGAGGTCCGGCGGTGGAGAGTACGAGCCGTCCGGAAGCTTGGAGCCCTGCAGGGTCTTCATCATTTTGAAGTCCAAGGTGACATGTCCGGCCTCCCTGTTGTTTCTCAAAATAGGCAGCGTGACGTCTCTGAGCTCGTGTTTTAGCATGACGTCCTCCAGATCGTACAGCACATAGCCCATCATCTTGTCCTTTCTGCCGTCGTTCTCATTCTCGTCGTACAGAGTGATCGTCAGCGGCTCAGAAGACGATTTCAGCATGACGTTGACCTTCTCGTTCCACACCGGATCCATGGTGTCTGGGATAACCTTGGTCTTGCCCAGAACAGCACCGCCGGCGGAGAACGTGAGGTACGGATCGATGGTGTTGTTGAACGTGTCTGCAGCCTTGAGACCCTTGGCGTGCTTGACGTTGACCTCCAAAATACCCAGAGCACCGTCGAGGCCGTTTCCGTTGAGCAGCTGTTCCAGGTTGAGCTGGAACGAGAGCGGGTCGAACAGCATCGGACCGGCAAACTTCTGCACCATCTCGTTGATAAACATGTACAGACCCGGGATGTTGAGAATCTCGAATGGAAAGATGGTGTTTCCGCCAAAAGGCTTGGCCAGAAAGTCGAAATACGGAGCCTCCAACAGCGACACGTTGACGGTCTGGATGTGCGGGAAGCTCTTCATCATCCTCAGCCGGACTCTCACCTTGGCCTGGAACGCCACGTCCGAAAGCACGATGGGGAACGTCATGCCAAATAGCTTGGCCTTGACGACTATGTTCTGGTTGACGTAGTTCTTGAGCTGTTTCGCGGTGGCGTCCTCAACCGCGTTCGGGGTCATCGAGATCCACCAGTCCATCACCGTGACGTCGTCGCTGGTGCGGTCGAGCGTGCGGACCTTGTCAATTCGCGGAGGCTTGGTGCCCAGCGTGAACGTGTGGATCCACAGCTGCTTCACGAACGCAGGGATCGGCAGCCCAGCAAGAATCACGTTGGCCTGGTCACACACCATCTGGGCCGCGGTGGGCTCGATGAACCGCCAGTAGCGGTCCAAGAACACATTGAGCCAGTCCATCGTCTCGAAATCGTCCTCAATGCGGTTCACAGAAAACTCTCTCTGGGCCTCGAGTCTCAGCTTGAGCCGGTACTTTCTGATCGACGCACGGTAGTAGAGCGCCGACGCAAGCGTCACAAAGAAGAGCGGGCCCAGAGAAAACCGGAACCGGCCCAGGAGCCACGACAAAAGGCCGCCAAGCATCACAATGCCGACCGTATGGAACCAGTCGCCGTACGCGACTTCCGGCAGATACTCGTCCAGAAACGTCGACCTCGTCAGCAGATCGACGATCTCCTCCTCGTACGTGAGCGAGTCGCGGTTCTCCCAGCCGCCGACCTCCTTCCAGCCAGTAAAGGCGGCGGTGTGAGGCCGACGTTTTTGCTCTTCCTTTTTCTTTCTCGCCTCCAGCAGCCGCCTGTCGGTCCTGCTCACAGGCCCGTTGAGGTCCAGCGCGTGGAGCTCCGTCTTTTCAGAATCACGCGTCGCCGAAAACATGGAAACTGCGATACGCTGGAAGCAACTGAAACGAGTTTACCAACTTGGCTACAGAAATTTCCTGGCGTTGCTGGTGTACGGGTGTGCACAGCACTAGGCCAGCTCGCCGTACTGGTTGAGGCGGCGCTCGAGCAGCCGGACGCGGTCTCCGACGCTGACGCTGTAGCCGTGCTCGACCTGCACGGCGCTGATGCCGAAGAAGGCCAGGCTGGGCCCGCCCCGATCGACGCGACGGAACGACGCCAGCGTGCGCGACACGGGCTGTTTGGCACGCTGCTTGCCGGTCTCGAAGTCGATGTTGGGGATCGAGCAGCGCGGGCATTTGGACGTCACGACCCACTGCCTGCCGCTGATCGTGAAGCGGTACCAGTCGTCGGTGTCGTACGGTTTTTCCGGCCCGTCGATGAGGATATTGGGACGGAAATTCGTCGGGGTGGTGCGCACCTCCGGGCCGTGTTCTTTGGCGAGACGCGCGTTGAGGTCTCTGATGTCCGCGTCGGAAATCAGCAGGATCGGGAAGTAGTCCTGGAACTTTGTGACGCGGTACTTTTCGTGCGAGCCGGGCGTGTAGTTGGGCAGTGCGGCGAGGTTTTGCGGCGAGTTGGTGACGACCAGTTTTCCAAACGGAGCGTACAGCAGCTTGTAGTGCTCGGGCAGCCCGACGACGGCGAGAAACGGCCGGAGGTCGAGCTTTTCGAGTGCCACCACCTCGAAGTCGACGTTCCACAGTTCTGCCGGCTCGCGGTTCCCCGCCATCTTCTCCAGGTAGTCTTTGGAGACCGACCGCGGCACGCTGAAATAATCCCTGTTTCCGTAGCCGACCACAAAATGGCCGTCCTCCAGACGCAGCTCGACCCTGCTCAGCGACGCGTGCTGTCTCAGCGAGACCATGACCCATTTCTGCTGCACGGCGTCGAATCTGCCTAGCATGTACATTCTGTCGCACTCGAGCCCGTGCTCGGTGACTTTCCACGTCTGCACCTTCAGCCCGGGGAACGACTTGATCGGGTGCACGCGGATCTCCTTGACAAACGTCTCCGGCTTGTCCAGGAACGGGATCCTCGAGTTCACCTTGTAGGTGGTGTTGATGAAAGATCGCACGGGCGCGAGGTTGAGGCTGAGCCCGTGCTGTTGCTTGGTCTCGTGGAGCGAGAGGGCTTTGAGCAGCCATGTCGCGCCGTTCAGCACGGCCACGGCCACGACGAGATAGCACGGAACCGCGTAGAGAAAAAACATGCGTTGATCAAGCACAGTGCTCGATAAGATATTTTCCCCAGCCACACCCGCTCAGCCCAGCCACCAAGATAACAAATTGACAGGCGCCCCAACAGAAGCTGCAATTTCTTCTTTGCTCCATGGACTCGTCCGACAATTCCAACGATTGCCAGGGCGACAAGGACGACACAGGCGTCTCCGAGCCTGTCGCGCAGATGCCGACGCCGGAGCCCGCGCCGCTGGACGTCCCGCAGCCTTCCACCCCTCCCGCGCAGGGCCGTGTGCTGTGCTCTGCCGGCTCTGCGGGCTCGTCGGAAATCACGACGCTGTCGCTGTCGTCGCCGCCGCTGACGCCTCCGCCACGCGTGATGCGCCGCCTGACGCCGCTGGGCAAGTTCAGTCCGCACAAGCGAGCGAACTCCATAGACGACGACCTCGAGACTCACGCCAGCCGCAGGCTGCTGCTGCTGGACCGGCGCAGCGCACGCAGCGCAGCGCACACAGACGCCGTGTGCAAGAAGCTGGGCAGCCTGCAGCAGCAGAAGCTGAGAAAAAGAGAGCTGCTGCTGGAGAAGCTGAGCAAGGCCGTCAAAAACCGCAGGGACTACGTGGACCGCAAGCGGCTCGTAGCGTCGAGCACGGTGCGCCACATCTGCTCGTCGGGCAGCAGCGACGACGGCCGCAGCCTGGAAATGTGCGTATCGCACGAGCAGGGCCCGTGCGCCCACGGCTTTGCCGACTCGTTCAGAATTGTGGCTGGGCTCTCTGTGTGGGAGAACCTGCGAGGAGTGCCGATCTTCGTCGACTTCGAGGACGCGGTCGCCAAGACAGACGTCGAGAACACGTACAGGTTCATCAACAGCCGCGAGATCGTGCGGCTGACGTCGTCGCTGTTTGCGGAAATCGACGCGTCGAACGGGCGGGTGGACGCCTTTCTCCTGGCCCGGTGTTTCCTGTTTGGCTTCGCAATTCTGGTCGAGAAAGACAAACACGAGCGGTACAACCGCGCGCCGATGTACGCGGTGCGGCTGAACGCGACACAGCCGTTTTTCGACCGGCTGGCCAAGGACTTCCCGAACCTGAAGCAGCACCACCTGGACGACAGCTACTACGGGTTTCTTGTGGCGGAGCTGCACACCGCCACGTTCCATGTGTGGAAGCTGTTCCAGCGGCTGGTGCAGCAGAACGGGTCCGAGTTTGAGAGGTACGCGTTCAAAGAGGCGCTCATGGCCACCTACTACCCGGTCTTCCAGGTGTTCAAGTTCAACCACTGGTTCCGCAGTCTGGCGCTGCTGTCGGAGAGCAACGACGGGCTGAGCAAGCACCTCGGCTTTCTGCGCACGATGCGCTCGCTCACGGCCGACAACGACGTGCTGCTCAACGAGTACAGGTACATGATCCGCAAGGGCGAGTCGTTCATCAAGGCCAACAAGGAGCGGTTTGCGCGGCTCAAGGGCGACAGCCGCGCCGCCGACCTCGCGGCGATCGACGCGATGGAGCAGGACTTTGTGGCCCGGCACAAGGCGGCCGTGCTGTCGGGCTCGTCGCTCACGGACGACAACCCGCTGATCTCTGTATCGTCGCGGAGCCGGTCGGCGCTGCGCGGCGCGGCGCAGCGGCCCGTGTCGCTGGTCCCGCCGACGTTTTCCGTCGACAACTGGCGCCGGTACCTGTTCAAGGTGCTGCTCGAGTACCGGTCGCGGGGCGCGCAACTGCGGATGCGGACGGGCAAGTCGCCGCGGCTCGCTGCCGAGTGCGACATGCTGGCCGAGTACGTCGACGAGCTGCAGCCGGACATCGAGGCGATCCGCGAGTGGCTGGGGCTCAAGACGTACAACGAGGGCTGCATCGAGGCGATCGAGCGGCTGTCGTACCTGGACTCGGTCGAATCGATGATGGTGGACGTGGCGCAGATGGTGGAGCGGTGTCTGTACGCGATGTTTGTCGTGGCGGAGGACCCGAAGCGGACGGTGAACCTGGTCTTTGCGCAGTCGGCGAATCACCGCAGAGAAAACTCGACGGCCATCTCGTTCCTGTCGGACTCGGTGCTCGTGCTCAGCAAGCTCCACAGCGGCAAGATGCGGCTGGCAGAGTACTTCAGGATGAGTCTGGGCGTGCTGATTTGCGAGACGCCGGAATTTCTGCGGTGCGAAGCCGAGTCGCTGCTGGCGCAGACGGCCCAGATCGACAAGGCGTTCATCCAGCGGTTTGTGGAGTTCGTCAAGGACTGCATGGTGTTTGGGATGAACAGCTGTGTGAAGAGCTGTCTGCGGTTTATCGGCAGCAACATCGTGGAGTTTGAGCGCGACGTGTTCGAGTGCAACCACCCCTCGTCGAAGGTGTCGCTCAATTTGCGCTACCCCAATTTGTACAAGCAGATGCAGCTGCACAAGGAGCAGGATCAGGAGTCTGCGGCCGAATCGGCAGCCGAGACGGCGACGCTCGCGTTCTACAACCGGCTGTTCGCGGCGTTCGTGTGCAGCAGCAACACGGGCAAGCTGTACGAGATGCCCGAGTTTCTGGAGAGCTTCTCGATCCAGCTGATGGAGCTGAGCAACCAGGTGCGCACTCTGGTGACGCTCCAGTCGGTGACAGTGATTCTGATGAGCTCTTTGGCCAACCGCACGGTACTGCTGCCGGCGAAGCTGCAGAACAGCTTCTTTGCCGACAAGCCCCGGCAACAGCTCGTGGACTTTGGCAAGCTGCTGGTGGAGCTGGACGGGTTTCTGCTGAACTACTTCGAGCACACCGAGTCGAACCGGTTCGGCAACTTCTTCAAGGAGGAGGTGTACAAGATACTGTGCACCAACGTGTCTGAGCGGCTGCGCGGCCGCGGCTACGACGAAGATGCCGTGCGGGCCATTGTGGACATGAACTTCGATTTCAAGCACGTGTGCGGGCTCATAGCCCAGACGGAAAGGGCCAGCATCGGCAGCACCAAGGTGAACTCGCTGAAAACGATATACTGCAACGCCATCTATGACATCATCCGGCACGGCCGTGTTTTTTCCGCAAATACGTCAACGAGCGAGCCCGTGCGGCGCGCGTCAGCCGCGGTGGAAAATAATTTTCAGCACGAGACGCATAGAGCGTACGGCAAATTCTACGCCGTAGACCTCGTGCGCGACAAAATTGACAAAATCGTGCGCGACTACTACGCCGTCTTCAACGTCTGTGTCGAGGTGCACCTCCAGAACATGTGCCTTGTGTTGCGCGAGTTCGAGGAGATCTGTGCGTTTGAGCGCAGACTGTGAGAGCCGAGCACGGATGCATGTCTGAGGCGGTGGGGCCCAAACTCCGCATATTCCATGCATATGCAGGTAGTAGCAATCTTGACCCATCGAGAAGGACTACAATAGTGCTACAATAGCCGGTCGCAAATGAGACGGAATTTCGCCCGTATGTGGCTTGGCTGGTTGTACGCTGAGTCATTAAAAATATACAGGGTCATCCTTCTACTTTGTAGTCCACCACGCCCCTCAGGATCTTGATCACCCCGTACGCCTCGTGGATCATCTCGTCAGGGCTGATGGTGTTGTTTTTGGATCGGTTTTTGCGCTCGCTCCCGGGCACAGGCCATCGGCAACGTATCGTGAGCCTTGCGCACTCAGAGCACGTTGGCCTCGTTTCGCAGCATTTTTTCTTGCGCTGCCGACACGTCAAACACCCTCTTCGCGACCGTTTCGCCTTTTCCGGCGAGCCTGACCCGGAACACGGCGAGTGCTCTGCCGGGCTCGTAGCGGCAGGTTGCAGCAAACCGTTCGAACTCTCGACTAAATCCTGCCTCACCAGTCTGTACGTCCTCGATCCCATGTCGTAGCACAACACCTTGGACTCCTCATGCCCCAGATCTTGCGACGGGTAGCCCAGACTGGCGCTGCGTCGTATGCTTCTGTGCATGGAAGACGGCTCGTGAATTTTATTCGATTGCTGGTAATATGTTGGGCTTGCGGGCGCGTTCCTGAGACGCTGTGCAAGCTGTGGATTGGCGTAGTTGTAGTTCTGGTGCGGAGACGGCGAGGACGCATACACGGCGAAATCTGAAAGCAAAGGGTTCAAGCTGGGCATGCTCGCTGGCTCGTGCGGCTCGGGCGAATGCTTAGGTGCGAAGCGTGATCTGCCGACGTTTGCTGGAGGTGCTCTAGTGTCAGCCTGGTTCGGAGAGTCCATGTACCGATGATGTCAAATTCCGGCCAGAAAGCCGAGTTTATATATCCCGGCAAGGTCTCGGTTGGGTAGAAAAGAAACCGTTAAAAAAAGTCGATTTAATAATCGTGCATTAAATCTGGTCCACACGGGTGAGATTGATGGGCTGAACAGAAGGTTCCACGCAAGTGAGGAGTAGGAGCAACTATTTGGGCTTACCCAGTGAAAGTCATGCGGCTTGGCTGGACGCACGGAATCCTGGAAAACAAACTATTTTATGCACGCGCATGCGCAGCGAAGCCATTCCCATACTAAAAATATCAACTCTTTGCGGGCTGTCAAATTGTGCGTATCACGCCAATCGCGCCCGAGGCCCCGCCAGCAGGGGGGGATCCGGGCCGTGCTGCCTAAGCGATTCAATCACGAGCCTCCACAGCGGCCTGTCCCAATGAAGCTCGAGAGTGTCGTGCTCTTGTCCCGCAAAATCCTGGGTTAAAAAGAAACTTGTTTAATCCGAACCCAGCACACGGGTACGCGCGGCGCTGCATTGCGTTGTATGTGAAACAGCAAGGTCGCTGTGCAGCTTTATAATTTAACCATGTTGGGAAAGAGCCCATCAGAGACACATGCGCGTCGACCGTCGCGTCTGTGAAGCCCAGATTTTTTTCCTGGCCGGATGATCTGACAAAAAAAAACAATAAATAAATACCCGCATTGCTCTTCATGTCCGTCGCCGACAACTTGCAGTCGTCCATCACGTCGCTGCAAAACTCCATCAATTTCCTCAATTGCGCGATCGCGCCGCTGCGCCAGGTCACCGACGACGTCGATCGGTTCAAGACGGTTCTGCGCACAAAGGCTGTGTTTGACGTGGTCCCAGAGTCGACCGTCCAAAAACGCACCAAGGCCGTCTCCGCGTTTGTCGAGCCCCGTCTGAACAAGGACCACGAGCTTCTGCACGAAATCATGGCCGATTTGGCGCGCAAACAGGACCGGCTCCATAAACAAATGGCACCACTGGAAAAAAAACTAGAGCGCGTCAGATCACAGCATGGAGCCGCCATAAAGGTCCAGAAAGTGTCGGGCTCTCGCGACGACATTGCCCGTCTGAATTGTCTGCGCGCTAAAAAACTCAAACTGGCGTCGAGATCAGCTTGAGGTTCTCCAGCAGCTTGCCCACGCTTTTCTCCAGACTGTCCAGTTTGATGGTGATCGAGAGGAGCATCGGGTCGCTCGTCACCACGTCGCAGGTCTCCTGGATCGTCACGACGACCGGACTGTTGCTGTTGTCCACATACGTGATACTTTCCTCGAGGTATTTGCTGGACGTTTTCAACACCGTGGAGCACGACGGCTCTGCGTTGCCCGCGAAGACCGATTTCAAAAACCCACCATTCTCGGCGCCGTTTTTCCGTCTAGAGTCCAGCAGCTTGCGGTACTCCTCGCAGAGGATCGTGGAGATGGACCGTGTTCTGTCCTGCGAGATCTTGGCGCGCACGTGGTCTGCAAACGAGACCCGGTTCGGCACGTCGATGATCAGGTCCCACGGCCGGTGTGTGATCGGCTTGACCACCTTGAGGTCGATCGACAGGTCGCTGTTGCTGATGACCAGGTCCAGAGCCACGTTTTCGGGGAGCTCCGGCTCAAATAGCTGGTACGGCAGTCTGTACCTGGGGAACATGTATGCCTCTGTAGGGAAGAGCAGGGACTTCTTGGCGAGCTGGATCTGGCCGTATAGTGTGGACAGAATTTTCAACAGCACAGCGGGCTGTGTTTCTTGGAGCGTCTGTATCTTGCTAATAGTGTTGATAGCGTTGTAAATTAAGTCGTGACAATCCAGTAACTGGCGCAGAATCAGTGTCGAGTTGTCCTTGAGCCGCAGGTGCAGCGCGCGACCGATGCTTTTCGACCGGATGGACACGCTCAGCCCTGTAACCCGGAAATTGGAGCGGCTGATCACGCCCTTGAGTGTCTCAGAGTTGTGCGACGACAACGGGAACTTGAACTCGTCGCCGTTGTTCTCACTGATTTTCGCCATACAGGACGCCAGGTTTTCCTTGATGTTCGGCAATTGCGGCCGTATAACCTCGTCAATAAGCCATGCCTGCTCCCGGGCGCTGTCGGCGCACAGTTTCTCCGAGGGAAGAAATATCTGCGTAGACATAAATATTTAAGTAAAATAATCAAATATATTAAAACAAATTAAATAAATCGAATAAATATTTTATGGATCTTCCTCATGATTTGGTTTCTGCGCTGCTGAACCAGCCAATAAACTATATTCTTCCCAAGCAGGAAAGTAAGTATTCTAGCTGCTGCTTCTGACATCGCAGTCGTGCCTTTTGGAGGCCCGTTCGAGGTGCGCTTGGCCCCTGCCAAACGCGTTTCCCCAGCAGACAAGAAGGACATCGATGACGAGCTGCTGCGGGAACTCAAGGTTCCCGACCAGCTGAAACAAGTTACGTTTAAAAAGCCGGCCATGAGGCTTCCTGCAAAGACTACTACGGAGCGCCCAGAGCCGCCAGGGCCGCTCGAACGACACATCCTAGCCGCCGTGAGCTCCGACCGGTCGTGGACCAAGCCCGATCTGAAGGTCAAGAGAATCAAAATCGACAGCACGCCCACGGACTTTGACAGCGTACAGCTTCAGCCGCGCGAGACGACCTTTGCCAGGGCCGAAGAGAAGCCCGTAGTCCATATGGACTCGCGCAAACTGCACACAGAGGCCAAAAACAAGCTCGTCTCGATTTTGCAGGGCCCGCTCGATCTCGACCCAGAAACGCTGCAGGCCCTTGAAGACAGCATGAACCGGCTGTGGTACGCGAAACAGCTGAAAGACGTCGACGCGCAGCTCCTTGTGCGTCTCAACGAGACGTGCTCCGCGATGCTGGACTTCCAGTTCGCGAACTTCGACGGCGACGAGATGGACGTGGCGTGCCGGGCGGCCAAGTGCGCAACGTTGGTGATGTTGATCTTCACAAGCAACCACAGCGACAAACAGCTGTATCTGGAGAACTATCTCACGTCTGTGCTGGAATTCGTGTACGCGTGCGGCAATGCATTGCTAGATGCTGAAGTTTCCGACTTTGACGCGTTTCTAAAGAGCTACATCAAGATTCTGGACCTGCTGGCCTGCTATGCCAAGCACAACGGTCTGGAGGACAGCATAGTCACGAAATTGGAATATTTGACGCTGAAACTGTGTTTCAGCGGCTCAAAACAAGACCCGAGCTACGAGAGACTGCGCGTAGCAGCCTCGAACGTGATATACGAGATTTTCAGCAGAAATCCGGACCAGCGTGTGTTTCTGCTCCACGAGATCGTCAACAGCTTCGACCAGCTGTCGCCGCACAAGACAAGCTCCCGCCAGTACCACCTGGCGCGCGGATTCAGCGTCCAGCTGGTGACGATGCTGGTGGTGCGGCTGATCCAGTCGTTTGCCGTGTGCTACGAATTTGACGAGGCGTACTGGAAAGTGAGCGAGAAAAAGCGCGAGGAGCTGAACTCGAGCATATACAGCCACATCGACGCGTCGGCAGACGAGCTGGCGCGGCTTTCCAACGAGTTCGCCTCGCTGCTGGTCACGAAAATCACCGCCAACTACGACACCACCGGGAAAAAAGTGCTAGAGAACTTTATAGAGGACCTGCTCGCCATGGCCGAGTATCCGGAATACTCCGGCTGCGAGACGCTTCTGGAGTCCTTTTTGCACACTCTGATGTTTGTCTTCAGCTCCGACAACTACTCTGCGCAGATTGAGGCGTTTGCACTGGAGCTGATGGGCATCATTGGCTCAAAAATCTTCGCGTTCCGCAGATGCCAGCAGCCAACCCGTTTCAGCGCGGACATGAGCGTCGCCGACTTCAAGACGCTGTTCGAGCAGTACCTCGCTGTCTGGCGCGATCTGAAGACGTACCGGTCCTTTTTTGCATTCAAGCTGTTCACCAAGGTCCATGCCCTTACAAAGTCCGCGTCAGACGAACTGCTCTCCTGCTGTCAAAGGGCCGAGTTCCTGCTCCTCCAGATCATCAACCAGAAAGTGCCGTTTCCCCAGATCGACCGCCCGGCAGACTATCTTGCCGTTCTCGCGTCGCAAAACCTGTTTGCTCACTACGACAGCTTTCTCGGGCTGATCGTCAAGTCGCTCGACCACCCGCGCACCAAGTCGAGAAACAAAGCCATCAAAAACCTGTCGCTGCTGATTGAGCGCGAGCCGGCGCTGCTCACGCTGCCGACCGTGAAACAGTCGCTGGCGGCGCGGCTGGTGGAGCAGTACGCGTCTGTGCGCGACTCGATCGTCGAGCTGCTGCTGAACACTGTGCCGGCGCATCCCGAGCTTGTCAGCGACTTTTACGCTCCCGCGTGCGACAGGATTGGCGACGCTAGCATGGCGGTGCGGAAAAAGGCCATCGGCTTGGCCAGAGTGATGTACGAGCGCTCCGCGGAGCAAACGGTGCGCACGGCCGTCTGCGAGAAGCTGTTGCGGCGACTGGACGACGAGGAGGACGCCGTGGTCGACCTGGCCGTCGCCTGTCTCAAGGAGCTGCTGCTGCTGTCGCACGAGGACCCGCTAGCCAGGATAGAGACCATGGTTTGCGTGATCGGCAAGTCAGAGAAAAACGGGGACTACTTCGAGCGGTTCCTGCGCGAGAAAGTCGTCCACCACTTTGCGACGAGCCCAGAGCTCCGAAGCGCGGTGGCGGCCGTCATCCAGGCAATTCTGGAGCACGTCACCAGGCAGGTGCACTGTGATCACGACCACGTGCAGAACGTGACCGGACTGCTGGCAGTATTTGTCAAGTGCGACGGCACACTGCTCTCGCAGGACCAGCTCGTCTCGCTGCAGCCGTACATCATCGACGACAGCTCCACCGGCAGCTCCCTGTGCTACCATATCTTGCAAATCTTCCACTACACGCTGCCACAGACCCGGTCGCTGAAGAGGTCGTTTATCCACCAGTGCCAGGCGTCGCTCCTCGCGCGTCTCACCAAGTTCAACGTGCGCGAGCTCGAAGAAGCCATGCCGTGTCTGTGGCTGCTGTCGCTGATGAAGAAGGACACCGAGAAGCTCGCCCGGGCGTGCATCTCGTCGCTGGCTCTTTTGAGGCCGTATCTGGCGGACATCAGAGACAATAGCTACAAGCCCGACCCCAAGGTGTTCCGGCTGTTGTTTCTGCTGGGCAACGTCGGGCGCCATTGCCGGCTCGACGCGCACACGGAGCTGTTCCAGACGGCCAACCTGGGCTTCAAAGCCACCGACACGGTGTCCGGGTTCATTATCAAGCATATCTCGGTGTTCTGCGACGAATCGCTCGACGCCAGCTCGCAGCGCGTGGCTATCAAGAACCTGCTCAACGTGTGCATCACGCACCCGCGCTGGTTCATGAGCGACCGCATTCTGGGCCTCATGGACCGCGCTTTCCAGAGCAACGACCCGGATCTCCAGGATATCGTCGTCAACACGCTTTCGACGTTTCTGGAGCTGCAGGACCGCGAGGCCGTGCTGGGCAACGGGCTGCACTTCAAGGACTCGAAGACCGTCAAGCTGGACGTGCGGGTGTTCCACGGCGAGTCGTCCGAGTACGTGAACGACGGAATATGCTCGTCGCTCGTGCAACGGTACCTGCACCACGTGCTGAAAAACTGCCTCGTCGACGAGTCTGGCCACTCGCTGCGCGCGGTGACTTTTCTGAAGCTCGTGGTGAGGTTCGGCTTTGCCAACCCGAAGCTGTGTATCGCCACGATCGTCGCCCTGGAGGCGTCCCAGACGCCCGCCATTCGGTCGACAGCACTGGCGATGCACGAGCAGCTGTTTGAGAAATACGAGTCGCTCATCGAGTCGGGCTACATGGAAGGACTGCGCATGGCGTACGAGTACCGCAGACGGCTTTCAGGCCAGCTGTTGTCCGAGACGACGCTTTTGCGGTGCATGATGAGCGTGCTGGACGGCAGCAGGACGGCCGGAAAGCGGTTTTTGCGGCTGCTTGCTAAAACGCTGGCGAACTTCGAGGACCCAGACCCGCTGTTTGTGGGCTACGTCGCCGTCAACCTCGCTGCCGTCCATTTCAGACAGCAGGACCACGTTTTTTTCCTGGTGTCGAGCCTCGAGCAGATTATTGACACAGAGGCGGCAGAGCTGGCCGAAAGGACCGACGAGGAGGACGACTGGGACGTTCTGGGCGCAGAGGCGCGGGCGCTGTTTGTGCTGATGCGGCTAAAGGACGTTCTGGTGACAAATTACAATCTGTCGGACGAGCGACTTGTGAAGTACCAGACGTCGGCCAAGGACTTCAGAGGCGCCATCACGCGCGTGGACACTGTTCCGCTGGACGTGGCGGACTTGGATCTCGCCAGACTCAAGGGCGGAAGAGTGTCGCAGAAGCTGTGTACGAAGTTGCTGGAATTAGTAGAGGATTAATTCTGTGCTGCCGCTACACACCCTGTAGGAATTTCGGGTCGAAGTCCGACCGCCGCGAGATGTACTGCTTCAACACAGACTTCTTCAGATAAATCAGCTGGCCCTCGTTGCACAGGTCCTTGAGCAGCTCGGGCTGACAGAAAAACAGGTTTGTGAGCTCTCGGAGGACGCCGAAGCGTTGCTTCATGTCGTCGAGGCCGTCGTAGGTGTCGAAAATGGAGATGTAGTGGATGACGTCCTGTGTGAGCACGAGCGAGCCGTTCGAGTTGACGCGGAACCGCGTGAAGTGGTTGATGAGCAGCGTGAGCAGGCTGGCGAGGATGCGGCGGATGGTGTCCATTTTCAGCGTCGGGTTGAAGCCCAGATGCTCGTACAGCGCGCGGAACACTCTGTCGAGGAACTGGAGCATCTTGTCGCACGTTTCTGTTCTGTCGATCGTCGGCTGCGTCGCCGGCTGGAAATCGTCCATTGCCTGGCCGCTGAGGATGTTTTTCATGTTGCGCTCGATCAGCTCGAGCAGCTCGTCCACAATGATGTTGAGGCCAAGCTCGACGTCCTGCAGATACGAGTTGAACATGAGGCTGAGCCTGTTCTTGATCTCGGCGGAGAGAACTAGCGGGTAGAAGAAGCGTTTCACCACAATCGACAGCAGGTACACCTGGACAGAAACCAGGCTGATCTGCTCCACAAACTTGAGGTTGATCTCGCTGGAGCCGAAGAAGGACGCGAGCTTCTGCTGCTGCACCAGAATGCCGTTGTAGTACAGGTTTTCGAGCTCAATGGCCAGATACGACTGGCCGTAGCTCACGATCAGGATGTCGAACATTTCGAGCGCGTACTCGTTGATTTTCGACGGCACCAGCTCGATGGCTCTCGTGAGCGACTCGACCACCGCCTTGAGGATTTTCTCGGCAATCACGAGCGAGGCCTCGGACCCGTCGCCGGCGTCCTGCTCAAACGAGTCCGACACCACACGCGCGCCCTGGTCGCTGCCCCCCCGCAGCTTCGTCCGCGTGAACCGGTCCTTGAGCGAGGACGAGCGCTCCATGTTTTTGATGAACTTGGAGATGGAGGTGAACTTCTTGGACCGCTTGTACGAGAGCAGTCTTCGGGTCGAGTTTTCGCGCTGCGGAGCGTCCAGAAACACGTCCTGGTCGTACTCGGGGGCCTCCGACGTGCTGGCGTCTTTGGAGTGTAGGATCTTGTTTTCCAGCAGGTGTTTGTTGACCACCTTCTCGTGTTTCGCCTCGAAACGCGCCGTGAACGAGCCAATCAGCTCCGAGAGGTTCTCTTTCTCCAGACTGAAGTAGACGTCCTTGTCCACGTGCCGGTGGAACAGGGCGGCGTGGTACTTGTCCAGCTCGACGCCCAGGTCGACCTCCTTGTCTCCCAGGAAGGTCTTGAGGCTCTGAGTGAGCCGGTTCACCTGGTTGCACAGCAAGTGCAGCACACGCAGATTGCACAGCTTTGAGTAGGAAGAGGCCACCCGCAGCAGCAGCTGGACGCGGTTGCGGATCAGCTCCTCGTAGAAACGGTCCACGAACGCCAGCAGCACGGCCCTGGTGTGCTCGAGGAAGATCTGCTGGATCGTGTCGTACTCGGACTTTGTGAGAACGTCCTCGATTTCCTGCAGCATCGCCAGGGTGAGGCTATCGAGCTGGTACTGCGAGAAGCCCGGGTCGCACATGCTTTTCCAGAAGGACGGCTCGACGCTGAGCTCTGTGGACTGGAAATTGCTGAAGATCGGGTGTTTGTTGATGTAGAACTGCTTGATGTTTTCGCCGTCGTTAAACAGGAAAAGCAGACTAGACAGTTCCTGGAGCCGCCTGTAGTTCTTTGTGTTGTCCATCTCGTGGAACTCGTTGAGCAGCTCGATCTCGAACCTGTTGCAGTGTTCCTGGATCACGGAGAGCGTCGCTTTGGCTTGCGGCAGGTCGTTGGTGGCCAGCTTCGAGGCCAACTTGAGCAGCTGGACCAGCGCCACGGCGCGCCGGTCGCGCGGCATCTTGACCAGCTCCGGCGGGGCCTGTTTTTTGGTGTAGAACTCGTTGTAGCACTTGGTCAGAAAAATCAGCGTCACTGTGTTCTCCTTCAGACTGTTTGTCTCCGTGAGCCTGTCGCCCAGCGGCCGTATGTCGCCGTTAATACGCCGCACTTTCAGGTCCAGCTGGGCAAACTGCGAATTGAGCTTGCTGGCCTTCGGGGCGAGTCGCAGCACGTTCGAGAAGTGTTCTGTCTGCTTGACCTCGGCGATTTTCTCGTACTTCGTCTGTTTCGCCAAGCACTCCTCGCCCAGCCGGTTCAGCTCCTTGACGCACGCCTCAAACGTGCGGATGTACGGTTTGGGGTCCAGCTGGTCGAGGGGCTGTGAGCCGTCGTAGCCCGTCCGCGAGGCCAGCTTTGCGGCGAGAAACTCGACAAACTCGTGGACCGTGAGGCCGTGCAGGAAATCGTCGAGCGTGAACAGCCGTTTTGTCTCGTCGTCCAGTTGGAACAGCGACGTCATGAGTCTTGTTTATAAAACGGCCGCGGACCAATTTTTGCGTCGATCGGCGCCCCATCCGAAAGGCACCTCTGCACCGGAGTTGGCAGGGCCCGCGACAGCACAGGTCTCTCCAGCAGCGCTTCTGTAGGCTGCCGTGCCGGAGCGACCGCGCACCAGAATTCACCGGCTACGGCGCTCTTTCCGCCGCCGGCCCCGCATTGGCAAAAACACCAGCAGCTCTGGTGCTGAAAATGCGAGAAAAATCGGTTTCTCGTATTTTTTTCACATCCACGCAGCCCGTCTACTTCGCCCCAACCATGCCAGGAGTTATTTACTGTATGCCAGGCTCTGCAAGAAGCTCGCTCTTCCCCCAGCTGATCAAGTTCATCGGTCTTGACGTCGAGGTCAAGGGCCCCTCTGCTCCGTGTTTTGCCGAGAACTTCCCGCTGAAAAAGTGTCCTGCGTACAGAGAACCCGACGGCTTCAAACTCACCGAAGCGCTCGCCATCGTCAAGTACTTTGCGGACCAGGCGCCAGAAAAATACAACTGGTTCGGAAAGACCAAGCAGGAGGAAGCCAAGGTCTGGCAGTGGCTGTCGTTCATCAACAGCGACTACGTGAACGCTCTGTGCGAGTGGGCACTGCCTTCCTTTGGCATGCGTCCGTACGACAAGGAGAAAATCGACAACGGCGTCGCCAAGCTCGAGCAGCTGACCCGGTTGTTAGAAGACCAGCTGCAGAAGACGAAGTATCTTGTCGGCGACGAGGCCACTCTCGCCGATCTGTACGCCATCCAGTCGGTGAAAATCTGCTACGGCAACCTGTGGGAGGAGTCGTGGGTCAAGGAGCACCCAGCCGTTGCCAGATGGGTCCAGCTGCTGAAGGAGGACCCGGTTGTTGGTGAGGATCTGAAGGATCTGAAGCCGGCTGCCAAGGCTGTTCTGGGGCCGTAGAGGCCGGGATCTCGGCCGGAAGTGTTCCGGAGACTACACAGCTGGCCAAGCCAGACTCTCCGCGGCCGCTCCTAAGATAGACTAGACGTAAATAGCACATTTATAGATTTGAGCCGTACTCCGGTTCGAGTTATCGATGCTGTTTTTGGAAACAGCCACTTTCTGCAGCTAGACATGCACAAACCAAAGTTTGGGAAATTCGTGGCTGATGCATTTCTCGGCTGACGTAATTATCAGTGGACCCCACGTTTTCACGTCATAGCCCTGTATCGTCGGAGTAGCCAAGGCCGTGTAGTACCGTGTGCCGTAGCACCTGCCCACAGGGCTAGGACCGCTCTTTGTAATTTCCTAATGGCCAGGGCCGGCCCGCGCTCCTCCTCCGACCCACGTTTCAGTGGTGGCCGTGTACATATTCCTGACCACTTTTTTATCTTGGCTCTGCAAGAATTGGACGTACCATTTCTTTAAGATAACCGTGCAGAAACAGCAATAGTAGAGGACTTCAGGCAAGAGAAGGGAGCTCCTTTGCCCGATGGGCCTCAGAGACGTGCTCAGCAACGTCGTCCTCTCCTATAAGCGCTCTTCTCGATTTATCAAATAATATCCAAAAACAGCTAGATTACAGCCCTATATGCCAACTAAAAAAAGAAATTCGACTACGAGTTGATCGCAAATAAAGTCTTGGCAGAGACTCCACACAGCACAACTATATAAAGAGGTCTCCCCGCATGTGATTACCAAAAACTTCTCAGAGTGGAATTCGAGAACAAGCTGCTAGATAATATAGTTATAGATAGCTACCATGCCTACGGACAGAAACGAACAAGCGAAAGTGTCTGCTACGACACAAACAGAAATCTCCAGAGCATCCAGCAGCGACGAGAGCTCGGTCGCGTTCTATCGTCTCTCGGGAGAAAACGTGGTGCAGTATTTCGGAACCCACGCGGTCAACGGGCTGAGCAGCGCGAAAGCCAAGGAAATGCTCGCTAAGTATGGTCCTAATTCTCTAGGCGATTCTGGAAAGATTAACTACGGTAAAATACTGGCGCACCAGGTGTTCAACGCCATGATTCTCGTCTTGATAATCTCCATGGTCATTGCTCTGGCCATCAAGGACTGGATTTCCGGAGGAGTCATTGGGTTTGTTGTGCTCCTCAACATCTCGGTCGGCTTCATCCAGGAGATGAAGGCCGAGAAAACCATGAACTCGCTCAAGAGCCTCTCTTCGCCGTCCGCGCACGTGACCAGAGACGACGACGACCACACGATCCCGACAGAGGAGGTTGTTCCGGGCGACATCGTGCACATCAGGGTGGGCGACACGATTCCTGCGGACCTGCGGCTGATCGACTCCATGAACCTCGAGACCGACGAGGCGCTGCTCACCGGCGAGTCGCTGCCGATCCCCAAGGACCACACGGTGGTGTTTGCGGACGAGTCTGTTCCCGTGCCTGTTGGAGACAGGTGCAACATGGCGTACAGCTCGTCTGTGGTGAGCAAGGGCCGCGGCACGGGAGTCGCAGTTGCCACCGGCCTCAATACCGAGATCGGAAAAATAGCCAAGTCGCTGCAGGGAGACAGATCCTTCATCCGCAAGGTGGAGAAGAACCCGAAGAACGGCTCGAAGCCGAAAAAGCGCGCGTACGTGACGGCGTATTTGGGCACCGTCAAGGACGTCGCGGCAAACTTCCTCGGCGTGGCCAGCGGCACGCCGCTGCAAGTGAAGCTCTCGTGGCTGGCCATTGCGCTTTTCTGGATCGCTGTGGTTTTCGCCATAGTGGTGATGGCCTCGCAGAAATTCCGCGTCAACAAGGAGGTGGCCATCTACGCCATCTGTGTGGCACTGTCGATGATTCCGTCGGCCCTGATTGTGGTTCTGACCATCACGATGGCCGTGGGAGCGCAGGTGATGGTTTCGAGAAACGTCATTGTGAGAAACCTGGACTCCTTGGAAGCGCTGGGCGGCATCAACGATATCTGCTCGGACAAAACAGGCACTCTGACGCAGGGCCGCATGATTGCCAAGAAGGTGTGGATCCCCAACGTCGGCACCTACTCTCTGGAGGGCTCGAACGAGCCATATAATCCGCATCAGGGCACGCTCAGCTTCACCAGGTACTCGCCAAAGTTCGTCAAGGAGAGCGACGAGTACATTCCTCCCGAGAAAGAGCTGCCCGAGCCGACCCCGGCCAACTTTGCGAACTTCTGTCTGACCGCAGGACTAGCCAACATCGCCGTTGTGAACAGCTACGAGAACCCCGAAACAGGCAGCACCGAGTGGAAGGCGCACGGCGACCCAACAGAGATCGCCATTCGCGTGTTCTCGAGCAGAATCCCGGGATACACGAAGGACGAGCTGGCCGCGAAATACGACCATATCAACGAGTTCCCGTTCGACTCGTCTATTAAGAGGATGTCTGCGATCTACCGCAGCAAGGAGACCGGCGAGGTGAAGGTGTACTCCAAAGGCGCGGTCGAAAGACTGCTCAAGTGCTGCAAATACTGGCACTCTTTCGACGACCAGAAATACGACAGTCTGCGCGACAGCCAGGAGCTCCGGCCGCTGACAGAAGAGGACATTGCGCGCATCGAGAACCAGATGGACGTGCTTTCCAGAGAGGGACTGCGTGTGCTGGCGTTTGCGTACAAGGACATCACGAACGACAACGTTTCCTTGGAGACAGACAACCGGGAGCAGATCGAGTCGGACCTGATTTTCCAGGGTCTGATTGGAATCTACGACCCGCCAAGAAACGAAACGTCGAGATCCGTCAAGCTGTGCCACCAGGCCGGCATCAACGTCAGAATGCTGACGGGAGACCATCCCGGCACCGCCAAGGCCATTGCCCAGGACGTTGGAATTGTTCCGCGCAATCTGCACCACTACGCCGAGGACGTTGTTCGGGTGATGATCATGACGGCGCACGAGTTCGATAGTTTGAGCGACAGCCAGATCGACGAGCTGCCTGTGCTGCCCTTGGTTATCGCGAGATGTGCTCCCCAGACCAAGGTCAGAATGATTGAGGCTCTGCACCGCCGCAACAAGTACGTGGCCATGACCGGAGACGGAGTCAACGACTCGCCGTCTCTGAAGAAGGCCGACGTTGGCGTTGCCATGGGCATGAACGGGTCCGACGTCGCCAAGGACGCTTCCGACATTGTTCTCACAGACGACAACTTTGCCTCCATTTTGAACGCCATCGAGGAAGGCCGGAGAATGTCGGCCAACATCCAGAAGTTCGTGCTGCAGCTGCTCGCCGAGAACGTCGCACAGGCCATTTTCCTGCTCATCGGCCTGGCGTTCATGGACAACTCCGGCTACTCGGTGTTCCCTATGTCTCCGGTGGAAATTCTGTTCATTCTCGTTGTCACCAGTTCGTTCCCAGCGTTCGGTCTCGGAGTGGAGAAGGCAGCGCCCGACGTGCTGGAAAAAAAGCCAAACTCCACAATCTTCACCAAACAGGTGCTCATCGACATGATGGTCTACGGCATCTGGATGGCCGCATGCTGTCTGTTCGCGTTTGTCATTGTCGTCTGGGGACACGGCAACGGGTATCTCGGAATCGACTGCAACGCGACGAGCTCCGGCACCGAGCACTGCAGGTTGGTGTACAGGGCTCGTTCGACCGCTTTTGCAACCATGACATGGTGCGCCCTAATTTTGGCATGGGAGTGCATCCATCCGTTGAATTCTCTGTTCCGCATGACAAAGGAGACCGACCACCCATGGTGGAAGCAGACGGCGATCGACCTGTACGACAACAAGTTTCTATTCTGGTCGATTGTGGGCGGCTTCGTTGCGGTGTTCCCTGTTATTTACATCCCGGTGATCAACAGCGAGGTCTTTTTGCATTCTGGCATCTCCTGGGAATGGGGCGTGGCCTTTGGGTCCACTGGGCTGTATTTGCTGGGCTCCGAGCTCTGGAAGTGGATCAAGAGGGTGTACCTTAGAAAAAGAGAGTACGAGAGAGCCAAGAACCCAGAGGCAGAGCTCGAGAAGTCTGACGACATCTTTGAGAAATATGCGTCGCTATCAAGGGCCAGCACGATGGATCACAGCACTCTGATTGTCTGAGCTAGCGATATTGCCTTGGTAATTTTATATCATTTAATGCCTGCATTAAAATACAATGTTTTTTGTTTTATTTCAAATCTCCGTGGAGAAGTCCCTAAAATAAGATACGTTTTTAATACGTAGCACAAAAAAATCAAAAAAAAATCGTGGCCTTTTAGCATACGTTTTCATCTCCAAGACAATTATTCATCGATGGGGGGTCCGGCATTGGACCAACTTCTGACCCCAGAAGAGAGCCGGAGATCCAGTAAGCTGAGGGTACGGGTGGACTGCCGCGAGAGAGACGTGCTGGCGACTCTGAGCCTGTTATGTGTCATAATCTTGCAGGAGTGTTTCCGCACCAGCGCGAATCTGCACCGGTTCGTTGCCGAGGTGCTGAAACGGTCGCGCAGCAGCAACCCTGTTCTTCATGTGACAATGTACTATTTGCTGGAAGTCTACGCCCAGAGACAGCAACAACTCTATTTATATCCGGGCCTCAGCTCTGTGACCTGTCCCAAACGATGTTTTCTGACCTGCCTAATTTTGGCCTCTAAGTACCTCCAGGACCAGAACTACACGCTCACCACATGGAGCAAGATCACGGGGCTGAGTGTCGACGAGTTACAGACCAACGAAAGAAAGATTCTGGATTTGCTACGTTACAAGCTGCATATCAAGGAGAGCGAGTACAAGCGGCTCTGTGGGTTTATGCGCGGCTGCGAGAAGCGGCTCGCCGCAGACAAGACCGGGCCTGCTGCTTCCAGTCTGCTCACGCCTCCTTCTTCGCCCAGAGAGTGTCGAGACGACGAGTTTCTCGGCTGGCGCGCGACGCAGAGTCCGGACTCCACCCTCGGTGTTGAGACACGGACCGCCTTGGCGCGCGCTATCGAGCAATTTGTCGAGTTCCATGCCACGGAGCACGACGCCGCGGGCCACGATATTGCGCTTATCTAATGTCTTTACGTTAACATGATTTATTTAATTATCCAGTACATGACCGTCACTGCAGCAAGTTCGATTGCGGTGTAGCGCAGCAGCTGCAAAAAATCCACCTTCGCGCCGCCGCGTGCGTCCGTGAAGCTCCACAGCAACCACAGCCCGTTAGCAACGGCCGCGAACACGTACGCGACAATGTCGCGGAACGGCCGTCCCAGATAGCACAGCGAGTACGTCACTGCGGCGTCTCCTCCGGCCTCGCCGATGCTGAGCAGCTCCACGGCAGGGTATTTGATGCCCATGGCGAGCGAAAACGACTTCACCGTCACCTCCACGGCCTCGCCGGTCGTGTACTTGTGCACCACCTCGCAGTAGTCGTGGTCGTCTCCGCTGAAAACGTAGTCTGGCCGGATCTTTTCCAAGATCTCCAGCGACAACGACGGGTCGATCACCGTCTGGTACTGGTGGCCCTTGGCGACGGGGAATTTCCTGCTCTCTCTATTTTTCCCGCACGGCTGCTCGCTAGGGTCTCTGTACAACGGCACGTGGTGGAAAAGAATCCGGGGTTGCATTTTTGGCTCGCGGCCTATTTCCTCCAGCAGCCAGCGCGCCTCGCTATAAATCGCCTCGTCCTGCGTGTTCGACAGCGAGATGGTGTCCAGAAAGATAAGCTCGTGACCTTTGCGGGCGAGCCGCTGATTCGGCTTGCCGAAGAACGCCTCAAACCTCTGCAGCGCCGGCAGCTTGACCCCGTCTCCGTAGCCGATGTCGTGGTTTCCCGGCACGACAGTCAGCGTCTCTGTGTTGCCGGGCACAAACAGGCGCTTAAATCGCTCCAGCTCGCGCGCATAGTACTCGTCGCTGCTCGAGCGGCCGTTGTCCATCAGGTCTCCCAGAAAGAAAACCGCGTCAGGACGGAGATGAGTGAGCAAAGAGCGGTAGTTCCGGCGCATATAGTCGTCCGCGGTGATTTGCGACAGCTTCAGCAGCGGCCAGGGCCGGCCCGGGTACGTATGGTTGTCGATCAGCTGCGGGTCTGCCACCAGAAGAACGCGGTAGTCTGTGTCGGAGCCGGGGAAGCTGCACATCAGCGAATGGAGCCAGACGTCGATCCTGGTGAACCAGTGGAAGAGCAGCAGCCAGAGCCCCAGCACTACCGACACGCTTCTGGCGGAGGCCTTGGGCGGCCGGAACGCCAGGAGGGCAGAGAATCGGAGCCGCATAACTAGTGTAATTTTTTTATTTTCATTTCATTTAATATTTATTGAATTATTTTTATGCTATTATTAGTTCTGATCCTCGTGATAACGCTGGCCCTCGTGGCGCCGCAATTGGTCTCCAACCTGCGCGACATCGGGACTGTCGCGCTCGAAAAACAGGCGTCTATCAGTCCCACGAAAAAGCCCGGCGAGTCCGCCGTGTACCGCTCCGTCGACGTGCCGCACGGCCTGCCTTTGACCACGGGGCTGCGCATCCAGACGGGCTACCAGATGAGGGACGGCATTCTCAAGGACATCTGGTACGAGGCGTTGCAGGCAAACACAGTTGTCGAGATTGGCGGCGCGAGGCGCTCGGTTCGCCAAATAAATGGCATGATTTTGCATCTGGCCCAGCAGATGGACCAGCACAACGTGGGCCCGCGCGTGGGGCTCAATTCGTGCGTCGACGACCTGCACGCGCTCGTGGTGCTCTTCTGCTGCTTTTTCCTGTGCGACAGAACCGTTGTCGTGGGAGAAGACCCGAACGTGGACCTGCTATTTACGAGGAAGACGGCCGGCTCTGCTGCCAACGTCGTCGATCTAGACGACCCGGCGTATTTTGCCGAGTGTCCTGAGACCGCAGAGTACGCGTACAGCCCGCTCAAAGACTACACCCGCTTCAACAACGAGCCGTACATCGAGCTGATCGACGGCACAGAGTACCGGTATTTCCAGCGCAGCTTTGTTTCTGCCGTCGCGTCGCAGCTGATGTCTCTGTCGACGGCGTTTTCGTGGACAAACCGCGACAGACTGCTTGTGGTGCCGGGAAACAGGAACAACGCCCTCGTCAAGATCCTGTGCGGGCTGCTGACGGGCGTCGAACAGATCACCGTCGCGGCCAGCGCGCCGATCGACGCGCTCGTCAGCTGCCAGCCGACGATCGTTTCCGCTCCGAGCGCGTGGCTGCGGCCCCTGGTGGACGTGCGGCCATCGTTCCTGCGCGCGCTGCTGCTCAACCGCGCCGAGTTCCTCAACTCGCACGGCATATTCAACCCGCTCGGCAAGATGTATGCCACGAAGCTGCGGCTGGTGTATCTTCAGGACTCAATTTTCACTTCGGCGCAGTACAATAAGCTCAAGAGCGTGCTGCATGCCCGGATCATTAAGGAGACCGATATCCGCGGCTCGATGGGCCCCCTGCTCAAGTCGAACCTGTTTGAATACCGCCTGCTAAGCAAGAACCAGCTGGGCGTGCCGACGAACTCCGTGGAGCTCAAGACGCGCGACGGGCGGCTCTACGCGCGCGGGTTTGTGCTCGCGAAGCACGACAACATGCGCGTCGACGAGGAGATGTGGATCGACACCGGTCTCCGTGGGTTTTTCGCCACGGACGGGTGTTTTTACTCTAGCTAGTTATAAACCCGTTTGATCACGTCCACCCATTTTTTCTCTGCCACCAATTCGTCGTTCTCCCACGCAACAATTTTGTTGCTCAGGTGGAAGTTTTCGGCGTCCGCCCACAGAACAGCGGTCGTCTCCATCTTCACGTTCCAGCCGTCCTCCCTTCTCCCCATCGAGTAGCTGTAGACGCACTCGTTGTACGCGGAAAGCGGGTCGTTTTCCTTGATTTTCCACACGTTCGTGTTGCAGCTGCCGTGGTAGATCCCTGACAGGTTGCCGTACTCCGGCATAGTCACCTGCCCGGCGTCCTCGACGTCCCTGAGCGTCCACTCAAACGTCGTGCAGTCGAACTCGACCGTCTTCTTTCTGCCGTCGGGAACGTCGATCGTGGTCTTAATCGGCCGGCAGATCGACGGGGTCCCTAAATCTGGAGCAGCCACCAGCGTTGTCTCGTCCAGCAGCGGCAGCACGAGCTTTCCCCCGTGCAGCGTGAGCGTCGGCGTCTCTGCGGACGGCCACGCCTGCGGCCAGTCGCACGTCGACAGCGCAACGCGCAGCCGGTGGCCTTTCTCGAGCTTCACGCCCAGAACGTCAAGCTTGACCTCGACGTCGTAGGGACGGCCCTCCTCGAGGTACTCCGGGTGTTCGTGGCTGTTTCTGTGCGACAGGTTCAGCTGGCCCCACGAGAGCAGCACGTGCTCGCCGCCGGGGTACAGGTCGACGAGCCGAACGCTGACGTTGGCGAGCTTTTTGTCAGACGAGAGTGTCAGGTTGATTTTTGGCTCGCCCAGCAAATTCACCGCTTCTGCCAGCTCCGCAGAGTCAAAACACAGACACTTCGCATCCTCGTACCGCTGGTCGGCCGGGAAGTCGCCGGGGTACCCGAACGGACAGAAGTTGCCGCGGAACAGGCCGTGCGAAAGTGCTCCGCTGAAACGGTAGTCAAGCGTTGCAGTCTGCCCGATGCTCAGTTTGTTATCTGGAGCTAGGGCATACTCCAGCCCCCCAGAAAAATCCACAGAGTCCGTAGACACCCACCGGCCGTTTCTGTACTCGTACGAGTCCTCGATGCCCGATGGGTCCTGGATGTACGCTGTCAGCCGCGGCAGATGGAGCTCTCCCTCGTCGTGCAACCATTTTTTGAACCACTTGAGCGACAGCTGCTGGTACCCGATTTTGGGGCCCGGTTTGGCCATCTCCGGGTACTCGTGAACCCACGGGCCCACGAGGCCGCACGATTCCGGGTGCGGCAGGTTCTTGACCATGCGGAACACGGGCGACGTGTAGCCGTCTCGCCAGCCCCCCACCAGCATAACCGGGATGTCCACCTGGCTGTAGTCCTCGCAGATGGAGCCGTGCTTCCAGTACTCGTCGCGGGTCTGGTGCTCGAGCCAGTGCTTGACCATCGGGACGACCTCGATCCTCTGCTTCCAGTTCTCGCGCCAGCCGTCGCCGACAACACGCGGGTCCTGCGGCCGCGGAGCGTACGCCGCCATAGTCGACCCCCACCACAGCATGTCCGTCGCCAGCACACACCCCCCACGGTAGTGCACGTCGTCGGAGTATCTGTCGTCGGTCGACATCAGCGAAATGACCGCTTTCAGCGCAGGGTGTCGCCGTGCTGCCACCTGCAACCCGTTGAACCCGCCCCACGACTTGCCAAACATGCCGATCCGGCCGTTGGACCACTTCTGCGCCACAATGTGGTCAAACGCGTCCAACGCGTCGTCCTGCTCCACCTTCAAGTACTCATCAGTCAAAACTCCGTCGGAGCTCGAGCTGCCTCGCATGTCGATTCGCAGCGACGCCAGCCCGTTCCCGGCATAGTACGGGTGCCGAATCGCGTCCCGCTGGATCGTCACGTCCGCCCGGTACGGAATGTACTCCACAAGCGTGCCGACTCGGATCCTTCCCTCCCAGGCTTCCTTGGGAATCCACAGATGGCCCTTGAGAATAGCACCGTCCCGCACGGGAATGTCGATGTCCTCGAACTTGAGGATCTCGTAGGGCAGACTGGCCGGGTCCAGCACGGCAACCGGATCTCTTTCGGACTCTCTCACGTTGAAGGCCATGACGGGACTTATTACAGAGTTATCTTTTTTAGCACTAATCAGGAAGTTTTTTACGAGAGTGGACCATGCATGAGCGATAGCGCTATTTCTCAAATAGCTTATCTTCCGGAGAGCTTGTTCTCGGGGTTTTGCCGGGGTCGACGCAACTTACGCGCGCGGCTTGAGGTGTGCCACCCTCGAGCCCCGCGTCCAGTGCTTCCAGAAACGATGCACACTCTGGCCGCTGTGTTTCTCAGCCGATCGACGCCGGCGCGAGGTGTGGATGGAAATAAAATATTCCAGGCGTAAACAATATCGGTGTCTTGCCTTTTGTTCCAGTCGAATCTCGCTGGTGTTTACTTTTGCCTTGCGAACGAAACCCCGCGCAGCACGTTATTTGAGCTGAGAAGATCCCCTGTTATTTCTCATATCGCTGAAAAATCCGGCGAAATGGCTGAACGCAATTGGCAGGAGGGAACAGATCGCGGTGGAGCGCAACAGCCCGTCAACGTGATCGAGATCCCCGACCTGAACGGCCTTCTTCCTGAAGACACCTTTCACAAAGCCGCCGGGGCCCGCAAGACGTCGCAGCACACGCTTGCACACGGCAGCAATGCGACGCCTTCGGCCCAGAACCCCGAACCGCACGAAATACACATCCCACAGCCCCAGGACGACGACGGCGACGGCTACGGCGCGCAGCCGCTGTCTTTCCGGCTGGGAGACCCCGTTTCGCAGAACGGTACCGAGCCGGCGGCCGTCATTGAGCAGCGGCAGGCCAGCATTTCGGCCAAGCAGAAACAGTCGTATCCGAACTATACTCTCAACATCATGGTGAGGCAGTTCACTAAACTGGCCGAGAGGAAGCTGAATCTGTGTCTGAATAGCGTGCCGCTGGACCAAGAGCCCAATATCATTGAGATACTGTCCGAAGGAGTGGATCCGACGTTCGATCGCGTGATCACGTCGCTCGGGTACATTGCGCGGCGTAAGCCCAAGTCTGTGACGGACGCGGTGATGCACTGGCGACGCGGCAAGTCTGAGCTACGCGAGATGGCGCGTGCAATGCTCGAAAAGGACATGATGCAGTGGAACAGCTACAAGAACACCAGCACGCCGCAGACACACAAAAAGTCGTCCTCGCGGTCCTCGCGGTCGACGCACGATTCGCCGGCGATCAATTCCGACGCCGAGACGCTGCGGCAGCTCGAGCAGAAGGTGCAAAAGTCCAAAATCACGTTCACCCAGGCGGACAGGCAGTTCACGATCAGCACGTACATTTTGTGGCGGGTGCTGATCGAGGTGGTGCGCCAGACGCCCACGCAGACGCTGATCGAGGAGACAGGGCTCGAGGAGATCATGTACAACTACCTGCGCAACATAGATCCGTATCTGGTGAGCCAGAGCATCATTCACTCGTCCAACTGGAACCTGCTCGCGGGTCTGATTGGTCAGATGTCGGAGAAGTCGTTTTTGTCTGTGAGCGACCGGTTTATCGCCGATCTCGAGAAGTTCCCGAAAGGATACACCGACGGCAGCGATGTGAGCGAGTCGAGGCTCAATCTGCTGATCCACGGGATGCGATATCTGCAGTTTTCGAACTCGTCGCTTGAGCGGTTTGAGGAGGGTGCAGACTTCATGAAGAGCCTCGCCAAGTTCTTCTACAGGTGCGAGAACGACAACCTGCTCAACTCCTACTGCGACGTGATCAACCAGCTGCTTCTGTCGCTCGCAGAGACGCTGACTGCAGAGGTGAACCATCCGACGTGGGTGGACGCCGTGACGATGATTTTCAACAAGTCTGTGCACATTGCGACCGCGAAGCCGCCCAAGCTGTGGAACTACGCCGCAACGTTGGTGGCCACTGCGGTCTCTGTTGCTCCCAAGACGCTTTTCGACCGGGAGTGGCTCAAGATCGTCAACATGTACATTAGACGGCTCAAGCCGAAGCTGCCGACGGAGGAAAAGGTCGTCATAACGAAGTGTCTCGCGCGGCTCATCTGGGCGTATCTGTACCGCTACTCGGACACGCTGAACGCCAAGACGAGAAACTTGGAGTCGATCGCCAATCAGCTATTCCAGGGCCAGCAGAACAAGAAACAGCAGTGGATCACGCACGACTCGCTTCTGATTCAGGCCACCGTTCAGACTCTGCGCGCTATGGCGTACTCGCAGCTCAACTTCACGCTGGAGAACATCGTTCTGCCGATCCTCAAGTCCTCGTTCAACGGAACCAGTCTTGAAAGCATCTCGCACGAAAAAGTCATTCTCTGCATCCGCACCTACGCCTGTATACTATCCGACTACAAGTCGAAGGAAAGACCGCCGTTCCCGACCGACTACGTGATCCACTCATCGCTGGACCCGATGGAGTTCTGCAACAACGACAACAAGGAGATATTCGACGCCAACTCGTCCAACTCGGCCGTCCACGAGGAGGTGTCCAGTCTGTTCATCAGTCTGCTGTTTCTGCTGGACCAGCAGGTCGGGTGCAAGACGCTGGACGGCAACATAGCCAACGTGGGGGCCGGCAGCGGGTCGTCGGCCGGCACGACAAGCAGCACGCCGACTCTGCCGCTCAAGATCTCGCAGTTCTATTTCCACCAGGACGGGTATCAGGCGAAAAATCTGGAGCTGTTCTCGACGGTGATTTCCGTGGTGTCGTGGTGTCTGAGCAGCAA